TCCCCGCTCGTTGCGTGTCGATTATAGAGGTAGAGGGGGCCTGTCAAAAGTTACATTTTACACACACACAATGCTGGGGATTTTTATTGATTTTTATACACTTTTGGAAAGTAAAAAAGAAGGCAAAGAAGGATGGAGAAACTAAATGCAAAATGAAAAATTGTAAAAAAATCTTTGAAAAGGGTTCCAATTCGAATAGAACAATTTCAAGATTTTTATTCACATTGAGATCAATTTTGTTTTATAATTAGGTTTTTTTAATTAAATAGTCAATTATTAACTGTTTAGCTTTTCATCCATTAGATTCGATTAAATTACATAGGAAAAAAACGAAAAAATAAAATTCAGTTAAAAAAAATTTCTTGTAATGTCTGTTTTTATTAATATTGTTGTTTATATGTCCAAATTGTTTACATTCAATTGTTGAAAACAATTTTTTTGAAAAGAGATTATTGTTGGAAAAAACGGCAGCACCATTAAGAAGAATTTTGCTGAAACTTCCGAGATCAAAAAGACCCCATCAACCGCAGTGAGCCTAGTTTATATAAATGGATTGAAATTTTGAGCTTTGAAAAGAATTTATTGACTGAAAATTCAAATAAAAATAAGTAAATTTCACATAAATTAATAAAACAGAAATTTAAAAGAAATTCCAGTGTTCTTTCTATACTATAAAAAATAATATTTAGTTGCAAATTGTGTTTTATTTATTTATTATTTATAGAAAAAAATTGCAAGTTTAAATTTTTTATTTTAAAATTAATTTCTATAATATTTCATAGTTGTTAATACTTTACTTAATTTTACTGAAATTATAATAAAATTGTATTATAAATTATTTAAATTTTTGGTACAACTTTTTTTTTTATTTTCTTGTAAAGAATGAAAATTTGGGATTTTTTTTCTTTTTTATTTTTGAAAAGCGCTCCACTTTTTCTGATTAAATCATGACAAGACTGGCGAGCAGACATCGAATCGACCCTCTCTCTCTCTTCATAGCAGACAAACACCAGACCGTCTAATGCTCGGCAGAAGGCGGTGGAAGTGCATTTTTATCAGCTCGCCTATGAACCCCATGCACAGCTGTATCACTCTCTCGTCCGCCCCGTTTCACTATATTTGAACTACCCTTAAACACCATCACGCGTGCATGTGTTGCCACTGCAGCTACCCTCGAACTAATTCATCCCGAGAGAGAAAATAATATATATAAAAAGAAGGACGTGTGCTCGCTAGTTTGTATCAAAATATATTAAGCAGCCGGCATCATTTTTATACGTGTGTGATTTTCCTGCTCATTGAAAGCGGCCGCGGATCGAATGAGCGAGCGACAGACCGGAAGGTTCCGCCGCTGCTTTATTTGCACCTGCCTCCGTCCATTATGCATTAGTTAGCGCTGACTCACTTTTTCAAAAGCTTCCCTCTCCGTATTATTCAATGCACCGAGCTTCCTCTTCGTTTTCAATGAACGCGAATTTGTAATCAACGAGCATTGTTACCCTTGAAGAGAGAGGGAACGAGTCAGTCGAGTATGGTTATTGCGATCGGGTGCCGGATAATTCGCTAATTAGAGGTTGGCGCTCGAACGCAGGCTCGGATCAAGGACGGCTTTGCCAATTAATCGATCAGCCGTGAAGCGTGACGATTTTTTTCTAACAAATAGTCGCAAAAACCTTCAAGACTCAAGTTTAATACTGAAATTTAAAAAAAAAATCTAAATAAAAATAAATTGTTCTTCATTGTAATTAATTCATAAATTAAAATTGTTCAAATTAATAAAATGGGACGAATTGAGGATAAAAGTTTATTTTGGGGTTGAAGAATTAGAAAAATTATTATTCAAGAATTAAAATTACTAATTATAGAATTAAAAAATTTCTTGAAATATTAAAAAGTAAAATAATTTTTTACCTCATATTTATAAAAAATTAATATTTTTATAAAGATTTATTTTAATTCTTTAAGATTAATTTTTAATGATTCTTCTAATTCTTCAACCCAAAAAATTTGATTTATTTTGTTGAAATATGAAGTAGAATAATAAATAAAAACAATTAAAATCAATCAAAGAATATTTAAAAAAAATATACAAAAATTTTAGTACAAATTTTTAGAATGTATGGAGAGGAATTTAATTGATTTAATTGCACCATTAATAAAGTCAGTTTTACCTCTTTATTATGTAATGCTTCGGGTGTTTTCCTCTCTCTTTTTTTTAACTCGATGAGACCTGATTATAAAATATTATAAAAAGCAGCGAATTTATTAATTTATTGTATTGCCGCCGGCGTTTTTGGAGCACGCTTTTGATGATACATGCGGGGTGTTTGGAATTATAAAAACGACGACTAAAGAGGCAGTTGTTGTTTTTTAGATGCGCAGCCTTATAATTAAATATAGCGCGCGTGACTCGCACGGTGTGTATAATTTTATTAGCATACAATTATTATGATCATGACTTCGTTCATTTAAAATATGCGCCGTTGAAAAAGAAAGCACATATATGAGTCAATTAAACACGTTCTTGATTCTTAAAATGTTTTTTTTTTTATAAAAGTTGTTCTTGCTCTATTTGCTGAAAGACCATTCTCTGTGAATAAATTAAAAATTTAAATATAAAATAAAATATATGGGTTCATAAAAAACTGTCGCTTATTTATTTATTCTTAATTTTTTTTTTCTCCATTCGATCAAATAAAATGATAGAAAATGAATAAAAAAACTAATAAAATTTTAAAAAAGATTCCTGCATGGAATAATCACCATTAGTTTTTTTTTATTGATAAATTTAAATTTTGTAATAATTATTTTATTTTGCTAGTTCTATTTTTTTTCGGCTGTTTTTTTATTTAAAACGGACTTCCAAAAGTAATAAAAAATTGCTTTAAAATTGAAAACTAGATCAATCTTTCATATCTGCAATTTTTACCCCACGTGGTTTTCTAAAAGAAATTTGCCTTAATCGATTAAAAAAAATTTTTTTTTATCCATCAATCAATTTAAATTGTAGTTTAATATTTGAAAATTTATGTATTTTGAAGAAAATATTTCAATTAAAATAAAAAAAATCTGCTATTTCTGTAACTTTGCCACTTCTAGGAAATAGAAATCCTACCCGCTCTATTTCTCATTTTACCAGATAGTTTATTTGACGCTTTTCCACTCACTTGAGATGCAAAATGCATCCGCTCTCGGATGACCGAGCTCTTTGCGCATGAAAACGTCAAAACAACAGACGCGATAAATCTGCTGCCGCCGCAGTTGGAGCAAATCCCGAGCGAGTTTTGCATTTCTCCGAGCAAAAACATTTTTTTGAAACTCGAGCTGGAAATAAGTCACATGCATCCCGTGAGTCAGAGGGAGGAGGCGTTATTATTATTATTTTCATTTTTTTTTTTATTGGTGATGAAAAATCTTCTCTTTCTCTTTCACTCACCGCGCGGCTGAAAACTTTTCTCTCCGCCGGTACATTTGAGACCTTGGATCACCTTCAAACTGGTTCCCTTTAGCTGCTCTCGTCTGCTTACTGAAGAGAGTAAAAAAAATAATAATAATGAACGCTCCATGCTGCTCCATTGTTGTATTGTCTCGGAAAGGGACGAATGGAGAGGAATTCAGATGATATTGCTTCGCCATATAAAGCAGCGCAAAGAATTCGCCGCGGCCGTCAAAAAATCATTGCAAACCACCCCGCGAGAGAGATTTATAAAAAAAAAATTTAACGATTGCTGTGGGAAAATTAGTGCTTTTAAAACTGGAGGTCGTAAATTGCAATCATGTTTGTCATTCAAGCTCTGCCGCGGTCGGAGCAATTTTTCAATTTATTTGAATAAGTATGGGTCATTTTTATTACCAAGGGCAGCGTGATTTGCAACTCACCTTTCGTATCCGTCATTTCAATACGCCCACATTTTCATTAGCAAGAGAAAAGTTGTTTTAAATTGCATCTTGCCTGAAACAGCATTTCTTTCAAATTGGTATTGGATTATATTTGCTTCAAAATCTTCCAATATTTATTTTTATTCTCATAATTATTTACTTAAATGATTTAAAATGAAATAAAAAAAAAATGTTGTATGTTTTTTATATCAATAATTATATAAAATTATGTTTTTTGGTTTTTTTTTAAAATTTATTCAAATTTTTGATTGCAACTTATTTTTTTAATTTTTAATCCCGGTAAAAGTACATTTTTAACATCTGTGGGTTTTTTCTGGATTTTCCTTGAAAAGAGTGTCGACTGTGGTGTCAACATTTTCATTATTATTAACTTTTTTTGCTGCTGGGAACCCTTTCCGTACAGAAATTATTCCACGAACAATAAACCTGAACACTCTGTGCGCGAATGAAAGGTCGAAATTAACATCAACAAAAAGAGCACACAATGCACCTCTTGCGTAAGTCGTGACATCACTTCTAAATTTACAATTTGTATTCCGCTCTCAGAGCAGCCGACTTACTGTTCCGTGCATTTTGATATTTTGGCAACACCGAAATTTGAATCATCAGGAAAATTTCCTGTCAATCTTCAAGTTGATTATTAAAAATAAAATAAAATTATTGCAAACAATCCCTAGTAAATTTGGAAGAAATTATTTGATGTAATGATTATTTCTATAATTTATTATTTTTCATAGTAAATTGGTCTTATTTGTGATAAAATTGTGAAGTAATAAATTAATAATAATAATTTATAAAAACCAATTTTGTCCGTTTTATTAGATTTTCTTCTTCTAAAAAGGCAATAAAAAGCTTCAAAGATGACCAAATAAATTGCGTAATTTTATTTTATGGATGAATTCAAAGGAATGTCAGTGCGATTTTATCAAAGTTTTATTTAATAAATTTATTATCAGAATTTATTTAAGTTTTAAAGCATTCCAAACTCAAAAAGATCCTCCACAGATTCTAATAAAATATAATTGTGCACATATTTTGCGCAAGACCCTCTCTTTCGTTTTCGTTTCTCTGACCGCAAAAATGCCGTTTTCGTGTTGCAGCCGAGGGCGACCTGGCCACCTTTTGGCAACGCAAGACGCACTTCAAGGCGGAGCAGCCGACCATCAAGGGGCTTTTCACGCCCGAGTCGCGTCCGGCGGAGCTGCAGCGACTGTACGACGCCGCCGGACAGACGCCGGTGCTCAAGATGAGGCAGCTGGACCGGCTGCGCAGGGACGGCAAACGCGCCTCCAAGATGTTCATGTGCACGCCGGTGCTCAGCGGCGAGGAGAACCGCAAGGCCAGGAAAAGGGTCCACGTCAACGACATTGAAACAAGCAAGGTACGAATCATTTTGTTAAAAAAATGCACAAAAAAAATTCAAAATTAATTTAAACATCAAAAATAAAAATATAATAAGAACAGTGATGTGTTAAAATACATAATTTAATTTTCAAAAGAATTTTAACGTGGATTCAGAAACTGAGCGAGAAAACCAATGCTCGGAAAACGAATTAAAATGTCCAAATTTCAACTTTTAATTGGAAATTTTAATTATTTTTAAAACAGATTAAAATTTCTGTTTTAAAATAATTAATATTTCCACTTAAAACTCAAAAATTAAGACAAGATTAAACAAATTAAAATAAAATATAAATTTTTTTAATTAGTTTACAATTAAATAGATTTGAATTAATTTTATGCAATCATTCTTGGATTATTTCAAGTTACTAAAATTTGCTATAAAATATAAAAAAAAGAATTGTAAAAAAATAATAAATTTTTTTAATACAATTTTTTTTTTTTTTGAAATTGATAATTATCCATTAACAAAAAAAAAATATTTGAAGGGGAAAAATAGGCTACTTCATTTGAAAAACAACAAAATTGAGTTTTATAGGCTTTTTAGGTGATATTTTTTTTTTTTAAATAGGTTACAATTTTTTAAAAATAGGCAATTTTAGGCGATTCTAAAATCTAAAATCATAATTCGAACTTGTATATTGAATATTTTGGCTTCATTACAACATATTAGCTCATTCAAATCAATTCCTATCATTCAACTAATTCAAAATCCCAAATTTTTAATCATTCCGAAATATTAATGAAATTAAAAACTATTTGATAAAATATTAATCTAACTCATAGTCAAAATTCTGAAAGAGATTTTACTACATTGATAAAAATTTAACTTACTTAACAATCAAATTTTAATTTTACAAAAAGTTTGACGAAACCGGATGTGGACTAACTTTTAGAAATCATATTCAAATGAGATTCATCCGTTTTTGTGGCTTTGGACTGGAGCCAGCGTTTGTCTCGGCTTTGGTTTTTGTTGTTTGACATGCGTACTGCCGCTACTATGTGACAGGTTTCGATTATACATATCGACGGAGTTGCATGTCGAGAACTCAAGATAGTCTCAATATGGAAATTTCAGTCTCGGTGTAAAATGCGGTTTAAAGGGGGCGTCGCATGCTCGATTAGCTTTTTCGGTTATCAATTTATTACATTTGTATACGCAGAAGCTGCAATGAGACAAGAAAGTATATTAAACGAAACATGAAATTACACCGGTTGGACAAGTACTTAAAAAAAAAAAATCGGTTCATTATTTTGAATTAACTGCTTTTCTGTGGTTAATAAATTTGGATCTTCGTATGGATTACAAATCCGATGAGCTCCGAAAATTCCCATCCTTTTCAACGAGATTTTATTTCGCTCCTTCTTTCTATAATGCGATCAAAATTACAATAATTTTCCACTTGGGCGGACAAGCAAACAAGTGCATTAAGCTCTCTCGGTGCTCAAGTTCATTGATCATGAGAAATCCAGGGAGGAACCCGACCGGCCACAAAGAACACACTCAAGTTCCCACAATATTATACGAGAGGCGGAGGAGGAGATTTATCCAATTCCAAAGTCTGAAGACTGAGAGATGCGGTCGGGAAAGAAAACCTTCTCCTAGTTATATGGCAACATGGGAATTCTTGTTGCGCTCGCCGGACCCATAAAAAAGTGGTGTTTCTTTCCAGGCAGCCCAAGCGTGTGGGTGTAAAATAATGCACGAGCAAAGCGGCTAACAAGAAGTAGTGGTCCTGAATCAAGATTTTCTTCACACTATACTGGGGCTTATACAGAGCGACCACTTCAGAAAACTCACTTGACGTCATTCAGACACCCCTAGAAATTTATTCTTTTGTTATGTACTTGTTTCCTGTTATTATTTTCAATTCAAAACGAAGGAGAAAAAATTGGGTCAAATTTCTGTACCCAAAGTCTTTAAAAATTGATATAGAAATTTATTTAAAATAGATTTAATACTGATAAAAAATAATCAAGGAAATTAAAATAAAGAGTCGGAATAGTAAAAAAACTTAAAAAAGCACCAGGGCTTTTTTTATTAATTTTGAAAATTCAATAAATAAAAATAACAAAATCAGCAGAATCCACTGTCTTAATAAATAAAGGAGCAAATAAAAAAAATTACTGAATGTATGACCAGTCTGCGCATTTTTTTCCCCAAAGAAGTACTTATTATTTACAATTTGCTTTGAAAAGTTGAATTGAATTGAAAATTTTCTAACAGTGGTAAAATATCTGTTAAATTTATTTATTTTAATTAAATTTCCAAATTTTTGCAATTGGTTTTGAAATAAAAAAACTCCTCATATTTAATTTATGGCTTGTTAATTATAAAAAACAGTCCTAAACAAAACAATTATCAGAGTTCAAAGGTTTATATTTTTACATTTTAACAGGATAATATTTGGTATTTTGATCTCCTTCAATTGTTTTTTTTTTCATTCCGCCGCTAAAAATTATTTGTTTGTGGGCGTTTAGAGACGTTTCGCAAAAACTCGTCTGCGGCCGCGAAATTAAAAGTCAATCCTTGAGCCTCGTTTAACGCGTTATTTTCGCTGTTTATTTTCTGCGGTCACTGAAATCCAAAGCCAAATAAACGTCGTCGCCTTTTTTGCCCGCGCCTCTCTTTCACGGTTGATCGAATAAATTATGCATTTGGTGCGACTTCAAACAAATCACCTGTCGTCATGACTCAATTAATTCCACGCAAGAGGCGCCTAATTTGATCCTGAAAAGAAGGGATTAACGGGTCTTTTCTATAAATGTAATCATTTGGAGCAGGTCTCGGTGGATAATTATAGGGGACCGTTTTATCTCTCTTCCGGACGGCTAATTAACCTTTTTGTTTGACAAGCGTGCGCTGACAATTGTCACTACTTTTCAGGTGGGTAGCTGCGGAGCTTATTTTCTTTTTCAAACGTGAATAAATTAACGATCAAAGACCCTTATATAGAGACACGTTATAAAAGCGAGAATGTATTGCGAGTGTCAGATCATTCATTTGCTTTATACGCGCGCGCGCGAGTCAAAGGAAAACAAGTCTTGCTGCGGTGGATGTTAATAATTGCGGCCATAAAACAAAAGTTTAAAGCAGGAACGCCCTGAAAATGATTCACCTCGCAGAGGAGTTTCCTTGTAATGAAGGCACATCGAACTGCATAAATTCCCTCACTTTGTTAAACAATAAGTTAGACTCTAATATTTGATATTTAGCTAATTTATTTATTAATTAATCAATCGCTTTGTTTATTAAAACACATAAAAATAAAAACGATTCTTTAAATGCATTGATTAAAATAAAATATAGAATTTCATTAAAAAATGAAAATTTTATTGGTAAAAATTTAATTTAGAGGTTGTTACAATTTTATTTATACAAGTTATAAAATATAAAACACTTCATAAAAATTAATTAACAATAACTCTAGAATGTGGACTAAAATGGAATTTTTCGCAATTTTGCTTTATTCTTAGACTGGAGAGACTCCTAACGATTCCTCTGGACAAATAGCTAATTTAAAAAAAAGTTTAAACGAAAATTTAATTGCAAGACATACGTTTAAAAGATTATTCAGCAATTTTTTATATTTATCAAACGTTTTTAAAGATTAAATTGGGAAATATCCTTTTTTTTTAGCAGATATGCTTAATTTATCTATTAAAATTTAATTTTTGGAACGAATTTTTAATTTAGTTTTATTATTTAAAATAACCAAAAATAATATATAGAATTATAGATATTTTTTGTCAATTTTATGGAAACTTTATCATTAAAACTAAATTCTGTTTTACCTATAGAATTTAAGTTTTTTCCTGTCAAAAATTATTCCTAATAAATTAATCTCTTAAAATAAACTTGAAATAGGGTGGTCCTGAAAAGAACCAGTTTGTAGTTTCATTATTGAAGTTATCGAGTTTTTCGAAAGGAAAAAAATAAAATTACAAACTTTTCCACTAATCTCTACTTCACTTTTTATGAAATAAGAATAAAAATCACACATAAATCTTTAAATTTTATTTATAAATGAACAGTAGCTAAAATTATTTGCCCAGATTACAATTAATTTTAATCAACTTTCATTTTTTTTTCATTGTTTTATATTGTCGTTTATTTTGTCCAAAATTTTACACAAATATTATATAGTGCAGTGCATTTTGTCTTTTGAATTATCAATAAAATTAACTCTTTTGCGTGTCCACAGCCTGCAGTGTTGTCTCGGATCCGCGAGTGGCGGTCGAGCGAGGTGCTCGGCAGCGCCGTGGCGCCGCCGGACGTGAGTCTGGCGCCGCTGATGGACTCGACGAGCCTTCTGGAGCATTTGCTGCCGTCGCCGGAGGAGCAGCTGAGCGTGATCGCGCGCCACTTCCCTCCGGAGGTGGTGGCCGTGGACGTGACGGGCCGCAACTTCGACCGGCAACAACGGAGTCGCCGCTCGTTGTCGCAAATCGACACCCGCCGCGCCGAAAGACACCGAAAGCGGCGATCGCAGCGGCGAAACACGATCGCCGGCACCAGCGAGGCGGAACTGCTCAGACAGGCGGCTGATGGGTGAGTAGTGCAAAAATTGATGTTCGCACTTTTAATCCCGACTTATGGTGCTAAACCTTCGTCTGATTAAGAGGTAGAGATCGTCCGGCCGAGATAAGAGCACCTGAATCGTTTTAAGACCTTTTTGGCTGGGTCGAATTTGCATACGCGTTTGGAGATGTAAAATTTATAAAGGAATCCTTTCTCTCTTTTTGAGGTGCTCGTTCGATGAGAAACAGAGAAGAATAGAAATTTTTCTGATTTTATTGAATATTTTATACTTTAATTGATACATTGGTGATCTTAGATTTTATTACGAATTAATTTTATAAGATTAAGTATAAAAGGTACTTTCATAATTAAATATAGACCATAAGAATCAAGATAAGAATTACGCTGATAACCAGAAATCAATTCTTTCTACAATTATTGAAGTTCAGCTTGCGAATTTTAGTTGAAAAGGCCATAGTGATTTTGGATTTCTTCAATAAAATCAGTATTTTTGAGCAAAAAGTTTGATATTTTCATAAATACATGATTATAATTTTCAGATGATATTATGATTAGTGAAATCCGCATTATTGATTATTATTTTCTTTTAAAGTTAAAATTAGATTATTAATTTTGTATGGCTTATTGAAACTGGATGAAAAATGATAATTTAAAATAAATAAATCCACAAATTTTGGAAATTCCCAATCTTTTTCACCGCTTATAACAAATTATGAATCGCAGTTTTTTTCTCGTGAATTTGCATAATATTTAACGAAGTAAAATTTATAACTTTTTTTCTTTCTTTTGATAAAAAAATTTACTTGTCCAGCAGTCATGAAAGTTTGTCAAAATTTAGATCAAAATATAAAATATTAACAACTTTGATAATTTGATAAATTTTATTTAATTTACTTCTGCATATCAAGACATTTATTCATATTTAAAATTATTATCATTAAATTTGGCATTATATATCATAATTATTAAAATTTAACTTTTTTATTACACACCAGTGACATTTCTGATCCAATCAATATGATCGAAAACGCTGATGAACACACTTGGCTCCGCAAGATCGCAGCCGTTCTTCCAAGTGTTGACTCCGTAAAGAACTCTGTCAGCGAAAAGCGGCCCACCTGTGTCGTGAGGACACTCGAACGACTGTCCGATCTCTGGGGCGTCGGCGCAAATTGCCAGCTCGTGCAAAGGGTACGGGAAAGAGTTTTGGCACTCAACAGGGTCGATTATCACACCGTCCACACGTACAAGCCAAGCGTAATTTGGATATAGCAACTTTGAATAGATGAAATAGGCATAAAAATTGGAAATAAAAATTAAATTACGTAAGAGTTCCATCCTGAAAATGAGACTGCTTGACCTGTCGGGAGGTTTGAATCAGGCAGGGCAATGGGAGCAATCAAATTGCTCCATTCAAAGGGAGGAGAAACCTATGATTAAGATATAAAATAAGAAAAAGAATTGCTGGAAAAACCATATTTTTTATATTTCAGGTTCATAATTATTAAAGGAGAAAACCAGTGATTGTTTTGAAATTTAATTATGATAATAAACTAAATTTCATGACCGAAACGTCAAAATTTCAATAAAATTCTAACCCCGCAGCTTAAAAGATAAGGGTTTATCAGGGAATTAACTTTTCCCGCCAAGTGAATATGAATTTTGATTGCTATTTCAATGAATTCTCAACCTTAGTAATTATTATTAATTCATTTGAAATGATTTGTGTAGGAAAAAGGCAAAAACTCCTTTATTCAGAAAAAAATGAAGTCCTTTAATTTAGAATATCATTTTTTTTTTCTTCAAATTGTTTAAATTTTGAACACCTTTAATAGACCAATATCGTGAGTTCCGTTCCCTCCATCGTAGTTGTAACCAGGGTGATCCTGTTTATCCACGGCCAGGTGGAGGGAATTTATCTGATCATATCTGATACTGCCGGCGTTTACGTCCAGACGGTCAGCCGAGGTGTTGTAACTTCTCGAATTTCAGACACGATTGATTTTGCACAAAAAAATTACATACGTCAAAAGGCACTGAGCTCTGGTCAAAATCCACTCGCGGGACACAATTGCCGCACTGCAGAAGGCTTTTCCGTCGAAACGAATGGACACGTGCCACGGAATCTCTCCTGAAGCGGCCCCGACCCCTTTTCCTTCGTGACTGCAGTAAACGCCACCTTTGAAAAGTTTGAATGAGATAAAATAGAGAAATTATGGGAGGTTCGGAAGGTTTGAAACGTGCCTGAGAAGACGAGGGAAATAATTGCCGAGATCAAAATTCTTTGGCTCATGTTTCGTATTTCTCTGACAGATTTATTCGAAACTGTCTCACTTAAAAACAAAATGAAAATTATCAAGATTATTTCAAGCCGTTAATCTTATCTTCAAAAGCACTTTCTTTTGTTCTTAATTTGTCATCTTTTAGATAATGTGGTTCTTAAGAACCATTGTTGGAAAGGAGATAAGAAAAATTACCTTTCTGCTTGTTTGAGCAATTGAATAAATTTGCTTTTAAAAAAGGTCGGCCTCTCTGAACAAATTTGCTGTTGTTAAAGGAGGAAATTGCAAATGCAGTCATTATTTGCATTGGGGGCGACGCAGAGGTACGCGTAACTTGTTTTTCTGCAAAATAAAGCAATAAAAATGAAAACTATTTAAAATAAGTATTTTTTTCTTCTTATGTAAAAATGGAATTTAAATTATTAATTTAATTAAATCTTAGTTTGCTGTTTTTATTATTTATTTAATAATTTTTAAGTATTTCCAATTTTTATTCTGACTTTTGTCCGAAAAATAAAGATTACTTGAAACTGTTTGTTTATAATTTTCAGTGTTAAATAGGAGTTACTTTTAGTATATTTTACAATAAAATCAGATAAAAATTTATGCTAAATAAGCGTAGGTGGTGTAAAAATCACTCCGTCGAGTCTCGTTTCCATTGAGGGAAGCTAGTTAGCGAAACGCACGCCAAGAAAAACGTTGACACTGCAGAAACCGAACACCTCGCTCGACAGTCAGCCAGGTCGAGCACACGCATCTGTGCCTGCGACCGCAAACGACTGAGTGAGGATTAAAATAAAGACAGAGGCTGTTATTTTTGCACGCACGGTTTCGGGTTTTTGTTTTTCACTCGACAAAACCTTCAATTTTGATATGAGCAAGTGGAAAGTATTGAAGGTTAAAATCATTCAAGGCGTTTCGTTTGTGGTCAAAATTTAAAAAAAAATCGATATATTTAAAATATTGAAATCCAATTAATTTTTAAAAATGAACAGTAAAATTATTTGAGCTCACATATTTTGCAATTGAAACTGAAGTTAGAATAAAAACAAAAATGCTTGGAATGTTTGAAGCAAGTAATGTTGAATTTCCCAATCTTGACATCAATAAACAATAATCTTATCTTTAAATTATATGGAATTAATTATCTAAAGTTTAAAACATTTACATTTTGTCTGAATAAAATAAAAAACATAAATTTACATCTGCAGAACCTGGATTGCTCCTCCACGCTTTAAATTTAACTTTTTTTATTAAATAATATAATTATTTTGGTTGAATTTACTCTCATTTAAGTAGACATTTGAGTTAAATTTAAATTCAACAAATCCAACTTGATTATTTATTATTGATGCAATAAAGCTCCACTGATGATAATTATAATTTAATTAAAATCCATTCTCTTTTTTTTTAGAAAAATATTTGAATAAAATTTTGTTTTGATTCCAGGGCAAGTCAGTTGGGTGGCAGCGAGTCGATCGAGGTGGACTCGTCCCTGCAGAGTCTGGCCGGCAGCAAACGCAAGGTTTCGGCGGACAAAGTGTCCGATCGGGTTCTGTGCCACCTGAACAGTCTGCGCGAGTGGGGCCGGCTGCGGTTGTCGCGGGCCCGGGAGGCCCAGCAACAGCAGCCCACCGACCTGTACGAGACCCTGACGCACATCAGACGTCCGAGGAGCACCAGTCCGCACGTGCGCCTGCGTCCGCACGTCGGACGCAAGAACAAGCACGACGTGCACTCGTCGTCGGGCAACTGGAGCGCGAGCAGCAGCAGCGCCAGGGCCAGCGTCGAGTCCGGCTCGGACCACCGCACCACCTCGCACCTGCCCACGTCCTCCAGCAGCAGCACCTGCGACTCGGCCCTCTCCGTCCGCAGACCCAAGGCGGCCCTGTCAATCTCTTCGTCCAACTCGAGGGAATCTCCGGATCTTCCTGTTTCAGGTTGGTGAACTTTATTATTTATTTTAAACGTGACGGAAATCTTAAAAATTAAAATAATCTTCATAAAATGGTGAAAACTTTATTTTTACAACAAAAATTTTATAATTTTGGCTAAAATTTTAGTTTATTTAGTTTAAAAAGGATCAATTAAGTTTAAATTTATTAAATATTATAATCAAGTAAAAGCAGCTTTATTGGCATTAATTTATTATTATTATTATTGAAATATTTTGAACATCTAAAAACACAGAACTGCAGTTTCCCTGAAATTCATTAATATTTTTTTTAAATTTATTAATTTTTTTATTATTTATCAATTTATAGTGAATGTTTAAATCTCTATTTTTTTAGCTTTCAGAAAGGATGAATAATTATTCATTTAATTTCTAATTTAATTTTGCTAAATTTTCCTTTCAGATTCAACTGGTTTTAATGATGGAGAGACGAGTTCGGTCTATTCCTGCGACACCGAGGGCTACTACACGTCATTCCACGTGGACAGTGGGCTGAAGACGCTGCGCGAGGAGCCTTTCGAGTCGACCAACAGCAGCGGCAACATCACCGTGTGCGCCGCTGCCGTGAGCACCAAGGCCCTGAGCTGCGAAAACGAGTACGAGTTGTTCGGCAAGGGCAGCACGAGCACCACGGCCAGTTCGGCGGGGACCATCTGCACGGTGAAGGCGCCACCGTCGCCGCCCCTGCGGAAGAGCAGCTTGGAGAACCTGGAGGACTCGGACAAGGGTTCGGTGGAGCGGCGGGCGCGCGTCAAGAAGGCGTTGGACACCAACCGCATCCCCTCCATGTGCGTCATCACCCCTCCGGAGAGCGGGGAGGACGAACTGCCCAGTTCGCCGCCACCTTCGGAAGGTCCGCCCAAGCAACGGGCCAGTCCGCAGCTCAAGTCGGCCCTGCTCCCTTTCAACAGCATCATGGGCAAGATGAGGGAGGTCCTGCGGAAGTCCCCGCAGAAGGAAACTCCTCCCCCCACCCCTGTCGAGAGTCCGGTCGATGAATACGTGACCATTGCGTCCATCGACAGCGTCCGGGTGGCCCACACCGAGTACGTCTCCCTGAACGACCTTCCGCAGCCTGATTCGGGAAGCGAGTGCAGTTCAAAATCGCCGGCCAATTCTCTAGAGAGGCGGAGACGCAACGCCGGCGCCAGGGTGTTGCTCGACTCGGACGGAAAGGTCGTCTACTCCTCGGACAGTCTCAAGAGGAAACCCAAGAACGCGACCTTTGAACCGGGGCCGTGCGTCAAGGGGGCGGACGCGCCCCAAAGTCCACCAAACCGCGCTCAGGGCAGGGTCATCATCAAGGCCAAGGAGACGCCGCCCAGCACGCTGTCGCCCCGAAAGCCAGGGGCGCAGGTCGACATGCTCAAGATCATTGAACAGGTAATTTTTTATTTTTTATTCAAATCTTTTATAAATTGCAAATAATAATCCATTTCTTTTATTATAAAAATTTTACAAGCTGCATTTTATAAGAATTCCTATTGTTCATTTTTAAGTGAATATTTTTACTTAAATTGAGAATTAAATTTTTTGATCAAACCAGATCAAACTATCTTGAACATTACTTTTTTTTATACTTCTAAAGATAGTAAAATCTAATCATTTAATATTTTGTGTTATTTTCCTCCAAGGAAAATTCCTTTTTAAATTCAGTTTTTTTTCATTTAGACTGGGAGTCTCTTTAAAAAATATATTAAATATAATATAGATAAATTTGAGTGAAGAAACAATTTTTTAAGCGTAAAATTAAAATCTGGTTTTGTTTAAATTCAATATAGCTTATAATTTATGTTTTTACGTGAAAATTTGAGAGCCTTTTGGCAATTTAAAAAATTACAAAATAATTTTCATTGAGGACAAAGCCAGTTTTATTTTAATTCTGATAAATTAACTATTAACTTTAATCAAGGATGGACGCGATCTCAAATTTTTGCGATTGCGATCGCGATCGCGATCATGAAATTGAAAAAATCGTGCGATTGCGATCGCGATCGCGATCAAAAACGTTGCGATCATTTGCGATCAAATATATTTTTTAAAAATAAATTTCCGAACATTTTTTTTATCAATTCTGGTTTCAGAACGAGGAGTCCGAACAAAAATGAACTCCGTAAATGAAAAGCCTTAGTTTAAGAAATTTTTCTGCCAAATTACCTGAAATTGACATTTTTTTCTTCCAGATTTAGCATTTAATTCGCCCAGATTAAGCATAAAATTTTTCTTTCCTCGATCGCAAAAAGATCGCAAATGATCGCCTGCTATCAACCACCTTTTGTGATCGCGATCGCGATCGCGATCATCTTTTCAAAAATTGGTGCGATTGCGATTTTGTCCATCCTTGACTTTAATTGATTTTGATTTTTTTTAAATAATCATTCAACCAATTTCTTAAAATAATATAAAATTTATTTTAGAAATAAAATAAAAAAATACAAATATATTAGGTTTCTAGTAATTAGTAACTATTTTTATTTTTTATATAACGGAAACGGGAATCCATACAATATCATTGCACTAATCAAAATCCACCACCCGCCTCGTTCTATATATTTATATAAATAAAGTAGTACATATGTTTGTTTGTCGCGGTATATCGTACAATTTCCGATGATTTCGCCAATCGGCTCTGACACATTTGCACCCCCGTCTCTGTCGGCAGCACGAGCAGCAGGGTGGCTGCGACGAGGGGGTGGACGGAGCGGCGGCGGCGGCGCATGCCCGGTGCGAGAATATCGACCCGCACGGCTGGGCGCGGATCAGACGCAACGAGAGCTACCGCCTGGCCGCCTCGCAGCACCAACAGCCGTCGGCCGTCGACGATGTGAAGCGGGTGGTCAACCCGAATTCGGCCGGTCGCAGGTTCTACGGCGCCAAGATCATGGTCGACCCCAACAGCAGGGTGGCGCGCCCCCTGTACGAGGCGCCCCCCGTCGGCCGTGTCACCCTTCCGGCGGACACGCAGCGGGCCCGAGTGCTCAACTCAGGTAATGACACGGAAATCTGGTGAATTGTGTGTATCATTTTTTGTAACTAGTCGCTAACTAGGAAAAACGAGAGTGTATATTTTAATTTCTGCAAAAGTTTTTTTTTATAAATTGGCGCCAGTTTCTTTGATCTTCTCGAGCAGCGTCTCTCGCTCTGCCCTAGTTTGCTCCAGACTTCAAAGAAACGGTTTTGTTGTTTCTCATCTCGGTGGTAATTCTTACGAAACGCCGTGGAAATGGATGCAAACAAAGAAAGACCTCTTGAATAGTGTCTGGAGAGTTTGTTCTGCACCCTTAATGCCCACTCTGTGGCAGCCCGAAAAAGAAGGTCAAGATGAGTTGTAAAAATTTTATGTTTTTGTGTTAGAAATTCTCGTAAAATTTAGTTTGGTGAATCCAAAAATACTATCAATATAGAGAAATTATTGTTTTTTTTTTCTTGAAATTACTAAATACCAAGGTTTCAAATCCTCAATTTGGCTCTTTTTAATATTTTCTTAAATATATTAAATTTTGCAAAAAAACATTTTTAAAAATTCTTGAACTTATTATTAAAATTTTCAGAATATTTTCAGTAAAAATTTTTTCACTCCAAGAAGGTTTTTAATAAATAAAAATATTCCACACGTGAGCTCAATTTTTCAATTTTAATTTTTATGCACACAGGTTTTATCATGCCAACTTAATTAGGGTGATTTGATATGTATTTTTTGAATTTTCCACTCATTTTGATCGTTAAATTTTTACAAAAACGATTATCTTAGAGAGTTTTGTTTTTGAAATTTCATTTCCCTTAGTTTATTTTTTATTTTCACATGTTATCTCATTCAATTCATTGGAAATCATTTATAAAAAAATCATAGTTCAAAATTAATTCAGCCATTTTAAATTAGCCTGAAAAGGTATTTTTTTTTTCACATTTAAAAATGGACATAATATTTTGCTGTATGATTATTTTCTTTAATTAAAATTATTTAACAATTGAACTGCTCATTTTTTTTTTTAATGAGATACAAATTTCAAAACAACTCGCAGAACAATAAGCTCATTTAACAAATTGGCTCAAATTTGTTCAAATTGTAGCTCAATTAGTCTCAAAAAGATTCATAGAAATGTCCGGCGTCAATTTATGTTGATTTTCTGTTCTTTTTTGTGCCATTTTAGGATAGTCTTAGTTTCTTGTTTGTGATTTCATTATTTTTTCCTCACAATGTAGTGATTTCTATATTTTGTGGATATTCACAGCATTTAGCAAAAAGCACTCAACGACATTTTTTTTGTAAACCAGACAAATACACAAACATCTTCCTGCATGCAACTGTACATTACACTTCACACAAAAAAAACTACCGTCAAGGCAATTAATAAATACGTACCTGAGATGTGTGACTCGCCGCGTGTACATATTTATTTTTTATGTTCTTTTCCGCTAACAAATAATTGCACCTGTGTATATATTTATTTAACAAAATGTGTTCTTAATTAATAGAAGTCCGAATTGTACAATCCGAAAAATTAATAATCGATGAAGTCGTAGTCAAAAGTTGTGTTTCCTTTTTTACATTAAACAATTGGGCAGTATAAATTGACCATATTTCTTAAAATTGGTCTCGTACTGCATATTTAATTAACATATAAGCAGCACAGTTTGAGATTTTTAAGAGGCTCGAAGCTGAAATTTAACGCAAGGTAAGTTTTTCCAGTTTGTCCGAAGACGCATGACTTAATTATATAAATTTAATTCAGCCTGAGCAAACTGCGCCGTCCAAGTGCCGGTTCGCGTGGCCTTCTGAAATAATAATGGAAATTAATTAACCACCCAAGTATATTTTAACTCTGTCCATTGTGAAGCGAAAATGTGCTTCCTGGAAGTGTATAATTACCAATCACGTAACTCTCATTACAAGTTGTCCTTTTTCGCTCCAACGTGACAAAAAGCGTGTTGCTAAAATATGCTCCGTGACTTGTTTGCATGCCCACTTCTCACACTTTTTGCTTGGTACGTGACGAATGCTCGTCGTCCCCGGCGTCAACACAATAGAAATTTAAGACCCCTCCCGAAGCTATGCAAATATTGTGGTTCGGAAAAGGGATATCGTCAACGTGCCTGCCTTTTACCGTGGTTTATCGATCACGCCGCACAATAAGGCAGCGCCCTTATCAAGTGCCGGCTCGGATAACGTGCCTTTTTTTATCTTATACTGATCTATAGTGGGTGCTTTTTCGGGTTGGGTAAAAAAATGTGCGTACAAAAACATAAAAATCAGATAAAAATGATATAAATAAAAATATGAAACTAAGCAGAGAATAACAATAATCTTTTTTACAGAAAAAAAACTTTATATGTATTATTGTAAATTTAATTTTACTATATTTGGCCAAATTCATTGTATTTAGATCAGTGAAAATCTATTTGATTATCTTCTTTACATTTAATTATGTTCCAAAATTAATACTGATTTTCTTTTTAATTTAATTAAATTTGGCTTACATTTTTTAAAGAATTGTTTCATATTGTTTTCTTTCTGTTTATTCAGTGGCCTAATTATTTTATATGATTTTGTTAAAAATTATGCTTTATTTTGATAAAAAAAAAAGATCACAATTTTCCATCCGAAACAAAAATTTTGAAAAACGTACAGTTTCTTGCTTTTTAAAATTTCTAAGGTGTAGGAAGGTGCATGGTATATTTAACATCAACTTCAAACATTGTCCACAAATTTCAAATCCTCATTTTTGAAAGTTTTTGCACGTCTCATTATCTTATTATTTTAAAATCTTCCTCATTCCAGTAGTTCTGAATTTTTGCGATTGCGTATTTGAGTAGAACTTTCCCTATCGTTTGTCAGGTTCATTTTATATTCACCCTTTTGAAATTTACTGGAAAAAATTGCCACATTTTTCTAAACTTGTGACATTTTTGCAGGCCTGATCAATGGTTCCTCCAACGGGTACCACTACCCGCCTCACAACGGGGTCTACTCGAGCTATTCTCAGCCCACTCCGATTGTTCAGCAACAAGCTGCGCCCTTTTGGACGATGCCCCGTTCAGGCTGGGACCGTCCCCAGCATTATCCTCACTCGAGCCTCAACTCGACGCCCACCAAGCAAAACTTCCGGGCTCCTGACTGCAACCTGAGCCCCATCAGCAGTCCCTCGTCGCCGCTGGCGTCCCCAGGGGCGAGGAGACCCCTCATTTCCCAACCTAGGTCCACCATGAGCAATGATGAGCTGTACGCAGCCATCCACAGGAGCAAGAAGAAGATGAACATCAAAGATGACAATTTCTCTCCAGGTACAATCGGGTCTGGAGTTGGAGTTTAAATTCTTAAGATTGAAACAGTTGAAATTTGTCCAAACTTAATTGGAAACTCTTGAAAATAATTGTAAATTTGAAAAATCTTTTAATGAAATACTTAATTTAAAATTGTATAAAATTTAATTAACGAAGACTTACGGAAGAAATTTACTTCAAAATCAATTGAAAATAAAACTGTTTTGTTAAACGGTTATTTGCAGTATTGAAATTGTTTAAATTTGTTTCCTTAAAATGAGCAAGATATTTTTGGTTGATTTGTTTTCTGTTTAATTCAATTGCCTGTCAAATATTTGAAAACTTCACGTTTAAGAAAAAGAAATTTTATCCCACATTGTACAATTTCTCATTAATTAGAATACTTTGAATTTTCCATTGATTGATAAGATTTTTTAATATGTTTTAAGAAACAGCAATAAATTGGGGCAGTTTCCAATTATTTAAATAACAATAATTTTGATTTCAAAATCAATATGAATTTCCTTTAATTTTTCTAAACTTCATTCCTCTCAGTGAGACTTAATTTGTTTATTCTTGTAATTAATGAAACCTATCTGTTAGAAAATTTTTATTCTTTATTAATTTGGTTTATTTTTTTTAGCCACTTCGAGCTGCAGCAGCCCCGTGGACGGAGACAGAGCAAGTCCCGGCGGGCCTTCGAGCGCCCCGGGCAGTCGCCACAGCTGGAGTCCGAGCAACATGGAGGTGCTGAACGGGGTCAGCGTGTCCGCGCGCAACAACTTCAAGCGGTTACTGCTGGAAAAGGGTTGTCCCAAGGGCGGCGAGAGGCGCATGTCGGCCGTCGAGCAGCTGATGGCCTCCAAGGGGCAGTTCAGTCCGACCCCCAGCCGGCTGGCGCCCCAGCAAACGACGACGCTGCACCACAGTCTAAACCGGCGGCGCTACCGACACACGGACGTCCTCTCGACCACCATCGCCGAGGAGTCGGAGCCGCAAGGGGCGCACAAACACATCACTGCCTCCTACCTGCAGCACCGCATCGACCAGATGTGCCTCTCGCCACGCTTGTCCGCCTCTCCTCGCATGCCCATCATCACCAGCAAGCCCCTCAGCCCATCCAAAATGTCCCTCGAGACCTCTCTGTAGGCTCAAAAAAAGGCAGCAGAGAGGCGCTTTTTTCTATTTATTTAAGGTGGATGTGAATATTTATAAATTGGTCCGTTGAATTTAAAATTTATTGAAATTATTCATGCAAGATTCGATTCTAATGAAGTCAATTAAGTTTTAAACAAAATTTATTTCCAAATAGATAATTAAAAAAACTATAATGACACTTTTAAGGTCAATTACAGAAGTTTTTCCTTTAATTTTGGAATTTATTCAGATTATTCAGATTAATGAGTTGAATTTTATGTTCTTCATATATAAAATGATCACAATCCAGTTCAGAAACACTAAAAGTAATGTATTTTAAATTTCAGAATTTGAAAAATTGAGTTCTATGGATAATTTTGGACCTTTTTATTGTTTAATCACATCAACTTTAAAAATTCTTGCGCTGGAAATTTTCATTCAGTCATTCAAATGTCGAGAAATTTGCTCAGTTTACTTAATCTGTCTGCATTTGTTCCGTAAATGCACAAAGCAAATTCACCTCCCTTTGTCTCTCCAGTGCTGAAAGTTGTGATTTTTCGTATTGAAGCGCCTCCATATCTTCGGTTCCTCTAAATAGTTGTAGTGCCAAATGGTAAGAGCGGGACCAAACTCGAAGCTCAACCGTGACAAGTGAGTCAAAATAAAGTCGAGTCTGAAACGCCGCCTACCTCCAGCAGAGTTAAACAAGGATAAAATTAATAATACTAGAAATTTCAAATTTTTGGCCACATTTTGCCCAGCATTTTTCTCAGCCTGTCACACCGAATTCCAACGTAATTAAAAGTAAAGAAATCTACACACGCTATACTAGCCAAAGGGTTAAATGTCTAAACAATCAATACGAGATGCTTATATAAAAAATACCTATCACTACTTTTCGGATTAAAAATTCAGTGTTCAAAGAAAAGCGTCTAAAGTTGCATATTTACATTTATAAATAAAATGATGTCGTAATTGCTCTGAGCAGAAAGAGAGTTTGGGTGTTTCAAATTAACATATCTTGAATGTAACGAAAAGGGAGACAAAGTATAAAAAATCATATCTCTTCGAAATAAAATTTATATATCGAATTTCAAATAAAAAATGGAATTTTGGTTTTGTGTGACGGGTGAATAAATAAATAAATTCAAATTCGTCAAAGTACAGTCACTGCAGCTCTTTTGCCGAAGCAAAAGAATTTAATTAAAAATTGGCACGTGACCTTACATTACTCTTGCATTTAATCGCTGCAATCACATATATTTGATCAAAGAAATAATCGAATTAATTAATTGCACTGCTGCTGCTGCTGCCACCGCTGTGTAGGAAAGCAAAAATCGAAATGAGCGCATAAAACATGGAATTTTTGAAGCAATTAAAAACACATTACGCATCATGTGGCCTTATGTACACGAAAAGAACTCAATTAGAGACGTAATTACGGTTAAAAATCATTAAAATATAAATATATGCCAGGTCAATTAGACTAGAATTGCAATTATTATATATCAACTCCAGTACTGAAACGAAATTTGCATATTCGCTGATTCATATTATTAAAAACAAATAGAGCTGTATATATAAAAAAATTGTAATGTTGGTTCTCGTAAAACGTTTCCTGACTTTATTGAAAAATGAACGCCGTAGGCCTAATTTTTGTACATCAAATCTTGTGTAAATATATATTTGTAAATTTTACTTTTTTCATGTATTAACTTATTTCCCATTTTATGATTAAACAGTGGTTAACTGACGAGTCTCCTTAATAAAAGTACTTCTGTAATTTAACAAACATTATGTATTTCCTATTAGTCAATTTTTGTAATTCTAGTTAGTCTCTCCTCTCTTGTTGTTGAGCCTTTGGTTTGTTGAAATATTTTTCACAATAAAATCATACAAAACATGTGGTTTTCGCCTCAAATAAAAGTGTTTTATTTCATTAACCATGCACAAGTAATTTATATTAATTGTAATCGGAAAAAAATTGGTAAAATTATAAATTTAAAAAATTGATCAGCAAAATCTCAAAATTATACATTTTGATCTGAATTTTTTGTTAAAAATTAAGTGAATTTTTAAACAGTTTTAGGAATCACGAAATGCACCTGAGTCGAGCCAGTTGCCTAATTTATTTTGCTCATCCTTTTCATCTTCTAAGACTTCCCCCACTAACTCATCCCTTCCCCGTCTCTTGCCATGCCATGCTGCTGTTTGTTTACTTTTTGGAGCCAACATGTGCGCATGTTGTGCTCGCGATTTTTCAGTATTTTGGGCGCAATCAGGCCAGTTTCCAACCGTTTTTTTTTTTTAATTTGAAAGTCAAATTGGTGTGATGTGGATTGACAATACGTTGACAATGTTGAAGAAAAAGCGCGTGAAACTACGGAGCTTGCGGATGAAGAAAGCGGACCATCGCGGCAACTCTCATCTTTTTTGGGGGCCAAGTTTCCTCGCCGCTGTTTTCCGGTTTCTCTAATGAAGGATAACGCAAATTATGTAAGTCTTGTTGTTCTTCTTCTTTTAAATTAACACATTATCAAAAAGAACCCGTAGCTTTGTTATAAAAATCTTTATGGAGCTGCTGAATGACCCAAGGGGCAAGTCACTTTTATTTCAAAAAGATGATCGCAAAATTTTTCAGATTTTTTCTTTGCATTTATGAAATAATTCAAAATTCAATTAACCATAATTAATTATTAAAAGTTTTATTTCCATGCAGGAGTCTCAATTAATTCGGACAAAATAGTATTATTTCCATAATATAAATATTTATTTTCTTATAATGATTGTCATTTTCTGATTTTTTTTTACATGATAATAAAATAATTATACAATAATGTTATAAAACTTCTTAAATTAATGCTAAAATTACATAAATGCGAATTCTTCAAAATTTATTCCCAATTTTTTAAGCTGAAATTTGTTTTCTTGGTTATTTAAAATTGTACAAGAAAAAATTGACGATTTGTAGATTTGGGATTTACTGAGACATGATATAGCAAAATTTGTATCATCAAAAGCAATTAATTAATTAAAATTAGATTCTAATTTTATAGATTGAAATTAAAATAATTAATTAATAAAGTCATAAGTTATATTTTTATAATATATTTTGAACTATATTATTAATTTGACATATCAAAGGAAAATTTGCTCACATTTTCCCTAATTGGGCGTTAATTAAAATATTGCTATTCTTGAGTAATTTACAATATAATAGGTCGAGCAGGCCTTCTTCATTTGACCATCACAAAAATAGCAAAGGCAATAACACCAAATGCAATCAACGCCACAATTGAACCAAGTATGATGTAGGTAATTGTCTCCTCGAACCATTCTTTCTTTTCGTTTGGTGGTGGTGTTGAAGTCGTTTGATCTGGTTCATTCTTTCTTCCTTTGGTCGTTGCAGGGTATTGAGTTGTGCTTAACGTTGAAGGTGCTGTTGACGTCACGTTCGTGAAAATATAATTATACGTTTTGTTTTCTGCCGGATGTGCTGTAGAAATCTTTTGATTGGGTTCGATCACATTTTTTTGGACCATTTGAGATTGGAGAGTTGTGCTTGAGGTTGAAATAATGGCTGCATTTGTTGTCTCATTCGTGTAAATATTATTATTCGGCGATTTTTCTAAAGGTAGAAAATTTATATATTATTTTGTATTTTCAATCTCATTTTAACATTACCGCATTTTTTGTGTCCTTCATTATTCCATCCATAAAGTTTACCATTGTTTTGGCAGTGCAAGTTGTATTTTATTTGGTTGTGGTTGCAAACACAAACATATTCTCTCGCATAATCGTTTCTCTTGTAACATTTGGAAAAATCAGCTTTAGGGATCAGACACCGCGGGCAGCCATTCTCATTCCCGCATTCAACTAATTAAAGGTTAATTCCATATCAAATTACAATCAGCCTGATTAAAATATATTGAACAATTCACCTCCCCAAAAATCTGAAGTTTCATTGTCATTTGCCAAATACCAGTTTGAATCTGAGCCACATATTAAATTTGCATGTGGCAACGTCGTATAGCACTCACTTCCTTTACATTTGCATTTTGCTAAATGATCTTGATCATAATGTGTGTCTTTTGCAAAATCACATTCTAATTGTGAATATTTATGCTTCAAAACACTTTGAGAAGCACAATACCCTGTAATTTAAATAAATTATTCTCGCTTAAAAAATTTTGTTTACAATAAAATTTCACCTCCAACTGAACTTGCAGTCCACACCTCAAGAATCAAGCTGATGATGCAGGTCAAGAGAATAATGTTTTCAGAAATTGGAATCATTATTGATGATCATATTATGGGCGCACCAATTGAAATGGTTGCATTATTTTTAAGAACAAAGTGTTGGACTCGCTCAACTGCTTTATCATCAATTTATATTTTGTGGTTTTTTCTTGCGATTCAGTATGACTGTGTTTTTGTACAAGCTATAAATATTTCCCCACTTTTAGATCCTTGTTTTCTGTTCCGGGTAATATATTGGGAGGTCAAAATTGAAAATAACGTTCAGTTAAAAAAGGAAAAAGGCTGTTTTTTTTCTTCTTAAATTTTGAAACATATCATGCAATTTGACATATTGAAGGAAAATTTGCCGTGTCTGAGTTTTACTTAAATTATTGTTATTCTTGATTAATTACAATATAATAGGTCGAACAGGCGTTCTTCGTTTGACTATTACAAAAATAGCAAAGGCAACAGCGCCAAATGCAATGAACGCCAAGATTGAACCAGCAAGTATGATGTAGCTTGTCTCCTCGTACCATTCCTTCTTTTCGTTTTCTAGTGGTGTTGAAGTCTTTTGATTTTCTTTACCCGTACTTTCTTTTGCAAATGTAGGGTGGTGAGTTGTGCGTAAGGTTGAAGGTGCTATTGTCATCTCATTTGTAAAAATACCCTGATTCTGTACTTTTCTTTTCTTTTCTGATGTTGGCAGAGGTGTAGAATTGTTTTGATTGGGTTCACTAGTATTTACTTTGGCAATTTGAGATTGTTGAATTGTGCTTGAGGTTGAAAAAATAATGGGTGCTTTTGTTGTATCAACCGTGGAAATAGTACTATTTGGAATATTTATAAATTGGTCTGCTGAATTTTAATAGAAATTATTGAATTATTTTTCAAGAAAGATTCTAATTATCGTTTTAAAAATTTAAAAAAAATGTAATGACACTTTTAAGTTCAATTACAGTGGTTTTTCCTTCAATTTCTGAATTTGAGTAAAATAATAAAAGTAATTCAGATAGAATAAATCAGGCGAATTTTTCTGGTAATTATATTAAAGAGAAATAAGTTCAGAAATACTTCAAGTAATTTAATTTTTTATATTTTGGACCTTTTTATTTCTTATTCACGTCCACTTTAAAAATTCTTGCGCTGGAACTTTTCATTCAGTCATTCAAATGTCGAGAAATTTGCTCAGTTTACTTAATCTGTCTGCATTTGTTCCGTAAATGCACAAAGCAAATTCACCTCCCTTTGTCTCTCCAGTGCTGAAAGTTGTGATTTTTCGTATCGAAGCGCCTCCATATCTTCGGTTCCTCAAAATAGTTGTAGTGCCAAATGGTAAGAGCGGGACCAAACTCGAAGCTCAACCGTGACAAGTGAGTCAAAATAAAGTCGAGTCTGAAACGCCGCCTACCTCCAGCAGAGTTAAACAAGGATAAAATTAATATACTAGAAATTTCAAATTTTTGGCCACATTTTGCCCAGCATTTTTCTCAGCCTGTCACACCGAATTCCAACGTAATTAAAAGTAAAGAAATCTACACACGCTATACTAGCCAAAGGGTTAAATGTCTAAACAATCAATACAAGATGCTTGTATGAAAATACCTATCACTACTTTTCGGATTAAAAATTCAGTGTTCAAAGAAAAGCTTCTAAAGTTGCATATTTACATTTATAAATAAAATGATGTCGTAATTGCTCTGAGCAGAGAAAGAGAGTTTCGGTGTTTCAGATTAACATATCTTGAATGTAACGAAAAGGGAGACAAAGTATAAAAAATCATATCTCTTCGAAATAAAATTTATATATCGAATTTCAAATAAAAAATGGAATTTTGGTTTTGTGTGACGGGTGAATAAATAAATAAATTCAAATTCGTCAAAGTACAGTCACTGCAGCTCTTTTGCCGAAGCAAAAGAATTTAATTAAAAATTGGCATGTGACCTTACATTACTCTTGCATTTAATCGCTGCAATCACATATATTTGATCAAAGAAAAAATCGAATTAATTAATTGCACTGCTGCTGCTACTGCCACCGCTGTGTAGGAAAATGTGCGCATAAAACATGGAATTTTTGAAGCAATTAAAAACACATTACGCATCATGTGGCCTTATGTACACGAAAAGAACTCAATTAGAGACGTAATTACGGTTAAAAATCATTAAAATATTAATATATGCCAGGTCAATTAGACTAGAATTGCAAGTATTATATATCAACTCCAGTACTGAAAGGAAATTTGCATATTCGCTGATTCATATTATTAAAAACAAATAGAGCTGTATATATAAAAAAATTGTAATGTTGGTTCTCGTAAAACGTTTCCTGACTTAATTGAAAAATGAACGCCGTAGGCCTAATTTTTGTACATCAAATCTTGTGTAAATATATATTTGTAAATTTTACTTTTTTCATGTATTAACTTATTTCCCATTTTATGATTAACTGACGAGTCTCCTTAATAAAAGTACTTCTGTAATTTAACAAACATTATGTATTTCCTATTAGTCAATTTTTGTAATTCTAGTTAGTCTCTCTTCTCTTGTTGTTGAGCCTTTGGTTTGTTGAAATATTTTTCACAATAAAATCATACAAAACATGTGGTTTTCGCCTCAAATAAAAGTGTTTTATTTCATTAACCATGCACAAGTAATTTATATTAATTGTAATCGGGAAAAATTTGTAAAATTATAAATTTATAAATTTAAAAAATTGACCAGCAAAATCTATAATTATACATTTTGATCTGAATTTTTTGTTAAAAATTAACTGAATTTTAAAACAGTTTTAGGCATCACGAAATGCATCGGAGTCGAGCCAGTTGCCTATCTAATTTTGCTCGTCTTTTGGTGCATCTCTTATTACTTCCCCCACTATCTCATCCCTTCCCTTCCCCGTCTTGCCCTGCCATGCCATGCTGCTGTTTGTTTACTTTTTGGAGCCAACACGTGTGCATGTTTTGCTCGCGATTTTTCAGTATTTTGGGCGCGATTAGGCCAGTTTCCAACCGTTTTATTTTTATTTTTTGAAAGTCAAATTAGTGATGTGGATTGACAATACATTGACAATGTTGAGGAAAAAGCGAGTTAAACGACGGGGCTTGCGGATGAAGAGAGCGGAGACCATTGCGGCAACTCATCTTTTCTTTTGGGCCAAGTTTCCTCGTCGCTGCTTTCCGGTTTCTCCAAGCAAGGACAACGCAAATTCTGTAAGTACAATTATTGTACTTCTTCTTTTTAAATTAACCCATTATCAAAAAGAACCCGTTGCTTTGTTTAAAAAAACTTAAATGGAGCTGCTGAAAGACCCGAGGGGCAGCCCAGGTCATTTTTATTAAAAAGATCAAAAAAGATGATCGCAAAATTTATCAGATTTTTTCTTTGCAGTTATGAAATAATTCCAAATTCAATTAATCATAATTATTCATGAAAAGTTTCATGTCCATGCAGGAGTCTCGATTAATTCGGACGAAAATTATTTTTTCACATAAATATTATTTATTATTTAATTTTCATTTTCTGATTTTTTTTTTACATAATAATACAATGATGTTTTAAAAGTACTAAAATTAGTGCTTAAATAACATGAATGCGAATTCTACAAAATGTATTCCTAATATCCTAAGTCAAAATTATTTGATTTCAAAGGTAATTAATAATACAAGGGAAATTAACGATTTCTATAGATTAGGGATTTACTAAGACATGGGAAAACACAGTTTGTATAAACAAAAGCAAAATTTAAAATTAGATTCTAATTTGATAGTTTCAAATAAAAATAATAAAATGATTAAGTCGTGAGCTATATTTTTATAAATTTTGGTGTATATTTTATCTTGAAATTTGACATATGAAAGGAAAATTTGCCCACATTTTACCTAATTTTAGGGCGTTAGTAAAATTATTGTTACAATATAATAGGTCGAGCAGGCCTTCTTCGTTTGATCATCACAAAAATAGCAAAGGCAATAACACCTAATGCAATCAACGCCAAAATTGAACCAAGTATGATGTAGGTAATTGTCTCCTCGAACCATTCTTTCTTTTCGTTTGGTGGTGGTGTTGAAGTCGTTTGATCTGGTTCATTCTTTCTTCCTTGAAGGTCCGCAAGGTCAAAAATTAATATTTTAATAAATTAAATATTTTGTATTTTCAATCTTATTCTTACATTACCGCAATTTTCGTGTGCTTTAGTACTCCATCTATAAAGTGTACCATTGAAGTGGCACCGCAAGATGTATTTTATTTTGTTGTGGTTGCAAACACAAACATATTCGCTTGCAAAATGGTTTCTTTTGTAACATTCGGAAAAATCAGCTTTTGAGATCAAACACCGCGGGCAGCTGTTCCCAGGCTGGCATTCAACTAAATAAAGGTTAATTCCATATGAAATTAAAATCTGACTGATTAAAAAAATATTGAATAATTCACCTCCCCAAAAATCTGAAGTTTCATCGTCATTTGCCAAATACCAGTTTGAATCTGAGCCACATACAAAATTTGCATGTCGTGGCAACGTAGAGCACTCACTTCCATAACATTTGCATTTCTCTAAATGATCTTGATCATATTGTGCCCAGTTTTTTGGAAAATTACATTTTAAACGTAAATAGTCATACTTCAAAAAACTAGAAGCACAAGACCCTGTAATTTAAATAAATTATTCTCGCTTAGAAAATTTTGCCAACGATAAAATTTCACCTTCAGCTGGACTTGCAGTCCACACCTCAAGAATCAAGCTGATGATGCAGGTCAATAGAATAATGTTTTCAGAAATTGAAATCATTATTGATGATCATATTATGGGCGCACCAATTGAAATGGTTACATTATTTTTAAGAACAAAGTGTTGGACTCGCTCGACTGCATCAATTTATATTTTGTGGTTTTTTCTTGCGATTCAGTATGACTGTGTTTTTGTACAAGCTATAAATATTTCTCCACTTTTAGATCCTTGTTTTATGTTCCGGGTAATATATTGGGAGGTCAAAATTGAAAATAACGTTCAGTTAAAAAAGGAAAAAGGCTGTTTTTTTTCTTCTTAAATTTTGAAACATATCATGCAATTTGACATATTGAAGGAAAATTTGCCGTGTCTGAGTTTTACTTAAATTATTGTTATTCTTGATTAATTACAATATAATAGGTCGAACAGGCGTTCTTCGTTTGACTATTGCAAAAATAGCAAAGGCAACAGCGCCAAATGCAATGAACGCCAAGATTGAACCAGCAAGTATGATGTAGCTTGTCTCCTCGTACCATGCCTTCTTTTCGTTTTCTAGTGGTGTTGAAGTCGTTTGATATTCTTTACCCGTACTTTCTTCTGCAAATGTAGCGTGGTGAGTTGTGCGTAAGGTTGAAGGTGCTATTGTCATCTCATTTGGAAAAATATCCTCATTCCGTTCTTTTGTTTTCTTTTCTGATGTTGGCAGAGGTGTAGAAATGTTTTGATTGGGTTCACTAGTATTTACTTTGGCAATTTCAGATTGTTGAATTGTGCTTGAGGATGAAAAAATAATGGGTGCTTTTGTTGTCTCAACCGTGGAAATAGTACTATTTGGTAATTTAGGTTGTTCTAAAGGTAGAAAATTATTATAATACTATTAATAGTATTTCATGTAAGCTTTTAGTCATTTTCTTTCATTACCGTATTTTGTATGTGCCAAAGGGCTCCATATGTAAAGGTGTCCATTGTGTTGGCACTTCATGGTGTATTCTCTTTGGTTGTGTTTGCATACACAAGCAAAATAATTATTGGAATAATCCTTTACTTTGTAGCAATTGGAAAAATCAGATTTAGGGATGAAACACCTGGGGCAGCTTTTCTCATCCTTGCATTCAACTATTTATATGTTAATTCCATATTAAATTAAAATGAAGACGACTTGTAACTGTAATAATTTACCTCCCCAATATTCTGAAGTTGAATTATTGTCTTCAAAATACCAGTCTGAATCTGAGCGACACACAAAACTGGCGTGTGACAACTCGTAGCAATCACGTCCATTACATTTGCATTCCCTTACATCACCTGTATTATAATTTGCCCGGCCTTTTTCGAAATTGCATTGCAAACGTTTGACATTGCCATTTGTCAATATTGTAGAGTTACAAAACCCTGCAATGAAAATTAATTACTCCTGAGAAAACGTTGCCAGTGGAAATTCATTTTTACCTGCAACTCTACTTGTCGTCAACTCCACTAGAATCAAGCTGATGATGATAAAGAGAATAATTATTTTCAAAGATGAAATCATCATATTCGGTTCGCGCCAATTGATATTGTTACATTATTTTCAAGAATAGAGTCGAATAAATTCTACTGTTTATACTTTGCGATTTATTGTTGCGATTCAGTCTGGTGACTGGGCTTTTGTACGAGTCATAAATATTTCCCCACTTTTAGATCCTTGTTTTAAGTTCCGGGTAGAATATCGAGAGGTCAAAATTTAAAATATTATCCAGAGAAATATATGAAGGATTAAATATATTTTTACTAATTATAAAAATATTTATATAAAGACGGAAGAAGGAAAATTTTACCATATTCCTTGTCACCTTAATTTTCACCTTAATTTCATAGACGTCCAAAGCATTTACATTCTTCTAAATTACCTGCATTGCATTTTATGCCAGAACTCTTATTTTTTTTTAAAGACACATATTTGGGCGCACGGATTATTTTTCAAAATAAGAGCTTGACAAGGCACTGCAATTTCTGCAATTAGAAATGATTACTAGCTTTGAAGTGATAGGCAAACTTCACCCCCAGATTTATTAACTAGAAGTTTTCTCCATTATAATTTATAATCAAGCTGCTGATGGAAAAGGGAATAATTTCTATGAAAAAAATGAAGTTATTGTTGCTAGATCCAATTTAATTTATTCAATTTTTAAACATTTAGTGGGTAAAATTGTTTTTTCCACTATTTTTTATTTTTGTTTTTGCTCTTATCAGAAATCAGAATGCCGCTGCTCAAGTCTCATTTCCGTTACTTCCTTTGGCGCAGTAAAGTTTAAAAATAATTTTACTCACTTTGAGATCCTTGTTCTCCCTTCTGACTCAAATGTCCCAAGCTGGAACCAAAATAAATATAATTTCCCAATTTAATTTTAAATACATATGGATCATTGTTCAGTCTTAGAGCTCATTATATGCAGAGAAAAATTTTATTTTCAATGGTTCTAGAGAAAAAATAACTATTTCCTCTCTATCTAAAGATAAACCCAAAAACAAATCCTATGCTGCCGTTAAGAAAATTTACAGGCTCATTTTATTCACTTTTTATTGTTTGAGATTATTTCCTTATCCATTTGAACAATGACTTTGACTCGAGTTGTATCACAAAACACAAGTCTAAAACAATTGTAATTTGTTGAATTATAAAAAAAATACTCTATCGTTCTTCTCTTCATCTTGCTCAAAATACTGTTTTTATCAATAAAATGCAATTTTAAGAGTTTTTCAAAGCAAATATTTATTCAAAAAATAATACAGTAATTCAAATTAACACAAACCTCGAATTTTAAAATGTCGCCTTAATTTATAAGGAAAGTGTTTACTTAAAAATAAATTTGTGAAAATGTGCGAGCTTATTAATGATTTAAAGACAATATTTGTAAAAAAAAGCGTTTTCACCAAAATTTGAAATTTTTAATGCGTATGAAATTGTTTTTAATTAACGTGATGATATTTAAATTGAAAATTGTAATAATTTTTTATATACAAATGTAAATGCAAGAGATAACTATTTATGCAGATAAAACAGTATTGAATTTTTCCTTCCAATATGCGATGTTAAATAACCTAGATTAGAATTATACAAAAAAGAAAAAACTTGAACGAAGTTATTTATTAAAAGCATCCAGCGTTATTTAGTTTATATCTTTCCTTGCAAACTTTAAGTTGGAGAAATTATAGCATTTTCCTTAATTGTGTTCATCTTTTGAGACTCTTTCAAATAAAAACGGATGAAATTGAGGACAACCAAAATTACCATTACTGCTAAAAAGATGACTGCGGAACTTAAAGCGGTTAAAATTGTGTTCCAATTGCAATTAGCCTGGTTTACATCAGAATTTGCTGATTGGTTGTTATCAACCATGTTTGATGCATGAGTAGAAGATGGGTTTTCCACTTTTCCTGTTGTAAAGGTTGAGGTTGTCTCTTTCAGAAAATTAACTTTTCCTGTTGTAAAGGTTGAGGTTGTCTCTTTCAGAAAATTAACTTTTCCTGTTGTAAAGGTTGAGGTTGTCTCTTTCAGAAAATTATTTTTCGTAACCTTCGGTTTTTCTAAAAAATGATATTTGATTTGCATCAATATTCATGTAATTCAGAATATTTAATATCTTATCTTTACATTACCGCATTTTGTATGTGCCACAGGGCTCCATATGTGAAGGTGTCCATCGTGTTGGCACGTCATGGTGTATTCTCTTTGGTTGTGTTTGCATACACAAGCAAAATAATTGGAAAAACCCTTTACTTTGTAGCAATTGGAAAAATCAGATTTAGGGATGAAACACCTGGGGCAGCTTTTCTCATCCTTGCATTCAACTATTTATATGTTAATTCCATATTAAATTAAAATAAAGACGACTTGTAACTGTAATAATTTACCTCCCCAATATTCTGAAGTTGAATTATTGTCTTCAAAATACCAGTTTGAATCTGCGCTACACACAAAACTGGCGTGTGGCAACTCGTTGCAATCACCTCCATTACATTTGCATTCCCTTACATCACCTGTATTATAATTTTCCCGGCCTTTTTTGACATGACATTGCAAACGTTCGTCATTGCCATTTGTCAATATTGTAGAATCACAAAACCCTGCAATGAAAATTAATTACTCCTGAGAAAACGTTGCCAGTGGCAAACAAATTTTACCTGCAACTCTACTTGCCGTCCACTCCACTAGAATCAAGCTGATGATGATAGAGAGGAAAATTTTTTTCAAAGATGAAATCACCATATTCGGTTCGCGCCAATTGATATTGTTACATTATTTTCAAGAATAAAGTCGAATAAATTCTACTTTGCGATTTATTGTTGCGATTCAGTCTGGTGACTGGGCTTTTGTACGAGTCATAAATATTTCCTCACTTTTAAGATCCTTGTTTTAAGTTCCTGGTAGAATTTCGAGAGGTCAAAATTTATAATATTATCCAGTAAAATATATGAAGGATTAAATATATATTTATTAATTGTAAAAATATTTATATGAAGACGGACTCTGAAAGGAAAATTTTACCATATTTCTTGTGACCTTAATTTTAAAAATTTGCATGTGACGTCCAAAAATTTCATAGACGTCCAAAACATTTACATCTTCTAAATTACCTGCATTGCATTTTATGCCAAAACTCTTATTTTTTTTTAAAGACACATATTTGGGCGCACGGATTATTTTTCAAAATAAGAGCTTGACAGGGCACTGCAATTTCTGCAATTAGAAATGATTACTAGCTTTGAAGTGATAGGCAAACTTCACCCCTAGATTTATCAACTAGAAATTTTCTCCATTATAATTTATAATCAAGCTCTGATGGAAAAGGGAATAATTTCTATGAAAAAAATGAAGTTATTGTTGCTATATCCAATTTAATTTATTCAATTTTTAAACATTTAGTGGGTAAAATTTGTTGTACCACTATTTTTTATTTTTGTTTTTGCTCTTATCAAAAATCTGAATGCCGCTGCTCAAGTCTCATTTCCGTTACTTCCTTTGGCGCAGTAAAGTTTAAAAATAATTTTACTCACTTTGAGATCCTTGTTCTCCCTTCTGACTCAAATGTCCCAAGTTGGAACCAAAATAAATATAGTTTCCCAATTTAATTTTAAATTTATATGGATCATCTAAAGATAAACCCAAAAATAAATCCTATGCTGCCGTTAAGAAAATTTACAGGCTCATTTTATTCACTTTTTATTGTTTTGAGATTATTTCCTTATCCATTTGAATAGGGACTTTGACTCGAGTTATAACACAAAACACAAGTCTATAACAATTATAATGTTGAATTAGAAAAAATACTCTATCATCCTTCTCTTCATCTTGCTCAAAATATTATTATTTATCAATAAAATGCAATTTTAAGAGTATTTAAAAGCAAATATTTATTCAAAAAATCACAAAAATAATGCAGTAACTCAAATTAACACAAAGCTCGAATTTTAAAATGTCGCCTTAATTTGTAAGAAAAGTGTTTACTAAAAATAAATTTGTTCTCGTGAAAATGTGCGAGCTTATTAATGATTTAAAGACAATATTTATAAAAAAAGCTTTTTCACCAAAATTTGAAATTTTTAATACGTATGAAATTGTTTTTAATTAACGTGATGATATTTAAATTGAAAATTGTAATAATTTTTTATATACAAATGAAAATGTAAGAGATAACTATTAATGCAGATAAAACAGTATTGAATTTTTCCTTCCAATATGCGATTTTAAATAAACTAGATTAGAATTATACAAAAAAAGAAAAAACTTGAACGAAGTTATTTATTAAAAGCATCCAGCGTTATTTAGTTTATATCTTTCCTTGCAAACTTTAAGTTGGAGAAATTATAGCATTTTCCTTAATTGTGTTCATCTTTTGAGACTCTTTCAAATAAAAACGGATGAAATTGAGGACAACCAAAATTACCATTACTGCTAAAAAGATGACTGCGGAACTTAAAGCGGTTAAAATTGTGTTCCAATTGCAATTAGCCTGGTTTACATCAGAATTTGCTGATTGGTTGTTATCAACCATGTTTGATGCATGAGTAGAAGATGGGTTTTCCACTTTTCCTGTTGTAAAGGTTGAGGTTGTCTCTTTCAGAAAATTAACTTTTCCTGTTGTAAAGGTTGAGGTTGTCTCTTTCAGAAAATTAACTTTTACTGTTGTAAAGGTTGAGGTTGTCTCTTTCAGAAAATTAACTTTTCCTGTTGTAAAGGTTGAGGTTGTCTCTTTCAGAAAATTAACTTTTCCTGTTGTAAAGGTTGAGGTTGTCTCTTTCAGAAAATTAACTTTTCCTGTTGTAAAGGTTGAGGTTGTCTCTTTCAGAAAATTAACTTTTCCTGTTGTAAAGGTTGAGGTTGTCTCTTTCAGAAAATTAACTTTTACTGTTGTAAAGGTTGAGGTTGTCTCTTTCAGAAAATTAACTTTTCCTGTTGTAAAGGTTGAGGTTGTCTCTTTCAGAAAATTAACTTTTCCTGTTGTAAAGGTTGAGGTTGTCTCTTTCAGAAAATTAACTTTTCCTGTTGTAAAGGTTGAGGTTGTCTCTTTCAGAAAATTATTTTTCGTAACCTTCGGTTTTTCTAAAAAATGATATTTGATTTGCATCAATATTCATGTAATTCAGAATATTTAATATCTTATCTTTACATTACCGCATTTTGTATGTGCCTTAGGGTTCCATATGTAAAGGTGTCCATCGTGTTGGCACTTCATGGTGTATTCCCTTTGGTTGTGTTTGCATACACACGTTTAAGAAAAAGAAATTTTATCCCACATTAAACAATTTCTCATTAATTAGAATACTTTGAATTTTCCATTGATTGATAAGATTTTTTAATATGTTTTAAGAAACAGCAATAAATTGGGGCAGTTTCCAATTATTTAAATAACAATAACTTTGATTTCAAAATCAATATGAATTTCCTTAAATTTTTCTAAACTTCATTTTCTCTCAGTGAGACTAATTTGTTTTTTCTTGTAATTAATGAAATTTTTTTGTAAGAAAATTTTTATTCATTATTAATTTGGTTTATTTTTTAGCCACTTCGAGCTGCAGCAGCCCCGTGGACGGAGACAGAGCAAGTCCCGGCGGGCCTTCAAGCGCCCCTGGCAGTCGCCACAGCTGGAGTCCGAGCAACATGGAGGTGCTGAACGGGGTCAGCGTGTCCGCGCGCAACAACTTCAAGCGGTTACTGCTGGAAAAGGGTTGTCCCAAGGGCGGCGAGAGGCGCATGTCGGCCGTCGAGCAGCTGATGGCCTCCAAGGGGCAGTTCAGTCCGACCCCCAGCCGGCTGGCGCCCCAGCAAACGACGACGCTGCACCACAGTCTAAACCGGCGGCGCTACCGACACACGGACGTCCTCTCGACCACCATCGCCGAGGAGTCGGAGCCGCAAGGGGCGCACAAACACATCACTGCCTCCTACCTGCAGCACCGCATCGACCAGATGTGCCTCTCGCCACGCTTGTCCGCCTCTCCTCGCATGCCCATCATCACCAGCAAGCCCCTCAGCCCATCCAAAATGTCCCTCGAGACCTCTCTGAAGGCTCAAAGAAGGCAGCAGAGAGGCGCTTTTTTCTATTTATTTAAAGTGGATGTGAATATTTATAAATTGGTCCACTGAATATAAAATTTATTGAAAAATTATTCATGCAAGATTATAATTATTGAAGTCATTTAACTTTGAAATAAAATTAATTTCCAAATAAATAAATTCAAAAACTATAATGACACTTTTAGCTTCAATTACAGAAGTTTTTCTTTAATTTTGGAATTTGATTAAAATAATTAAATTATTCAGATTAATGAGTTGAATTTTATGTTCTTCATATATAAATTGATCACAATCAAGTTCAAAAACACTAAAAGTAATGTATTTTAAATTTCAGAATTTGAAAAATTGAGTTCTATGGATAATTTTGGACCTTTTTATTGTTTAATCACATCAACTTTATAATTTCTTGCGCTGGAACTTTTCATTCCGTCATTCAAATCAAATGTCGAGAAATTTGCTCAGTTTACTTAATCTGTCTGCATTTGTTCCGTAAATGCACAAAGCAAATTCACCTCCCTTTGTCTCTCCAGTGCTGAAAGTTGTGATTTTTCGTATCGAAGCGCCTCCATATCTTCGGTTCCTCTAAATAGTTGTAGTGCCAAATGGTAAGAGCGGGACCAAACTCGAAGCTCAACCGTGACAAGTGAGTCAAAATAAAGTCGAGTCTGAAACGCCGCCTACCTCCAGCAGAGTTAAACAAGGATAAAATAAATATACTAGAAATTTCAAATTTTTGGCCACATTTTGCCCAGCATTTTTCTCAGCCTGTCACACCGAATTCCAACGTAATTAAAAGTAAAGAAATCTACACACGCTATACTAGCCAAAGGGTTAAATGTCTAAACAATCAATACGAGATGCTTGTATGAAAATACCTATCACTACTTTTCGGATTAAAAATTCAGTGTTCAAAGAAAAGCTTCTAAAGTTGCATATTTACATTTATAAATAAAATGATGTCGTAATTGCTCTGAGCAGAAAGAGAGTTTGGGTGTTTCAGATTAACATATCTTGAATGTAACGAAAAGGGAGACAAAGTATTTAAAAATCATATCTCTTCAAAATAAAATTTGCATATATTTAATTAAATAAAAATGGAATTTTTGTGTGACGGGTGAATAAATAAATAAATTCAAATTCGTCAAAGTACAGTCACTGCAGCTCTTTTGCCGAAGCAAAAGAATTTAATTAAAAATTGGCATGTGACCTTACATTACTCTTGCATTTAATCGCTGCAATCACATATATTTGATCAAAGAAAAAATCGAATTAATTAATTGCACTGCTACTGCTGCTGCCACCGCTGTGTAGGAAAATGTGCGCATAAAACATGGAATTTTTGAAGCAATTAAAAACACATTACGCATCATGTGGCCTTATGTACACGAAAAGAACTCAATTAGAGACGTAATTACGGTTAAAAATCATTAAAATATAAATATATGCCAGGTCAATTAGACTAGAATTGCAAGTATTATAATATCAACTCCAGTACTGAAACGAAATTTGCATATTCGCTGATTCATATTATTAAAAAAATAGAGCTGTATATATAAAAAAAAAATTGTAATGTTGGTTCTCGTAAAACGTTTCCTGACTTAATTGAAAAATGAACGCCGTAGGCCTAATTTTTGTACATCAAATCTTGTGTAAATATATATTTGTAAATTTTACTTTTTTCATGTATTAACTTATTTCCCATTTTATGATTAAACAGTGGTTAACTGACGAGTCTCCTTGATAAAAGTACTTCTGTAATTTAACAAACATTATGTATTTCCTATTAGTCAATTTTTGTAATTCTAGTTAGTATCTCCTCTCTTGTTGTTGAGCCTTTGGTTTGTTGAAATATTTTTCACAATAAAATCATACAAAACATGTGGTTTTCGCCTCAAATAAAAGTGTTTTATTTCATTAACCATGCACAAGTAATTTAAATTAATTGTAATCGGAAAAAAATTGGTAAAATTATAAATTTATAAATTTAAAAAATTGATCAGCAAAATCTCAAAATTATACATTTTGATCTGAATTTTTTGTTAAAAATTAAGTGAATTTTTAAACAGTTTTAGGCATCACGAAATGCATCGGAGTCGAGCCAGTTGCCTATCTAATTTTGCTCGTCTTTTGGTGCATCTCTTATTACTTCCCCCACTATCTCATCCCTTCCCCGTCTTGCCCTGCCATGCCATGCTGATGTTTGTTTACTTTTTGGAGCCAACATGTGCGCATGTTGTGCTCGCGATTTTTCATGGGCGCGATTAGGCCAGTTTCCAACCGTTTTTTTTTAATTTGAAAGTCAAATTGGTGTGATGTGGATTGACAATGTTGAAGAAAAAGCGCGTGAAACGACGGAGCTTGCGGGTGAAGAAAGCGGACCATCGCGGCAACTCTCATCTTTTTTTGGGGGCCAAGTTTCCTCGCCGCTGTTTTCCGGTTTCTCTAATGAAGGATAACGCAAATTATGTAAGTACAGTTATTGTTCTTCTTCTTTTTAAATTAACACATTATCAAAAAGAACCCGTAGCTTTGTTATAAAAATCTTTATGGAGCTGCTGAATGACCCAAGCAAGTCACTTTTATTTTAAAAAGATGATCGCAAAATTTTTCAGATTTTTTCTTTGCATTTATGAAATAATTCAAAATTCAATTAACCATAATTAATTATTAAAAGTTTTATTTCCATGCAGGAGTCTCAATTAATTCGGACAAAATAGTATTATTTCCATTATATAAATATTTATTTTCTTATAATGACTGTCATTTTCTGATTTTTTTTTTACATGATAATAAAATAATAATACAATAATGTTTTAAAACTCCTTAAATTAATGCTAAAATTACATAAATGCGAATTCTTCAAAATTTATTCCCAATTTTTTAAGCTGAAATTTGATTTCTTGGTTATTTAAAATTGTACAAGAAAAAATTGACGATTTCTAGATTTGGGATTTACTGAGACATGATATAGCAAAATTTGTATCAACAAAAGCAATTAATTAATTAAAATTAGATTCTAATTTTATAGATTGAAATTAAAATAATTAATTAATAAAGTCATAAGTTATATTTTTATAATATCTTTTGAACTATATTATTAATTTGACATATCAAAGGAAAATTTGCTCACATTTTCCCTAATTGGGCGTTAATTAAAATATTGCTATTCTTGAGTAATTACAATATAATAGGTCGAGCAGGCCTTCTACGTTTGATCATCACAAAAATAGCAAAGGCAATAGCACAAAATGCAATCAACGCCACAATTGAACCAAGTATGATGTATGTAATTGTCTCCTCGAACCATTCTTTCTTTACGTTTGGTGGTGGTGTTGAAGTCGTTTGATCTGGTTCATTCTTTCTTCCTTTGGTCGTTGCACGGTATTGAGTTGTGCTTAACGTTGAAGGTGCTGTTGACGTCTCGTTCGTGAAAATATAATTATACGTTTTGTTTTCTGCCGGATGTGCTGTAGAAATCTTTTGATTGGGTTCGCTCACATTTTTTTGGACCATTTGAGATTGGAGAGTTGTGCTTGAGGTTGAAATAATGGCTGCATTTGTTGTCTCATTCGTTGAAATATTATTATTCGGTATTAATTGAGGTGATTTTTCTAAAGGTCGAAAATTAATATTTTAATAAATTATATTATTTTGTATTTTCAATCTCATTCTTACATTACCGCATTTTTCGTGTGCTTTAGTACTCCATTCATAAAGTGTATTGTAATGGCACTCCAAGATGTATTTTATTTTGTTGTGGTTGCAAACACAAACATATTCGCTCGCATAATCATTTCTCTTGTAACATTTGGAAAAATCAGCTTTAGGGATGAAACACCGCGGGCAGCTATTCTCATATCCGCATTCAACTAATTAAAGGTTAATAGGTTAATAATTTGATATATTATATCAGATTTATTAAAAAATATTGAATAATTCACCTCCCCAAAAAACTGAAGTTTCATCGTTATTTGCCAAATACCAGTTTGAATCTGAGCCACATAGTAAATTTGCATGTGGCAACGTTGTATAGCACTCACTTCCTTTACATTTGCATTTTGCTAAATGATCTTGATCATAATGTGTGTCTTTTGCAAAATCACATTCTAATTGTGAATATTTATGCTTCAAAACACTTTGAGAATCACAAGACCCTGTAATTTAAATAAATTATTCAAATTATTCTCGCTTAGAAAATTTTGCTAACGATAAAATTTCACCTTCAGCTGAACTTGCAGTCCACACCTCAAGAATCAAGCTGATGATGCAGGTCAATAGAATAATGTTTTCAGAAATTGAAATCATTATTGATGATCATATTATGGGCGCACCAATTGAAATGGTTACATTATTTTTAAGAACAAAGTGTTGGACCTCGTTTGACTGCTTGATCTTGTGTTTATATTTTGTGGGTTTTTTTTTGCGATTCAGTATGACTGTGCTTTTGTACAAGTTATCTCCACGTCATAAATATGTCCCCACTTTTGGATCCTTGTTTTATGTTCCGGGTAGAATATCGTGAAGTCAAAATTTAAAATAATGTTCAGTTAAAAAAGGAAAAAGGCAGTTTTTTTTTATAAATTTTTACTATATGTCACGCAATTCAACATGATTTTATGAAGATTTGTCCAAATTGTCCTCTAGATCAAGTTCTAGTTAAACTATTATTATTCTCGAGTAATTACAATATAATAGGTCGAGCAGGCCTTCTACGTTTGATCATCACAAAAATAGCAAAGGCAACAGCACATAATGCAATGAACACCAAAATTGAACCAAGTATGATGTAGGTTGAATCCACGTACCATTCTTTCTTTTCGTTTTCTGGTGGTGCTGAAGTTGGTTGATTTGGTTCGATCGAAGTAGTTGTACTTTTTTCGGCCGTTGTAGGGTATTCAGTTGTGCTTAAGGTTAGAGGTGCTTGTGTCGTCTCGTTTGATGAAATATTATTAAACCGTTCTGTAATTTGGTCTTCTGGTTGCGACATTTGTGTAGTCATGTTTTGATTTTGATTGGGTTCAATTACACTTTCCGTGGCCTTAGAAGGTTGTCGAGTTGTACCTGAGGTTGAAATAATGAATTCCTTTGTGGTCCCATCCATGGAAGTATTATAATGCGGTAATTTAAGTTTTTCTAACAAAACAGAAATTAATTTGACGTTGTAATACTAATAAATTTAAATATTTTGAACTATCATATCTTTAATACCGCATTTTACATCTGCTTTAGAGCTCCATATATACATTTTTCCACTGTGTAGGCACTCCAAGGAGTATTCTCTTTTGTCGTGTTTGCAAATACAAACATATTTGCTCTTTTCTTTACTTTTGTAACAATTGGAATAGTCAGTTTTAGGGATTGAACACCGCGGGCAGCTGTTTTCGTCCTTGCATTCAACTACACAATTAAATGTTTAAAAATAAAAATTGGAATCACATCTCTTTAAAATGATTTATTTACCTCCCCAAGCATCTGAAGTTGAATTATTGTCTTCAAAATACCAGTTTGAATCTGAGCCACACACAAAATTGGCGTGTGGCAACTCGTAGCAATCACGTCCATTACATTTGCATTCCCCTACATCACCTGTATTATAATTTGCCCGGCCTTTTTCGAAATTGCATTGCAAACGTTTGTCATTGCCATTTCTCAATATTTCAGGATCACAAAACCCTGCAATGAAAATTATTTACTCCTGAGAAAACGTTTCCAGTGGCAAACAAATTTTACCTGCAACTCTACTTGCCGTCAACTCCACTAGAATCAAGCTGATGATGATAGAGAGAAAAATTATTTTCAAAGATGAAATCATCATATTCGGTTCGCGCCAATTGATATTGTTACATTATTTTCAAGAATAAAGTCGAATAAATTCTACTTTGCGATTTATTGTTGCGATTCAGTCTGGTGACTGGGCTTTTGTACGAGTCATAAATATTTCCTCACTTTTAAGATCCTTGTTTTAAGTTCCTGGTAGAATTTCGAGAGGTCAAAATTTATAATATTATCCAGTAAAATATATGAAGGATTAAATATATTTTTACTAATTATAAAAATATTTATATAAAGACGGACTCAGAAAGGAAAATTTTACCATATTCCTTGTCACCTTAATTTTCACCTTAATTTCATAGACGTGTCCAAAGCATTTACATTCTTCTAAATTACCTGCATTGCATTTTATGCCAGAACTCTTATTTTTTTTTAAAGACACATATTTGGGCGCACGGATTATTTTTCAAAATAAGAGCTTGACAAGGCACTGCAATTTCTGCAATTAGAAATGATTACTAGCTTTGAAGTGATAAGCAAACTTCACCCCTAGATTTATTAACTTGAAGTTTTCTCCATTATAATTTATAATCAAGCTGCTGAGGGAAAAAGGAATAATTTCTATGAAAAAAATAAAGTTATTGTTGCTAGATCCAATTTAATTTATTCAATTTTTAAACATTTAGTGGGTAAAATTTGTTGTACCACTATTTTTTATTAGTGTTTTTGCTCTTATCAAAAATCAGAATGCCGCTGCTCAAGTCTCATTTCCGTTACTTCCTTTGGCGCAGTAAAGTTTAAAAATAATTTTACTCACTTTGAGATCCTTGTTCTCCCTTCTGACTCAAATGTCCCAAGCTGGAACCAAAATAAATATAATTTCCCAATTTAATTTTAAATACATATGGATCATTGTTCAGTCTTAGAGCTCATTATATGCAGAGAAAAATTTTATTTTCAATGGTTCTAGAGAAAAAACAACTATTTCCTCTCTATCTAAAGATAAACCCAAAAACAAATCCTATGCTGCCGTTAAGAAAATTTACAGGCTCATTTTATTCACTTTTTATTTTTTGAGATTATTTCCTTATCCATTTGAACAGGGACTTTGACTCGAGTTGTACCACAAAACACAAGTCTATAACAATTGTAATGTTGAATTAGAAAAAAAATACTCTTTTCACTCTTCTCTTCATCTTGCTCAAAATATTATTATTTATCAATAAAATGCAATTTTAAGAGTATTTAAAAGCAAATATTTATTCAAAAAATAATACAGTAGTTCAAATTAACACAAAGCTCGAATTTTAAAATTTCGCCTTAATTTGTAAGAAAAGTGTTTACTAAAAATAAATTTTTACTCGTGAAAATGTGCAAGATTATTAATGATTTAAAGAAAATATTTGTAAAAAAAGCGTTTTCACCAAAATTTGAAATTTTTAATGCGTATGAAATTGTTTTTAATTAACGTGATGATATTTAAATTGAAAATTGTAATAATTTTTTATATACAAATGTAAATGTAAGAGATAACTATTTATGCAGATAAAACAGTATTGAATTTTTCCCTCCAATATGCGATGTTAAATAAAGTAGATTAGAATTATACAAAAAAGAAAAAACTTGAACGAAGCTATTTATCAAAACCATCCAGCGTTATTTAGTTTATATCTTTCCTTCCAAAATTGAAGTTGGAGAAATTATAGCGTTTTCCTTAATTGTGTTCATCTTTTGAGACTCTTTCAAATAAAAACGGATGAAATTGAGGACAACCAAAATTACCATTACTGCTAAAAAGATGACTGCGGAACTTAAAGCGGTTAAAATTGTGTTCCAATTGCAATTAGCCTGGTTTACATCAGAATTTGCTGATTGGTTGTTATCAACCATGTTTGATGCATGAGTAGAAGATGGGTTTTCCACTTTTCCTGTTGTAAAGGTTGAGGTTGTCTCTTTCAGAAAATTAACTTTTCCTGTTGTAAAGGTTGAGGTTGTCTCTTTCAGAAAATTATTTTTCATATCTTTCGGTTCTTCTACAAATTAATTAATTAATATTTGATTTGCATCAATATTCATGTAATTCAGAATATTTAATATCTTATCTTTACATTACCGCATTTTGTATGTGCCACAGGGCTCCATATGAAAAGGTGTCCATCGTGTTGGCACGTCATGTTGTATTCTCTTTGGTTGTGTTTGCATACACAAGCAAAATAATTGGAATAACCCTTTTTTTTGTGGCAATTGGAAAAATCAGATTTAGGGATGAAACACCTGGGGCAGCTATTCTCATCCTTGCATTCAACTATTTATATGTTAATTCCATATTAAATTAAAATAAAGACGACTTGTAACTGTAATAATTGACCTCCCCAATATTCTGAAGTTGAATTATTGTCTTCAAAATACCAGTTTGAATCTGCGCTACACACAAAATTGGCGTGTGGCAACTCGTAGCAATCACGTCCATTACATTTGCATTCCACTACATCACCTGTATTATAATTTGCCCGGCCTTTTTCGAAATTGCATTGCAAACGTATGTCATGGCCATTTCTCAATTTTGTAGGATCACAAAACCCTGCAATGAAAATTAATTACTCCTGAGAAAACGTTGCCGGTGGCAAACAAATTTTACCTGCAACTCTACTTGTCGTCAACTCTACTAGAATCAAGCTGATGATGATAGAGAGAATAATTATTTTCAAAGATGAAATCATCATATTCGGTTCGCGCCAATTGATATTGTTACATTATTTTCAAGAATAAAGTCGAATAAATTCTACTGTTTATACTTTGCGATTTATTGTTGCGATTCAGGCTGGTAACTGGGCTTTTGTACGAGTCATAAATATTTCCCCACTTTTAGATCCTTGTTTTAAGTTCCGGGTAGAATATCGAGAGGTCAAAATTTAAAATATTATCTAGTAAAATATATGAAGGATTAAATATATTTATTAATTGTAAAAATATTTATATGAAAACGGACTCACGTCATACTCCTGAGGAGGGGCCTTGGTTATGGATTTTGATCTCTCAACATTTATTTTCAGCATTATATAGTTATGCAAAGTTGAAATGTACTTTAAAGAGGTACAAATCATCCATTGAACACGGTAATTTTTTGACCAGCTTAAAAATTATTTAAAATAACAAGAGTCTGAACCGAAATCATAATTATTTATTCTTAAATTTTTATTTAGATTTCTAAGCTAAGAAATATGGGACCTAGATAAATAAAAAATGTGCGGAAGGAATGAACGATTTCCAGATCGGGGATCAACTAATGGACTAAATAAAATAAATATGAGACTAATCAATTCATATAACAAACCTATTAATTATAAGTTGGAGGCTTTTTTTTAAATTGTTGCTATATTATTGGTGCCGTTTTGTCAAAAAGTTAAAAAATATTAATTTTAATTTCAAATTTCTTGTATTAACAAAGCGCAGGAAAATTTTTTAATTTAATTCATTTCAACATTAACCTCGGCACAAGTTTTAATAAGCAACAAAAGCAACAAATTATTTATATTAATGAGTGTTCAAATAATGGTCTTATTAATTATTAGAAAGCCACTGATTAGCAGGTTAGCAAAACAAATATTTATTCAAAAAGAGTGAAATAAATTTCAAGTTATGAATTTTCAATTGCAGATGTCCAAATCAGGCTGCAAACATGCACAATTTTTTTAAATATTGGTTTGCTCACTATTTGTCCGCGGATTTCCCTGGATTGGATTTAGTGACAAAAATAACTACAATATAACAGGTCGGGAAGTCCGTCTTCGTTTGATTATTACAAGAATAGCGACGATGATCGCACTTATTGCAATCAACGCTATTATAGAAACTATTGTAATGAAGATCGTCTCCTCGAACCATTCTTTCTCAGAATTGATTTTATTTTTTGATTCAGTCGTCTTTCGGGGTTGCTGAGTTGCACCGAAGGGTGAAATGTTTGTTAGTTCTGTTGCCCCATCCATAGCAAAATTCGGTTTTTCTAAAAATTGTAGAATTAATCAAATTAATTTTATTGTTAAATTTTGCATTACCACATTTTGTACGGTCTCTGGGATTCCTTATATCAAGTGATCCATTGTGTCGGCACCACACGTTGTATTCTTGTTGGTCGTGTCTGCAAATACAAACAAATACACTTGCAAATGTACTGCTCATGTAACATTTGGAAAAATCAGCTTGAGGAATCAAACACCGAGGACAGCTATTCTCATCCTTGCATCCAACTATTAATTAAAGGTTAATTTAATTAATTAAATCGGAACAACTTTTCACTTACCTCCCCAAGCATTTGCGGTTGGATTATCATTTACCAAAGACCAGTTAGCATTCGAGTTGCATTTGACGCTTGCATGTGATAATGTCATGCATGGTCGTCCGGAACATGTGCATTTCCCTAAATCACCTGGATCATTAAAAGCCCAGTCTTGTTTAAAGATGCAATTCAAACGTTCATCTTGTCTCAAAATATTTGGATTGCAATGCACTGCAATTAGAATCAATTACTAGATTTGAAAATCGTTGCCAACGATAATAAATTTCACCTTTGGAACTTGCAGTCGTCTCCACTAGAATCAAGCTGCCGATGGCGATGAGAATAATTTCTTTGAAAGACGAAGTCATGTCACCAATTTAGAACAATTTAAATTATAAAATTTGTTAAACATGAAAAGGGCTAAACAGTTTTGGCTGTCTGCTTTTAATTTGTGGGTTTTTATTTCTTATCAGAATGGTGACTGTGCCTCTGTACAAGTCTTATCCTCGTCACTTCCTTTGGTGAAGTAAAGGAAATACAAATTATTTTCCTCACTTTTAGATCCTTGTTCTCCCTTCCGGCGGCAATATTGCAAGGTCAAAAATAAAATGGAAAAAAACTGAAAATAATTGATAAATTTTATTAAAAACAAAAATAATGACGAGTTACTAGATTAAAAAAATATAACTACTGAAAAACACTGGTTGCGAGAGCGAATTAAGAATGAAGGATTGACTTTTCTCTGTTTCTATATGCTGCTGTAACGAAATTTTAGTTTAGAGAAAGTAGTGCCATCCCTCATTATTTGCACAAGAGCCTCGGCAAAAGTTTTATTAAAAAAGTAGACTCTAAATGAATTATAAAAATTTATTATTATTAAGAACAATTCTTTCTCCTCTTCATGCCCAATACGTTCTTTTTTAATAAAATGCAATTTTTATAAGCAGAATATGCCATTATTATATTTGAAAACTACATATAATGTTTATCCAGTTACAGAGTTAATTAATTGATACAAATAAGTTGAAATTTTAAATACCATATGTTTTCACAAAATTCTAAATGTAGGAAAAATATTGACACACATAATAAATTTAAATTTACATGCATAAATGTGGAATTATTCAAAGGGAATTTTAGCAAAACTTATTTTAAAGCATCTTGGAAACATTTTTACATCTTACATTGATTATGCTTAACATAATTAATTTATAATTTTTATAACATATTTGTTAATTTATTTTCATAATATAGAATTTCATGATAATTTCCAATATAATAATGAAGAATTAACTTGATTTTAATTACTTAAAGAGAAAAATTCTGATTCGTCGTTATTTATGAAAAGCATGAAAATTAATTTTATTTCTGTCCTTCCAGAACAGAATTCAGAGAAATGATAACGTCGTCCATGATGGTATGCAACTTTTGAGACTCTTTCAAATAAAAGCGGATGAAATTTAAAACAAACAGAATTACAATTACGGCGAAAAACACGACTGTGCAACTCAAGATGATTAAAATTGTGTGCCAATTGCTATTAATCTGGATCACATCAGAATGCGCTGATTGGTTTGGTGCAAGAGTAGACGATATTTTGTCTGTTTCAACGAAGAGTGAAATAACCGTTAGTTCTGTTGCCACACCCAGAGCAAAATTAGGTTTTTCTAAAAATTGGAGAATTAATCAATTTAATTTTACTGTTAATTTTTGCATTACCACATTTTGTATGGCCTCTGGGATTCCATATATCAAGTGATCCATTGAGTTGGCACCACACGTTGTATTCTCGTTGGTCGTGTCTGCAAACACAAACAAACTCGCTTGCTGTTTTACTGCTAGTGTAACATTTTGAAAAATCAGCTTGAGGGATCAAACACCGTGGGCAGCTGTTCTCATCCTTGCATCCAACTATTAATTAAAGGTTAATTTAATTAATTAAATCGAATCAAATTTTCACTTTAATACCTCCCCAAGCATTTGCGGTTCGATTATCGTTTACCAAAGACCAGTTGATATTTGAGTCACATTCAAGGCTTGCATGTGATAACGTCATGCATGGTCGTCCGGAACATGTGCATTTCCCTAAATGACGTGGACCATAAACAGCCCAGTTTTGTTGAAAGACGCAATTCAAACGTTTATCGTGTCTCAAATTATTCGGATTGCAATGAACTGTAACAAAAAAAGAACAAACTTAATTGAAAAACGTACCTAATTAAAATATTACCTCTATCAAATCTTTCAGTTTTGTTTCTGTTTGCACTGCTATCTGAACTGGCCTGTCTAGTTTCTTCGGCTAGCAAAATTATGGTTACACAGACAATGAGAAACAATTTTAGAAAACAATTAGACATTTCAGTTGATTTGAATTCTCTCAGTCGCAGTTGAAAATAGCTATCGGCTTCTACCCATCGAAAGTATTGCTGGTTTTATTATTTTTCGTTTTGTTACTTCCTCATCAAGTGCTTTGATTAGTTTATCTTGGATATATTTTTACACGCGCGTCATTTTCCTGAGCAACTCCTTTAGAGGCCTCAGATAGGCTTAGATTTTTAACTAGGGATTAAATGTTTGTGCATTCATTATCGGAAAATTGAAATGAATCCTTAAGAGTGGTTAACTGAGGGATTAATATTTTTTTTAAACTTGCATGTGAAGTTTTAACCTAATTAAAATTCATGATTCATGAAAGTAAAACACTAAATACGTGGAAAAATTCAGAGAAGAGAGAGGATTATTAAAAATAATATACATTTTGATATTGTACAATATTATCAGAAGGGAGTTGTTAAATTAATAAGTTTTAGGGTCAGAAATATATAATAATGTGTTTAATTATTTGAAAAATTATCAATAACCCAAATTTAATATAAAATTTTGAAAAAAAAATTTAGTTGTACTTTTATACCTTAAAAATTGAGAAAGGACAATGATTACAATTTAAAATAGAAAATTACATGCAATTGTAGCACATTATAAAAATATTTCTGCGTAAGTGGAGCCAATCAGGTTATTAATATTCCTGTTTATTCATCCTCATTGTTAAAATTGTTAAAATCATCGTTTAATTTCAGTTATTAAGGCATTTGTTTTTTAAAATTTTCATCGATTGTGACATTTTTTACTATTAGCCTTACGAAAATCTTTTTATTTAAAAATTAGTTTATATGCATTAAATAATATTTGCTTTAAATAAACTGCTTAATTTCTTTCAAATAATAAAATAAATGAAATGAAATCTGATTTATTAAACCGGGAACTTCCTTTTTCAAACAGTTTGTATAGCTTGCTGTCAAGGCGAAAAATTTTTTGAAATTGGTTGGAAAAACACTAAGTTTACTTCCTTGAAACAAACAAGGCGTTGGCTTAGCAAAGACGGATAAATCATCTGTGCATCTGCAATGAGTAATTATAATTTTTTATTCTTTCAATAATACTTGCACATTTCTTTTAAAAAGAAAGCAGAACAGCAAAACTTAAAATGACTAAAAATCTAATTTTTACAGGCACCGCTAAGTGTGATTCAGAGTGGCAAACAATGAATATATTAGACGTTTGCTTGCTCTTCCTCAACACGGTGATTTGGTTGGTCCTGGTCATTTTGTCGCTGAGTTTAAAAATGCGCGACGACAGGCTAAATTTGACTCGTCGCCAACGGGCTAAAATTCCTTGCGTTAGTCGCAGGGAAGTGATCGGACCTGTCGAAGATGACGCTGGCTACCTTTGTCCTGCTGAAAATCACGAAAAAAAGGTGGAGGTGGATGATGGGAACCTTTGTCCTGTTCCGAAACTCATGCTCAAGGTGCCGATTGTGGAACAAGGTGGAGGAAGTTCAAATGAAACAGATGGTTTGTACCTGCATGTGCTGAATCATGTCGCACCATCTCAGCCGGCCCAGTACGTGGAAGTTACGAAATAAAAATATGCTTGTAGTGCGAACCACTACAATAATTTAAACCTAGCAGTATCAAATTATTTTGTTTAAGTTGAAATTAAGAAGAAATAAAAGAAGTACTAAAAATCTGTTCAGTAACATTTTTTAGTCATTCATCATAAGAAGCCATAAAAGTATTGAATTTTATTATTTATTGATAAATTAAAAAAAAAAAAGTTAAAGCAAAAATTATTGGTAATGTGTTTATTAGTTATATTATCTTTTAATCAATATCAATAGATTAAAATTATCCATTTTTGTTTTTATTACTAAATTTCAGGCGTTTTTTCCTGTCGTGTAATTGAAAAGCAAAGGCCAAAGTCGGCGTTGAGCACTTGTCGAATAGAAGATATGAATCGTAGCACTGCTTCGTCATGACTTACAAAAATTGAGAAAATTTTATTGAATTAACACTTAATGTCAAAGGTGTCCTATTGAAATACCTCTATTTGGACAATCCTGTAATTTTAAGACATGAAAGTATTTGCATAAAATTTGAATTATCTCAATTCTTACAGCAATCATTTTATGCAAGACGCACTGTGTAGCAACATACGCAGTTCCATCGCATTTTTTACTTGCTCTTGAGAAGGATGGAACTTGAAACCCTTAAAAAAGACAAGATATTACTTAACGTTTTAAATATTTTAGTTTTAATACCACTAGTCAAAGTGAGACACTCGGAAACGGCCGATGAAATGAAAGATACCCACTTTTGATCATTTTGCATGGAGGTCAAAAAAGTAATTAGCTGTTCTTCCTTTATTAGCAAGTCTTCCGTCATCTTTAAAATATTATATTCTTTGCCAATTTTAAAATATAATTAATTATTAACTTACAGCTCCGTTAGATATTAAAAAGCAATTCACAAAACACTGAAAAAAATTGTATCACAATCAAGTTTATAAGTTTATTGTGGAATTTTTACAGCACTTTTCCCCATAGCCTTCTGAATTTTAGAATTTCGAAACTTAAAGTTTTTGGTCCTTAAATTTTTCGAGTATTGTAGTTTGTTGAGTGAATAGGAGTTGAAAGCGTTGAGTAAAGAAGGATTTGCCTTGCAAGATCTGTCCCTGCTAGCGAGCGGGACGAGATTTTTAGCCGCCGGTTCGCAGCATTTCAACAATTTCTGAAATTGGAAAAAATTAAAATATCTATTTCAAATATGGAATTCAGTACCGAAAATTGTTTGGCGTGGCAATTCTTTTTAAACAATGCTGGATCCATTGGAGCGGACGTAGATGTTGTTGTTGTAGAAGACGTAGTTGCTGGAATTTTTTTGGTAGTTGAAGAACTTTTGGTGCTCAAGGTTGAAGTTTTCACCGTGGCTGCCAAAGAAGTTGAAATTAGCCTCGTTGTAGATACGGAAATCGCAACTTGGGCTTTTAACTGCGTCGTAGCTTTGTTTGCTTGAGTTACTTTTTCAGTGTTCGTGGTTGTAATCGCAGTTTTGGGTTTTACAGATTGGATAGGAGCGGCAGAAGTTATAGTTTTAGGCGTACTAGCCGAAATTAGCATTGGTTTCGTCGCTATGAACGAACCTGCTGGAGTTGAATTAGGTTTTATTTCGGTCAAAATATGAGCAGCAAGTGGTTTTCGGGACGTTGAAGTGGTCAAACGTGGCACTACTGACTGAGAGGACGTTTTATAAGAAGGACTTGTCAATTTTATTTCAGCGGCAGCAGGGAAAGTGGTTTTGGTTGCGGCCAAAGAAATGATAGGCTGCTCCGTTAAAATTTGTTCTAATTCAGGTTCACTCGATTCCGTGATAACAGAACTTGAATTTGTTTCGGAAAAAAATTCATTTACGTCAACACCTTCATTTGGATTGGTTGATACAAGTACTTGTAGGAATTCTTCAATATCTGGAGTTTTCAACGTAGATTTTTCTGAAAGATCAGGAAGTAAATATTTCTGTAAATTATCAAAACTATCAAAGTGATACTATTGTTATCGTAATCTGAAGGGAGTTCTTCGTAATATTCATAGTACGGTGTTGTAGAAATCTCTTCGTCCACGGATGTAGAGGGCAGCTCTGAACTGGTTACATTTTCTTCGTCATCGTAATAGTAATAGTAGTAGTAATAATATTCATCGTCTCCATCATCGTCTCCATCATCTTCATCATCGTCATCAAAATCCTCATTCTCATCCTCCTCATATTCGTATTCATATTCATACTCCACCTCTCCCCCGTCAACGTCCTCCTCGGCTGCATTCTCTTTAACCTCATCTTCCAATTCTTCAGTCCGATGCTTTTTTCTGGCGCTTAATTCCGGGACACCAAGCAATGTCTCATTAATCTACGAAATTTCAAGATTGATTATATGACATGATGCTGCCCATGCTGGAAATAAAAGGTTACTAATTTGAACTGAAGATGCTCATTTAAGCTAAAGATTTAAAATTAATATTAACAAGAATTGTCAATTAGTCTTGTAAATTTTGCAAACTTCTTCTCCTTATTAAATATTTCGGTTTTTGTTATAAAATTGACTGCTCAATTTTATAGCAATTCAAGTTTTCAATTAATTGGTGCGAAGGTAAAAGAAACGTCATCGGAAATTCACCTGTGCTGCAATGAAAAGAAGCAGAAGTAACGAACAGCGCATCCTTGGCTTTCCGTTTCTCAATGTGACTTTCTCGTGGCAGCCGCGACCAGGACGCGATAATTTTGGTTGCGAAAAGTAAAAAATTATGATGAGGACGTTATCTTTTGGAAATGTCTGGCCTTTACAACTTTCCTCATTAGTGTGGAGAATTTTCCAGGCCACCGGCATGTCAAGGTGTCAAGCACCTGACGCATGCTTCCTCAAGCAGCATCAACAGCGATTTTTTATTTTTGTGATCAAATTTAATTATTTTACCATTAACAAAGTATGCAACCGGCTTGACTCCAGTGCAATGCGTTCGGCCTAACTCGTATAACTGATGAAATTTAATTAATTTATATCGCAGTGTTCTTGGATTATATTCTTAATAATATTGCAGAATAATTTGGTTTTTTTTATTATTATTATTTTGTTTGGAGAGATTTAGGAAATATTGAATGATTATTTTTATAATTATTAAAAATATCGAACGGAAATAATATTGCATTATATAATTTTTGGTTCAATGTTATTTCTTTATTTGTGGAGTATTCATAATGTTACAAGTGTTGATTAATTCATAATTCCTCTGCGGAATACACTCTTGCTCAAGATTTACGTGAAGATAAATTTATCCGTGCATTGGTCGAATAACTTATAAGTCCTCTCGCAGTACGCTGTCGCCACTGTTTTAAATTAATCATAATTAGTATATAAAGAAAACATATTATTATTAAGTCTTTCAAACCTCTCTCCGTGCAGCTCTGCAAATTTTAAATAAATATTAATGCTCAGTTTTTTAACTAAAATTTAAAATTTTTACTTTGGCCAATTCGAACAAAATGCACTGCATTGTGACAAAAGCTTTTCCATCACAGCTTCTTCCCCCTTGCAAGTCCACCGGCATGCTTAAAGCTAGAAATAGAAAACTTAAAACTTTGAATTTATTCAGACTAATTTTCCAAACCTGAAAAACTTGAAACGCACTTATCAACTGCCATCTCTATATTTGTGTTCTTCGTTTTTTGTAGCTTCCTCCGCTTCTTTTGCTTTCCATCCTTTGCATTGCCTACTTGTTTCACTCTCTTTACTTTCTTTCCGTGCTTACTTTTTTCAACTTCAGTTATTTGCTTTTCTGGCCTTTTCACTCGTCTAACTTTCTTTTTCTTTCTTTGCCCTTTTTGCTTTTCGTCCTCCGTTTTCTTAATTCGCTGAACTTTCTTTTTCATTCGTTGCCGTTTTTGCTTTTCTTCCTCAGTCTGATTGACGTTCTTTACTCTATCAACTTTCTTTTTCTTTCTTTGCACTTTTTGTTTTCCATGATTCACCTGTTTAACTTTCTTACTCTGCTTTTTAGGCTCATCTTCTTTTTGATTAGCTTGCTTAAATTGCTTATGTTTCTTTTTCTTTGCACCTTCTCTGTGCTTCTCTCGATTCACTTTCTTTGATTCCTTTTCTCCATTTTCGTGCTTTAATTGCTTTACTCTCTTTCCGTCACCTTTAAGATTCTCTGCATGTTCTTGATCAGCTCTTTGAATGTCTCTCTTAAACTGCTTTTTATTTCTCAGCTCCTTTTCGCTTCTTCTCTCTTTTCGGAAGTCTCGCCTTAATTGCTTTTGATACAATCTTCTCCCTTTTTCCTCTTCTTTGACTTTCTTTCTCCTTTTTTTCTCGTCTTCTTTTATTTTCTTTCTCCTTTCTCGCTCTTCTGCTTTTACTTTATTTCTCCTTTCTAGCTCATCTTTTCTTACATTCTTTCTCCACTCTCTTTGCATTTTTCGCTCTTGAGCGTCTCGCTTTACTCGATTTTCCTTCTCCCTCTTCCCATGCATTCCTTGTTTTATTTTCTTTCCTTCACCGTGTTGTTGGTGCTTTAATCGCTTTACTCTCTTACCATGCAAATTTTTCTCTTCTGGCTTTACTCGATGGCCATTCTTTTTCTTTTCGTTCCCTTTGGTCTCCACTTTCTTTTTTTGCTTTAAAGCATTATTATTACCGTTTTCTTCGGGTTTCTTGCGCTTTTTTTGCGGTGAACTCAATAATGCAACTAGTTTCATCTTGTCAATCTGCAAGTCTGGTGTCATCTAAAGCAAAAATAATGTGCATCATTTAATGCGATCACAAATCTATATTATATCTTACGACATCTCTTGCTTTCAGGAAGCAATTGATGAAACACTGTTAAAAAGTTATTAATTTAAATGAAAATGTAAAGGAAGGTATTAATGCTTTACAGATTTTTGTCCAAACACTTCTTTTGCCTGGCGATTTTTGAATCCAATTGAGCTGTTGCTTTTTATGTGTTGTTGCTTGTTCAATGAAAAATCGTGAAGAACTTTTAACGCTTTGAAATTTTCCATTCCACAAGTTGTTCCTTTCTTCTCCAGAAGAAATAGTGCAGACGGTGTACTTTTGCAGCATTTAATTGATTTCTGAAAATACAAATCATTTTATCCAATTTGTTTAGAGAAAATTTGAGGAAATCTGCTATCTCGGTTACTAAAAATTATATTCTTGATTTGCTTTTCAACAATCTAAGGCCATAAATGTCATTACAGACTTCCTCAATAAATTAATTTATAAGATTAAATTTTGGAACAATTAATTACAGAAAAATCTGCGGTGAAGCATCTCCTTTCTTTTAATTTATTTGGGTTTGCCGAAGAGTTACTTCCAGATAGAAAAGGACATAGTGCAGCTAAATTAGGAGTTGCTGCTGCAGGACTTGTTGGCCCCTTTTCAGTTGATTCCGGTTCTTCAAATTTGGTCGAATTTGAGCTTAATTCAGTAGAAATCTCTGTGGTTGACGTCTTTCTACTAGATAATTCAGTTGAAGTAGATCTGAGTCCTTCCGTTGATCTCTCTTCTGGATACTCTTCTGTTTGAATTGATTCTTCAGTGGTCACCGTGGTTGTCGTTAAATCAACGATCGGCTTTTTTGATGAACGTTCTGATGTCATATCAGGATTACCAGGTGTTGGCTTTGGTGTTTTTTTAGTAATTTCGTAGGCTATGGACAACTCATTTGCGCTTAAATTCGTTTTAGCTGTACTGGTTTCAATGGAATGAGTTATTTCAATGTTTTCAGAAGTGAATTCTTCAAATTCTTCTTCTTCATGGCTAGGTGTTGTTGGTAAGGTTGAGGTTTCTAAAGATTCATAAATTTCCTCGTCATCACCTTCAGTTTCCTCATCATAATAATCTGAAGATTCACTTTCCTCAGTATCTTCAATTGATTGTGTTGAAGTTTCAGTCGTTGATTTTGATGGCTTAGTCTTTTCATCGATAGGTTCCTGGTCTGATGTTAATTTAGTTCCCACAGATTGAGTCGTTGTTTTTGAACCAGAGAGATGGGGTCGCGGGTATTTTGCAGTAATTTCAGGCGTTTGTGTAACCATGGACGATGAATTCTTTGATGGCATGGGAGTGGTTGAAAGCGTCGTAGTTCTTCGCACAAATTTTGAAGCTACATCTACAGTGGAAGATTTTTTATCGCCACCCACCAACTGATTTGGTTTATTAGTTGTGAGTTTGGGTTTATCTGATATTAAAGAAGGTTTCAAAATTTCAGGCAGAGACGTAGATTTTGAAAATGACTGTTGAGAAGGTTTCTCCGTCTTCTGTATAGTGGTTTTAACTGTTGAATTTTTAATAAATAATGTTGAAAGAGAGGATATATTTTGTACATTTGATACAGTATTTTTAATAGTTGTAGGAAAGTGATTAGTCGTATTTGATTGTAATTCGTAGACTGTGGTGCTTAATGAATGATCAAATTTGTTATTTGGTGCTAAAGTAACACTTGAAACATTGGGTGCTGTGTTTGTTGTTTCAGTTACCAACTTAAAATTAATTGTGGTTAAATTTTCAGTTACGTCCACAATTGAGTGCTTGGAAATGTTTGGGGGAAAAGTGGTTAACATTTGTGGTGGAGAAATGTGTTTTGAAATATCCAAATTAGAACTCGTAGTAAATTTACGTGTAGAATAACGAAGTGTGCTCTGGGAACTTGGCTCTCGCGTTTTAAAAAGCTCTGCCTTTCTTGTAGATACAAGTATTGCAGATTCGAACGGATTATTTTCATCAGGATTTGTAGGCGTAAAGATTTCCAAATTTGTTTTTGTAGCAGTCATTGAAACATCAGGAATTTTAGACACAGAAATTGATTTCGTTGTTGATGTAAAAGCAGCGGTTGAAGAAACATCAAGTGCATCTGCAATTGATGTTGATGCTGTAGTAATGAATTCCAAAGATTAGGAAAGTGCAATGTTTTTCTTGAATAAGACCAGGGAGAAATTAAGAGAGTTTTTGTGTGTCTAATCTTGTCATGAGTGGAAAGATTGGTTATTTTATGTATTGTTAGTTTGAGGGAACGCATCATTTCATTCTTTATCTTGCGCAATAGTTTAATTGTTTATCATTTAATTAATTATTTTTTTCGGTTTTAATTTCAAAGAAGAGGTGAAGCTTAAGAGGTGCAAATATTAAAAGAAATGAAGTATGCCATAAAGACTCTCAGCCGTCGTATCATTTAATACGTAAGTAAAAAAAAAATTGTGCATATCATTAAATATATGTATTACTTTGAGACTGTGATGTTGTTTTTTGTAAGTGTTCATCCACACTTTGGTCCTCTGTATTTTCCTCGTCTGTTTCGTACTCATCGTAATAATCTGATTCATCTGTATTCTCCTCGCCAGTGCCTCCTTCGCCTGCATTTTCATGATCGGTTTCCCCTTCGTCTACACTTGATTTAGTTGTACTTCGATCGTTTACTTTTCCTTTAGTTGTACTCTTCTCATCTATTTTATTCGCCACTGTCGTACTTCCTTTGTTTACTATTCCATAAGTTGTACTTCTTTCTTTAGAATTTTCTTCACTTTCATTTTCATTCTCTGAACCTTCTTCATCCACATTTTTATGAGTTGTTCCATTGCCAACATTTGCAATTGTTGAACTACCCTTATGTTCATTTCCAAGAGTTGTACTTTCTTCTTCTTCGTCTTCGTAGTCTTCATATCCATAATCGGTACCTTCTTCAGCAACACTCCCATTTTGAACATTTCCAGGTGTTGAGCTTCCTTTATCTAAATTTCCAAGAGTTGTACTTTCCTCTTCTTTATTCCCATCTGAATTTCCTTCATTTCCATTATGAATACTTCCTGCGTCTACGTTTCCGTTTTCAACAATTTCCTCATTTATCGTTCCATGATCAATACTTTCTTCGTGAGTTGTGCTTCCTTTGTCTTCACTTCCAAGAGTTGTGATTCCTCCACCGACAGTTCCAGAAGTTGTGTTCACCTTATTGGCATTCTCTGGAGCTGGACTTCCTTCAACCAAAATTGTAGGAGTTGTGCTGCCTTCATCTGCGGTTGCATTAGTTGTACATTCTTCGTCAACATATTCATATTCAAAATCCTGCTCGCCTTTATTCCCACCGACATCATTTCCATTTTCTGCACTCTCCTCTTCGTCTTCGTACTCTTCATATTCGTAATATTCTGAATCCTCATCGTCATAATACTCGTCCTCTTCATATTCTTCATACTCGTATTCCTCTTCCAACTGATCCTTGGTAGCTTTTTTCTTTTTCTTTGTACCTTTGGCGAATCCGTCAATAATGAGAACCTATATCGTAATTTTACAATCAATCGAAAAAATTCAGATTTTTTATTATTTAATAAGAAAGTTATTTTTAAAAAAATATAGTGAATACTTTAATTTTGTTAATATATCATGATTAAATAGTAAAAGTGTTGTTTTGACCTGTATTAGAAGAAAGACCAGGAGCAAACGAGTTGACTTCATTGTATCAGTAGCTCAGACAAGCACAAGTGCCTGCGTAAGAGTGTCACAAAGCTTTTCCTCGACCTGAAATGAACTCCAAGCAGGAGCTTTGTGTCTGCTGTTAAGTGCGCCAACTGAGAATTTGCACCCAATTTTCCTCGAAAGGGCGAAAAACCCGCACAATCAACTTTGGTGTCGCAGCATGTCCGTCTGACCCCTTTACACACGATGGCACCGTTGGGAATCGGTGTGTCATATTTTTGCGATTAAGAAAATAATTAGCAAGCTCATAATTAGGGCAAGAGATAATGACGCCTGTGAAATATGAAGTAATTGGGAAAAGTTGAGAAGTGTAATTTGATTACGAAAATTCCACGCAAGGAAAATACAAACATAGAAATTGGAACAAGCCGACAGAGATAATTACAGAGAGGTGGTTAGAAAACCAGGAAAAACTTAATTTTCCAAAATTGAAAATGATTAATCATTCAATTTACACATTTTCTTTATTATTTCAAATAGTTTGACAAACAGAAGAGAATTTTCCACGTTGGAAAGAAAAATCGATAAAAGTTACTGTCGGTAATTGCAAGTTCGCACGGATTTCCAGCAGTACGCGTGCCGAGGTGAAAATTTCCTTCGACAGATGGCGAATCGAGTGTGTGGTGCGCGGGCAGGTGCGTTGGTAGCAAAGTTGGTAGGGCCCCCACACCGCCGCCGCCGGCATTGTGATTTACCTGGTCACTCAGTTAGTAATGTGACAGCTTCGGCGGCGGCTCTCTTATTGACCTCCCAAAAAAACTGTGAGTTCTACATTTTTATTTTGATCAATTTGTCAAATTTTATTTTCAATATAATAAAGTAGCGTTAAGAGAAGAAAAACTGAAATTTAAAAGCCAAAAAAATTAAATTCATCTAATATTATATAAAAATACAAATTTAGTTCCTCATTTAAGGGATTCTTATTGACATAGTCAAATCAAGTCCTTACAACAATATAAATAGATTTTTGCGATTGTAGAAAGACAATTGAAAATTTTAATCCCCATTGTTGTAAAGACCTGATTTGACTATGTCAATAAGGAGTCCTTAACCATTGAAAAGTATAATAAGGAATTAATTCGTTGTGTCTGCTAGTTGTGATACCCTTTCTGCTCATTTTTCCAATTTCAATTTTTTTTTGTATGACTTGAGTAGAATAAATAATAATAATAATAATAATTAGATGCTTAGGATAAAGATTTTGAAAAATTTCGTGTTTTAATTAAATATTATCTTAATTTTATTTAAAAAGTACGAAGCAAAAATCGGCTCATTTTTATCAAAATTATAATTTAAAAAAGATTAATTACAGAAAATAATCAAAGTTCAGACAAAATTCACAATTTTAATCGATTTATTTTCATCACATAATAATCAAAATAACTGTTTTCGCCTTGGTGACTTTTTTGCTTCCGAAGTAGGGAGCGAAAAATACAGGGAGATCGTTTTGATAAAAAAGGTCCATTTTTGCTTTCGCGTGTGCGTGACTCTGGTAAAAAGCAATTTACCGCTGGCGTTTGGCCGATTTGTGAAAAGCAGACAGAGCTGGACCGCGAGCAGAGTTTGTCATCGGCGAGATAATGTAACCGGGAGCTGGAGCGGAAGTGCGCGCGAGGGCGGAACCACGGCCCACCAACAACACACGGACACACGGGATGGGAGGCAGTTGTGCCGTCGCTCAATTGTTGGCGGTCACTCAAACGAAAACTTTTTGGAAAAAAATTTGAAGCCGAATGAATTTGATACAGATTTGGAGGGAAATATAAAAGAGCTCTAGTGATTTAAAATTTAAATCAAATACTACATAAAAAAAATGTAGATAAATAAGATCTTGATATAAACATCGATTGATTTAAATTTTTTTATTTAGTTAAATTGAGTAAAAAATTTACTAATTTCATTTTTTATTTTTTCCAGTTTAAGTAAATAAAACATCAAATTCAAATTGAATTGATAAATGTCTATAAGATCTCGTAATAGAATTAACTAAAAAGTGACTGAAATTAATGAGAATGAAAATATTAAAATAATTTTTTTTTATAGATTTATATTTTTGTCAAGAACTCCGTTAATATATAATTATTTAATTTAACTTTATTTGAAAGGAAACTTTAAAAAAATGTAGGATTTTGAATAAATATTATTTTTTAAAGATTTTCACTGCTTTCACAAGTAAATTGAAAAGCGAATAGAGGCAGGAAATGGCGAACAATTATGGTGCACACTCGAATTTAATTAAGAAGTACACAAAAAGATATATTATACACATTTAATTGTGCCTGAGCCACTTTCGCTCTTCTTCACGGAGCGGAACTCCTCTCTTATTTTCTTATTCCAGTCCCCCACTGAAATATTAACCTGCTTTTTTTATGTGTGTAATTCTGGATTTCCAGATAGAAGACCATGGCCAGACACAAAGTGGCGCCTCCTGCTGCGGCTTTTTTCCTCCTGCTCACAGGTGAGTTCATGGCATAAATTATTGCAATCGCGTGACATGGTCCAGCGGTCATTTGCATACACAGCAGAAGGTCAAAAACCCACAGCCACGGTGAAAAAGGTGCGGCTCGGTCCAAGGACGCGCCGTAATTACACGGTCAGAGTTCACATTCGAGGGCCATCGAAACAAAAAAATTGCATACATTTCAGATTTCAGATAAGATCTGATTTTATTGCGTTGACGTTCGTGGTCAGTCTGGGTGGTGCCACATGCTAATGCCGAAACTTCATTCTTTTTACTCTTGACCGTCGCCTAATTAATATTAAATGTCCGCTTGTTGCGTGATTTGAAAAATGGTTTAGGATTTTATTCAGCAGCAGTGATTGCGTGCGTTAAAATTGCGCGCAAATCTCTCATAATGATCTCGTTTTGCAGTATTTAAATTTGAACAAATGCATAAAGTGATTATTTGAAAATTTTACTACCACTGCTTTCATTCTGAGTTGGAAATAATAAGCTTTTAATTGAATAAAATTATTTATCTTTCACAAATTTGAATATTTCGGTGGAATTATTTTTGCAATTTTTGGAAAATTTGGCTTAAAAAATAACTTAGGATTTGAAAAACCGGACTAATTGTTTGGTTTTGCCAATTTATAGATGGATAATGAAATGAATTAATTTATTGAAGTGAAGAGATCGGGATTTTTCTCGTTGTAAAAATGTTTTTATTAAAAAACAATACAGTTCTGCGACCCTATTTCTCGAGCAAGAAAAATAAATCAGCAAATCGAAAATCAACATTTTAAACCAAAAGTTTTAATATCTTAAAACTAACAAATTCACATTTTTATAAACGATCATGCATCAACTATTTAGAAAATGATCACGAAAGTGTAAAATTTTCTATTATCTATTAAGTTGTAATTTGTATGCGAATTTTAATAATCATGGAATCTATAATTTTATTTATTTCAATGTCTTCAATAAGATCAAAACTTATTTGATTAATTTGCATAAAAAAAGAAAATTTAAGGTTAAAACTTTACTTGATACTTTTGAATTTTGCAGTTGCCAAAGAAGCTCTTTTTAGTTTTCTCTTTTGCTTTTTTGTTTACGTATCATATATGATTTTGTACAATTTGATGACAACTCCGCGCGGATTATGCAATAGTTTGACTCACATCTTTTGTCTCCACGAGCGATTATTATATATAACAGTGTCTGCATTTTCGCTTGCGAAACAATGGGTATGAAAAGCAGGCACGCGGATCATGCCGACAGAAATTGTCTTATTAGAAATGCGCAATGCGTGACACACCAGAAACAACTTCCTGGAGAGGAAGATGCTAAATGATTCATCGTACATTTCCCTCAAATTCGGAGGATAAACGCAGAAATTAGCATCATCAATTCTAATTTATTAGTTACAAGATGAGAATCGTCTAGATTCATCGTACCTTTTTCACTTAATTGCTATCATAAAATTTATTTTTAATTTATTAATTTATTTATTTTTACACCAGCCACTTTGTTCATTTCGTTTAAATATACAAGAAAAGTAAAGCAGAAATCGAAATAAATTTTATAACATTAAAAACAATATCTGAATTGAAAAAAAAAATGAGGTTGAGAACCTAAAATAATACTTTTTTTAAGTGGTACCATATAAAAAATGACCCAATTAACCCAAATAATTAACTCAATGGTACTTTTTGGTGTAAATTTTGTTTCCTGATTTCGAAATGCCAAATCATTGGTAAATAACAAAATAAAAAAAGTAACAAGCATTTAATTATTGGTCAATTTTTACACCTGAAATAAGTGATTTTCCATTAAGATCTCGATTTTTCCAACCGGCAAGGGTTGAGAGATTAAACGGCCTAGATTTGACACTATTTATGTGCAGTTGGGAAATGGGCACAACTCCCGACGAGATTTGAATTATTTTTTTTTCACATGAATTCCCAGCGCACGCTCGTGCTTGGCTTTTCAGTACATAACGCTAGGCAAAGGTAAACGTAACATGGCGGCCGAAAGAAAATCAATTCCACTTTATCTGATGTCCAGCGGCACACGCGAGCCAGGATTAAAACTGACCCCAATGACCATCAGTGCTGCATAAATTTCGAGCCGCGGCGGATCGATCTCGAAGGAAAGTTTCGTTTCCTCCCTCGCGCCTCCTTTCTTGAAATGTGCAGTGTTTGGCCGTTCCGCCTAGAAGTGGCCGAGCGAAAAAATTCAACTCACACACACCAACCTTGACCAACACTTTCGTACCCACATTCTCGCTTTCGGTGGCAGAAATAGAAGCACTACTTGTTGATACAAACGCTATTTATGCGCACCCGCGGTTATAAAGATTTCATAGTTGTTGATAAACAACTTGTTTTAAGGATGAAAGAGAAATTTTACTCTCATATAGGATAAGCAAAAGTGAAAAGCTAAAAAGAAATATTAGTTTGTTTTTTTCTTAAATTGTTTAATTTTGTATACAAATTTTTACAATATTGGAAGATTAAACCGAACAAAAAAATTAATGAGCCATTCGTTTTTTTATATTTTATTTTATAAATAAGAAAGTCAGTTTTTCAGTAAATAAAATTGCAAGTCGATAACAGTAATAAAACCAGCAGGATCAGTTAAAATATTTGCAATTTTTGTTTTCTAAACTGCAAAAGTTTGTTACTTACAAGAAGACTTGTAATAATAAATAGCATAAAATCTTCCCACTAGGTTTTTTATTTCTAATGAAATCAGCATTATTTCTCTCCTAACAAGCCCTTTTATATCGCTGGTGCAAATTAAATCATTGCAAATCTAAGAAAAGTGCAAAAGGCTGGTCGTGTCCGCGCCACGGTTCGGGAGGAACCTGGGAGCTTCGGCAGCGCGTTTCCTGCCCAATGCTCGGCGTCTTGAGTCTTGAGTCTTCTTGAGCATTGGGCAGGAGACGCGCGGCCTCCACCCTCAGGTCATCCAGCATGCGGGAGTGACATGCGGGGAGGGAGGGCTGTGGTGACGCTTAGCAACCACCCTAATTTCAACACCACCAAATCCCTTCCTAGCCATTCATACACGCAAATCCTGGTCGCATTTGATGCCCATTTTTTATTTCAATTCTCCTTAATTTGGAAATGAATATTTTGCAACCCGCCCTGGATTAAAGTTTGACTTTCCAGTTTTTCGCTTCAATAGATTTGCAACTTTCAATCAGAAGTTTTCGTATTTTATTTAAAAAATAAGTTTGAAATATCTGCTCAGGACTATTTTAGCGATCAGAGAATGGCGGTAGACCTTAGAGGGCCTGATGCAACTATGAAAGTTAGATTGCATTGTTGGACGATAAATTTTGAAAAATTCTCGGGCGAATCTCCAAATTTAAAAAGAACGCGACCGATAGGAGCCACGAACGGCACACCGGCGAAAAGCTTGTTTCACGAGGATGCCGAAAATGCCCAGGTTTTTGCGATTTGGTGACCCCTGACCTGAGAAAGTAATATATTTTTATTTTCTTTCAAAATTGCCATTTCTGACGCGCTCCTTCAATGAATAAATAAAAATTTGAAGTTTGTTTTACAGAAATATTTGAAATGACTTTAATTTAAGTCTCAAATTTCAGTCTGTTTACAGCAAAATGAGCAGATTTGTGTCGGCTTAACTCCCAATTATAATGTGGGAAAGAAAAATGGGAAAACACAGTAATTTGCAAATTACTATATTTCATTGAAAATTGAACAAATCAATAAAATTATTCACAAATTAGATGAATCAATTGTAACTAAAAAATATTATTTTTTTTTAAATAAAAATGTGGAAAATAAATTATTTTCAACCCAATTCTACCTTTTCGAAAACTAAATTTTTTTGTTTCTTGCCTCTCGAATCTGCAATCTTCGGAAATCCACAAAGGGCACTTAATAACCATAAAATAATGCCCTGAGCTCCTGATTCAGTGCCCGGGCTCTGATCACCCACCACTTTCCCGGCCCGAGGGCCACTCGTTCAGGCGCCCTGACCCTGAGCCAGGAGCTCGGGGCAGTGTGACCTGAGATGTTAGGCGGCCTCACCTAACAACAACCCCAAATCTCTTTCTAGCCATTCATACACACAAAACGTGGTCATATTTGATGCCCATTTTTTATTTCAATTCTGCTTAGTTTGGATTTAAATATTTTGCAACCCGCCCTGGATTAAAGTTTGAATTATCAGTTTTTCGCTTCAATAGATTTGAAACTTTCAACCAGAAGTTTGCGTATTTTAATAAAAAAAGGAGTTTGAATTTTCTGCTCAGGACTATTTTTGCGGTCAGAGAATGGCGGTAGACCATTGAGGGTCTCTGGGTCTCATGCAACTATGAAAGTTAGATTTCATTGTTGAATGTCAAATTTGAAAAAATTCTTGGGCGTATCTCAAAATTTAAAAAGAACTCAACCGATGAGAACAACAAATGACACACCAGCGGGAAGCTTCACGGGGATGCAGAAAATGCCCTGGTTTTTGCGATTTGGTGACCCCTGACCTGAGAAAGACGCGGGGAAGCCCAATATGTCCAGTTTCAACACATCTGCAATGTGCTTTTTTATGGCTGCGAATCCATAGTTGCCTTAATAAAAAAAGGCCTTTTTAGCTAGTTTTTGCCAAAATATGCAGGTTAATGAGTTGATTTTTTTAATAGAGCTAGATTTTTCGCATTTCAATTTATTAGAATATTAAATTTGCGGACATTTTGAAATTTAATTATATATATTGAAATATATTGACGTCGATTTTAAGTTCGCGCAAGTCATTGTAAAATCACTTGATTTGTACAGAAAATTCATTTTCCCAACATAGAAAAAATTCAATCAAACCTAAAATGCAGGAGACAGTGCTTGAAATTTTTTCAATATTTTTATTCAACATTGAACTCCATAAAAGAATAGACATTTATTATATATTCAATAGAAATTGAGTGACTATTATTTAATTAAAAAGAGAACTTGTCACGCGTTTACATCAAGGATGCCAAGACAAAAATTTAAATGCCTTTTTTCTTTAAGGCCACAATGCCAACAATGGGATTCGCAGCCACAAAAGAGCACACTTCGGAGGTGTTTAAACTCGACCTTATGTGCTTCCCGACGTCTTTCTCAGGTCAGGGGTCTCCAAATCGCAATAACCAGGGCATTTTCGGAATCCTCGAAAAACAAGCTTTCCGCCGGTGTGCCGTTTATCGCTCCCTACGGTGGTGTTCGTTTTAAATTTTGAGATACGCCCAAGAATTTTTTCAAATTGACATTCAACAATAGAATCTAACTTTCATAGTTGCGTGAGACACCCAGAGACCCTCCAAGGTCTACCGCCATTCTCTGGCCGCAAAAATAGTCCTGAGCAGAATTTTCAAACTCCTTTTTTTATTAAAATACGCAAACTTCTGGTTGAAAGTTTCAAATCTATTGAAGCGAAAAACTGATAATTCAAACTTTAATCCAGGGCGGGTTGCAAAATATTCATTTCCAAATTAAGGAGAATTGAAATAAAAATGGGCATCCAATGCGACCAGGTTTTGCGTGTATGAATGGCTAGGAAGGGATTTGGTGGTGTTGAAATTAGGGTGGTTGCTAAGCGTCACCACAGCCCTCCCTCCCCGCATGTCACTCCCGCATGCTGGATGACCTGAGGGTGGAGGCCGCGCGTCTCCTGCCCAATGCTCAAGAAGACTCAAGACTCAAGACGCCGAGCATTGGGCAGGAGACGCGCTGCCGAAGCTCCCAGGTTCCTCCCGAACCGTGGCGCGGACACGACCAGCCTTTTGCACTTTTAAATTGCAATGAATTAATTTGCACCAGCGATATAAAAGGGCTTGTTAGGAGAGAAATAATGCCACTCTCAGGCTGATTTCATTTGAAATAAAAACCAAATGGCCTATAATGGGAAACATGAAAGTTAAAAAATAAACTGTTAGTTTAAACTATTTGAAATGAGTCAAGACCGTGTAAGCATAATAAAATTTAAAACTGTTTTGAAAGCTCTAAAAAGCGTGACCACTGCAGTTAAACCATTCTAGTAATGCATGTGTTATGCAATGTAAAGTAAGGTCAATTTATTTATCTTTTTTTAGGTCAGTTTTAATGTAAATTTCGATTAATTTAATATTATTGGTTTACCAGAGGCCATTAAAAATATTCGCAAATTAAGAATGAAAATTCCAAAAATTAATATTCATAACAAATTTTGGGATAAACCTTTTCGGCAAAAAATAAAATTTGTTTAATTCACACATTTTTTTATATTATAAATTTCAAATCAATAGAGAAAACTAATTTGATCACACTGAAAAATAACTTTCTCTCTGAAGATCTTGTTGAAAATTATAATATTAAATGGATCTTTTGTGTTTATTTTTCAGTTTCAAACTTGGCGAGTTTTGCGGGCGCCCAGCAAATGTGCGACTCGCGCGAGTACCAGATGTGCATCACGCTGGCCGACCCGTTGATCCGCAACCCGAAACTCGTGTTTCCGGACACGATGGCCGACATCGACGAGGTTTGCCGCACGTGGGCCAAGTTCGTCGACTGCGTCAAGCGGTACACGGACCGCTGCTTTTCGCCCACGCGCCGCCTCCAGTTCAACCAGGCCGTCCAGCGCTCCGTCGACTCCGTCCACCAGATGTGCACCCAGACACCCTATCAGGTAAAAAAAAGAAGAAAACGATCGACGCCTTGATCGGCCCAACTAGGCAATTCTCTCCTCTGGAGAGTCGCGCCGGTTGCATAACTTTGCCTCGCTTCATTAGCTCTGAAATTTAATGAAATTGTTTTTAAAAAGGAATTTTTTAATAGTTTTTTAAGTAGACTTAAAAATTATACTCACTCCACAGAAATAAATTGATCAAAATCATCGAATTTGGAAATTTTATTGAATAAATAAATATCTTCATGGCAATTATAATTTTATTTTTCTGTGGATAACAATTTATTTTTTATTTTTAGAAATTAGTTGAATCTTTATTTATTAGTTAATATTTTACATTTTTAATCAAATTTAGTAACAAAAATGTTTTTTAATTTCTTGCATTATAATTTTTTTTTTACACGTGGATTTTTTTTTAATTAAAAACTTTTATTGTCATTTATGTTTTCCTCTTTGGCAGACGGAGTACCTGAGTCACGCGTCGTGCATCAAGGCCACTTTGAATTCAGATTGCACTCGGCAGTACGGCCGACTGGCGGATTTGGTGGCCAGCACGCGACCTGTGACCTCTCGAGTGCACATTTGCTGCGCGCACCACGAGTTCCGCGAGTGCGTGATCCGCGAGACGAAGCGTCGGTGCGACAGGGACATTGCCGGACCCGCGTCCCGGTTCGCGCTGCACATCCTGGACAAGGCCCTCAGCTTTTTGCACGAGGACTGCACAAATTACATGTGAGTTGAACAGGAATTAAATTTTAATAAGAAAAAATTGCATAGAAAACCATTTTTGTTAAAATTGAATCTGATTTTAATTGTAAAGAATGAATTATTTAATATAAATTTAAAAAAAATTCATTAAATGCTTAATTTTAATAAAAATTTGTATCCTTTTTACAGACCCATGACTGGAGATTGTCCAACTGGTGACACACCCACGGACAATCAGTACCAGAATGACCTCGGCACCACACGGAAATATCCAACGCCGCGAGGGTAAATTTGAATAAATCAATTGCCACCGTATCATTTTCCTTTATTAAACCCAAATTCAATATATCAGATTTTTGGATGACCTCAATGACATTCGCCGTAACTATCGGTATTGGAGGTAGATTTTTCTTTCGTTCTGCATGTTTCACATTTATTTTGGGGAAAATGGTTCATAATTATGCTTTTGTGTTTTGCAGCGAGAGCAGCAGAGTTCCTTTTGGTCGAAGTTCCAGCAGATTCCCGGAAGCGCCTCCGACACCGTCGACGACAGAACGGCCAGTTGAGTTTTCCATGCCCGGAGACACGACCTCCTCCTCGGCTGCACCCTGGACGCCACCCCCAAACCCTGCAGACGTTTGGACTCCTGGTAATAAAAATATCTTAATAAATTTAAAAAATTTAATAGAAGATTCCATTTTATTAAATTTATTTCAAGTTACTTAAATTAAATTTATTTCCTAAAATCATGGTCTTTTAAATTTATAAAAAGATTATAAATGTTTGGGAAATTATTGAATTAATTTAAATATTTCCAGTCCGCAATTTTTCTTAAATTTTACTCAATTTAACCAATATATTAATCAATAGGAAATGGTCAACTGATTAATGAGGTGCCGACGACAAAACGGCCCTTCTACCAGCCTTCGACGGAAGCGCCCTGGGGCCTCGGCGAGACCTCGACCCGCATCTCCTGGGGTGACGACAATGAGAACTACGTCCACAGCACCGTGTCCTGGTACCCTGAGGCGGCCATCCACCACAACGGCATCATCGACGAGCCCAACCAACAGGGTTACAAGGGCGCCGCCTCGGCTTTGAAACCCGTCGGAGCCCTCTTGGTGTTGTCGATGGCGCCGCTGGTCCTGCGCCGATTGCTCAGCTGAAGATCCGAATTGGCTGCTGCAGAGATGTAACCGCGCTCTCTTTTTGTACAAATTGTGTAATGTTAATTAGTCTTACTGCTTCATAAATTGTCTATGAAATAAATATATAAATATGATTTCTATAGCTGTAAATAATACTACAAGCCAGACTGATTATTTCAAAAGAGCCACCGTGGACTAAATAATTCAATTATAAGGAGAGGAAAATAGTTAATGAAAGGATTTTTATTTAAATTTAAGGTCATAAATCGAATAAGAAAAATTAAATCCAGTAAAATTTAGCTTATACTGAAAGAAGGATAATATGAAATATTTTAAGGTAAAATTCAAAATTATTTTAACATATTATCTTTAATGAACAATTACCAGGAGCATCTATATCAGTTTTATTTACAAACTTAGGACTACGAAGACTTGGGCTTTGGGGGCACCCACGCTTGGATTTTTGGAGGCACCGTGCTGTAGGGCATGTAAGCACCTGAGGTGCCTGAAAGGTTTTCAGTGTGGTCAGCCATCCATGCGTATTTCACCCTAGTGGGGTCCTGAAAACATTTAAAAATAAGCTCCATAAGTTGTTGTGTAAAAAATATACAAAAATTTTAAGAACCTCCTTTTTTTTAAATTGTAAATATTTTTGGAATTTTAACATTTGTTTGTTAGATTATTATAAAATTTCAATAAAGAAATAGCTCAAAAACGCAATTTAAGGTTTGACAGAGAAGACGAACTAAAAATTGCATTCTTTTCTGAGTTTTCTGAGGATATTTTACATTTTTTATCCTTTTAATTTATTTAATCGGTTAATTACTTTGTTGGGAGGGATATCTGTCTTGTAGTGGAGCCATCCAAACCATTCGGCGGGCACCTGGCTTCCGTCATAGTCAAGTGCCAGCTTTTCATTGTAATCAACCCATCGATTTCGTCCTGAAATTTTGCTCAAATTATAGCACTTCAAATTCACACGAATTTCACAAAGTCTTACCGTAAAAATACATTTTATTCTCGTAGTATTTGTTTCCGTACTTGTCCTCGCCGATGAGGGTTCCCGATTTCAGTTCGTCCATCCTAAATTAAAAATAAAAATTAGCAAATATTGAAGGACACAAATCGCAGGATCGAAAGAAGAGGGTTTTGGCACTTTTGCGAACCTGTAAATTTTGGCCAGGGAAGCCCTGATGCCTCCATTTTGCCGGATGATTTCGAAGAGACGGCCCACTTTGTCCAGCCCGAGGAATTTGCCCATTTTCGGCGAATTTTCGGCCGAAAATTGTCTGCAAAATCGAGGCGAGAGTGCGTCGAAAACAGCTGTGTTGAAAAACAGCGCCCTCGCTACGGCTTTGATTGAACTACGAACGATCGAGGGTGGAATCCAATTCAAAATGTGGCGCGAAATTCGTATGCATTGGATTTTAATTCTTTTTATTTAGCATGTTAGTAATTTTTTTAACTAATTATAAGAAATAACGCCATTTTTTTCAAGAACACAATAATCTACAATAATCTAGAGGCATGAACAATCGTTTTTTGTTTGTTTTTTTATTCAGATTGTTGCACCGATTGTTGGAAGAACAAAAGGTCATTGTTGAAAAAAAAATAATTTCTGAAACACGCAGCACCACCAGCAACAATTTCACATAAAAATCAGTCAAATTAAAAAGGAAATAAAGGAAATCATAGTCTAAGTTTGTCTAAGTTAAGCAAAATATCAATTAATAAAAATGACTAAAAAATTGAAAAGAATGGAACATTTTGTCAAATAAAAAAATCATAAATCGCAAAAATTTCAGGTTTTGACCAAAAGGGAATTAAGAATTTTTGAAAAGTATAAAGATTATTTATTCCGATTTTTTGCGATATTATTTAATTTTAATTTCATAAATTAATTAATAATTTGCATATTATTAATTTTTATTTATGGCATCAAAATTGAACTTTTCGGCATAGACATTTTAAAAATTTTTATATTTAAATGCAATTTTTTTCTTATTAAGTTTTATTTTCAATTTAGTTTAGATCAGAAAATTTATAAAAACAAGTATTTTCAGGAAACCCTCCTCGTTGGTGGTGATGAACTTTCCAGAGCCCATGGCTTGTATACATTCGCTTTTGGCTCGACCGAAATCTTGGCAACGTCGGATTATTCACTGGGCGCAGAGTGTGTGTTTTCCTGGCGGCTGCTCCACAGTGGGAGGCTGGGCCGCGAAGGAGCAGCGGTCGCGAGAGGCTCATCTTTTTATGGAATTCCAGCAGTTGCGGAGGAGAATCGGTCGAGAGAACACGTCACACAACAAAGCCACCGACTGGTAACAATTTTGTCCATTTCCACCAATTGCAGCTACAATTGGACTTTTATTATTTGTAAACTTTAAGAGCTTTTGAGTGAAATTAAATTAAAAAAAGGAAAAAGTCATCTTCAAAAATATTTTTATTTTATTTCAACTGCAACGGTTTCAAATTTTTTTTCTATTACATTTTACATGTCGACTAGAGTATTTTTGATTTTCAAGTCACAAAATTTATTAAATTTGTAAATATTTTTTTCCTATTTGGAGGTTTTTTTCTTGTAAAAAGATTCTAGGAAATACAGAGCGGTCATTTCTTTGTCGAGGCCGAGCGCCCCCGCTTTTGAACCTCGATTCGCTCCCTTTCTCTCTTGTACTCTTTTGTTGGGCTCTGCGCATTTTATGACAAGCAAAAGGCAGTAAAATTCTAAACCATAAAGTTTCAAGCGCACGATTCATTCTAAATTCAAACAGCAAGACCTACTCTTCTTTTTATAATTCTATTGGTACAATTTTATTTTCATAACCACTCTTTAAAATAATGAATAATTCTACGGTTTTTAAAATTTTTCGAAAATTGTGGGCTAAATATAAAAAAAGCGTTAAATTTAATAAATTTCAGGCAGTTTTAATTCTAAACAAATCGGAATTATATAGGAGTTGGAGTCACCCTTTACAATTGTTTGAATTTATTTCAATTTGTTATTTAATAAAATAAAAATCTCAATTTTCACATTTAATTTTATAAATAATTTTAATTTATATAGATAAATAAATTTTGGTTTTCTAATAATTGTCACAAATTTCTATAAAAATATCAAACATTAAATAAAATTAAAAATATTGCAAATTTGAAACTAGAAAAAACGTTGTTTGATATTTTTTTTTTTATTCGTAAATTTCTCAATCATCCGTGGGTGGAGTTTAAATTTTGTTATCTCGAAAGAGCAAATTGGTTCATCGCAATATCCGGGAAACGGAGGAAGATAAAGTTCAGCTCTCGCTGAAAGGGTCGCCTCTATGTATGTGATTAGTGAAAAAGCGCTTCCTTTCATCGCGACGTTCTCCGGGCCGCGTGTCACTTTTATTCTTACTTAATTCAACTCTTTTTTTTTCTTGATTTACATCTCTGGGTCGCCACCCTGTGTTTAAAGTTGAACCGAAAAAAGGCCGGCAAATGACGTCAGCAAAGCGTAAACAAACAAATCGAAACTCAACACATGCAGTGAGAAAAGGGAAAGACTCGTCTGCGGCCAAAATTTGTTTAACTTATACACTCGGGTCGGCTGCACCAGAACTCCAGATGCGAGGATTGAAAAGCGAAAATTTATAATATATGTCGCGCCGCATATGCTGGGAATGAGAGTGTATTACACACACGTGTCCTTTTTATAGATGAATAGATAAGACGAAACTTAAAATAAATTTGCTAAATAATTAATAATTTAAAGTGCATAAGAATTGTTTTTAGCAAGATATTTTATTTTATAGGGACACAAAATCAATTTTATCTTAATTTCAACTCTACGTAATATTGAATAAAATTTAATTTAAAAATGCGATTTAAAAGAGTTTTCTTAATTTTTCTTCATTTTGTTAAGATTGGTAATATTAGCAAAATTATAATGATGAAAAGTTAAAACTTCAATTTTTTCAAGGCTCTTAATTGTGCATGCTTTGAAAATGGATTAATCTGTGCATAAACTTATAAGTCGCCTGTTTATATTAAAAAAACAACTAGAACTTAAAATCGCCCAACATTGAAAAAAGTGCAGTGCCAAATAGAAATGTGAGGAATTAATATTTTTGTCTAAAAAATTAAATTTACTACAATTTTTTCGATTTTTACTCCATGAGTAAAATTAATTTTAAAGTTTATTGCTGTAAAAAATTATTTCATTTTTTTTTTTTAAATATAATATGTATTTTTGCTTTTTATGCAAAAATGTTTAATTTCATTAAATTGAAATAATTCTAACTCTAATTAATGAGAATTGGATAGCATTGACGTTTCATTGAAGTTCATTGTCTTATTAAATGACGATGAACTGTCTTTAATATTCAGTAGCCGTTTTTAATCGAGTTCTTTTGAGTATTTTTTTTTGTTCATCGTTTCAATTAACTCGAGTTAAAGACAATTTAAGGGCCAGTAATGCGAAGCAGTTGAGTTGATGATAATTCCTATTGAGAGCCCAAATGGCAAATCTTAATTGGCGCGCGCATATGGAAACGAGGGCGCAGCAAAAAATTAAATATATTGGAGAGGGCGAGAGATGACATCAGTGTTGAATAAAGAAAGAAATGATGTCAGAGATCGCGCGGTGCACTCGAGAGTTTTTTTTACTGCCCTTTGATGAGAAAAATAAAATGAGATTAACAGACGGAGGAGATGCTGGCCGACGAGATGCTAGAGCAGATGCCAGACACAGATTTGTCATAGTGTTGAAAAAAAATTGAAATTAACAAGAGCTACAAATAAAATAATGAGCTGCTTGAGAGGAAGCAGCGGAGTAATTTAAATATTTAAAATATTCGAAGTTTCAACGAAAACAAAGCTTTTGATTTAGCAAATTTCTTTTTAGATTTCACAAATTTTGTTTTTATAAATTTCTTGCCGTTCTTTTTGTTCATTAAAAGTGTATTTTTTTTAATTGAATTGAAATTTTATTTTGATTTTTGTCAAATTTAAGGTGCCTTGTTCAAAATGAGGGTTCCCCGAGTGTTGATCGCAGCCATTTTGGTGCTGCTGGTGATCGACGTGGTGACCTCAGAGAAACTGGTTCGCCTCGTTGTTACACAAAGTTGAATGTGTTTTATTTGTATTCATAATATTCCGCAGAGAAAGTACAAGAAGTTCAAGCACCCCCGCAAGTCTACCACGACCACAAGCACCACCACAGAAAGTGAGGTGCAGATTGATGAGGACGAAGATGACGCTGACCAGGATAATGTTCAACCTCAAGTCGGTACGAAAAAAATTCAATTTTTTAAATGAAAGATGATTAAAATTAGACGTTAGACGTTTGAATTTAAACAGAGCATTACAATTTGCGCAAAATTTAATTAATCTCACAAATTAAATCTTGTTTTCCTCTGACTAGGATCAAATTTTTACTTGTAGGTTTTTTATTCATTGTATCATTGGAAAAATTTTGTTTTAGCCAGTTTTAGCTTAAATTCAGCTCAGAAATTTAAATGCAGTAATTTTATAATATTTTATTTTTATGAAATTTTTATTCAAACAATCAATTTTTGATTTAAAACAATTTTTTTCATATATTTTAGAGCGAGTCAAGATTTTTTCAATATCAAATTAAAATACTTCATTTTTGAACATCATTCAATAAAAAATATTATTTTAATAAATTTATTAAAAAAATTACAAATAAAGTATTAAACTTTTATAAATAAGGCTTTATTGTAAAATTTATAAATTTAGAATAATTTTTTTTATACAGATCCCTGTTTGAAGAAGCACTGCGGTGCAGGTCGTATTTGCCAGAGCACCGAGGAAGGCGATGCCGAGTGCATTTGCATTGAAACCTGCCCTGAGGAAACCGATCCGCGCAGAATGGTATTAATTAATTTATTATTTATTAAAATAAAAATTTCTGATTTTGGATTAAAATTCAAGGTGTGCACCAACCAAAACACAACTTGGAATTCGGACTGCGAGGTGTACCGAATGCGTTGTTGGTGTGACAAGGGCATGGAGAAGTGCCAGGACGACAGCATGAAGCACCTGCACATCGAGTACTACGGCGAGTGCAGAGAAATGCCGGTAAAGAAAAGAAAATCTTAATTCTTTTTAGCCAACATGGTTATTTTATTTTAAAATTTATTTTCTTTTCTAAAAAAAGAGTATTGCTTTGAAAGAAAGGTCATTTGAGGAGAAAACTGGGAAGGAAATAAATATTTAAATCATTTAACAAAATTTTGGGAAATCAAATTAAAGGGATTTCAACAGGGACACATAATTAAAATGAGCAACATGCGGAGAAATGAAATTCGTTGCTATTTTCTCACTGGACTCTTCCCATTTTAATTCAATAGATTATTATTTTTTTTATGAATAAAGATGGTTTTCCATTGACTCGGGAAAGTAATTATAAAAATTTTGGAAGTTTTAGAAAATGTGAAAGTTTTTAATGATATTTGTTTTAGTCAAAATTATTATTCATTATTATTCAATTAAAATTGTAAATTTTTAATACAAAATTAGGATTTCAATTTTTTACTGGTCTCTTTTCCATTTTTTTTTTTTTTTATAATTGGAGTAAAATAAATTAACTTGTTGTTGCAAAAATGCAGGAGTGCAGCGACGAGGAGATGGACGACTTCCCTCGCCGCATGCGTGACTGGCTTTTCAACATCATGCGGGACATGGCCGAGCGCGACGAGCTGACCCAACACTACAAGGAGATGGAGCTGGAGGCTGAGAACAACCAGACGCGTCGCTGGACCAACGCCGCCATCTGGAAGTGGTGCGACCTGGACGGCGAGCCGCACGACCGCAAGGTGTCCCGCCACGAGCTCTTCCCAATCCGCGCGCCCCTCATGGCCCTCGAGCACTGCATCGCGCCCTTCCTCAACAACTGCGACGAGAACGACGACCACAAGATCTCCCTCAAGGAGTGGGGCAAGTGCCTCCAGGTCGACCCTGTGAGTATCACCTTTAATATTTCGAAAATAAATATATTCATTTTTATTCACATATAAAATAAAAAATAGTGTCAAAAATTGATATTTATTTTGGAAGATGAAAAATTTGAATATTGGGGATTTTTTTTAACATGAAAAGTCAAACTTTTACCATTTATATAATGGTTACTCTGATTTTTTTTTTTTCATTAATTTAGTTAGATATTTTAAAAAAAGAGGGATTAATGTGATTTTTCACATTTAACTGTGCAAGGAAAACTGATTCTTTTTTATTATATTAGAATAATATCATCAAGTTTTAATAAAATGAAATAATACTTTGATAATTAATTTTTTTCTGCCTCTAACTTTAATTATAATTTTATCAACTCTGGAATTATGCATTAATGGTCTTCAGATAATTAATTTCTGAATTAATAAGAGGTAAATTTTTGTTCTTAAGAGCCAAGTTTTTATGTTTCGGTATGGAAACACGAAAAAAATTATCTATAAATTGATTTTTTTTTTTAAATTTCATGATATTATAATTGGAATTCTTTCAAACGTTATCTACCAAATAAATTTTAACAAAAAGAAGTTTGTCATTTCAATATGTTCTCCTTTGTGAAATGGATGCGTCCACCTATTTGAAAAATTCCTTTTTGAGCTTAGAATTAATTTTAAAAAAAGGTAGAAAATTGTGGATATGTAAAAGAATTGGATTGATTTTGATTTTTAAATTTTATTATATTTAGTATGGAAAAATTATTTGTTGATTTTTTTTCCAATTATATGATGATATTATTTGCTATTTGGAGAAGGGACTTTATAAATTGCGCCATTTGTATGGTAATGATTAGCATGAGATGAATGATGGCATATTTTTTCACAATTTATTAAACGATAAGTAATAAAAAATCTTCCAATTAAGATTGCAAAATTATTTACTTCAGTTAAGGTTTTTTTAATTGGAATTTAAGAAAAATTTAAAATAAACCAGCTTCTCAGTTGACCGTGAAAAATTTAATGATTTATCATTTGATGCATTATTCGGAGTTTCTCTTTTGAATCACAATTGAAATATGTGTCACTTTTTGCAGGATGAGATGGAAGATCGTTGCGAGGATGTGCGCGGAGAATAATTTCTCTCCTCTCGTCTTGTATAATTGCAGCGCAGAAATATCCTCTCTTGAGCTTAACAGAGTCACTAACATCACTGCCCTTTTTGTATAACCTACATTTATGGAAATCCACTACCGTAAAAGCGCATTTTAATAACAACAACAACAACAAAAACCGAGAGAGAAGATCATGGAGAGCAGAAGAACACACAGGCATTTCTTATATTTGTAGCAAACTCGTGATTTGGAAATAAAAACTACTTTAAGGCACAGTACACAATTATAGACTAAACGCGTGCAATTTTCTTTTGCCAAAATGAAAAGAACGCCTCAAACCAGTTTATAATAATTATACCTTTGGTCAACACTCAGAGAAAGTCGCCCTGCAAAAATCGTGCTAAACTGGAACGAAGAAATTTGACCAAATAAAAATGAATTAAACCTTCCAGCCTCAATAATTATTTATAAATAACAAATCAACAGGGCGTTGCCGTCTTCATTAGCATAATCCGATGTGATACGCAATGCATGTGTGCGTAATGGAGCATTTTTTTCTTTCATTACCCCACTTGACAATTTGCGCAGAGCGACGGCAGTGCTATCGGTGTGAGGGTTACTTTCACTTTCGTCGCGTATTTTGCCGGTTCCGAACCTTGCTTTGCGCCGATTCCACCGCAATCATGGCTTGGCTGTTGGAGAGGTCGGGTCGCGACGAGGTGGCCAATCTCGACACAAACCAGCTCGGAATCGACGAGGCCTTTTTGACTTTTGATTTGGGCAACAGGAGCCAAGCATGGCTCTACACCCTTTCCGAAGATTGCCACAAGGTAAAAATTATGGACAGTTTCCCTTTTTTTTGTAATTTAATTATTTGAAATTAAGGTAACTCTACCAATTGGCTCTAGAAATTTTCTGTAGTTTTTTCTCTTTGAAAAATAATATGGATTTCATTATTTTTTTCAAGCAGTAATTGAAATTTTGAGGTAGAATTTCACGATTCATGGTGATTTGAATTTAAAATCGGCTTTTCCTTGATGGGTTTTGTGAGTTTTTTTTTATTGTTTAAGAAAAACAAAATCCTGCTCTACATGTTTCGGCTGCGGGCTGAAGCCATAATTAATGAGCTGCGAAAACATTTTGGCAAGAATAAAAAATATTTGTCTTTCACATTAAGACTTTTTCGTGAAAAAATTATTCAAAGGTTACATTTATACACAAAACTATTTTTTTTTTTTTTAAAGAAATGTATTTAAAAGTATAAAAAAAAATGGTTCTTGTACTAATTCTTGTCAAAATGATTTCACAGCCGCAGCCCGCAGCTGAAATATGTAGTAGCAGGATATTTTTTTTCTAAAACAATAAAGAACTCACAAAAATAATTGAGGAAAGGCAGCGACTTTAAATTCATATCAACAATATTGAAATGTTGATTTAAATTAAAAATTTTGTTTGTTATAGCAACAATATTCACATTAAACGCAATACTGAATTTTAAAAAACGAATCTTCAGATAAATTCAATCAAGGTCCTCAATTTTTTTCATGAAAATTAATCCCATGAAAAAAATCAAGTTTGATTTATAGCCGAATTGTATAAAACATACTATATAATTATAAAAAATTAACAATGTAAAAGTGAAAATTTAAAAAAAAAATCATGGTTTATAAATTTTTTGCTGCTAACATATGTATTTTGTCTAGCCATGACCTTGACGAAGGAGCTTCTAGGTTATCTTTAGTGGGCTTAAAGGATTATAACTTTTAGGCCAATGCTGATTGAGAGATATCAAGGTTTTTGCTAGGTTTAGATATCCAATTTTGGCGAAAATTTTTATTAGGACAAACTTATAAATTTCAATCTTATTATTAAATACATAATTTTTCGCGTCAAAATATGAGGATTCTCATTTCGTGAATGGAATTATTTTTTGACATTATCAACTTTCAAAAAATATTCTGCCAATCTTATTTTTCAAATACAATATGTCATACTTATGCAGGAAAATGTGTCAACTTCTTTGCCAAATCCATTAATTAATATTCATAATATTATTCTTTGTTTGATTACGCATGATTTTTATTTGGTCTTGAATATTAATTCGATTTCAGTGTCCATTCGAGCTCAACTCGAAAATCGGTCACCTCGAGTCAAATGTGACGAAAATCAGCACAAAGCACGCGTGGACTTTGCTTTTGACTGAAAGTGACGAGGGTCTGTTCGTGAAAAACAGCTCAAGGTAATTAGATGTGTGTGGAAGTATCGCCCTTGAGTGTGCTGCCTATCATCTGGGTTAATAACGCTCGCATTTACAATCGCGGCGACACACATTGTTTTGCGTCGCGATTATTTCATATAATTTTGTTTAAAAAAATTAAAATTTTTAAATCAAACTTAGCTTTCATCAAAAGAATCGGAAATATAACATTTCTTATAAAAATAATTATTTAAACTTTGTTTCTCCGAAGTTCAAAATTTAAGAAGAAAAGTTTAAATTTAAATAAAATTGATTGCGAAATAAAATAGCAGAATTTAATTTTAATTCAAGAAGGAAAATTTTAAATTTATTTTAGTTGGTGCATTTTTTATTCCTATTTTTAGTGGTTTAAATAAAAATTATTATAATTTCAAAAAAGAAATTTCTGTGATTTTACGTAATTTAATTTTATTTTAATTATTTCTATAATATAAAAATATTTAACAAAATAAAAAAAATGATATTTTATATAAACTAAATTCAATTAAGCCATTAAAAAAAAAACTACATAAAAAGAGTTTTTTATTGTTTCTACATTTTCTCTTTTAATTTGGTTTTAATTCATTTCTCAGCAAGATTTGCGAGTTGCAAGCCAGCCTCGGACAATTCGGAATCTACAATGTGAAGGCGGACAAATGCAAAATTGACGTTATTTCTAAACCGGTCAATATTTACGCCCGTACGTTAATAATTTTTATTTTTTTTTTTAAATCCAATTTTCATTAATTCCATTTTTTTTCCAGCTCTAATTGCAGTGGCGTCCCTACTTGTATTGATCGGAGTGATTTTGGGCTTCATCAGCAGCGTTCTTAATTATTGCAGAAAAAAGCAGAAATTTGAGCCGGATCGTGAATCAAGCAAACCGGAAAATAATGTTCAACGGCGACGCGTTTCTTCACTGGACACTTTCCGAGGGTTACAAAAACTGATATTTAAATAAACAAATGTGTTCATTTTAATTTTTTTATACAGGATTAGCATTTTACTGATGATTTTCGTCAATGACGGAGCTGGCGGTTATCAAATTTTGGAACACGTGACCTGGGACGGTTTGCAATTGGCAGATTTCGTTTTCCCATGGTAAAAAATTCAAATATTGAAAAATTGCATTAATTAATAATAATTTAGGTTTCTCTGGATAATGGGCGTCTGCATTCCCATTTCAGTTAAATCACAGTTGAAGAGAAAATCTAACAAGTTTTTAGTTTTAATCTCAATTTTCAAGGTTGGTGAAATATTCTAAATATTTGGAAATTTATAAATTTCTTTTAACAAATTTTTTGAATTAATACAGAGATCATGCATTTTATTCGGACTGGGAGTGATGCTGAACACCCTGGGCGTTGGACCCAAATTGGAAACTCTGCGAATCTTCGGAGTTCTGCAGCGATTTGGTATTTTGTATTTTTTGACAGCCGGAATTTGCACGATTTTTTGGCCAACCAATTTAAAAACGGTATAGAATGATTAAAAAATTCAATAATTTAGCAATAAAATTAATTATTTTTCCAACAGACCGGTAGATTTTTAGATCTGCGAACCCTTTTTCCGCAATGGATCGTCCACTTGCTCTTGCACGCCGCCCACTTGCTAATCGTTTTTCTTTACAAAATCCCCGGATGCCCGACGTAATAAAAAAATCTGAGAAATTGAAGATTAATGAATATTTTTTTAATTCTTAGTGGCTATTTTGGTCCTGGTGGCATCAGCGAAAACGGACTCTATGTAAATTGCACCGGTGGAGTTTCTGCGTACTTGGACAAACTGATCTTAGGAGGGCAAACACATCTGTACCAAAACCCTACGACAAAGTTCGTCTACAAAACAGGGCCATTTGACCCTGAAGGACCCTACGGTAGGTTTTAAAACTGGTATTGGAAAAATTGCTAAAAACTTGCTGTAGTGATAGAAAAATGAATTGTGAAAGTGCAAATTGCACTCCAAAATTTTTAATCTTAATTTATTTTTAATTTTATCTAACCGCTTTGATTATTTTTACTTTTTTGCAAGCAATATTAAATTTAAAAGTTAAAATATTTTGGATTTTTTGTTTAAATAATAAAATTTCTTTTCCTTGTCTACTTCAAAAATTTTAAAGCTTAAAATAATCCTAATTAAAAACAATTCCTTTTAAATTTCAACGAAAATTCTCTTTTTAAAGGAGATTTTTTTCAAAAGATTGAATTTTTTATAAAATTTAAGGTTGCCTTCCATCTCTGCTGACTGTGTTTTTGGGAGTGCAAGCCGGAGCAATTTTGCTTTTGTACAAAAAGTCAAGTGAGAGACTTGTGAGGTGGTTTTTATGGGGCGCTGTGTGTCTCGTATCGGGATTTGCCATCTCCATCATCATCCCAATCAACAAAAACTTATGGTAGTAATTCTAAAATTAAAATTATACACAAAATTAAATTTACACTCACAATATCAGGTCGACAACCTTCAGCCTTTGTACGAGTGGGTCGGCTTTCTTGGTGCTCGTCCTTTGCTACATTCTCATCGACAAAATCTCCCTCTGGAACGGAGCTCCCTTCCTCTACCCTGGTGAGACAAAAAATTTAAATTATTTCAAAATTAACTGAATTTATTTTCAGGAATGAATGCGACAATAATGTACGTCGGCCACATGGTGGCTTACCAGTTGTGGCCGTGGCACTGGTCCTTCGGTCGGATGGACACGCACTTGATTCTGCTCGTGGAGGCTCTTTGGGGCGTTGGTTTGTGGACGATCATCGCCTACATACTTTTCAGGAAAAAGTTTTTCTTGTCCATATAAATTATTAAAAAGATCTGTGGTTTTTTGTACTCAAAATAGATCACATCTTATTTATTTTTTTAAATCGATTTGAAAACGAAAATATTAATCCCTGCAGAATAAATAATGGGAGAGACTTTTGACTTTTTGTGATAAAATAGTTACTGAGATTTTAATTAAATGGCACTTTTGAGACTGAAGTCGAGTTCTTCTCCGCTCGGCAGAGGAGCGAAGTAGGAGTCGATTGTGGCGTCTGAGACTTCGGCAAGGGTGGCTGGTTTCCATTTGGGATTGTTGTCTCGATCAACGAGGACACTTCGAACACCTACAAGTACAAAAAGATCAAAATTTTTAACAAATCCAGAGAATTTCATTTCATAACAATTTTTACGTTGCTATCAAATTAAAAAATCCGCGAAACAAAATTGATTTGTTCAATTATAAATTAAATCTTTGGGTATTTGCATGAAGAATAAAATTAACCTTCAATGAAATCGTGACCGGCACAGCATCGTTGGGTAAGGCGGAACTCCATCTGCAGGCACTCTTGCAGATTCTTCTGCTTGCCCAGCCTGAGTTGTTTCATGGTGATTTTGAGCGAGGTCGGTGACATCTTGTTGAGGGTTGCGGCAGTTTTCTTGGCCCACTCGGAGCCGTTGCTCTCCAACTTTTGCAGGATTTCCTCGACAGACTCGGGGGCAAAGGTGGCGTCGATGTCCTGCAGGGTGGGGGCCAAGGAGAATGGCCGGCCGGCAAGGTCCGCGTCGTTGAAGGAGTTGAGGACTCCTGCAGGGTCCTTTTCCGCAATCAGGGCAGCCTCGAGCTCGGCCAACTTTTCACTGTGCACAATGTGAGTGGCCACACCTGCGTGGAGGACGTCAGGACCCTTGAGACGATACCCTGAATTAAACAAAATTTCAAATAATATCTTTTTTTCTTTTTAATAAGATAAAATTATACCTGTCAGGGCTAAATAGTGACCAAGTCGACCTGGAAGTCGAGAGAGGAAATAACTGCCTCCGACGTCAGGGAAAAGTCCGATGGCCGTTTCTGGCATGGCGAACAGGGTCTTCTCCGTGGCCACCCTGAACCTTCCATGCACAGAGAGACCGACTCCTCCGCCCATGGTGATTCCATCGATCAAGGCCACGTACGGGACCTTCAGTCGGTTGATGAGGGCGTTCAACTGGTACTCGCCGTAGAAAAAGTCGTAGGCAAAGCGGTCCCCCGTTTTGGCAGCCTCGGTCACGGCCCTCACGTCACCACCGGCGCAGAAAGCTTTTTCACCTGAAATTGCAAAATTAATTAAAATTAATTAAGAATGCAGATTTGGAAGTAAATTTAAAATTATACCTGCACCCTTCATGATGATGAGCGACTTGTCCTTGTCCCACTGCTCGAGGACGGGCGTGATTTGCCGAATCATGTTGAGATTCAAAGCGTTCAGGGCCTTGGGGCGGTTCAGGGTGATGACACCCTTGTCCCCGATGGTTTGGACGACGACTTCATCCGTGGCCGTGTACATGCGGCGCAGGGCTTGGAGGGACACGTGAGCCGGTCGCCGAAGCTGCGAGTAAAAGGTGAGCAATTCACACGGGAAAGATATTTGACTAGTCACTCTGAACGAAGTTAATTACCATAATTATAAGGGCGCAGATCGCTGTGCCGGCTTCAATTAACTGAAATGGCGAGGCGGACAGGGAAAAGGAAATTCTGTGGTTTCTTTTTTTATTTACGTTTTAAATATTGATAGTTGCCAGAAGATGGCAGGGCAGTTGCCCTTGAAAAAAAATAGAAAGGATAAATTAAATTATCGTTTATTTTGTCTATCACAATATCACATACTATTTTTGATATCAAAGATATATTAGATATTTTGTTATTTGTTTAAATTTATTTTAACTTCATTGCTTATGCACACTAACGTGAATATTTTGGGTGGCCCTGAAAAGGGCCGATTTTCGCCGTTGGTGTTGTTAACAGCTTAGCCGCCGAAGCCGTAAAGGGTGCGTCCCTGCCTCTTCAGAGCGTAGACGACGTCCATGGCGGTGACGGTCTTCCTCTTGGCGTGCTCGGTGTAGGTGACGGCGTCGCGGATCACGTTCTCAAGGAACACCTTGAGCACGCCGCGGGTCTCCTCGTAGATGAGTCCGGAGATACGCTTGACTCCGCCGCGGCGAGCCAGACGGCGGATGGCGGGCTTGGTGATGCCCTGGATGTTGTCACGAAGCACTTTGCGATGACGCTTGGCGCCTCCCTTTCCGAGTCCCTTGCCTCCTTTGCCACGGCCAGTCATGATGATGCTGAGAAGCTTCGCTCGAAACAGATGCCTTCTGACGCAAACACGGCCTATATATGTACCGACGGTTGCAAGCAACGAACGGTTTTCTCGCCGACCAATGGGAGACGAGTGTGAGACCGTTGGCGAGGGGCGGGGCTTTGGTTTGCAATAAATACAGCACTTTGCTTCCCAAACTTCATCGTCTCGTCGCTCATCCGCCAGAGAACAACTTACCATGGCCCGTACCAAGCAAACTGCCCGCAAGTCGACCGGAGGAAAGGCTCCCCGCAAGCAGTTGGCCACCAAGGCTGCCCGCAAGAGCGCCCCTGCCACCGGAGGAGTCAAGAAGCCCCATCGCTACAGACCCGGCACGGTCGCTCTCCGTGAGATCCGTCGCTACCAGAAGAGCACTGAGCTGCTGATCCGCAAGTTGCCCTTCCAGCGTCTCGTCCGTGAAATCGCCCAGGACTTCAAGACCGACCTGCGCTTCCAGTCGAGCGCCGTAATGGCCCTGCAGGAGGCCAGCGAGGCCTACTTGGTCGGCCTCTTCGAGGACACCAACTTGTGCGCCATCCACGCCAAGCGCGTCACCATCATGCCCAAGGACATCCAGCTTGCCCGCCGCATCCGCGGAGAGCGTGCTTAAGCAGTAACAACAACGGCGAAAAATCGGCCCTTTTCAGGGCCACCAAAATTCTCAAGTAAAAATACTAAGCAATTTATGTATCTATGGTTTAAATGATCAGTTTACAATTTTTATTTAAACGTTAACGTATTTTAAAGAATTATTTTCGCTGATGCTTTAAGTTTGATGAAGTATAATTTTCACTAAAGCTTAAGCTTTGCTATGTTTTGGAATACTTATTATTTATTTTTTCTTGGGCAGCAATATTTCAATTTTTCATAAAAAAATTTGTGAGAATTCAAGTGGTGTTGGCTTCATTTTTATTTTTTAAATTTAAATAATCAGATTATCCTTGACTGACCATCCTTTAAATAGAAATAAACACACCTCAAGAAAAAAAGTTGAATTACAGAAAAAATTAAAATTGTCAAAGATTTCAGTTTTTCTTTTAGAGATTTCCATTGTAGATTGTTAACTTAATATTGTAAAAGCATTCTAAATTATTTATTACAGTTACGTCAGCAGGTACAAAAAAATAATGCCACGATTGATGATGGAATAAAAAAAAAGATTAATATATAATTTTCTAGGGGTCTTCTGGTGAAAATAAATATCTATAATTAAATTATTATAATTTATTCTTCTGGGTCAATTATATACTTTGAAAATATTATGTTTAGTAAATTTATTGACGCTAAAAAGTTTGGCTCATTGATTTACTATTTTTAATTGTACTTTTGCTACATTGCATTATTGAATGCAATTATTGATTGCAATAAATCAGGACTAATATATTTTAAAGCAAAACCCTGAACAGAAATGTGAAGTTTATCTAAAAGTAGAACATTGGTTGTCTGAATTTTCATTTCTTCCAGTCCAGTCTAGGAGCGTAAACTGGAAGGAGACAGAGGAATCTTTTATGCATAGGGTTGAGTTGTGTGATTTTTCCTGGTTCCCTTAATTTAAATTTCTTTAATTTCTGCAAAATATGGCCCTCGACAAGTTCCTCGGTGAGATCTGGCAGGCCAGGAAAACTGAAAATGCAGTTTGCAGATATTGAGATTTCCTCCAAATTCGGCGCTGCCAGAACAAGCAACATTAATGCAGCTCCAGGGGAAATATGAAAATTCCAATAATATAGGACATGTAATGAAAATGAAGTGATTTATCAATATACAAATTTTCCCTCGTTTAGTGTATATACCATTTATTGCTATTGAATATTTCAGTGCTAATTGATCATGAGATTAAATGATAATATCAAATTATAATAAACGTTTAAATTTTAATTCTTTGCAACTACAAATTTTAAATCGTCATTGCTCGTGTTCTTATTTGAATTTTTTGAGTGGCCCTGAAAAGGGCCGATTTTCGGAGTTCTGATGAAGACTTATGCCTTCTTGTCGGTCTTCTTGGGGAGGAGGACGGCCTGGATGTTGGGCAGGACACCTCCCTGGGCGATGGTGACGCCGGAGAGCAGCTTGTTCAACTCCTCGTCGTTGCGGATGGCGAGCTGCAAGTGACGGGGGATGATTCTCGACTTCTTGTTGTCGCGGGCGGCGTTGCCGGCCAACTCGAGGACTTCAGCGGCCAAGTACTCCATGACGGCGGCCAGGTAGACGGGGGCGCCGGCACCGACGCGCTCAGCGTAGTTGCCCTTCCTCAGCAGACGATGGATTCTGCCGACGGGGAACTGAAGTCCGGCACGGCTGGAGCGGGTCTTTGCCTTACCCTTCACCTTTCCTCCCTTTCCACGTCCTGACATGATAAGTTAGTTGAGTGTTGCGGCGGGGTCGACGATAGTGATGCCGCGATAGGTACAGGTTAACCTAAAACCTATCAAAAATAACCGGTTTTTTAGGTTAGGTAGGTTTTTTTTAAAAACCTATCGTAACCTAAAACCTAATAATTTTGGTCTAACCTATCAATTTTTTTCTTAGGTTTTAGAAAAAATTTTTTTTGAAAAAAATGCGGAAAATGCAGTCTAACCTATCAATTTTTTTCGTAGGTTTTAGAAATTTTTTTTTTTTTTGAAAAAAAAATGCGAAAAATGAAAAAAAAAATCGCGAAGCGTAAGGTCGTTTCATGCTAGAAAATTTAATTTTATGTCATTTTTATAAGTTAATTTTAACCAAAATTTAGAAACTCATTTTCAATACATAAAAAGAATATAGTTATTGAGGGAAATTTAATTTTATGCAAAACATATCTCACAAGTCGACAAGTCACATCCCAGCGCTCATCGCTGATTTATCTTTCTAACTAGTTTCTAGGCTGTCGACGCGAATATGTATATATGGAATAAAATTGAAACTATACATAGCTTGATTTAGCAATGTTGGAAATAACATGATAAAATTGATCAAACACGCATATCCAATCTGTGTATGCGCGTTTATTATTATTATTATTTGGGGTCAGGCCAAGTCAAAATCTTGTGAACCCATTATTGATATGGTGCAGAAGGCACCACCCTTTTTTTCTTTTATAACTTTATAAACTTTATTTAATACCATCGTTTTTTGCTGGCATAAGTGTCTTGGTGAGTAATTTTGGATAAAAATGTTATCTGGACCATAGAAGCCAACTTTAAAATGTGTTGAAACTAAAATATTGTTTTATTAAAAAACAGTTTTTCAACAAGAAAATATTTTTTTAAAGTTTGGATAAATTTTTTAGAATTAGTTTTTGGCACCTTAAATTCAATTTTAATTAATCTAGAAAGCAAATAAAAAACAAGGGAAATGTACATAAAGAGTCCAATAAATTATTTACTGCCGTTAAAAATTTGCGAAAAGCCGAAAAAGTGCACGGAGATCTCAGAAATCTATCAATGGAATTATGATTAAAAAAAAATTAAAATTAAATTTGCATTTAAAAAAAGTCAAAGTACTAACAATCATAATAAAAATATCAAAAATATATACGCGTACACATAAGTTAATGAAAATTATTTTCATAGTGATCTGAAAGACCAATTGGATCAACTTGAGACTGACGCCTACAAACATTATTGTAAATGAATATAGTCAGCAACATGTAACTTTTGTTGCTGGGCTATTTAAGCAGACAGATTAGATGTGAGCCATTTCCTTTTCTTTTTTCCTAATTTTTTTTTTAAATTTTTTTTTATCGAAGAGAATATAATAATGGCTAGTTCTCCTCCAAAACATGATCTTGCAAGATTATTAAAAATAGTAGGCATGCTGGGTGGCATGTAATTTTTCGTTGCATATTCTATTGATATATTTCTTAGATCTCCGTACACTTTTCGGCTTTTAGCAAACTAAACTAATCTAATCTAGCTGAATAACCTTAAAAAAGGCCAAAAAGGGAAAGAAATAAAAATGGCGCAGAGTGCAAAACGCAAAACATCTTCCGACCGTTTTGTGTTTGTTCATTTTTTAAACTATTTTTTTAGTTGAATGGAAATTGCGGCTAATAATATTTTAATTATTATATTGCTTTGTATGATCAATGATTGTGTTGCCATGCATTTGCAAGCTGACCTTGACGTTGATTTTGTGAGAGAGGGTAATGGTCAATCCAGGGTCAATCAAAAATCAAAATATATAATAAAAAGAAGAAATAAATTAATGTTGATAAATTATTATATAAATTAAAATAATAATTTGAACAGAAATTTATTTATTTGGCACTGCGTTAGGTCTACTAGATTTATTTTTGCTCATTCTGATTTTAAAATAGGTTTACGGTAAAATATTTAGATAATAGAATTTTGCAATCTTTGATTAATAACTGCAGTCAATTTTAATAGTATTTTTCTTGTCAGCCGCAGCCGAAAAAACTCATGAAATTATTAATAGCGCAACACCCTTTGTAACTTGTAGCTGTAAAATAAAAAATAAAATATTTAACTAATTAAAACGATTATCTAAAAAAAAAATAAAATAAATCGATGCAAAGCTATAAAAAAAATGTATCATGTTAAAGCACGTAATTAAAAAAAAAAAAAAAAAAAAATATAATAATAACATGAAGCGAGCGAAGCGAGCGCGAAATTTTTAGGTATAGGTTAACCTAAAACCTAAAAAAAATCACCTAATACCTAAACCTGTTACCTATTAAAAATAACCTACCTATCCTATTATAGGTTTTATACCGGTACAAAAACGGCATCACTAGTCGACGAAACTGGAACAGATAAATATTTTCTGACAACAGCTTCATTATATACCAATGAACCGGAGTGGGGCGCAAAACCGGTCGATAGGAGCAGCAGCGCCCTCCGAGCCAATCAGCGGAGAGGAAACAGGAAACTAGCGTTGCGCTGCGAGTGCGTCAGTGCGACTGGCTCGCATCACACACAACACACTCTCCGTCCCTGATTCCGTAATCTGTACTGATTCTGATATATACGGCCTAACGGCCATCGGCGTAGCCGTAGATGTTGACTGTTGAGATCAATTGTCAGCAATTGTAAATAATGTAAATCGCACTCACTCCGATGAGCCATCCTTAATTTTTGTATATTTTGTGAGCAAATAAATTCAATAACATAGCACAAAAGTGAATTGAATTGAAATATTATTATAAAAATTGATAACAATTTTTAAGATTATTCTTTTTAGGTTTTCAATAGTTTTTTTAGTCAAGAGAGCTGAGAGTAAAGAGTAAACTGTAATTTATTTTTATTAAAATATTTTTCACAGCTAAATTTATTAAATAAATTTATTAGATTTAATATTTTCAGTATAAAAAAATATTAAACAAATTAATTTTAATCATAAAAATAAAAATTATAATTAAATATTCGATAATGCAAATTTAAATTATTAATCATACAAAATCCTTATCAATTTTCCTTCTCACTCTCAATCTCTTCGCCGCTGCCGTAGCGACAACACACTGAATTATTATTACTGCCGGACATTCTTTGTTTTATACAGCTTTTTCCCTGGCGATTCTGATTTCTGATCATGATCGCACTAAATGACTGATGATGCATGAAATTCAAATAACCTGCAAGATTATAATCACTTGATTTTATTTTCTTTTTATTTTTAAAAAATACATAATTTGTTTTTAGCAGAAGTCATAAAATGTTATTAATTTCTATTCCCACGCGCTTTTTGCTTCGCAGTAAAGCCGATATGAGCTATTTTATTTAGCATTACTTATATTGTAATTTATTTAAATGCTAAAAGTTGCGGTTTAAATTGTTTCTGTAAATAATTTAAACAGTTAATTATCTTGCGACCGTCAATGGTGAATGTGGTGCTTGAGACACTAGTGATTAAAGACTAAATTATCAACTTTTGTATTTTGTATCATTGCTTTGCGTAACATTTACGTGAAAGATTTGGGTGGCCCTGAAAAGGGCCGATTTTCGCTGCCGCTGGATATTGTGGCGCAGCTTACTTGGAGCTGGTGTACTTGGTCACGGCCTTGGTTCCCTCGGAAACGGCGTGCTTGGCCAACTCGCCGGGCAGGAGGAGACGCACGGCGGTCTGGATCTCCCGGGAGGTGATGGTGGAGCGCTTGTTGTAGTGAGCGAGACGGCTGGCCTCAGAGGCGATGCGCTCGAAGATGTCGTTGACGAATGAGTTCATGATGCTCATCGCCTTGCTGGAGACGCCGGTGTCGGGGTGGACCTGCTTCAGCACCTTGTAGATGTAGATGGCGTAGGACTCCTTCCTGCGCTTCCTCTTGCCCTTCTTGTCGGACTTGGTGATGTTCTTCGAGGCTTTGCCCGACTTCTTGGCGGCCTTTCCGGAGGTTTTGGGTGGCATGGTGAGTGCGGTTCAGTGGCAACTGATGCTGATGCCTACTACGCTGGTCGCAGTTTATATTCCAAAAGGCCGGGGTGCAGCGCGAGCCGATCGCAGCGCCACGCTAGTTTCCTCTCCGCCGATTGGCTCGGAGGGCGCTACTGCTCCTATCGACCCGTTTCGCGCCCCACTCCGGCTCATGGGTATATAAACAAGCTATTGGAGTACCGTAAGCATCTGTTTCGTCGACTTGACACCGCCGCAACACTCAACCGTAGCATCATGTCTGGACGTGGAAAGGGAGGAAAGGTGAAGGGAAAGGCAAAGACCCGCTCCAGCCGTGCCGGACTTCAGTTCCCCGTCGGCAGAATCCACCGTCTGCTGAGGAAGGGCAACTACGCCGAGCGCGTCGGTGCCGGCGCCCCCGTCTACCTGGCCGCCGTCATGGAATACTTGGCCGCTGAAGTCCTCGAGTTGGCCGGTAACGCCGCTCGCGACAACAAGAAGTCAAGAATCATCCCCCGTCACTTGCAGCTCGCCATCCGCAACGACGAGGAGTTGAACAAGCTGCTCTCCGGCGTCACCATCGCCCAGGGAGGTGTCCTGCCCAACATCCAGGCCGTCCTCCTCCCCAAAAAGACCGACAAGAAGGCATAAGTCGTCATCAAAACTCCGAAAATCGGCCCTTTTCAGGGCCACCCAAATAATTCAAATAAGAATACATAAGCAATATTAGCTACCACATCTAAATTGATTTCAGAAATAGGAATTAGGAATATGAAAAGATTTTTGACTGAAAACACGGCTCACACAATAATAGTTGAAATAATTTTTTAAATAAATCTTTTTATTTTATCGTGGAATATATAATAATTTAAAAATTAATTATCTTAAAAATCTTTTATCAATTTATTACATTCAATGTTGCTGCAATTTCGACTTCCAAGCCATCAACTGCTACGGTAGTGACGGTAAATCTTGAAACAGTATAAGTCCTTATAATATTGTTATTTTTTTATTATAAATGAACAGTAAAATCAAAGTGCCTGAAGCTCTGAGAATTTATTTCTGAATGCTACTTGCGGATTCCACTTGTTCTTTGACTAGCCGACCATTTTAAATACAAAGTATTTTACTTCAGAGACCTACGAATGTACGAATTACGAATCTGATTTCCTCCGAGACACAATTGACTACGCCAAATATAAAGCTCATTTACATGCAAATTTGGACAAATTGAATGTATTGTAGGGAGCAAAATTATCAGTGCCTCACCCTACGTTTTTGAGATTCCTCAGTCATTACATATTATGTTACTGTTAATTTTTGGATAAACTAAATATTCGCTTTGCATTTTCATACGAATTCCAGTTTTCAGTTTACGCTAGATGGAAATAATTAGACCATAAAAAAATATAATGTAATAAAATATAAAATTTTACTGTTAAAAAAAGCTAAAAATTTTTGTGTATAACATTTGAGAAAAATTCAAAAGTAATTAATAATCAGTAATTAAGTAGAATTAATTATTATTTTGAGTTGATTAATTACTTCTCATTTTATTCATATTATTATTATTGGTATCCTTTCGAGGTAAGAGTAGTATTCATTATTAAAAAGAAATACTTCGATCAATATAATTATAATAAAGGGAAATATTAAAAAAAATTAAAGTTGAAAAATTACATTAACAAAAAGAAGCATCCTTTTCAAAATTGTTTATAATTAATTTTTATTTAAGACAAAGTATAAGAAATATTTTTTAATAATTATGCGTCACATTTCAGAAAATTGTTAACGGATCATTTTAAATTATTTCCCGTAGTAGTAGGTGTTTCCGTTTGACCACTTGATGCTGGATACGCACTCCTTGCGGAACCAGATTTTGCCAGCCTCGCAGGGGAATCCCTTGGTGGCTCCTGCGACTGCCGCGGCCGGTTCGTCGTCCATCGCCGATTTCTTCTCCGCGGTCATCTTATTCATCATCTGGCCTGCACTTTTCGGCTCCATCGTGTCGGCCGATCGGGCCATCGGCATCACGTCGGCCTTCTTCATCATCAGCATCTCCTCGGCGGGAAAGGCCAGGGCCAGGCCCATGAGCAGGACGGAGCAGAGGGCGGCGGACTTGAGCATCTCGGCGGTCAGCGACGACTGCGGTGCTTCTCCACCTTGGCCCAGCCGTTTTATACCTTTTTATTTTTGACGGCCAAGGTTGAGAGCCTTTGATGTGCGGCATCCCGGATTTTGCGTAAAAAATAATAAGAACCATTCATCAAGGCTAATAAGATGAGCGCAAAGAAAAGAAAAGAAAAGTGAAGCTCTCGGCTAAAAAAAAAAAAATGTGCAGAGAGCTCTAATTATATGAGCGCGTGCAAATAACTCGCTTGACTAATAAGCAGAGTTTTAAATTAAACGTGACCATGCTGTCAAGTGCCGGAAATATTTATCCACGAAAATTTAGTGCAGCAATTTAATTTGAGTGTAAAAACAATTGCGTAAAATATAAAAAGTTTTTATTTTAAAATCCAAACAAATAAAGAAACAATAATATATTAAAATCAAAATCTCCATTTTTAATAATGAATAATTTAATTTATAATGATGAGCTAAATAAAATAAAACTGATATATTAAAAAAAAAATTAACCTCAAACAGAAATGTTTATTTCAGTCTTTATTCGTAATATGAATAAGATTTAAAAAATTAAAATTGCTGTTTTTTTAAGAGTCAAAGTGATCTTCTTGATCATTTTAAATGTTTGCGTTTTATCGCAATTTACAAAACGTCTCTTAACAGTTTTGTTGGACCAAATAAATAAAATTGGACCAATTAAAATTTCATGCACTTAATATTTTATATTTATGAATTATTATTAAAAATAATAGATACTTTTTGAACGACACGAGCTTCCTGATTCATTTTTCATCTTTTACCATTTCATTACATGTTATTTGGATAATTTAATTCTTTAAATCACGATCTCATTGTGTTCTTCCATATTACGAAACGCGCTATGTCTTGCTTAATAGGCGGCTGTCAGATTTTAAGAGAACCCTTCAAGAGAATGCGATATCCAAGTTCCAAGGTCAATATTTATTTAGCGATGAGCTAAGTAAGTATGAGCCGCAATTGGCGATCAACTCTTGCTTCCTCACAATAATAAAAAGATGAACAGATAAGGAAAAGTTTTCAATTATTTTATCACAATGATGATTTTTTAATATGAAAGGAGATAATCTACATTGAGCGGAATTAGTAATATTTATCGTCAAAAGGCACAAAAACAATAATAAATGGAACAAAATTAACCGACAGAGAAGCGTAGCTTCATCAGAAAAATGAATATTTTCTTTTACCACTCAGCTCCTCGCAGCCAATAAAAAAATATTTATTTTTCTTTAATAAAATGAGGGGGACTAAAGACGAATACTCCATAATTTCAATATTAAAATCGATGCACAAGCGATTAATAATTATACATAAGCAAATGATTATTCAATTAAGTGATGCACCGTAATAATATATCAATGTTGTAGTTTGATAAGATTATTATTATATCAATTTCTTAGTCATTGAGAAAAGAGGGAAGAAAATAATAAGCAGTAGATCAATAGAATATAGTCACTGGGTTAGTGCATAAAGGGAACGAAAATTATAATCAATTTTTGCTTAGTAATTTTACTTGAGAAAATTGGTGGCCCTGAAAAGGGCCGATTTTGATGTCAAGCCAGATGCTTAAGCACGCTCTCCGCGGATGCGGCGGGCCAGCTGGATGTCCTTGGGCATGATGGTGACGCGCTTGGCGTGGATGGCGCACAAGTTTGTGTCCTCGAAGAGGCCGACCAAGTAGGCCTCGCTTGCCTCCTGCAGGGCCATGACGGCGCTCGACTGGAAGCGCAGGTCGGTCTTGAAGTCCTGGGCGATTTCACGGACGAGGCGCTGGAAGGGCAACTTGCGGATGAGCAGCTCAGTGCTCTTCTGGTAGCGACGGATCTCACGGAGAGCGACCGTGCCTGGTCTGTAGCGATGGGGCTTCTTGACTCCTCCGGTGGCAGGGGCGCTCTTGCGGGCAGCCTTGGTGGCCAACTGCTTGCGGGGAGCTTTTCCTCCAGTCGACTTGCGGGCGGTCTGCTTGGTACGGGCCATGGTGAGTTCCTCTCTTGTGAATGAACGACGAGCGACGAGACGATGATGTTTCAAAGCAAAGAGCTGTATTTATTACAAACCAAAGCCCCGCCCCTCACCAACGGTCTCGCACTCGTTTCCGATTGGTCAGCGAGAAAACCGTTCGTTGCTTGCGACCGTTGGTACATATACAGGCCGTGTTTGCGTCAGAAGGCATCTGTTTCGAACGAAGCATCACAGCATCATCATGACTGGACGCGGCAAGGGAGGCAAGGGACTCGGAAAGGGAGGCGCCAAGCGTCATCGCAAGGTTCTTCGTGACAACATCCAGGGCATCACCAAGCCCGCCATCCGCCGTCTGGCTCGCCGTGGCGGAGTCAAGCGTATCTCCGGACTCATCTACGAGGAGACCCGCGGCGTGCTCAAGGTGTTCCTTGAGAACGTGATCCGCGACGCCGTCACCTACACCGAGCACGCCAAGAGGAAGACCGTCACTGCCATGGACGTCGTCTACGCTCTGAAGAGGCAGGGACGCACCCTGTACGGCTTCGGCGGCTAAGCTGTTTGCAACACCAACAGCGAAAATCGGCCCTTTTCAGGGCCACCTAAAATATTCAAGTAAAAATACAAAAGCAATCTTACCATGCTTACATAACTTAGTGATTAATATCAATCCACACAGCAACTACACACACACACCTCACATAATTTGTCACTAATTCAATTTTAGAATTTATTTAAACCTCAAGTGAGACGTAAAATTACCATCATCTATCCATCCTTGAATAAATAAAAATTGTAAACTTTCTGCCGCACGCATCTAATCTACAGGGACAAAAAAAAAACCATTGACATCTCGACTTGATGAGCATGTTCAGAAAATTACAATTTCTATACCACACAGCATTGTTAATGGTTATAGACAAATTTTTTTAACCATTTTATTCCACATCTTAATATAATGATTAATGATCATTATATTATATATATTAATTATTATATAAATGGAAAATTCGAAGCAAAGAAAATATGATAAAAAAAATTCTTGTCATTTTTGGCAGGGAAATACATTTATTTTTCAATCTCTATATTAAGTATATTCTTCTTCGTTCTATTGATTCTATTTTATATAATATTGAAGTTTATATTAACGCAAATTGAACATCTGATTCTCTTAGTTTTCGATTTTGACTGCAAGAGAGAAAACTCCGGGAGGACTCGCAGTGGCGCACATCTAGTCGGAGGCAGGCGGCTCGATAGCCGGTTAAAAGTCACGTCACTGCTTCTCGGCGCCGGAGGTTTAGATTGGAAAATGCGTAAATGACCGTTTTCGTTAATGTTCGGGACAACTCACAAAGGCACATCTTGCACGAAAATAATTTATTTTTAATACCAATATCTATTTTCCATTTCACCAGGTCTGAGGTACTATTGACCTACAATTCAATAACAAATTCGAATTCATTTAAAATTTTAGAAGAATAAGGATTGTGTAGAATATTAGATGTGATTGCGATTATAATTAATAATCGTGAAAAATAGCTCAATCTCGGAGCAGCCGAGACACATCTTATTGTTAAATCATCAATATAATTATGTCATTTATCCGTGCACATAATTACTATTATCATTTTTGTTTTCTGTTATCAAAACCGCACGTAAGAAAGAAGCTCTAAAAAATTTTTTTAATTATTGTAAGCTTTAATAGGAACAGGAAAAATGTAGAAAATAATGCCTGTCACTTAGCAAAGTACATTTTTGTATTTTTTGTTGACTATGGTAGAAATTTTTCTTTAACACAAGTCGGGAGCGATCGGGAATAAATTTTGGTGGAGCAAATTTACGTCTATTAAAGGATTCTTAAAATACAACTTCAATATTAATTGCTTATTATTTTATTTATTATTATATATTATTTTATAAATTCAGTTTGGTTGAGTCACTCATATTAATATTTCCCAAGTAGCCATTTAATTGTAACGTAGACTCAAGCATCCAATAAAATTGTAATAAAAAAAGAGCTGTGGAAATTTAGTACAAATGCCATTTAAAATTAACGTATCATGGACAAAAGATTGAAAATCTATGCCAAGAACTGTCTGCCCATTATTAAAAATATGAAGTGAAAATATCAAGTGACGAAGCTAAAATAATAAGCTTTCTTTCAGGCACTTTATCAGAAGGAGAAATTTTAATTTGAAGGAAGGTTTAAGGATATTCTTTTATTTATTTTCTAAATTGTAACTGTTTTGATTGCTTGCGTATCTCTTATTTGAGATATTTGGTAGCCCTGAAAAGGGCTGATTTAGGGAGGGTGGTGGAAGACTTAAGCCTTCTTGGCGGCGGCCTTCTTAGGGGCTGCTTTCTTGGCTGCGGGTTTCTTGGCAGCAACAGGCTTCTTGGCGGCAACCTTCTTGGCCTTCGGGGTCTTAGGCTTGGCAGCGGCCACCTTCGGCTTCTTCTCCTTCTTCGGAGACTTGGGCTTCTTGGCAGCGACGACCTTCTTGGCGGCGGCGGGCTTCTTCTCGGCCACGGCCTTCTTAGGCTTGGCGGTCTTCTTCGGGGTCTTGGGCTTCTTTGCCTTCTCGGCGACAGGCTTCTTCGGCTTGACGGCCTTCTTCTCCTTCTTCGGGGCAGCGGCGGCGGCGCTCAGCTTGAACGAGCCGGACGCTCCCTTGCCCTTGGTCTGCACCAACTTGCCGTCGGTGACGGCAGACTTGAGGTACTTGCGGATGAAGGGGGCCAACTTCTCGGCGTCGATCTTGTAGGTGGCGGCGATGTACTTCTTGATGGCCTGCAGAGAAGAGCCGCCACGCTCCTTCAGGTTCTTGATGGCGGCGTTGACCATCTGGGCCGTCGGAGGATGGGTCGGCACGACCTTCTTGGCGCCGGTCTTGGCAGCCTTCGGCTTCTTCGCCTTGGCGGGGCTGGCGGGAGCCGGAGCAGCGGGTGCGGTATCAGCCATGGTAGGTGAGATGCGAGAGAGTTGCTTCCCAAACGAAAACTGACTCATCCGAGCACGCCGCTCTTTATATAGGGGAGGTACGAGGCTCTGAGCGCGCAGCAGCAGCGCCGCCACTCGCGGACGGAAAGTCGCTCGAAAAGTGCTCTCTTCGTGTTTCTCTTTTGACTTTGCCGACGCGCCCCGGCCGAACGAATCGACCGATCGACATGATTTACGTCTCAATCGACGCAGCTTGAGTTTTTCTTTCGTTTCCAATCTCTTTAGATCCGCCGACAACCCTTTGTGTTTTCGCAAATCGTGATTAAAGTGCAAAGGCAGCTGCGCGTTTCGGCTCGTCGGGCCGAATTTCGCCTTTTTTACGCAAAATCCGACCGGAACACTGGCGGACATTTTAAATAAAAGTTAATTTGGTTTACAGTCTTTCATTTAAAATCAAATTTTGACAGTCTGCAGGTCTTTGCGAGGGTGAAAATCGCGCGCAAAGTTGGGCAGGTCGAACAGGCAACCGCCCATCATTCAAAACCAATTGAGAGGACCCGAGACGTTTCTCAATTCCCGTTTTCCAGGAAATTTTAAGTTTTGAACAAAACAAAAATGTTCCACATTCAAAACTTTCTTTCTACTACTCCACAATTTGGACGGGAAAAATTAATCGTGAAATGTGAATCTTTAGTTTATTTTCCGCAGCCTTATATGCGAGCATAATTAACCAACGCTCGAAAAAGCAAAAGTGGCACACACGCTTGTTTAGTCGAGTTGTAATCGAGGTTGCTTCAAATATGCCAAGATTATTATAATATTTTTCGCTTCTGGACTTTGATTCAGATTTATATGTGCAGAAAATGTTTCTAGTAAAATTCAGGATATGTGCAAGTTAATGATGGGATCTGTTTTCTATTACGCCGAGAAAGTGAACTATACAGTTTGTTGTTGCTATGGGTGCGCGCTGACCCTCTGATAAAAAACTTTGATCACAATAAAGCACACAATTGTTTTACTTTATTAAATATAAATTTTGTAACATTTTATCCATCATCTTCAGAACTTATTACAACTATGTTATTCCCAAAAAAAAAATACATTACATTTAGGAAAAAAAAAAAACGAGTTTGAATTTTTGAATGTTATTTTTGCTTTCATGTTTGAAAAGAATAGTTGCTTGACATATGATTTTTAAATTTTAATTGATTCAGTCAAAGTAGCAAAATTTGCAATTTATATTAAAATTTATTTTATTTCTGATTTTTAAACAACTAAAATTTAATTTTTAACAAAATGGATTTGAAAAACACATTGACATCATTTAACTTTTTGAAAAATTAAAATTTTATTATCTATAATCCCCATACAAATAAAGTTTTATTATTAAATAATTCTCTTGAAAATATTGTTTACGTTTCAAGTTCGTACAGCAATTTGACTTCAGTCGGGTGCCTCTGGTCCATTTGATCTGGTAACCATCGGTGAACTAGCGGACAGAAGAGATCTTTGTGCAGCGATTTCCTCTTGCTGGTGTCCATGTAGCTGACGGGAATCCCGACCAGAAGCACAATGAGCGAACCCAAGAGTCCGAAGTACATGTACGAAAGGCGGAAAATGGGCCACACTGCATCATTGTCCGGCCTTAATTTTTTTATAAATTAAATTCATCAAAATTAGCATAATTTTTTTTTAATAATCACCACTCAGGGTCGGAGACTGTGAAGTTGGCCGAACACTCGTGCACGGAAAATGGAAGTGTGCGATGTTTCATTGTGCCGTTGGCCAAGTGATTTTGGGCCCCGAAAACTACAAAACTCACAAGCAGAAGGGAAACACAGGAGCCAACAAGGGCGCCCTTAAATAAGAAATAAAAAAACATTAAAATAATATAAACCGGTAATTAAATTTTCTTTAATCTTTAATGCAATAGCAATAAAAAAATTAGGATTTGCCTTATTAAAATGGAAATAATTACTATTAATTTTTCCGCTCAATATCGAAAATGCCCAAATGATTTTTTAACTAAATTTACTGCTTTTGCAATCCGGACATAAAATTTTCCTGAAAAGCGGCAAACTTTGTGTTTTAATTTTGCCAACTTTTGGATTAAATAAAAATAAAATAACAGGTCGTGTTCTCCTTAGAAAAAAACTCAGTAAAATTAAATAAAACCATATTTACTCTGCTAGAGGCGCGCGGGACAAACATTCCAAGGGTGAATAGGCCGAGGAGGGTGCCGGAAGTAATTCCACCCAGACTCAGTGCTGCCTAGAAAAAAATTTGAATATGCTTTATTTATTTAGTTTTTCTGCTCACTTGCAAAACTCCTCCAAGATGCTCGACCACAAAAACGAGTCCAACGCAAACAGCGCCCATTAAAGCGGCCGCCAGTCGGAGCAGCACCCCTTTGCTGACAATTTTGGTCGGAAGCACGTCGGCCAGCAAATCATCCACTATCACTCCAGATAGAGCATTCAACCCCGTTGACATTGAACTAAAATTTTAAATTAAAATTATTTGTAAAATTAATTTTTATAAAACAATTGATATTTTTTTTTTCAAAGAGTACATGTTGTACATTAAAATAATAAAATTTAATTAAAATTGTTTTACATTTTGGTTAATTCATACACTAAATTGATTTATTATGTTATAAAATTAATATTAATTAATTAATTAATTTCCAAAATAATCAGAAAAATTTAAATTATGTAAAATTTAAAAATTTTTAATGCTTCAATTTGTACCTCAAAGCGGCGCTGAAAACTCCAGCGACAAAAAGTCCAGTGAATCCCGGAATATGACCGGCCACGTCCAAAACGTACATTGGCAATAGTTGATCTGGTCTCTTCACTCTCTTCATTTATGGAATTATTAATTTTTTTCCATTAAATTTAATAACTAATTTTTAAATTTTTACCCCCGAGCTGAGAGGATCGCAGCTTTGGTACGAGGCGTAAATCAGCATTCCAGTAGCGCTGCTTAACACTTTGCTTAAACCCAGCCCAATGCTGAACCAGAAAATAGTCCTTAATTTTTCAAACAAAGGAAAAAAGTGTGTTGTTAAAGGTAAATACAAGATTAATTGCGAGCAAACCATTTAGCTGATTTTAGATTTGGAACAGAGAGATATCTCTGGACCATGCCTTGTCCGACCCCACACTGTGACAGCCAGCCAAAGTAGGTTCCCCACAGCACTGTCCAGAAAGTGTGTCTCTTCAACGGATCTGGATCCATACTTGGAAATAAAACATATTTATTTATAACCGGGTTTTTTTTAGTCTCCTGAAATTGTAATATTTTATTTTATCTCCTAATGTCGATTTAACAAAAAAAACATAAAAAGCTAAAAATATAAAAATTAAAAATCAGCAATAAAAAATATCAGAAAATGTCTTCAAACATTAGCCAACAATTTAGGATCAAAACCTCCAAATTACACCAAAATAAAAAAAAAATAATTCTAAACTGGTCGCAATATTTTAATTTACAGTGAAAATAAAATAACTTGTTTTTAGTTTCAAAGACTTTTCCCTCCACATAATATGATCTGTTATTTATCAGATTAAAAAAAAAAGACAAATAGAAGTAAAAATTAATTACTTGAAAAACTCAAGACGGCCGCCTTCCTCGTTCCGTTTCCAAACTTCACCCCATCCGCCGATTTTGTCTGCGCCCAGAACCATAACGGCCACCATTGAGGCAAACATCAGAATTGTCTGAAGAGTGTCAGTCCAAACCACGGCTTTTAATCCTCCCTAGGAAATTTTAAAATATTTTTTCCCGAAAACAGATTATATATTAGATTTTCTACCAAGGTTGTGTAAAAGATGCAAACGGCGCACGTGATTGGAGTGACGAGATGAACGTTGATCCCAGTTACTAAAAAATAATATTCAATTTGAAAGATTTTTAATTTCAAGAGATCTGTGAACCTTGGCTAAATGCAAGAGCTGGGACGTAAACCACAATAGGAATATATAGCATCTGAAAATTTTTAATTTTTCAATTTCTTTATTAATTTGAAATTTTTATTACTTGTGAGATCACAAACAAAACCGACGCCATTCTTTTGACGTTGTTGTCAAACCTCAATTCGAGATACTGAAAAAATATCAATTAGTAAACATTATTCACATCAATATTAAACACATTTAACTTGGTAGGAAGAAGTGAGTTGGAGTTTGATGAAAACCGGAACGTATACCGCGGCCACGGTATAGCTGACCATAAATCCGGAAATGATGACTGCCCAGTACTGCATCCCGTACCTGTATATTTCAGCAGGCACCCCCAGCACCGTTATTCCAGAAATATGACTGTGAAAAAAAAGGAAAAAATTGTTAATATTTATAATTCCAAATTTAATTTTCAAAGCGATTCTATGTTTAAGAACTTTATAAATTTAATCCTCATCGCGTAGACGCGTAATGATTTTTTTCAACCCCTGCAAAAATTTGTGACGGCAACCCGCTTGACACGAGTGCCTTACAATTAGCATGAAACAATTTAAGTAAAATTAAACCTTAAACTTTATACTATTTTTCCTATTCAGCCGAATTTATTTATTTATTCAGAATTTAGTAAAAATGTCAACATTTTTTTTATTTGATCAAATTTTCTGCTTTTTCCTACGCCATGATATATTTTATATAAATTGATTTAAAAAATTTATAATTATATTACAAAAAATATTGAAAAGTGCATCATTTTCAATTACAAAAATATTTTTAAAGTATTTACTTCGTTGGAAAATCAAATTCATTTTTTAATTTCATCATTTATTTTGTACACGTTATGCTTGCTATAAAAATGACTTGCAATATTTTGTGTATTATCAAAATTTTACTGCATTTGACTTTGAACTTTGTGTTTTTTGACGGTCAATTTGGAAAAGCCCCATATGTTCTTTCGCACGCGTCTCTTTATTGTGTCAAGATAAAGAAAATAAGCGAACATGTGTATAATTTATGCGATGATTTACGGTGCGTTTACTTTTCCGACACGTAAAAATCGAGCGCATGCCGACCGCAGTGCGCGGAACCTTTGCTCTTCGCCACCACAGATTTACGCAACTGTAAATTTAACAATGCACTCCATAGTCCCCCGCGTCCTTCTGCGTCTCAATGATGAAGAGGAACGATATACAATAAAAAGTATAAAGATTTGTGTTTTATAAAAGTCATGTAGAAATTAAAATATAATTTAATTTGGCAAAATAATTTATTTTGGTTAGAGTTTTAATTGAACTTTCAAAATTTTGCTTCTAATTAAACTATAATTAAACCATTTTGACGCAAAAAGAGCTTTTTTTAAATTTTTTTGTCGTTATAATTTTTGTAATGCAGACTTACCTGGCAATGAGCGAAAGAGAAACAGGACCAATTCCCATACTTTTTCCTCCCATGAGATATTCCTTGGCTGTGTTTTCCCGTCCTGAGAAAAAGCCAAAGTAGCAGCCAATAATCGCCGAAATTCCCAGCATGGCTGAAAAAACTCCGAAATCGAGCCATCCGAGGGTCTGCTCCACTTCGGCCAAAGGTTCCCATCCAGAATTTAACACGGATTGGTTAAGCATATTTGTTCTAATTAAATATTTAATTATTTATAATTTTCAACAAAATAAAAGTAAAAAAACCTTGGTTTGATATGTAAGTGGACCTGAATTGGTGTCGCACTTTGGCTCTTCAATGGTCTTTACGGAAGCACCACTTGCATGGACAAGAGTAGCGACTGGTACGCCTGCGGCTACACAATGAAATGATAAAGAAAATGCTTCACAATGGCCAAGAGGAATCTTCCCCGTGAATTGCGACAACCGTTCATTGGCTCAATTCGCTTTTGCATGCAAATCGTAAATTAAAATTTGTATAACTTGACACCACATATATCAACTTTGTGTTGAATGATTCAATTTAATTTTTGTCTTTTTTCAGTGAAAATTTCCATTATTTATAAATAAAATTTTGCCTAAATTTATGGCCCTCTAAAATTTATAAAATTAAATTTGATTTACTCACTAAAAACAAGAATTTCCTTTTATATTAAGAACAAACTATCCCGGTTGGAGCTGTTTCACAAAATGGACTAAATGATCTCGTATTTTAAGCGTGCGTCAGAAAAGAGATGAAATAAAGACACCTAAAACCGCATCTTTGTTAAGCTGGCTCAGCAATTTTGACTTGCAGACGATGAAGAACCAAAAGCAAAAAGCACCACCACTCGGTCGAGGCCCTAATTAAGTAAGGTTTTTTATCACTGCTGAATTCAATGAAATTTAAAACATAATTATTGACTATAGAAAATAATTAAAATTTTATCCAATAATCAAATCTGTTTGTGAAAAAAGCAAAAATATTCTTCTTTATTTTTTCCTTGTGTAGAATTTAAAATTAAATTTGGTCTTGGTAATTGAAAATATTGATGCGGCTTAAATGAATTTTTGGATGTTTTATAAACAAATATGAAAAAAATATCAGATTTTAGGTGTTCCACATTTAAATTTCCAAAGCGATTTTTTACTGTAAAATCCTTTCCAGATTTTATTGTTCATCTTATTGTCTATCAAATTGAGATTTGCAAGCATTTTGATTGATGTTGAAATTAAATCACTTGTTTCCGGTCTATTTTCAAATAATTTTATTATAAAGAGGTCTATTGAGGGCAGCCGCACATCACAAGATGAGCATTGCTGTATTACACAGTAGCATACATAACCGTAATCGACGATGATCATCTTTAAATCTTTTTGTCTATTTTTACACGCATGTGTGTGAGCAATCAAAGAATACATTAGAGCAACTACCTATTACAAATAATAAATTATATGATCCTCAAAATTGCTGCATTATTTCCATTGATACGAGCAAAAAAATATTTCATTCATTTTGTGTCAAACAGGAACAATGCACTTATGTCTTTGAGATTAGAGTGTGTTTGCTACGCAAAAGTGGACAGACAATACTTTTTCGGTTTTCCGAGGGGCAATAATAGTAATAATGTAGAAATTAAATACGCAATTTGAACGGCTGAAAAATACAAGTATACAACTAATCAGACTTTGAATTAGTTAACTCTCTAAGTTATGTGCTTGTGACACTCTATAACAGCATTAATTTTAATTATACGATTACAAACAGAAAACAAAATAATGGCGCTTCGAATAAATTATGCAATTTTTTAAACAGTTTTAAAGTCCTTATTAAATATATTAAAAACCGTGAATTTTTGGTTCAGGCTGGTCAGAGATTTTCTTCCCTTGTGTATTTTTTTTAATGACATGTATTTAAATTTCCTGATTAGAGCGCAGACGGTAAAATACGTATGAGGAACCTATATCACATTCACTCTCCGACGTCCTGAGCCATTGAGGAAAATTCGCGTCTGATTTCCAGTCTCTTGCTCGGAACAGCAGCTTGTTCGCTCCTCTGGCTGGCGGTTGGTTGGTTGGACGTGGCGCCGCTGTCCTCCAAGGCACACCACTTTGGCCCTGGGCAGTTTTCAGCTGCTCGACCCCAGGACGAGGCGGCTCAGACCGACCAGCAGCAGACTCGAAGCCAGCAGCGCGTGGCTCGTCCGGGACACCCACCCGCCGCTCGTTGGACAGTTGTCGGAATATTTCTTGCAGTATTTCTGCAAATTAAATAAATTCATTAGTTTTGATCAATAAAAAATAAAATAAATATATTTTATGCAAATTTTTTGATTATGATATTCAAAGTTTTGAAAAATTAAATTATAATCAAGTAAACCAAACCAATGATGATTAAAATTGTAGAGTTATTTTTTATTTTTTCAAATTTGGTATTTGGTTGAACCGATGTAAATTGGAATGTGCAGTCGATTTTTTAAAACCTGATAAAATCAAGATTAGAATGGAATAATTTAATTAAAAATATATTTATTGAATTCATTTTTCTTTAATTAGAATAGATGAAAACTTTTCTATGGAAATAATATATATTTATGGAAAATTGTAAAAAAATGTTTACAAACTAAACATGCGAATTAACACCTTTCCAAAAAAAATGGTTTTTAAATATAAATTTCAATATCTAAAAATACTTTTTATATTTATTAATTTCTCATGACATCCACTTCAAATTAAAATTTTTTCTCTATATAATCAAATTTGATATCCATTTCAAATCTTTTAGAACTCTTATTTGGCTTGAACTAGTAAAAAAACTGCAACAACAAATATAATCAATAAAATTAATTATACTCACATCCAGGAAAGGATTGCCCATGCGGTTGAAAATGTGGTGGGTGAAGTTTGCTGACTCAGTGCCGCACCTTGAGGACACCACGTCTTGCGAGCAGCCCACATAAGTTTGGAAGGAGCTGTAAAAAGGAAAAAATTTGTTAGAGAAATAAAACCTCAATTATTAGAGAAAAAATAGTGACTCGATATTAAATAAATAATATAAATTTAAATTCTTATTAATACAGAATCTCTATATTTCCTTTGCCCAGAAATTGCAAAAAATTAATTAGAAAATCTAAATTGGATTTAAAATAAATTATAATAAATATTTCTGAAATTGAACATTGTTGTTCAAAAAGTACAAATTAAGAGTTAATAAATAAATGTTTTTAATTTTTGCCAATAATTAGTTCATAATTTCAGAAGATAGTTTTAATTTTGAAGCTTGAATTTAAACACAATAATCGATTCCATTTCTTATTTTAATTGGATAATTTCCTAATAAATTAATAAATGGGTCATCTCTCTATTTAAAAAATTTACAAACCAGCAGAGCGCCCGCATTTGCGCCTCGTTGTTGGAAGTGGATGACATGAGACTTTCGTTGGCCTGCGCGTTGATCAGCTGCAGCTTCTCCTCGTAGTCTCGGGCGCAAACCCCAAAGTCGGAGCGAACGTCTCTTATGCACGGAGCGTGCCGCAAAAATTCTGTTGGCAAAAAAAAAATTACAGGTCAATTAGGCGAGAGAGAACAAAGTGTCCAAGAAAGCCACACGCCATGCACAAAAGCCGCATACGGCTAATTGAATTATTCACTTGTCGTGTCATTAAGAAATTGCGCGGCGTAGAACCAGAAACACACAACCCGAGTTAATCTGCATAAAAGCGTGGAGAGACATTCACGGCGGAAATAACTACAAACTGCCAAGAACACGAGTATGCTTTCCTTTGAAGGCAAATGGGGCGAGTCTTACGATGGACAATTAGCAATTTAATTTTTTAGCGCACAATTTTTATTAGGTTAAAAGATTTAAAATAGAGCATTAAAAATTTATGGAAATGAAGCGATCGGGCTTTCCCTCGTTGCAGAAAATTGTTTTTATTCAAAAACAAAGAGCCATTTGTTTTTTAATAAAATCAATTTTCTGCAACTAGGAAAAGCCCGATCGCTTCATTTCCATGATCATCTCCTCGAGTGTCAACTTCTTCAAATATTAAAAATTTACTTAATTTGTTAACTTGAGGGAAAAATTTGTTAATTTTTTTTCTTCAAATTTGCACTATTGGAATTTTGAATATATTTATTAAAATGTTTGATGAAGTTTAATTAAAAAACGGTTGAAGTGCAGCAACTAGAATTCTCTTATCTAACCAGGTAGTCACTTTTCCAATTAATTTATACAACTTTTTAATTAAACTTAAAGAAATTTAACTTCTTGTATATCAAACAAAATGTACAAACGTTTATATCATGAAATTTTAATTATTTTAATTTAAAAAAAAATAATTTAGAAACAAATATTGTAAAAAACACTTGGCCTTTAAAATTTACTCAATTTATAGGAATAGGATTAAAAATTAATTAAAATTGCACAAATAGCTCCATTGAAAATTGATTCTCTACAATTCTCGCAACATTATTTTCACTTATTTTCATAAAATAGTTAAATTTTAATTTGTGAACCACACTTTATAATTGCATGTTACTTTGACCCGTTCTACTTGAGACGGTACTTGGGGATATTATAAAAAAATGTAATTTACATAATTATTCAAAAATTACAAAAAAATTCCACCGTTTTGCGTTTCCCAAGTAATTGCCTGAAGAACTGGTTCTGGTTCACCTTGGCGCCTGCTTGGCGCCTCTCAAAAACTCACTTGTAAAAATTATAATATAAAAAGCTAAGCAATTTCTCCATTAAAAAAGCACGCATTGATTTTCTGGTAAAATAAAGAAAACCACTTCAAGTGCGCGCCTCATTAATTTGTTTTGAGAGCAGAGTGTATTTTATTTTTGTATACCTTTCTGGTAGCTGCCCTCGGTGCAGAGATCCTGGATGACGGCGTTCGTGCCCGCGTACAGTTGGATGAAGTAATTGCGCTCTTGCGGCGTCATGCAGTTCAGGGTGAAGTTGTCGATACACTTGAGCCCGGCAATCAGTTGCCTGCAATGAGAGAACAAAATTAATGTCATTCATTTCATGCACAAACAATGAAGTAGTAAAAAAAATTAAAAAATAAATCTTCAATATGTTCATGGAATTATGGAGGATTAAATTTTAATTGATTATTAATTACAGGTTCAAAAATTAATTCAAATTAGAGTTTCTAATAAATAAGATGAATTTTAATCAAGATCAGAACAATTTATTTTAGTTCTTTCTCTAAATTTAGGAAAATTAATTCAAATAAATAATTAGAAGTCTGGATTTTCTTCAAATTTAAATTATCTCATTACATTTTTTCTATTTGTGAGCCAAAATCAAATTTGGCAACATAATGAATTTGCATAGCTGATTGCTAATTTCACTGCCATGTGCTTGTCAATGAGCTTAGACTATGTGTGTCATGTTTTGACTCTGCAGTGGCGAATTGTGTGGGGATGAAATTAATATGCGCGGTCCGATCAGCAGAGTCACGTTCTCTCTTATTTGCTGAATATGTTGAGAGCGCAAAATCATACATACGTGCCTCATTAATATAATCAGGCTACCGCTAATTGAAATGCAACCCCTTCCGCGAGAGGATCGTCGCACAAGAGAGCAGGTTTTTGTCGGATTCGCGGAGGGTTCTTGATTAATGAATTAATGTTGCGAAATGCACTCGAAGAGACTCTTCAGAAGTCTATTCACATGAATAACTTTGATTTTGAAATTCCTTATTATTATTTAGAGTGAGAGAAAAATTATTTTAAATTAAAATTAGAAATTCCTCACACACAAAATCGTGAGTTTTGATATGAATTAACATTTTAAACGACCTTTAAATTACAAAATTAAAGAAAATTCCCAATGTTTATAAATCATTCACATATTTTTACAAAATCCTCCAATTTAATAACGATATTTCCACTTTTTACGCTTTACATTGATTGCAATTTTTAAACTAGTGATATTTTGCAGAGTTTTGAATTTTGGTAATTTTTAATTTTTTAATTATTTTTTTTCTGATTAAGTAAGTAAACTTACGGGCATTGAAGGTCAAGCTCCTGCTTGTTTGTGATGAAGTTGAGATCGCTGGAGCCGCTGATGGCCGAGCACTTGAGCATCGCCTCTTGGCGGCACTCGTCCGAAAAGGCGCCGGACCCCGACCACCTCGCTGACCTGGCGACTGAAACAAGATTCAAAATTTCAACTCAAACTGCCAGGAAAAAATCTTTCTAAAAAAAAATATGTTATTTTTAGTTTTTAAAAATTAATTTTACATCCGGATGTTTTTTCTCTTGATAAATAAATAAAAAATAATCCGTGCACAATGCTAATTGAAAAGTGATGTTGCACGCACCTTTCCAATCCGTGACTCGGAGTTAATAAAATCAAAATCCCACCCTCTCTCTCTTTGTAAATATTAACGGCACGCAAAAGTAGACAGGAGCGATCGGCGCTTTTATTTTTACAACGAAAAAAGTAACGCGCAGATCGATCGGGGCTGCGTGTGTGTGCTTTTAATTAAAGGCGGCGGCGAGTAGCCAATTAAGTGGGGCCACGGTGTTTGCCAACAATTAACAAAACCCTTTCCCGGCGAAGCCACACGCGTGTCGGCGAATTGAATGGAGGTCCAGAGTAAGTATAAATTTGCAGAGGGCCGCGACATGTGACACGTTTAATTATTTCGGTTAATCCCGTGTTCGGACAAGACTTGGCCGCTCTTCAAATTCCGCCCCACTCGTTTCACACCTGCTGCCCCCCTTGACCGCTGCTCGGTGACAACTTTGTTAGCCAAAGACGCAAAAGCGACGGGGCGATTTTAATTAAATTTCACAGCGACATCTGAACAAAGTTGACTCTTTGGAAATTAAAAATAAATAGCGTATCCGATTAAATCAATATTATGAATAAGATTTGGTACAGACAGGTTACGTACAGGTCATTAATTTTTTAATTAAATTTTTCATTCATTGATTAAATTAGAAAATTAAATACACTTCTACGTTTTGCTGTATTTTTTTTTTTTTTTTTTAAAAAGATTTTTCCGCAATCAAAGCAAAACAAAATGTATTTGAACTTAATTGAAAAAAAAAAATTTTAATTTTAATTAATAATTAATTAATAACTTTTGGGTTACTTGTTATGTTATAAAGTGTTTTAAAATATCATTTTTTTTTTATGAAATAACAACTTCTTTCTCAACTTTCTTATTAATAAGGATCCAAAAATTAATAAAAATGTTGATTTATTCAAATGTTTTCATCGGTTACCTTTTTATTAATTAAAGGCCATTGTTAAATTTTTAACAATAAACCAAAAATTAATGCAAATTGTTGTTTAATTGAATTTTTAAATATAATTATACTCGCTGATTTTCCTTTCCCTCTCCGTTAGTATATTTTATGTATGCTTATTTTTTATTTAATATAAATCTTGGAAGCAAAAAGTCGGTGGCACGCTATCTTGGCTGTGGGAAAACGGCGTGGTGTGTCATTATAAAGTGGAAAAACCGGAGGTCATTCCAATTACCGACAACACTTGCGCACATTTCGCCCTTTTCCATGATTAGGTAGGCTTTTGGATTTTGCGCCATGCCCAGCCAAGAGTAATAACTTGTGCTCTTTTATTTCTTTGTTCCATATTTATATAATAATATATACAAATACTATTTCCAGACTATAGTGAATTGTTTGTTTCAATATAGGAACATACACGCGAGCCGTGATAAAACTACGACAAACGAGGGCGAATGAAATAAATTGACGTTTGTTCACAGCAGGCTCATGACCGCGCTGAACAGATATGTGTTATCAATTATTGCTCTTTTACCTCTTGTATAAGAACAAAAATGCACTAAAAAGCGTTTCGTTTTAATTTCATCTCATTAATTATATTTCAATATAGATAAAAAAGCTTGAATTAATTATTAAAATTTATTTACTGTGCTGTGTAAAGAGAATAAATTTCCTAAATGAATAAAATACTAAATACACCAGGCACTTTTTAAATCTAAAATAGTTTTATTACAGGAAAAATATAATGAATTCATATAATTGGTTAATTACAAATTATTTCACAATTTTAATTTCCCTATCGCCAAAATCTTGATTTAACTTGATTTTTTTTCAATTTAAGTCAAATTATAATGCCAGTAATCTCTTTTTTTTTCAAATTAATGAGAAAACATTTTTTAAATACAAATTTAAGGATTTTATATCATTTTGCACGTAAATTTTATTTTTGGCCTTTTAAATTTGTTATTTCATTTGTCCTCTCTCACTTTTCATTTTTTTTTTTTCTTCTTTTTAATTGGTTTTTAATCGCTGTGGAAAGATATTGATCTCATAAATTAATTATAATAGAAATATTGTGCTTAAAAATTTGCTTCATTTTGTATTCACCTGTCTTTTAATTGTGTCAATGAAATAATTTGGCGCAGGTATATATCGAGAGATGACTAATGAAGAGCGAAGGCTTTTGCTTAATTTTCTCCTCGGATCCTTGACCCACAAGAAGTTAGCAAGCACCAATAATCAAGCAGACAAATAATCCATTCTCTTGCTCGTCACCGGCACACATGACATATTTGACGTGAACGCAACTCGTGTCCGTACTACTGCGCAGTTTTTATTTTTCCTTCCTAAGATTATATAAAACCGCACGCGCCGATTAAGTGGGAAGAAATTTCCAACTTGGATAATCAAGAGCAAGAAACGGATCTTGATTTTGCTGCAGCGTCGGATAAGCTGCAAGTGCTGATGTCGGCGGCTTCATTAGCTAATTACACACCGGCCAACATTTGTGCACATGCGAGACCGCGATCAAGACTCTCGAGTTGCATGCAAGTTATGCTAATTAGCGGACTAGACTTGTGGAAAGGCCTAATGATTCTTTTATTTTCACTTGAAATCTTTTAGGAAATATTTTTATTAATTATTTTTTTTAGAAAGACTAAGTTTAGTTTTATAACAAAAAACTACTTTTTACTCTTTTTCAAAAATAAAATTTTCACCTTTAATCATTAGCGTGTTTTCAACGATCAATAAAATTTAGATTCGGGAATTTGGCAGGGATTTATATTTAATATAATTTTGGCTCGCGTCGCAATGCTCAAATCAAATTTGCGCCAAGCAACTTCCTGCAGCGTGTGTGCGTCGCTCTTAACATTTGTTAAGTGAGGCCAATAGGATTGGTATTTGTAACGATTGGCTCGGCCTCTTGAATGGTCGCGGTCAGGATGGCGTGATGCGAGAATTAAAATAAAATTGGTCCGCCACGTCTCTCGATCGGGTGACTTGAGCCGTTTTTACGCTTCATTCATTCGACAAGAGCTAAATTTGAGCTGCACAGAGTTAAGTGCAATATCTTCCATTCTAATGCCTGACAGGAAAATAAGGAGCAGAGAAAATATTTTAAAGAATAATAATAATAATAATAAATAGGCTTGTACAAATTTTTAAACAATTTAGTTGATTGTGATTTTTATTTAAAATTTAATAAAACAAAAAATCCAAGATTGTTAAAATTTACTTATTCAAGTGCATGTCACAAAAAAAACTTGAAATTATGACAAAGAAAGGGAAGCATTAAATTAAAAATTAAATACGAAGTAAAAAAACCTAAAGTAAAATTAATATTTTATATTATCATGATGAGTAATTCCTAGTTAAATTGCACCTTTTCTTTAAACTTTTACGATAAACCAGTAAATCGATTCGTTTAGACTGTGATTCTTAATAATTTGCTTTTAAAGGATTGAAATTTAAGCCATTGGAGGTCAGATTTTCTCAATATTTTTTTTTTTTTTTTTTTCAAAATTAATAAGAAAGATTGAGTGTGTGCGAATCCTTATGATTTTTATTAATTAGAAATTTAATAACACATCTCTGCGCGTGCCTTTTTTTTAGTCTCACGAACTAATTAATTGACGTGAAATAACTTTTAAGATAATTAACGATTTCGTGTTATTTTTTTTAATATAATTTTAATCTCACTCTCCAATCTTGAAATAAGAAAAGGCGAGAACTGTTCCGAGTCCATGCGTGATTAATTTTAATATTCAACTTGCTTTCGGCACCACATCATGATTTATCACAATCTTGATGTCGAGCGCACGGTGTGCGATAATTACCCACTTTGCATCACAAAAGGCGCTGACAAAATCACTTCGCCTTTGACGAATAGACTTCAACAAAGGACCAGCTGTTGCGCATACAGAAAAGGGTTGGAAAAGAATTATAATACAAAGGAATAGATTGAGAGAGGGAGAAGTATAGAATAGTAAAAGTTTCTTCCGCACGAGAAGGCTCCGCACTTTCCATTTTATTATTATGCAGTAAATATTCTTGTTTTAATTTTTGCAAGTGCGAGAATGTAATTATAAAAATTGATAGCAAGGTCACGGCCAAACAAAAATGTTTACCAAAATAATTAGTATATTGGACCCGGTTTGCCGAGTGTCTGCTGCGTAGAACGAAAAAGATCAGAATATATAACAGAAGCGCCGGCCTTCGTGGCGCGGTGCTAATTTTAAAGACAGACACGATCCAAAATAATTTGACGTGCCCGCAGCTTGCGTAAATAATTTGGGCGCGTCGCCGAGTTTAAAAACTAAAACTATTTTGAATTCCTTAATTGAGTATGCAAAATAATAAGCGAAAATTCAATAATTTTGTTGGAAATTTTGAAAGAATAAAATTACATATGGATTGTGAGGCAATTATTTCAAAATTGACGGGTTAAAATTTCAAAATCTAATCAAAAATTTTGGATCAAAATTAAAAAATTTCAACATTCTTCATGGATTATTTGAAATTAGTATTTCATTAATTTATTTCAAATGACACTCCGCGATCTGACGCAAGGAATAACCATTGGAATCAAAATTATTAATTTAATTTTGAATAAATCTAATTTAAGCACAGGATTAGATAACAATGGAATAGAAAATCGCATTAACTTTCTTCTATAAAATTTGCAGATAGAATCTGATTAAAAAATTGTGAACAAAAGTTATTTAAAAAATATATATATAAAGGCAAAGGAAATTCCCAGAAATTTCTCGAAGGTTTTTTCCTTACCTCTATGATTAATAAATATGAGTGAAATTTGAAACAAAATAAATAAAAAAAGAGAAAAAATTGAGAGTGAAGACAAAAGGAACTTTCGTGGCTTTATTCATTTATTTTTTTCTATAATAATTATTTGCAATGAATGTCGGCGTGATTTCGACGGAAAAGGCGCGACCCCCGCGAGAGAGTTTGACGTCAACCGCGGGAGTCCAGCTCGCCGTGAACGAACGAGTCCAAGTCGCTGCTTAACTGCGGAGTAGAAGTTTTCTCGCCGCGGCGCCGCGATTACGAGATAGCGAAAAAAAAATACCTGCCGCGAGCGAGCAGGCGAGAGAGAGGCCACGTGTGTCGCGGCTTTATTAGCGTGTTTGCGTCAGCTGCCGTGACTCGGTCGGGCCTCCGGAGTCGGCGGGCCGCGATTGGCTGCTCGCGCTCACGCGGCACCTCGGATGATTCAGGTGCGGCCAATCCCGCAGGGTCCGACGCAGGAATCCCGACCGCGTAAAGAGAATTTCTTTCGCGTAAAGACTGCATGGATTTCAACGACTGCGATTCCCACGATTTTGCACCGTTTTGAGAATTTACTTTTGATACGTGCAAAAGAAATTTAAAATAATAAAAAAGAATATTTAATTATTTTCTTTGATTTGTTCAATTTAATTAGAAAAAAATTTAAGAAAAATATAGAAAATATAATTAAAATTACTAATTATTATTATTATTCTCAGTCAAATACTTCATATTTAGAAAAAATTAAAATTTTCAAGCATTTCCTCAGTTTTTTTTTTTACATCAAAGGCCTTGTTGAGCTGTGAGAAATAAAATCCTGAGTGGTTTTCCTTTTACGATGGGAATATTTATTTTTTTCTTTTTATATAACTGAAAGCCGAACGCCTTGGCTGCAGACCTCGAACAACCCTCTCGGAAGAATTATTAATTAATTTCTAATTAGTCATTTCTCAATTAGTTTTAACCAAATTCTTGGTGCTGTTGATTTTTCTCCAAAAACTCTGTCTTAATTTTAAATTTGTATTGGAGAAAATATTTAACATTTGAATTACTTTTTATTGGTTTTCGCTGACTATATAATTCGTATATGATCAAATTAATTAATTAATCACGTGTTGGCCGACTGCTGCTTAGGAATAATTTAGCAACCGAGACACGATGGAAAGGTCGCACCACTTCCGCTCGTGATTGGGTCACCTGGGAATAAAACGAATTCGGACTATGGCCCGGCGACACCAAATAAAAATGAATTAAATTAATCACAAGTGGAGAGGGGGACAAACTTAAAAAACTTGTATATATATTTTGACCAATTATTTAACAAAATGAGGAGAAAGTTTGTTACTTTTTTCGCGCAGAGAGGATTATTTTTTGTAAGCCGGTGAAAAAACGCGGTCAAGCCAGCACTAAACTTAAATTTTCTGGCTGCTCTGTGTGTCTTTTATTATTAGCGTACCAGGCAAAATAAATGTCACGTGGACCGAGAGACAAAAGTTAACAACACGAGACTCGGCGCCCCAAATAATAAAACGTAAACCGCTTGCTCCGCTTTATATATATTTTGACAAATGTCACGCGAGGTGTGGAAAAAAAATTTTTTTTACTCACATGCCATTCGGACGGCGAAGGCCATCAGGAAGAAACGGACGAAGACGTTTTCGGAATTGCGCATTTTCGCGCGCGACTGGAGAACCACCTGTTATGGTATTCGGAGGAAGGAAAGGTACACGATCTCTTTCTCTCTGCCGCAACTCTTTGAACACGACCGAGAGCAACGAGCGATCGCGTCCGACTGAGTGAGTGGCTGCGAGCGAGACCAGCCAGAGGCTCGGCCGCCGCCGCCGCCGCCGCGCTTCATTATAAATAGCGCAATCCGCAGAGGGCCCTCCCTTCTGCCTGCTTTTCAAACTTTTCCCCGCGCCCTTCCGATTCTTTTTTTATTTTTTTTATTCAGCACACCGGCCCATTCTGCTTTTCTTTCTCCTCTTTTTTTCATTATCAGTCCGACCTGCCGCTCTATAGGAAAAAAAAACACAACAACTTGATGGCCCTTAACAAGCAACTATTCCACTCGCGCCGGAAAAGTAGCAAAGTTGCGCGCGGCCAGCAATTCCCACAGCATTAATTTTTCCGCTGCACACGACCAGATAAAGTTGCCGGCTGCAGTTACATTTATTTATTTTTGCAGAGAGAGGATTGGATCAGGTGAATTGAGCCGTGTATATAAAACGAACGTTGACCGGCCAATTAGCTTTATTCGCGTTTAAACGGATTATACGTTTTATGTCTCTATGCCGATTTTTTATTTATGCTCGGACTTTTACGTTGGTGCTTTGAAAAAATCAACTATTGAAAAATTGCTTTATAAAATTGTAATAAAAATAATTTGTTTATCAATTTTTAAAACTTTTGAAAGGAATTTAATGATTGCAAATTTGCGTTTAATATTCACAAAAACAATTTACAAGAGATTCCACAGGTTATAAGGTTTAGGGAACGGCCCAAATCTTAACTGGGGCCCAGATTTTATTAAAAGTAAAACGTCTCGTATTTGATAAAATGTTTCAGATTATATTTTGATTCGTTTATTTAAATTTTTCGTATTTATTAATTATGTTCCAAAGTGATGCTGCTGACTATTAAAAAATTCTAATTTTGCTGACAGAAATGCGCTATCAAAACATACTCTGATTATAGTGTTTAGTCTATGGTCACAAGTTGTTTAAGTTTTTAAAAAGAAGCATAAATTGAGGTTATTCTCCTTTAACGAAATTGACAGACTTAAAATTATAATTTTAATAAATATGGATAAATTTTGATTTTCTCTACAACTTGAAAAATGTTATATAACTTGAAAATTTTGTTTTACTTGTAAACACTTCTAAAGAGAAAGCTCAACCGTGTGTGCAAGAATTTATTAATTGTGTAAAAGGATAGTTTTTAAATCCTTTATAATCTGATACATAAAAGTCGTCAAAAAAACAGGAGTTTTTTTGACAGTTCTAAATTTTTTTACCACCTGGTTAACAAACTATTTTTTTTATTGCTCGCAGACAATGCACTAAAGTATTCTTTGAAAAATAAACTATAGGTAAATAAGCGGCAAATTAAAGAAATTAATTTATAGAAAATAAAATAATAATAAGCATCTATCTCATCCAAATAAGGCATTTTTACTCAGATGCGCATCCTGAACCAAATTTAACACGGCGTAAATAATTGATCTGCTCATCGGTGAATTAGACGCCTACTGCGAGTATGGCCTTCGTTTTGCTACATCAAATGTATTAAAGCATAACATAGGCTTTCCCCAAGGCTACGATATATACTAGAGCATAATAATATTGCTCATGGAATTTACGCATGACTAATCAACATCAACTCATAACGTCTACCAAAGTGAGGCAAAATGTTGGGAGTTAATTTGGCTTTTTATGTTTAAAGAAATTTCTGAAATTGGTAAACGGAGGATGACCAAAAATTCATGCAAGGGTTAAATTAATTTTAATTTAAGAATCACCCAGCATCTAATTTTAAATTACTTTAAATTGATTCTTTTATGGAAAATTATAGAGTCTTGTTTTCGTCAAATCACAAAAGCGTCCCGTAATTTTAATTTTGTGAATGTGTGTAGATTTTTTATTACATTCGGCGGGTGTCTATTTGCGTCACAAAAGAATTGAAAGTCATGCAAAGAGATTCCGTCCATTATGTGTACAAAAGAATAATTTTTTGGCTGCAAAAAAATCACATTAAGAGATCTTTCTGCGCACAACTTGAAGAGAAAATGAACACACCAGACGTGTCCGGCTTTGGGCAAATTGCGAATAGCGAGAAATATGGACAAAAAACCGGCCGTCAATTTTTATTTGCAAAGGGAGAGGATGATGACAATATAGTGAAGTAAATGCAACATCATTGCAAAAGTCAAAGGAATACAATTTATATTTTTGTAGTGAGAGGAATCAATAGAATTTAACTCTTAAATAAACAAGTTGTATATAATTTAAAAAATTAAATTGGGGTATTGTTTTCTTCAATTAAAACAGGAAATCGAATATCAAGGATTTGAGAGGCGCCAAAGTAAAAAGTCTTTGTTCATCATTCACCTCTTTGCAGGTTAAGGTTTTTAAAAGTTAAATGCTTTATCCTGTCAAGACGGTGCTGACACATTTCAGACTGAAATTAATTTTTTATACAAACGTTTCAGGGTTACATAAATTTTCATCGGTATCATGGTTTCATTTCAAAACAATTCATGATTATTGATTTTAAATTCAAGTCGACTGGCTTTTTATAGCATCATTAAAACCAACAAAAAGATACTTATTTTTGTTTCCTTTGAATTTTCAAATTTTAAGCTGTAAAAATCTTTCATTCAGCTTTTAAAGGACCTTCAGAAACAGTTGAGAAATATTTTTATCAGCCAACGGATATTATTACCGAATACGAGACGACAAAAATTAATTATCACATTCAAAATTGCCCAAGTTTTACTTGAAAAGAAATTTTTTATATAATTATTTGGTATGAAAAAGCTTTAAATCTGCGCATTTCCATTTTTCTCATGCAATTTTCATATTTTTATCAACATTAATTATGAGAGATTATTAAACGCCGCGCCTTCCTTGTGGTGGCGCGATGCATTTCGGCGAAGGACGGCAAATAATAGTAGCGTGACATTTTGTTGACGTCACAATTATCATTCAATAAAACCATTCTTGGCCGACTCCTCGTTCGAGAAGAACTGCACACGCAGAGCTGCGCGGCGAGATGTGGAAATTCATATATCCCTCCACATACAAATATGTGCAGTCGCGCGGGCCATATATAAAATCTTTTGGCCTTATGATATAACCAATTCGCAAGAGCAAAGATACGACGCACCATGCAGTATAAGCTTGCATTGCATAAATTGATATTACGAAAGCATACACATATGTCACGCCACTATATTCATGACTAATCACCAGAGTTTCAAAAACGTAAATATGCGCATCATGTGACAGTGAAAATGTTAAGAATAAAGTGAAATTAATTTATGTCAAACGTGCAGAACTTTTGATTTGGTTTATTCATTACCCGTATTTAATTACTAAAAATGTATAAAAAAATTTATTTATTTGATCGAGTGTTGAATTTAAGTAAAAATGTAGGAAATTTAAACAAAATATCTGCTATACTTTAGCGCCTTTTGTTTTTCCGTCCCAAAAATTTGTTTTTTCTGTGTGAAATGTTTGCAATAATTTACAACAAATAAAACAAAAATAATTGTAGAACATAAGTAAATGTAAAAATATCCTCCTAAATTTCATTTTATAAGAGAGTAATTTGAAACAATTTAATTAAATGACACGATTGCTGAAAATAATTTACCGCTCAGATTTTCTGTTTAACTAAAAATGGGGTCTAAAGAGTCGCCTTTATTTGGCAAAAATAATTTAGTTGCAAGTGTCTATATTGATTTATCTCTATAGACATTTACTGCCAAAATTTATTTCAATTTCCCACTATCAATAATTCAAATAATAAAGCAAAAATAAAATTTTGAACTGTATTATATTTTTTAGTCAAGTTGCAATTTAATAATTTTTATTATCTGCCATGGAGAATTTGAAAGTCACAATCAGATGGACCCTTCATTATAGAATTTCATAATTTGTGAAGATTAAAATGGCCTAAATTCAATTGCAGATTCAAGAATCTTTACATCAAATTGTAGCAAATAAAATACTGCTAATTTGACTATCATAAACAAAATCAAATCAATTTCTCAGCATTGCATTATATTTTCTGTGTGATTTTTTTATACAGTTTGAAAGTCACTCTAATTTGTTAAGAGGAAAAGCACAACACTAGTAGATTTAGACCAGGAGAGTGTATAAAACAATTTACTATACTTTTCCTGGTCTGGTATTTGAGCTTGGGTTATTAATAAAGGGCATGTTGGTTATTATTGCATTTGTCTGAGGCACGCACTCCCTCATTTTTTTTTACCTCTAATTTGTTCCTCGCCTACCCTCGCAGTCATTGAGTGAAAAAGTATACAGGGGGTGACTTGTGACTTGTGAACGAGCTTTCTTTCTTTTTCCGTCAATATTGACCGAGTGTTCGGCGAAATCGCCGCCGCTAAAGTGTCACGGAACACGAGAAAACGATCCCTCCACCGCGGGCATGACACAAAAATTTATAACTATATATTCTCTGGTTAATGAACGAACACAAGTCTTGTTCTCGGGGGTTGCGACGTGTGCATGTGTATTAAAGTGTGTGTGATTAAAGGGCATTACTTGGTTTGAAAAGCGGCAGCACAGGTGTATTCGAGAGTCAGAGTAAATTTTATAAGCTGTTATAGGGAAGACCAATATATCAAATATACCCGAAATTTTTATAAATAAAATTGCACTACAATTTCTTTTCAAGATATAATATTAAAAAAATTAATATATTATAATTTCTTTCATTAATATCGATTGAAAAGATGTTGATGACAATTAATTTCTGTATTAAATTTCATTTGATAAATAACTTTTATTTAATTTCCTGCAAATTTTTTAAAAATCTATTTATAAATTTAATTTTTCTTTTTTATATATTTTACAAAAAAAAATGCTTCTAAGAAGTGAATTTTCTAACGCATAATTTAATTAATTTAATCAAGTGCTCATTCTGGTTATTTTGAAATTAAATTTTATTAAAAATTAAAAATATTTTTAAATCGAATCAATTTAATTATTTCTGTAGCCAAGTTGACAACTAGTTTTTTTATCTACTTAATTTTAACTGTAATTTGTTGACAATAATTTGCAAAAATTATCCAATTTTATTTGATATTTTCTCTAATAAAATTAATTTTTGGCAGTCCTGTTCTTCCCTCGGCTCTAAAGTCGAAAACGACATATCCACCTACACAACCGCAGCAGCAACTTTGATCTTATCCAGGGGTAATGATGATGCAGCCTTGGCATGACCATTCGCTCGCCCTCTCAGGGGGTTGTTAATTGCAATTCGCTTAGCCCCATCAATAAAAGCATCGGAACAAAGAAGGGGTGACAGCGCGTGCAATTATTAATCGACCGTCTCTATTTTTTCCCTCTCTTGCGAGACGATATGCATGGAAATGACCATACTTGAGATAATGAATTATTCTCTTTCGTATCGTCTCGCGGGGGGTGCGATGGTAAATAATGGAAAAATTCGAAATAACACGGGCCCCTAATGGCATATTGAGCAGATTCGGCGTCCGGCTGCGCTTGATCGGCGATAAGGACAGCAAAGCGCGCACCTCGTTTTTCCACGGAATCAATTTCACAATGGGCAAAATAGCGGCGCATATAATCGGCACCGCACGCCAACCTTTTATATATTTCAGATATTATTATTCCCTCTTTTCCTGCACTTGCTGCACGAAACGTCGGAAAATATATATGACCGATTTGTTTCTGGAAATTCTCTCATTCATATAATTCTCTCCGAAGTATATATTTGTCACAAAATCACACTTCCTCATTGTCTTTTCGGAAATGAACCTCTACAAATTTCCCAATCAAGTTTCTTTATTTCATGAGTGTCCTCGTGGAAGTATTTTTTTTAAATAGACAAAAAATTCATTGCTGCGGTTATAGATACAAAATTAAAAATATAAAACTCTTTTGTAAAATAATTAAAATTTCAAAGGTGACAATATCATTTAAAATTAATTTGTGTACGAATTAAAAGATTTTAGACGTTTTTAGTGTTTCCTGCTGTGCTGGTTGCTTTGATAAGATTAAAGAATATATTATAAATAAAGCCACGATTTTTATAGCACTTTCAAATTTTATCTTTTAAAATTCCTTTTCAAGATTTTTTTTATTTCAATAATCAAAACCTGACGTTTTAAATAAAATCTGTTAAAATCTCAACGTTGTCGCGATTTCAATAATTAAATTGATAAATGAATTAGACTTATATTTTAGTTATAACTGCATCCATTTATTTTAAGTTCACTAAAATCAATCACAGCGTCAAGGACAAGGATCAAGCCTGTTTGATCTTTTCGGTTTATCTGGTGACCACTGCGTGAAAAGTTCTCTGGCCAATTGACATTTTGAACTCTCTCTGTTCGGACGCTATGGGAACCGCACACTCGCAGACCTCGATTCCTTACCAAATTAAGCCGCGGCACTTATCGCGTTATATTATAATTGTCTGCGAATTTGATTAATACTCGTTACGATTCGTGAATAAGCACGTGGGAATTCTTTAAGCGCGCTTCTATCCACGTGTTCTTTCAATAAACCGCAACGGATGTACTTCTCAAATTAGAAGATTAAAAACTGTTTTAAATTTAACAGTTTCCAGCTCGCCAAGAAAGTTATTTTATTTTTTATTGAAATATTATTTTATTTCTTATTTTAAAATGAGAATGGGTGATTTTTGTTGAAAATATTTTTGAATGTATACTTTGGATAATAAAAGAGATTATTGGGCGAAACAGACGCCAAGAAAATTGGTTTCAGTTAAAGATGAAATTTAAATTTTGAAAATAGGGATAAATCTCAATCTAAAAAGGGCCTTATTATAGTAAATTCAGCTATTTTTTGGACCAATAGGTTTTCCCTTTGTATAAAATTTAATTTAAAATTTTCATTATAAGCCGATTTATTGGTACACAATTAATTAATTTCTCACGTGTATCAAATTATGATCTGATATAAATACTTGAGAATTTAAAAAAAATATTTTAATTTCTTGAAATGTTTTCACACATTTTTTTAAGCTTGGAAATTATACAATTGTCTCGGTTGGCGGAAGAGGCAATAAAATTGCACTGCGGTACATTTATCAGCGAGCATCTGGCATTTCAAGACTTACGCTAATAACAACAACACGGAGTGTGGCGACGGCGGATTAAACGCAAGGGGAAACAAAGGCGGTAATAAACGAAACACAACCCTCGGCTCCGGCATTAATTCATTTATGCATAACTGGCATACGTCTGGATCTAAATTATCCTAATTAAAAATTATTTTTCTCCATCTGCGAAGGCAATCTTTTTATCCGCGGAGCAGAGGCGAACAGGTAATCGCCCCATTAGCGCTAATACTTCGTCTTCCTCGCTCGAATAATTTGTTTCTCCACCACACCCTAGCTTGGTGTATGCGTGTTGCTCTTAAGATCACTTTTGCATTTATACACGAGATAAATGGCCAGCGGGCGGGGGAGGCTCGCTCAAAACCACCGACTCACTTCCCATTTTTTGGACGTTGAATTATGACGTGGTGAGAGCGACTGACAATAATTATATGAGAAGAATATTTTTCTTTATATATCACAAAACCGAACGCGGGATCACGCGTTCATTGATTTATGACGCACTGACCCATTTTCCCTTCAATCATCTCACATTTTTGTTATAATCATGTCAAATTTAGTCTGTTTTTGTCGATTTTTCCTCCCGGCTTAAAATAAAATTAAGGTCTCAACTTCCTTTATTGAGGATTTTTTTAAAAAGTAATTTAAACATTTTGTTGCAACATTCACAAGGGTAATTAAAAACAGGTTTGATGCTGCGTTCACGGATCTCAGAATAATCAAAGTTCTAGATTTAAGGGCATTTTAAGAAGTTTCGCTGAGTTGCATTTGAAGAAAACTTAAAAACAAAACTGTATCATGAAAATGAAGAAAATCGAGCTTGCGTCGTTGTAAAAAACTGTTTTTATTCACAAACAAAACGACTCTACCAGTTTCGGTCACGGTCTGCGGCCCTATTTTATGTGCAAGAAAATCACGAAAAACAGCAAAATTGAAAAAAAAACACGACATTATAACATAAAAATTATAAATATTAAAACTGACAAATTCAAGTACCAACCAATTTCATGAGCAAAGATGCTGCTCGCTTAGTAATACAAGAATGAGCTGGCTGTATCATGCAGAATTAATAAAGTTGCTTATCTTCACCATTAAAGCCGAATTTTATTTCATCAAAAAATTAACACCTCAAGTGCCAAAAGAACAACTACAACAACCAAAATCACCCTCTGATAGAAATAAAAAAAGAATTTCTCGATTGCCTTGACGCACAAACACCATTAAAAGAATAATATTTCAAACTTGATTTTTTTTTCAAAGTCTTTAAATTTCTTTTATATTAAAAACGTTAAAAACAACTTTTTTACGATTCAAAATTCTCTCTTTTTCATGTCAAAAATTTAGTCTTTTTGTATTTTTATTTCTCTCCGCTTAAAATGAAGATCTCAAAACTTCTTTTAAAACGGATATTTTGAATAATTTAATTATTTTGTTGTAACATTCACCTTATGGGCACTTAAAATTGGTCGACTGCAATTAATCTTTGAATTATCAGGGCATCAAACCAGTGTTGTCGGACAAACAGATTTTCCTGTTGGCTATAGTCAGAAAGTTCAAGCCAAGCTCTTGACCCGCGCGTTCCGTAAAATATGGAAGCATCCTTAACATTTAGGTTGCCAAAGGTGGCATTAACCATCATAATATAAAAAAACTACAAAGAATTTTATAAATTTTTTTTTTAGTAAACACATACAGGCAATTTGTTTAAATATATAATTTAGGAAATATTCAGGAATATTGTGGGTTTAAAAAAATCATTACTTGGTATTTCAGATTAAAAAATTTATATTTCCTCGCAAATGAACACCTCCTTTACGTAAGGCCAGATAAGTTGAAACAGTGGCGTGGGTCCGTTAAGCTGCGAAAAAACGTTGATTGGTCCAGCCGAGTTCAAAAAATCTGGGTGAACATCAAGACTGTAATTGTAATTTTTTGGGATAAATTCCGTTTGGGTGTAACAATCGTAACTGAAACCACTCGTCACGTCAATAATGACAGTGTTGAGCATGGTGTAGAAATTGTTGGCATAGCTACTGGATATTGCCACTTAAAATATATTTAATCAAATGAATTTAAATCCAAGACATACCCGCTGGCTTCATACAACTTGAAGCTTTTATGAAATTCTGAGCAGACAACAGTCGCATTCCGCGTTCACAGCAGAATGTGGCAGCACCAAAATTATTGTAAGCCTGCGACCAAAAAATTTATTGCTTCAAATTGATTTATATTTTTTTATGTTCAGCTTACGCGACCACCGGTATAAAAAATGAGATAATTTTTTGTATCGTTGCATCTGCATGTCCAATATCGGCCGTCGCCATTAAAAGAGCACGTGGATGCAACTAAATTTATTAAAAAATTAACTAATATTTTTTTAAATATTTAATAAAAAATAGCTTACCTGGATTTATTGCATCTGTTTTGTTCTTTTCTGCCACCTGAATTATAATCTGTTATAAAAAGGTTTTGTAACACATTAAACGTAATTTCTCACGTTGATAGTGCATAGGGGATCAACGCCGTAATTTGCGCAACCGTATGCCTTGGAAATCATTTGATCACTCTGAAATTAGTGCAAGAAAAATTAAAATATGTAAAATATTATTTTTGTGACAAACGTCTTTCGGGATTTGATTGTCCAGATCTTTGATGATTTGATCAAATACTTCGGGCGCCTTGTCCCTGGCACACTTGGCTAACTGATACGCCTTGTCGCACTCGTCCATTCCGTCTAAAATTTAAATATTTTTAGTTTTCAATCAATAATATTATAAATTTACAAGTCTTGTTGTTGCACTCGTCCACGATGGCCATATTTTTTATCAATTCGTCCATGTTCGAAAGGGCAAGTGTTTCAAGAATCGCAAACACCTCGCTTTCCACAAATTTTCCACCAACCAGCTTTAAAATTTAAAATAAAAAATTATTAATTAATTTTCAATGAAATATAAGTAGTTGTTAATTATATACCAGACCTACAGCGTCGCCAACACATTGAACAAAGCACTGTAAATTTTATACTTAAGTAATTTTTAATTTAAAAAAAAATAGTACTTTCATGCGCAGATCAAGATTCGTCGCATTCCGAAGCAAGTCAATCTCAACTGTGCTCAGGTGTAATATAAAAATTATAATTTTACTTTATTTATTTTAATTTTACCTTCCGTAACACTGTAAATAACCGCGCATTCATCTATTATCGCCTGCTTGCCACTCTTTGTCTGCGGATTGCGTCGTTTCTAATTTAAATCATATAATTATTTTTATAAATGTTTTTAATTGTTTCGTGGAAAACCTCGCAAATATATCTGAATTTCTTGCTGTTTCCGTCATAATCGGCAAGTAGAACCTGACGCTTTTCACGCCACATGTGGACGGCCACGTGATTTTCCTTTCCTCCTGCATTGTCTGGTTGTCCAGGCAGCCACTTTGTCTCATTGCGGAACACCCGTTTGGCCGAACAGTAGCCAAAAATTGACTCGCAGCCCTCGTCCGAACCAGAAGTCCACAATGTTAAATTTTGTTCCTCTAATTGATAGTAAAATTAATTAAATTAATTTAGCACGCAAATTGATTTTCTTTGCCTTGATTCATTTCAATGGAGAAGCCGATACTGGCCAAAGCGTCGTACTTATGCTGACCATCTAAACTCAACAGCGACATGCCCAAAGCACAGCAAGCTTTTGTCGCTTCCAAATACTACAAAAATGTTAAGTCCATTCCGGAAATTATAAAAAAAATTACTGTTTTTGTATCGTTTGGGAAACTGAAGAGGTAGTGGCGAAGTTTGTTAGAGAACCATCGGCCGTGCAGAGTGTGGTCTAAAATTTATTTTAACGAGATCGTTACACAAAAACTACATTTGGAAGTACTTTTTAAAACTGAAGAGTTATCCTTGGCCGAAACGGTAAATAATTGAGGCTGAAATTTTCGTTTACAAAGTAAATAATCTGTCTGAAATTGATTTAAATTAAGCACATCTTTCTGGCAGGTGAAATTCGGACAAACAGGACTGGTACACTTTGGAGACTTGGTTGGAGGGCCCTGAAAAGTTACAGTGAAAAAAATGATATATCAAATTTCTCAGGTTCAAACTTGGCAAGCAAATATCAATCGGTCCGAACACCGCCTATCGCCAATGGAAATGGTGCCGTTGGTTTTATTAATGCGCATCTGGACGCAGTTCTGGTCAATGGCTGAGTTGATTAAAGGCAGGTCCACTTGCAAGGACACGGAGCCGTTTGCAAAGCACCACCCAGTGGTTCCGCTCACCAGGTCCTTCCTTCCTCCCGTCCAGTAATTCATGTTGAACCTCCAGCTTTTTGCTTCAGAAAGAAATAATGGAATTTTGTCAAATTAAAATTTATTTTTATTCAACCTTGGAGTTTCATGCACTCGAGTTTTTCTTTGCTCTCAAAGACAAACGGCTGCATGTTCAGACTGAGGCACTTATCCGTGTTTTGGTGCCAAGTTCCCTAAAAGTTAAGCTTTTGAATAAAAATAAAAAAAAAATCCAAAAAATTAGAGACCAGCGACCTTCCAAGCAACAGGGTTTGGCCGCACGCGTCCAACCAGAATCCATGCAGGTCAGGATCTACAGATAATTTATTATTATTATTAATAGAACATGTTGCATTTAAACTAACTCGTGAGTGCTCCATTAGTTGAAAATAGGGACCTCTATTTTAATATAAGAAGAATGTATGAAATATAATAAAATGCTAATATAGCGATTGTATATAAAACGAAAAAGAGCGAATTCGTACGTTAACAGCGGCGTTTGTTTCCGCTTTGCATTTTCCGACCAGCAATGGCTGAAAAAAAATAATGTAAAATGGAGAGATTTTTAAATAGAACGCGTGACGCACGTCAATGGTTGTTGTAGTTGTCATTTTGGTTGACGTAGTGGAAGCTTTCGTGGTTGATGTTGAAGTTACCGGCGCGGTTGTTGTCGTTACGGGCAAAGAAGTTGCAGATTCTGAAGAGTCCAGCGTTTTAATAGTTTGGGTGCTCGTCTGCAATACAGAAGAAGTGGTTCTCGTCTCAGAAAGGGTTGCTGTTGTTGTACTTGGGGAAGCGGATGTTGTTGAAGTTGTGGCTGATGAAGATGTTTCGGTTGTGGCCAAATCGACGGTCGCCAAGATTGTTGATGAAATTAATTCATTTATTTCTGATGTTGATGAATAAGCATCTGTTGCTATCTTAATCAAAATTAAGCTGCGATGTTTCAAACTTATTATATAATATAATCTGTTTAAATTCACCTCATCACCATTGGAGTTAGAAATTTGCACGTCACTTACATCTGTAGAGGCTGAGGATATTGACAAACCAGAATTTTCAGTGTAAAGTTCTGTATCCGTGGAAATTATTTCTCTCGAAGTTTTCAATATTTCAGTTCTTCCAATCAATGAATAGTTTCTATTGATCTACAAATTCAAATTTTTATTTTTTAAGTTGTGTGAATTATTTTATTGGAATAACCTACCTCAGTGGCAAGTTTGGAGTGACTTTTGGATGGACCACCGGGACTTAGACATTTTTTTAAGCCACAACACTTAATTATTTGCACGTGATTTTTGGAAATTTTAACTTTTGTAGAGAGAGCAGGTCGTCTTCCTAACAATTAACAGAAAACTTTATACAATGACCCTCAAATGAATCATTTCAAATATCCAACCACTACGTTTCTTATTTCCATTTAATGCATCCTGTGATTGGTAAATAATTTGTAACTAAATTAATTATGAAACTCAATGAAAAAGTCTTACGATTTCTTGATGAACTTGAGCAACGACAAAAAGGAACAGCAATAGTTTTGCTTCAAGAGGCATTACGGCCATTAAAAGCGCTGAACTGAATTTTAACAAAGTCGAAATTTGTGTGTTGCGAGTTATTCGTCGTTTTCCTCTGAGTGACGCACGAGAGCAAAAAAAAATTTTGAAAACAGCGGTTGCATCCGCAGCGAAAAAATGAAATGAAATAGTGGCGCGGTGGTCGAATATGAGACAATTTTATAAAATATGTAGCATCAGATTTGGTTAATTGTTTCAAGCAAAAGGGGATAAAAAGTAAGTTAAATTCTGAATCTCTGAATTTCGAATTAATTATCATAGTTCCAGATGTCAAATTGCATTTGAAATTTTGAAGCATAAATTTGTTTACCTAATTGTAAAAAAAAAATTTCCCTATTGCCTTGACGCACATATATAAATAAGAAAGAATACTCAAACTCATGAATTGTAAATTTCTTATAAATTAAAAAAGACTTAATTTTCAAAATTTTTATCTACCATTTATTATTGCTACCAATTATCCAATCAATAGAAATTCATATTTTATTTCCCTTCCTTTTATTTGCTGTTTTTGGTGTCTTGTTTGAAGCAAAATAGAACAAAGTTTAGGCATCAGAAATTTTCCAAAACCAAGTTGAATTACTTTTAATTTTTATTTACAAGACCTTTTAGATTTTACAAGTCGTTCTTGTCCTCGTTCTTGGGCGGTGCGGGGAAGCCGTTGTCGGCGATGATTTGCTTATAGAGCGCCGCCGACGACTTTGGCGTTCTCGGCCTCGCCGGGTCGCTAAAATCGACGTAGTGCAAACCAAAACGTTGCCTGCGAAAACAAAACGCCATTGTTTGATCTGAAAATAGAGCAAACAGAAGGAAAAAACGCACGTGTAGCCAGCCGCCCACTCGAAGTTGTCAATCACGCTCCACGCCGTGTAACCAATGACGTTGCAGCCGTCGAGCTTAATTGCTTTCAGCATCTCGTTAATGTAGCTCTTGAATAATTAACAATTTTAGTACACGTGCTCACAATAAAACACTTAATCTCTTTTATAAATGAATAAAAAATAAAATTGAAACATTAGTATTTATCATTTTAATAATGCTATACTGGAATTAATTTAAATTATTTCAAATTTATTAAGAAAATCAGTTATATTAAAAATTACTTTCAATTTATCCATATCTGTGTTGATAATTTTTTTTTAAATATAGTTTTTGAGCAAATAATTGTTTTGATAAACAAAAAAATTAGAAAATTTTTGAAAGTCATTAAATTTCTGATATTTTTAATATAATTTTTATAATCAATTTCGGATTTTAATATTTATTAAATTACTCTGTAATAGTCGACGCGGCCAACATCATCGATGGTTCCTGGAAAATCAGCATAGCCATTTTCCGTAATGAAAATCGGAATGTCTCCGTACTCGTTTTTCACCCAGTTCAGCAATTTCCGGAAGCCCCACGGAACCACCTGAAAAAGACCACAAAAATAATTTCGCAAAAAGATCCCAAACTAATTTCAACCCTAAGCCAATCTGCCGAAGATTCGGGCCACGTTTCATTGAAACTGGGGAAAACTTCTGCGTCCGTGGCGTAACTCGGCGCGAAAGGATAAACCGCGTACTCGGCCAGGTTGGTCGTGTAGTGATTCAAGCCGAAATAGTCAAACGTGCCTATTGTGAAATTTTTCATGCGAAACTTTTCATTTATTGTGAAATCAAACCGCGAACGTAGGCCACTTCTTCGGGCGTGAACTCGGACAGGCGAGACTGCGGAAATCCTTCTTCGGCGCTGTGTCGAGCGACGTATTCCTTCATGATCGGCGGGTAGTCGCCGTCGACGCTGTACACAGGGTGGGCAAACCAACCCAACTATTAATTAGAAAAAAAAAATAGATTAAATAAATAATAATTTTGGAGCAAAACCTTAAACTGCATTCCTCTTTCGGCGGCGTCAATGTCTGCCTGAGTTTGGGTTTTCGGCTCCAACCAACTGCTGTCCATGGTGTACCCAATTTTGCCTAAAAATTGAGGATTAAAAGGGTTGAAAACTTTTCAGAAAATCAAAATTTATAAAAATTGAGATTAGGATACAACTTAAATTTGCTTTCTAGCGTTTTCTAGGAAATTAATTTATTAGCACAAAAATTAGACGGAATTGCTTTTCAAAAAATTTGATGTCATGAAAATTTCTAACGCTTTTAAATAAATTAAATTTTTGAAAGTTAAACTGTTTATTAAAGATCTGAAAACATCAGAAATTCCAAATTATTTTATAATATCCAAGTTCCTAATTATTATGTTAATTTTTGTGTTATTCGTCGCAAAATTTTTGTTTACCAATAATGCCAAAATGGATTGCAATCTAGGGACGCAAGAAAATCGTTAAATATTTCGAACATGTTTTTAAATCTTTTGATAGTAAAGTTTCTTCTACCTCCTTGCGAATTCCTGTACTTCTCGTCATAGATGCGCCAACCTCTGGCGTGCGACAACAGCAGGTGGTGTCCGGCCTGGTAGTCCAAAATGCCCGACTGGTTGAGTCCGGGCGCGTAGTCACCCCAGCCGTGACCCTGGACAGCCTGCACCCACGGTTCGTTGACCGTGTACCAGGTCTTGACGCGGTCACCGAAGAGGAGAAAGGCCAAGTCGGCGTACTCGGCAAATCGTTCGACCACTGTCCGGTTCAGCCAGCCGCCCACGTCTTGCAGACCTTGCGGCAAATCCCAGTGGTACAAGGTCACCTGAATTTTAAATCAAAATTTGTATTTTCTTTCACTATAAAACAATTATTTAGTTTTTTGTAGAAAAATTATTCAATTTTAATTAACTGAAGAAAAAAAATTGGATATAAAACAATTATTTTCATATTTTTTAAAATTTTCTCAATATAACTGTTGCTTTCCCTTTCAGTTAATTTTGTTTTCGACCAGAGAGAAATGAAATTTCATATTTTTTTATTATAATTTAAGCAATTTTCTCATTGGGTTGGCTTACAGTGGGTTCGATGTTGTTGGCGAGCAATTCGTTGATCACGCCATTGTAATAATCGACCCCTGGCTCGCTGAACCCGTCGCGAAGGTCCCCGGTCGGAATGAGTCTAGACCAAGAGAAAGAAAACCGGTAGAAATTCACCTGTGCGGGCAGGCGATCGTTTTACAATTAATAAAATAACGCCTCGGGCTGTCGAAAATCGAGCGACTCACGCCGAGGTTTTTGAGCAAAGCCACGTCCTCTCTGAAAAAGTTGTAAGAGTCGCACGCGACGTCACCCGTGCTGCCGTCGGCCACATGGGGCTCATCCGAGTGCACAAAAGTGTCCCATATGCTCTCACCTTTACCTGAAAATGTAAAAAAAAATTATTTAAAAAAATTACTTTTGTTAAGTTTGAAGATATTTTTATTTTGCTAAAACAGCTGAAGAGGAACAGAAATTTTTTTACAAATGAATTCTCTAACAATAAAAAATTTGCGGTCTTAAAAAAAGACCGTCGTCAAAATTCTATAAATTTTAAAATATGTGCTTCATGTAAGTAAAAGTTCTATTATTTTAAAATACCACTTATATTCCACGCTCCCTCGATTTGGTACGCTGATGTTGCGGCTCCCCATTTGAAACCGGCTGGAAACGTGTCGTAGAGAAACTCATCACTCTGGCAGCTGCAAAGCGCCACCAGAATTGAAAACACCAAAATCCGGAGTGCGCTCGTCATTACGCGGGTCAACTTTTGCTTCTCATGAGATTTCTTACACAAATCGAGTGGAGCAAAACACTCCTCCGGTTTATAATCTTATCTGAACTCTGTGGGTATAGGGCAAAGTGGTTTGTACCGAAATGAGATAATTGATAATATTTTGTTTCTATAACATCGATATAAACCATTTTTTATGAAATAAGTTCAACAAAATTATTATTATTCTTGCTTATTTGTGAAATTATTATTTAACTGTAAATTTTTTATCTTTAGAAAAATCATTTTGAATGTTATATATTAAATTGGTTTGTCCTCATTTTTGCTCGGAAGAGGCCGCTGAGCTCTCCTCTGCATACCCAGCACGGTCACATAAAATACACATTTATAAAACGTATTAAAGTACGAGGAACGAATTGCCAACGTCAAAAGGTCGTGGGAGAAGAAGAAAGACGCTGGCTCTGAGCATGCACCCTCTCACGTCGCGCCGTCTTTTCTTTTTGTTGCTTTATTTCAGCGCTTGCCGGTAAAGTACAAAAACCATTTCGCATGCTGCACTGCAGGAGAATTCGATTTGAGTTAATCTATTTTCGCGTACACAAAGAGAGGCATATTTTTATTTACAGTTTTTTTTAACCGACTGTGGGAATTCAATTTCGTCGTTTTTCACTTCAAAAGCAGGAAGAAATTCACGTATTTAATATTTTTTTGCCGGACGAACTTATAAATTGACGAACTTTGAACTCTTTCATTTGTGGTTGAGAGACAAAAACCTTGTTTTCACGGTGACACGCAACCTGCGTGACACCAGAGTCGAGCAGGTTGCATATTTTTAAATTTCCCTGCAGTGAAGCGCCATAAGCCATAATTAAGTATGTTTAGAGACTTGAATATAATATTCGTTTTTAAGCAGATTAATGAAAATTTTAAGTCAGTCAGTATTCTTATTGATTTATTATATTTTTTTAACTTTTTAATTATTAAAAAACAATTTTTTGTACATTTATTTATTTCATTCTTATTTAAATTTCATATTCGCTACAAATTTTGGATAATTTAAAAGAAAGCTAAAAATACATTCAATATTATAACAGTTTGATAAAAGAGGAGATTCACAAATTGAAAAACAAAATAAAAAGCAAATTGCCATTTTTATAATAATTTCATGCAGAGATTTTCACTCAAAGTTTAGAGTTTAGTTTGCATGTTGCAACACACCAGAATATTGTTAGCTAATTAGTAACTTTTTGAGGTTCGTTACCGGTGGTGCATTAAAAAGAAACAAGGGCCCTGCTGACAATGCGAGTGGAAAGTTTTTGCGATGGGCAGACTGTTGCTCTCTCATTATTAATCATTTGCCTGGGGTCGCAGCAGCGCGGCTCACTTGCTTGCTCTCTTCTCTTCACTGCTCTCAGTCAGTCGGGCTAAATGCCCCGGAGACTCTGCGCGAATCCACCACAGAAAGGCCTTTCCGAAATAAAAAGAAGGAGATGCGGTGTTGTTGTTGTTCACTTGGCCCGCTTGTTCGCTACACTCGCCGCAATCCTCCACGGAGAGCCGGTGCGGTTATCTCTGGCTGCGCGGGCGGACTTCGTCTGCTTACCCCGCCGACTTGGTCTTCTCATTAAGAACGACCATTATCGTCCTCGCCCTTGACCACCTTCATTTTTCTTGACCGCCAAAAGTTTCCCTTTTATCTCGGCGAGCGGCACAAAAATAATTCTAGCTAAAGAAAAGGAAAAGTTATTTTTATTTTGTAAGCAAAGATCTATAGATGAAGTATTTAATCTCATTAAAAAAAAATAATAATAATGTTACTAAATAGAATTAAATTTAAAATATCCGTCCTAGATTAACTTTTTTTTATTCATATTCAGTTGATAAATTTTAAAAAAGATATCAAAATAGTCGGGAAGCAAAAAAATTCATAATTTATAACACTTATTTTGATATTTTAACAATAAACAAGACTTGAAACATGTAATTTTATTAATTTTTTATTTTAAAAAGATTAAAAAAGTTGTAATTAATCTCCCATATTTGATATTTGATATTTTTAATCAGAAACAATTTTAAAAATCTGTTTCCAGAATGAACTTTGGAGGGAATAAAATATTTTTCAGTATTTTAACGATTTATTTATTTCGAAGAGTTTAAATTATGTATTTCCCTCCTTTTGGAGCTTCTTCTATTTAAAAATTTTCCATTTTTTCCTCGTTCTGTTTTACAACTTTTCTCAAATGGCCAATCTCTGACCCAAAATGTGGTACTCGCTCATTTTCCGACCCTTTTTAGCCGTACAAATTTCATGAACGTGTGGCAGAGTGGGTGCTGCGCTCACTCAGTCAAGAGCCGAGAGTAAAAGCAGCTGGCCCACTCGCATACATAATGTGTTTTGCAAAACCTGGCCCACGAACACACTTTCACTGGGAGGTGGGAGCGCCTCTCCGTTTGAATTGTTTATGATTGACAGATAAGGCTCTCAAGCGAGTCAGATAAAAGTGGCCTTTGAACTTCAAATCAAAATGTCATTATTTCAGATAATATAAAACTGAAAAATCAGTTAAATGATTAAAAAAATTAAAAAATATAAATATTATAAAATCTTGTTGTGAAATCATCATAATGATGAACCTCTGTCTTGGGATTTTTATTCCAAATAAAAAAAAAACAGCCCAGCTTCTATCTGCAGCCCTATCTCGTGGGTAATTGAACAAAATTGAAAAAAATTACCTGCAGAGTCGCGTTGTAAATTAATTTTTCACTCCACAATAGACTCCAATTTATCAAAAATTTAACCATTATTATAATTATCTGTGTCAAAAAACTATTTTTTTTATGTGAAATTATTGCATTCAAAAGTTGTACAGATTTGTTGTTTCCGCGTTGTGAATATCTCTGGATTCAAAATATTATACAATTCAAATTCAAATGAGAGCAGTCGAAACAAAAGCGGGGTGCGGCTCAACTGTCGGTGCCAAATAATGCAATAGGCGTACATCCCTTAATCCGTTGATGACCTTATGGACGCTCGAGAGGAGATGATCTGCCGCTCCGTTGATAATTGTCCTGACCGCTCTGCCGAATCTAATTCGAAAATGCATAAACAATACATCTCTCGCCAGGGCGAACCCACGCGTCCACTAATATTAGAGGCGAATTCAAATTGAATTAATCTGTATATCAGATTTCTGCGTTTTGCAATTAGTCGAGGAAGGGCAGGGGAGAACGACTGCGTAGATGATGAAAATACATCAAATTCATTGAAATGGAATCGATCATGACATTCCTATTTTTCACAATTCTGTATTTTTTGCAGATATTGATTATAATTTATTTGATTCAACAAAAATAATACAATAAGAACAAAAAATTTTAATTTTTTAACTTTCCTAAATATTTTTATTCTTAAAAATTCGTGAAAAAATAATTAATTTTTCAGCTTTATTTAAAAATATTAGAAATTTGTATCTTTTTTGCAGGTAATACTTCTGAAGTACGTACAAAAAGGACCCATTTGCTTCAATCGAAGCTTTGCGCTAACATTTTGAAGTGTCCCTTGCACAGCAAGGTTTACAGGCACTGGGCAGGCCTGACTGACTCAGGAATGTAGGCGCAGACGACAGACTTCAAATCTCGCTGGGCGGTGTTTTGCGCCTCTTGATCAAATTTCTGGAAATATGTTTATCTCAAAATGAAGACGAAAATATTTTAATCAGAAAAACTTCTTACGCCATTGATCGAGATGGAAGGAACAAAAGCCAATCCCTTGGGGAAGAGTTTCAGGGTGCGTTGTTCATAGTTGTAAAGCAGAGCCTCAGCGGCGGGCGAATTCACGCACTCCTCGATGTCTTTGTAGTCGAGACCAACTTGGGGTGCGCACTGAATTAAAGAAAAAAAGATCAGGAAAAAAATTAATAAAAATTTCGTTTAGGGTTAAATAAATTGTTTTTCCATATTCTCTATGGAACATTGAATAATTAAGTAAAATTAATTTTTAAAAGCTAGGTCTTTTTTAAAAACTATTTGTGTAGAGAAATATATGACGGAACGGATTTTCAAAGTAGACTTCAATTCTGAAATCTAAAAATCTAATATAAAATAAATTTATAAAATTTAATTTTCTTTAATTTAAAATTGAAAAATGATTTTTTTTTTAATTCATTACAAATTTGCCTCGAATTTTTTTTACAAACAATTTTAATTGAAATTTTTTGCTTTTGAAAAATAATTTTTGCTTTCTTAAAAACCCTAAATTTAATTACTTTTTCTCATTTTCTTATTCCCAGATCTCTTCTTTTAATATATCAAGATTATTTTTAACACAACTATTTTAATTAAAATTACCTTAGCCCCGGCACTTGGGGGGTCGGAGTTGTTCATGAGGCAGCCGACAAACTTAATCCTGAGGTCGTGGTCGGAAAGGAGGTTGCTGAGGCCGCACGCCTGCACCATGTTGCCGGCGCACTCGCGGGGTCCGTGTTGGCAAGTGAAGGACAAGCCGCCGCCTGGCTTGCGCTCGCTCTACAAAGGAAACAACCTTCTTTGAACATATATTCGCTATTAATTTGCACGGTGCAAAGATAGTTCGTTGAACCCGGGTGTTTGTTCAACGGAATAAAAAATAAAATGGGAGGAGAAGAAGAAAAAGAGAGGTGCTTTTGACCTTCAATTTTATTTAATATATCATTGCTTAGTTTTTTATATTTTTTATTTTTACCTTGGCCTTTCCGAAGGGCAGGAAGTCGATTTCCAAGAACTCGGAGCCCAGGGAGTTCCAAGTGGGAATGAGTTGGTTCCGAACAAAGCGGACGCTGTCAGGGCACAATGACTCGTAGTAGACCTTCAGGTGCACCTGGAGGAGAGAAAGTATCGTTTCCGAAAGTTGCTTCGCTTTTATGTGATATTATCAAACAAGGCCACACTCAATTCATAGTCGTAGATTTTAAGATAGACAAAAATAATTCTTAATCTAAAAATAGGGTATTTTTAAAGTTAAATTTGTTTCCGGGTCGAAAATTAATTTCAGTATTTTTTAATTTCATCTTTGATTAAATTAATTAATCGTATTATATTAGCGATTAATTTCCAAATAAATTGTATAAAAAAAATGTAGCAATAGAATGAAAATTAAAAGTAAACAAAATTTTACAAACCAAAAATTTAAATAATTTCCAATCTCACAATAAATAAAAAAGTTACTCTTTCAAGATTCAATATTTTTTTCAATTATCTTCCACAATATTCATTTTTTTCTTGTTTATAATTTTATTTCAATTTCCAGCAATAAGTAAAGTTTTTTGATGATAAAAATGCCGATAAGATAAGCAATCAAATGGCAAAAAATATATTCCTTATTGTTCAAAACTTTGAAATGGTATATTTAAAAAGATTTTGTCGAGTCGCATGAATATAATTATCTCACCCTGGGGTCGACAGCATCGTCGGCGCCGGCGAGGCTCGCGAGCAACAGGAAAAAGGCACCGACGATACCAGCAGTTGCCATGTTGGTTCAGCACTAAAATTTTTAACTTCTCACACACTCGAGCGAGCTTCCTTCTTCGCCTATAACATGCTCTCAGTGGGGACGCTGGCGAACGTAACGGAGAACCAATTGAAGCAGGGGAAATATTATTTTATTTAAAAATACTTTCAAACTTGGCACATCAAATTTAATAATATTATCAAAATAAAATTATGAAAAATTAATTTTTAGTGTCAAAATTGGCATTGAGGGTTTCTATATTTTTAATTAAAAATAAAAACTGTGGTGGGAAAATAAAGCAAGTGGCAAGATTTGCGTAGCATTTATTCCGTAATTTACATTGCCCAATTACTTTTGGGCGCGAGACAAAAGACGCGTGAATGCCAAAAACGAAGACGTAGAAGTCAGACCAAGGGCATCGCATCATCTTTCCAATAGCTTGACGCACGTACGTGAAAAGCGAAAATATATAAAACAAATTAATTAATGAGGTAATTCTCAAGTTCCTCACGCACGTTTAGAATAAAAAATAAACATTTATTTGCTTCCTAATACGCTTGATCACTAAAAATTGTTGATTTTCTTTATTATTGAAAATATCATGACGATTTTACTGTTAAATTAATAAAGATAATTTTATCTAGATTAATTAACTCTGCATATAATTAAAATTAACCTGACACGTCCTGGAAATAAAACTATGTGCGCACAGTTATTGCAATTAAATTACGTTTGTAATGAAATATGTATATATTTTTAAATCGTGTACTCGGGAAAACAGGTTGTCTCCTCTCTGCTGGTCAACTTTGATATTCTCTCTCGCCTTTGCTCAGGGTCACGGCTTTATACATAACTTTATGGCTCTCCCTATACCTGAGAGCTGTTGTCAACCTGGCTCATATATGCAACTTGATGGGAAAATATATAAAAATTCCATTCACCCGCAGCTTCGAAGGGTTTTCTTGAGATAAAAGCGGCGCATTTCAGGTCGCAAGAGCTTGGAAGCAGGATGGAAAAATTGCTGCTCGTCCGCTCAGCTAGACAGGTGGTCACGGTCACCAATGACCCGCAGGTGACCCGGCTTGTCGGCCAGGAAATGAAGTCGGTCACCGTTAAGGAAGGCGCTGTGTCCATCGTTGTTGACAAGTAATTTTAAAAATAAGTTTTAAATATGATTCCATTAAAAAGGACAAAAAATTCCCTCAAATTATATCTTGAAACGAAACCAAAAATATTTTATAAAAATAAAAACTAAAAATATTCACAAAATTTTTAAAAAAATGTAAAATAATTTTTTTTTTAATTCATATTTAAATTATTATTTTTAGCGGAGGTTTTATAGAATTTATTGGGTCTGACGATGAAGTTGCAGAGAAATATCGTAACGTCAAATTTTCAAAGGAAATCAACGCTTCAAACTATGTCGTACTGCCCGGTTTTATTGACACCCACACCCATCCAGTTTGGGCCGGTGACCGAGTCAACGAATTTGCAATGAAGGTTTCAAAATTTCTTATCAAAATAGTTAAAAAAAAAAAATTATTATAGCTCGCCGGTGCAACTTATTTGGACATCCACGCGAGCGGCGGTGGAATTTTCTTCACGGTGGAAAAAACGAAAAACGCCACCGACCAGGAACTCGCAGACTCTTTGGTTGAACGGCTTAGCAAGATGTTGAGATCAGGCACCACCACTGTGGAGTGCAAATCTGGATACGGGCTTGATTTGGAAAACGAAATTCGACTCTTGAAGGTCATCGAGAGCGTTCGTGGGAAAACTGCCGTTGATATTTCCTCAACCTATTGCGGCGCCCACGCGGTTCCAAAGTAAATATTTGCTTTTGATATACCAAAATGTTTAAAAATTCACTTCTACTCATATTTTTGGCGGAAAATAAAATATATTTTTTTTAAACGCAATTAATTTTGAATAAAAAAATTTTCAGAGGTCTGACTGCCGAGGAAGCGACCATAGATATTTTGGAGAGGCAAATCCCTGAATTAAAAAATCTGATTGAGACCAAAACGTTGAACGTGGAGAATATCGACGTGTTCTGCGAAAAGGGCGTCTTCACCACGGAGCAGAGCAAGAGGATCCTCGAGGCCGGAAAGCAAATCGGACTTCGAGTGAATTTCCACGGAGACGAATTGTACCCAACGAAAAGCGCCGAGGTACTAACTTTGACTTAAATTAACATTAACGTATCAATTGCTAGTGTGAATTGGTAAATTTTAGAGTTCTGTCTTGTTTGTTTTTTTAACTGTATCTCAAGAGTTCAGAAATTGAGCACCCAATTTAAATGCACGGTATATTTTAATTAATTTCACTATTTTTTATGACTTTAAGTAGAAAAAAAAATAAATAAATTTTAAGTTTTATTAAAGAAAAATCAATATTTTTGAGTTTTTTATTTAGAATTCCACGTTAAATATCTCTTTAAAAAATTAAATCTCAATCAATTTCATTTTTATTTAGATGGGAGCATCAATTGGGGCGACGGCCATCAGCCACTTGGAGGAAATCAGCGAGCAGGGCATCGCAGACATGGCTGCTAATGGAAGCGTGGCTGTAATTTTGCCTACAACCGCCTACACCATGCGTCTCAAACCACCCCCAGTCAGGAGAATGATCGAGGCAGGGGTGGCTGTGGCCCTTGGCACCGACTTCAACCCTAATGCCTTTTGCTATGCCATGGTAAGATGAAAAAAAATAACCTAAATTGTATAAAAATGGCTTAAAATATAAATCAGCCCATGGTGATGAACTTGGCTTGCGTGACTCTTGGAATGTCCATGCCCGAAGCCCTGATTGCGGCCACTCTGAACGCAGCCGCCTCCCTGGGCAGGAGCAACACGCACGGCTCCATAACTCGGGGCAAATTTGCCGACTTTCTTCTCGTCAGGGCCCCCAGGTAAAACGAGTGAATTTGCATAGAAAAGGCTCCAATTAATGTAATTGATATCGCAGGTGGGAGCACATCATTTATCAGATGGGAGCTCACGAGGATTTGATTGATTTCGTCGTCAAGAATGGAAAGGTCGTTTTTGAAAAGTGAAAGCGCTTTCAGGTTCATTAGTTTCTAATGGTTTTAATATCATTAACCAGGTTTAAATAAATCTTATTTACTTTTGGAATTAATAATTTAAGTGTTAATGACTGCAAGTAGGGTCGAGTATGTACAGAGATTGGTCGCGATGGCTTTCCCATGGCACATTTAATTATAATTACGTTCGAATTCGGTCGATTCACAGAATGGGACTCTGCAAAAGCTGGTCCCAGTCGACGTTGGTCTGGAAAACCTCCTTCTGCAGCCACAGCTCGTAGTGCTGTTTGAATTCGTCGGTGAGATCAATGTTCTTCCCCAGCACGCTGGTAATGCAATTGTCCACCTCTTCAAAATCAGAGTCCTTGGAAGAATTGCAAAATTAATTAAAGTTCACACAATTAAAAATTATCTAACCTGAGATGTGTTGTATCGTCTATTGTTGAACCTGTCAACACATGCCCGCAAGGTGCATTCCTCTGCCTGGAAGTCCCAAGGCCTGGCATCCATATCTAAAAACAGAAATTTATTTAGACTTCCGATGCCATTGAATTTTTAACTCTGACCATTTCCGAAGGCCCAGTCGTCATTCAGCCTGTGTCGGACTTTCTGGTAAATGGCGCTCATAGTCTTCATGTTTGATTTGCGCCACTGTCGGCCAAGGTATTTTGTCTGCATTTTCAGCAATTTGAGCACGTAGAGCTGCATCATGGCGTGGCGTACCTTCAGTGTTCGCTTCAATATAGGTGCTGATTTGAAAACAACCATCATCTGCAATTCAATGAAACAAATTAATTACCTTTAATATAAATTATTAACTAGCTAACCATTATTCTTGAATGCTTCCACTTCGTGAGCTTGTTCAAAATTCGCAATAGATTGATGCAGGAAAACATATTTCGCCAGCAAAACTGCTGACTGTCTCCGATTTCCAGACTGTCGGAAGTCAATTCCGGCTGGTCACCAATCACACACGAGGGAAAATCCAAAATCGGAATACTGCAAAAATAGAAAATTTAACATATTTCAACAGAATTTAAATTTCTATTACGAGTTTTTTGCTCCAACATAGGAGATGATGTTCTGATTGAAGAACTTAAGGACGAGTGGGATGCAGTTTGCAAATACGAGGTGCTGCGCCATGAACTCAAACTGATAGACATGACTGATCTTGAAATGCTTCAGAAGGAGCAGCAAAATAGCCGATACGGCTTTGACGATGATTTCTTTGTGCCGACTCACATCGATACCTAATTTCATGGACTGCAAAACCGTCATCCTAAATAAAATTGGTACTTTAAGATATATCATAATCAAGTTTAATTAAAATACGTACGGCATTTCTGCCGGCAAGACGTCAGCCATGATATTTATGGAGTCTGTTTTTGCCTTCGAGGTTGGTGCAGCCGCCAGCAAGATTTTCAACAAGGCAATCATGTACTGCGGCAAACTGGGCAGCATGGCCTGGTATAAAATTTCAGTCGGTGTTTGTGGAACATCCAGTTCTTTTTGTGTGACCGGGTTCCTGGCAATGTCCTCCTCCTGCTGGATTTGCAGTTCGGCCAGCGATTTGTACATGTGCTGGGTCAAAACCTTAAATTTGGCATTTAACATCAAATTTCTTTTGCAAATATTTTTATATCGAACTTACTCGGACACCCTCGTGAATGGGGTGTGGCAATCCAGCCAGGGTTGTGCAGTCATTCTGCAGCTGATAACCAACAAACTTGAGCCTCGAGGTGTCCAGAAACTGCTCCAAATCTGCCATTCGCACTTTGGGTTCCCACGGCAGACCCTTGGTCTTTGTTGCCACTGGGGTCATGGGTCGCGGACTCGGAGGCTGTGGCAGTTCACCTGCCTCTTCCAGGGCTCGACGCTCTTCAATTTCCCGCATTTCGTCGTCAGCCTGGTCGGGCGCATCAAAATCAAGACCCATGGGCTCATCCAACGAACTCTGCTTCATCAAACTCTGCAAAACAGAAATTAATCCAAATTTTTAGATTTTAGCACACAATTGTCTTACCCTTCTGAAAGGACGGTTGTTTTTCTTTTGGCCTTGGGCTTCCAGAATGTCGGCTGCACTAGTTGGAGGAGAGGAGGCTCTCATGTGTTTGGCAATTTCCAAAGTGTCTTCTTTAGTCGGCCCAAGATCTGCTTCATCTCTGTACTTGACTAAATTTTTATATTAAATCCCTGTCTGAAGATATTCAATAAAATTTCTTACTCTTTAATTCTCGCAACTTCCCCATCCCACCAAGAGTTATCAGAATGGCTTTCCACAACAAAAGCAGTACTTTTTTCATTGGAAAGTGAGGTGCCGATCCACTGCAGAATTTAGTGATCATTCCCAGGAGTTTGACCGCGAGTAACTCCTCCATAATGGGATTTGCTGTAGAAAAATTGTATAAAAATTAATAAATCTGGTAATTAATAATTCCTTACTTAATTCAATATTAAACTGCTCCCTTCTATTAGTGATCTCGTCAGTGTCGTCCTCCCTGGTGCAGCGCATCACTTCCACCATGATGTACAAAATGCTCAGAATGATCCTCAAATCGGTCGAATCTGCCAAGCTGACGGACAGTTTCCGCAGGGCAGTTGTTGCAGCACTGCTATTTCTGCAACGAACAGTCAAAATGTTAAAATTCACCCTCTCCTCAGAAATAGAATTACTCTATTTCGATGTTGAGCAGATCGACGAAAGCAAGGAAAACTCCGCAGTCGTACAGCAACATGACATTGTCCCTGGCCATGATCTGCTGCTCCTCATCAGACTGCACCTCTGCCCAGCACCCCTGAGCAATGTACAGGACACAGCGAGCACCCTTCATTCTGGACGTCTTGTTGGACACCTCGAGCTGGTCCAGCAGCTTCATGATGACCGACTTGCGTTGGTGCTCGCTAAGCTTCTGCCAGCACGGACTGTACTGATACTCCTGCATCAGGTCCTCGAACGCCTTCACGTTCAGCTGGTACTCAGGCTGTTCGGTGTAGCTGTACAGCTCTGACAGTTCGTTGATGGGCGAGTCGGCATCCTCGTACTGGAAGTCAACTTCCATGCTCGACTCGAGCCCATTCTAAAACCAGAAAAGATTATAAAATTGTGCATGGAGATTGATAAGCAATCAAATTTACGTCATCCATGTTTGAGTCCAGGTTGAAGGACCAAATGTTGTCCTTGTCTATCTTGAAAGATTTGTTTGGGCCGTCGTTGTGTCAAAACTCTGAAAGACGTGAGTTAAAAATTAGCATAAATTTTTGGACAGAATTCTGTTTACCTTTGATTAAATCAAAGTTATAAACTTCCTGCGCCTTTCCAGGCTTTTCAAACTGACGAAAAACAGGTTTCCGAGATCAAATTAGGCTTGTTTTGATTTTCAGGCAACCACACGTAAAATGGTCAGCCATTAATAATGCCACGCCCTCCTTAAGAGCTACGCCCCCTTTTCGTCAGGTGGAAAAAAAGTTGCAGAAAGAAATCAGCAAAAGTCTGCGGATTTTCGCAACTTTTCCCTTCGGTGTTCGCTTATCGCTAGCAAAAATTGTTGTTTCTAAATCGGTAAGTTTGTTATTGTTTTAAAAAATTATAATTTAATCCTACCTAATGGAGAAAATATTCAAAAATCTGGCATTTAAACACTAAAAAATATCTCCGCAAACAAAATTTTCCATTATTATTAATTATTATATTATGTCGTAAATTAAAGTTTGATTGAGGAATTTAATATTTTTATTCTCTCAAGGTTAATTTGAACTGATAACATGTTCGTCCTCACTGATTCCAGATTGCAATCGAAAGGGACTTTGATTTCCAATAACATCGATAAAAGTGCAGTGCAGAAAAACATACAGATTCTGCGATCATCAAGAGATAGAAAGCTGGTTGAAGACCGTGGTACTTTTTATCGCGAGCAGAAAAGTCACTTTCGCCTTGCATCTGCGGAAAAGAGGAAGTTTCGCCATGGCACACCGAACCAGAGTCTATGTTGTCGGCGTCGGCATGACCAAGGTGAAATTTTTACTTATATTGTTAGACAAATCAAACAAATCCAACAAAATAGCTTATTAATAATTTTATTTTAAATTTTAAGTTAAGAAAAATTGAAATATCCTGAACTTTTCTCAACAAGATTAAAAAAAAACATCAAAAATTAAAGGGAAAAAATGAAAATGATTTGTAATTTATTGATTTTTTTTTAATATATTAAATTTTATATATTATTTTTGGTCAATAATATTTAAATTTTTGCAATTGTTCTTGATTAAATTGAGATAAGATTTATACGTTAACTTTAGAACGTGAACTTTGATTCTTCTTTGGGATAAGAAAATAATTTTTAAAGCTAAATTACGTGACTTCGTCGAAAATTTCAGACAATTTTTTATTATATACATTTTATAATAAAATTTTTATTATATTTAACTGTTTTTGTGTGTCAATGTCAGTGAGTACAAAAACTCGTGATCATGACACAGCAAATAATGTAAACCCAGAACACACAAAAAAGATTATTTTTTTTTCCTTTGGGCAGGCGCTTTTTTCATTGACACATTAAGTGTGCTAGCGCTGCGCTTTAAGAATTTACTTGCTGAGTCACGAGAAATTCGACAGTTATTTTTTTAAAGGATGTGTGCGTCTGACACTGTGATATTATGAACCCGTGTGAATATCATGGCAGCAATAATTATTAAATTATTATCGCTAATTATTTTTTTTATTTTAGAAGAATATGAAAAATTGAATCAAATTTTATTTATCAAGAATTAAGCTGGAATTAAGAATGTGGAAAAAGTTGCCAAGGTTTAAATCAATATTTTACATTATTTAGAAAATTTTTCAAACTGTCACTTTTAAATTTATTCTCTTTTTATTCTTCGACAGTATTAAAATGAAATTTTGGAACATTTAAAGAAATAAATAATTAATTGAAATAATTTACCTCGCACCTCGTTAGGAGCTAGAATGCCATTTTCAGGGTGTTTTCTTTTAAAACTAAAATTAAATTTGGTTAAAGATATTACTTTATTTTTTTTTAAAGTACTTTATAAAAAAAAAACGTTGGAACCGGAGAAAACATTTGAAAAAGTTTTTACCACTGGTCCTGCTGGTGCTGTTTCCGCTACCAAAATTTAAAAAGCGAAACTCTTTAATCAAACCTAAATCAAACAATCAATTTTCACTTTGATACGCATGATATTTATATTAAATACGTCACAAATTAAATTTTAAATTGCAAATCTAAGAAAAGTGCAAAAGGCTGGTCGTGTCCGCGCCACGGTTCGGGAGGAACCTGGGAGCTTCGGCAGCGCGTCTCCTTCCCAATGCTCGGCGTCTTGAGTCTTGAGTCTTCTTGAGCATTGGTCAGGAGACGCGCGGCCTCCACCCTCAGGTCATCCAGCATGCGGGAGTGACATGCGGGGAGGGAGGGCTGTGGTGACGCTTAGCAACCACCCTAATTTCAACACCACCAAATCCCTTCCTAGCCATTCATACACGCAAAACCTGGTCGCATTTGATGCCCATTTTTTATTTCAATTCTCCTTAATTTGGAAATTAATATTTTGCAACCCGCCCTGGATTAAAGTTTGACTTTCCAGTTTTTCGCTTCAATAGATTTGAAACTTTTAACCAGAGGAATATATATTTTAATTAAAAAACGTGTTTGAAATTTCTGCTCAGGACTATTTTTGCGGTCAGAGAATGGCGGTAGACCTTGGAGGGCCTGATGCAACTAGGAAAGTTAGATTCCATTGTTGGATGTCAAATTATAAAAAAATTCTTGGACGTATCTGAAAAATTTCAAAAGAACGCAAATGGCGAATTTATAGGGAAAAATGTTCCGAGCTTTTATCTAACATTAAATTTTTAAACTAAATATTAAATTTGTTAAATTAGTACTGCGACTAATCGCATTCCCGTTTCGAGTGGTTTCTTTGGGTTTTAAATTCTCAAAAAATTAAATTTGTTCCTGAATATCAGACAAAACGATCACTTGGGAAAATCCTCCTGCACCATCACAATACAATCAACTTTATAAAAAATTAAATAAAATCTCAAACAATCAAATTGTCTCAATCACACGTTACTAATTCAAAAAATTCTAATCTAAGTTATGAAATGGTAAGAAGATTGATGAAGATTTTGTCAAAATTATTTTTAATTTTTTGTTTTGAAGCTCCAAGCGCAGATTTATCGGTGACATTTTAAAATGTTATATGAATTAATAGTTTTAATTTATTCCAGAATATTACAAATAAAAAAAAAATTCACTTCACCTTCCTGGCAAAAACCACCTTAAAAAGGCAACTAAATTTATGTAAAATCGACTTAAAATAGTCGATTCTATGAAAAATGAAAACCCCCTAAAATAAACTGACCAATTATTATTGAATTGTCAAAAAAACTTTTCAATCTATGATTCCATAGCAAATTATGGGGTAATTATGTCTTTGTCATTATGGCAATAATGTGATTCGCAGCCAAAATAAGCACATTACAGACGTGTTGAAACTCGACCTTGCGTGCTTCCCGACGACTTTCTCAGGTCAGGGGTCACCAAATCGCAAAAACCTGGGCATTTTCAGCATCCTCATGAAACAAGCTTTCCGCCGGTGTGCCGTTCGTCGCTCCAAACGATCGCGTTCTTTTTAAAATTTGGAGATTCGCCCAAGAATTTTTCAAAATCTGACATTCAACAATGAAATCTAACTTTCTTAGTTGCATCAGGCCCTCCAAGGTCTACCGCCATTCTTTAGCCGCAAAAATAGTCCTGAGCAGAATTTTCAAACTCATTTTTTTATTAAAATACCCAAACTTGTGGTTGAAAATTTCAAATCTATTTAAATAAAAAACTGGAAAGTCAAACTTTAATCCAGGGCGGGTTGCAAAATATTCATTTCCAAATTAAGGAGAATTGAAATAAAAATTGGCATCAAATGCGACCAGGTTTTGCGTGTATGAATGGCTAGAAAGAGAATTGGGGTTGTTGATGTCCGGGTGTGGTCGCCTAACATCACAGGTCACATTGCCTATGCCCTCCCACTCCCTCCCCCATGCTGTCCCCGCATGTGGAAGTCTTGGGGGCTGAGGTCGCCCGCCACCTCCCCAATGCTCAAGAAGACCTCAAGAGCGCAAGAAACGAGCATTGGAGGAGGTGGCGGCCGAGCGGCCAAAGCTCACAAGTTCCTCCCGAAAAAGTCCCGAACCTGTGGTGCGAACACGGCCACACCTTTTTCACATTTATTACAATTGCCATTTAAATTTGTGAAGCATTAAAAATAAATATCCAGTGTGGAAATTGATAAATTACTAGATGATTATTAAATCAGAATGAACAATATTTAACTCTAAATACTTTTTATATTCATAACTTTTTTCATAAAAATTCTGCAGTTTGAAAAACCTGGTCGCCGAGATGACTTTGACTACCCGCAAATGGTCAAAGAGGCTGTGACCAAGGCTCTGCAGGACGCAGCTCTCAACTATGCTGAAGTCCAGCAAGCTACTGTTGGCTATGTTTATGGTAATTAAATTAAATTTAAAATAATTTAATTGTTTTCATTCTAAATTTAAATAAAGGTGACTCGACCTGTGGCCAGAGAGCAATTTACGAAGTGGGCATGACAGGCATTCCAATTTTCAACGTCAACAATAATTGCTCGACTGGGTCTTCAGCCCTTTACTTGGCTAAGCAGATCGTCGAGTCTGGAAATGCAGACTGCGTTTTGGCGCTGGGTTTTGAGAAGATGGAGAGAGGCTCACTGACCTCCAAGGTAAATTTGCCAAAATTATATAGTATTTTATAATTAAATTTGTTTTGCAGTTCATGGACAGGACAAACCCTATGGACAAGCACGTCGAGATGATGGCCGACGTTGCTGGAATTAATGCCTCGCCAATTACGGCACAGATGTTTGGCAATGCTGGCCGAGAACACATGGAAAAGTATGGAACCAAACCAGAGCACTTTGCCAAAATCGCTCAGAAGAATCACAAGCACTCGACTAACAATCCGTACGTTTTCAATGTTAAAGGAAAATAAATTTAGTAAAATGATGGTTTTTTTAGGTATGCACAGTTCCAAGATGACTATTCCCTCCAGCAGATCTTGGATGCCCCGGAAATTTTCAGCCCCCTCACCAAACTGCAGTGCTCACCGACATCCGATGGCGCAGCAGCAGCCATTGTTGTGTCCGAGAGGTTTGTTCTCCAGCACGGCCTGCAGGCAAATGCTGTTGAGATTATTGGAATTGAAATGGCAACTGACCTTCCATCTTCATTTTCTGAAAAGAGCTGCATCAAAGTTGTAAGTGAAGATTTTCTCTTAAAAGTTTTTTAAAAGAAATGAAAATTGGAAAGAAAACCAGAATATTATTTCAAATTAAAACTTTTTTTTTAATTGATAATTCATAAAACACATTTATTTAATGCACATCCTATTTCTATAAATTGAAATTTTCTTTTGAGACTTTTGTCATTCTATTTTTGTTCCAGGTTGGTTATGACATGACCAAACTTGCGGCTGAGCGACTGTTTGCGAAGGCAGGGCTGAAGCCACAGGACGTCGATGTGGTCGAACTCCACGACTGCTTCTCCGCCAACGAACTCATCACCTACGAGGCGCTTGGACTGTGTCCCCCTGGAAAAGCTGGGGAGATGATTGATAGGGGAGACAACACCTATGGAGGGAAATATGTCATCAACCCCAGCGGAGGTCTCATTTCTAAAGGTCATCCACTTGGTGCTACTGGTAAATATTCAAATTTTATTATTCTAATATCTTTAAAATTTTTAAAATAAAAAATTTGCTTTCGTTTTCTTATTTAATTTTAAACTTCTTTTATATAAGTGTATTTTTTTATTTTCTTACAATTAGTATATATTATCATATTAGAGTTAAAAAAATGCATTAAAAATGAACAATAGAAAAATAAATTTATATAAAAAGTGTCTATTCATCTCTGAAATCTTTTGTAGCCGCCGCTTCTCTTGCGCTCACAGCTTTTCTCTTTTCTTTCAGGTATTGCTCAATGTGCTGAGTTGTGTTGGCAACTGCGAGGTCAAGCTGATAGAAGGCAGGTCTCTGGTGCTCGTCTCGCTCTCCAGCACAACATCGGTCTTGGTGGCGCTGCCGTCGTCGCTCTTTACAGGCTCGGGTTCCCCAATCACAACAGGTGCGTGCGATTTCGCGAAACATTTCATTCATTTCCAGAATTACATTTTTGTATTGGTTTTTGTCAACTTCTCAGAATGAGGATCCACCAGACTGCTGCGGTTGCCGACGGGCCCGTTGGCTTCAAGGCCACAATTTTGTTCCAGGCCTTGGAACAGGCCATGCAGGAGGACAACGACAACCTAGTGGAAAAGTTCCGCGGGATCTACGGATTCAAGGTGAAAAATGGACCGGGCGGCAAAGAGGGTTATTGGATCATCAACGGCAAGACCGGAAAAGGCTCGGTGGAATTTAATGGAAAAGGTTTGTAATTATTTTTTTTCAGATTTTTTTTTTTAATTTTGTAATTTTATTTTTAGCGAAACCTGACGTGACCTTTACAATAAATGATGACGACGTTGTTGACCTCATGACTGGCAAGCTCAACCCTCAGAAAGCATTTTTCCAAGGCAAAATCAAGATTCAGGGCAACATGGGTCTGGCCATGAAACTTCAGGAGCTGCAAAAAAGTGCTTCGGACAGGATCGAAAAATTCCGTTCGAAACTGTGAATCTTTTTTACTAAGGGGAATCATTACTTTATTTGAACTCTTTTGTGACTTATTGGCTGTTGGATTTTCATTCCGGGGATAATTTTGTTCGTTTCTAAATTTCGTCCTATAGTTAATATTGAGTGTCACTTTTTATATAAGCATTTTCCAAAGTGAAAAATATGTTGCCGCAAAATATTGCTACGCATTTTGTACAAGAACATTCACAAAAACCTTTTATTGTGATTTAAACCATTGTTTAATAAAAAGTAGTTGATTTTTTAATATTTTAATTGCGTAATATTATTGGACTATCACACATAATGATATTTAAATAATTTATAAGTTTGTTCAGTTGGCAATAAAGGTTTGCGAGATCGTTGTTGGCAATCCTGATGGCCTGGTATTATTTTTCTTTCGATGCCGACAACACGAAAGGCAGCCAAGAAAGCATCGAAGAATTTTCAACCAGATTCCAAATAGAAATCTTGATTAAGCTGGAATATTTTCCTTCAGAAGCTTAAAAAATATTTTTCTTGCGTCGCTTTTGCGTTAGGTATGATTTTGTCGATGAAAATCGACCATTTAACATGTTAAAACAGCAATGTTTACACTCTCGACTCAGTTTGTTTTTTTTCCGTGGCATTATTGTGAACTCGTCTCATTTCCAGGGTTTTGGCCTCGATTTTCTGACCTCGGCCCTCATTTGATGCTCAGCGAGTGACTTCGGACAGCATAGTTGGTATGAGTTCTGCCGACGAAATGGACAGTCCGGTCAAGAGCGAGCCGAGAGACGCCTCGGTCGAAGACGAAGAAATAAAAAATTCTCCGGTAATTTTTCGAACAAAGGGAATTTAGAACCTCTAATCAAAAGTATGTATGTATTTCTTCAGGTTGAGGCAGAGGAGGAGTCGGGCAATGACAAGTTCGACCCTCTGTCCAAGGAGGACCTGTCGGACGTTTCTGACCTTGAGAGCCACGACGGCCTGCAGGAGTCGAACAACAAAGCGTCTCCTCACAAAACGATGCAGGACCAGCTGGAGACGGAATTGGACTTTGAGGCCGAGGAGAAGGACGAGGAGCCGAAAAAGCAGGAATTGAGCAAAAGAGACAAGTCGTCGAGCGCCAAAAATGCAGAGAGAGCAGATTCTAAACCTGAGGCCGGAGAGATCAAGGATGATGAAAATGATCTCGAGGAGGGCGAATGTACCGACGGCGAGGACGCTCGACCTGAGGAGGAGAGCAAACCGGTGTGTCGTTTTTACAATCGGGGCCAGTGCACTTGGGGAGCAAACTGCAGGTTAAATAATTTATCAATCAATAATTTATTTATAAAACAAAAAAATTAAATTTGTTCAGATTTGTTCATCCCGGAGTAACGGATAAGGGAAATTACACCATGTTTGACATGGTCAGGCCTCTGGTACCAACAAATGGGCCTCCAGGATTCGACGTCCCGTATGACAGGCCTTATGGATCAGGTCTGGGGTCAGGAGAACCTTTCGACGGACCACCTTTGGAGTCAGCTTGGGAAAGAGGTCTTCGACATGCCAAGGAAGTACGTAAAACAAAATAAATTTTTGATTTTATTGAGTTGTAACACATTTTTAATTTTTACTAGATGATGAAGAAAGCTACCAGAAGGAAAGAAACGGATATGGATTTTGAGGAAAAGAAAATGAACCTGGGACTAGGGCAAGAAGATCTTGACAAAGAAAACGATTTCTACACCAGACCTGCCAGTCCTATTCACAGATTTGAGGAAAACGACGAAAGATACGGGTAAATTTTTAAAAAGATATAATTATGAATTAATTTTTAAATTATCCATAATATGCAGACGGCCAAGCAGAGACGATGATTATTACGCCCAAGATGGCTGGAAGCGGTCTCAGGACGTCTCGCGTCGGCAGCTTGAAAATTTCTACAAGCAGAGACAGAACCGAGAGTTCCGTGAGTCGATGCGGGGCAAGGGCGAGAGATCAAGTCGCAGATCTCGAGACGCCTCCAGTTCGCCAGAGTCCTCAAAGGGCCACCACTCGGCATCAAAATATAAGGACAAAGAAAGGTGAGTCGTCTTCAGCCTCTCCCTGTTATTGATGTAATCAATTTTTCAATTATTTCAGAGTCAAGGGACAACCCAAACAGAAACCTGATGACTGGTCTGACCCGTGGATGAGACAAAAATCTCCCACCAGAAAGGGAACGTGGAAAAGATCTCACTCCTCTGAATCTTCATACTCCTCATCAAGGTAAATTTTGTGTTCACATTTTGAATTTGAATAAAAAAATTAATGCAGTGGATCGTCGACTGGAAGCTCCAGTTCGTCCCATTCTAGATTTTCTGGCCACTCACCGGCGCCGAAGAAAAGTGCTGTCGAGGCTAATGTCTATAGGTCCTCTAAATATGAGGTAGATTAAATGAAATTAGTTTATTTTTCTCTGGTGGTTAATTTGATGAATTTAGACGTCTGCTCCTCCCAAGCCAAAAGAACCCAGAGAGCCACCTGTGACCAAAAAACGCCAACCTGTCGACGAGTTGATGCTCAAGAAGTACGAATGTTAACTCTTGTTGGGTTAAAATCTAGCCATGTGTTGTATTTTCAGAGGGTTCAAATCTGAGAGAGGTAAAAAACGTCATCACAGGTCTAGTTCCGGGTCAGGGTCTTCGTCCGCTTCGAACAGTTCAATTTCGTCCAGCAGTGATGACGAACGACTTCCCCCAAAAGGTCAGTTTTTGAAAATAACTTAGGTTATTTTCTAACCTAATATTTTGTTTGCAAACAGAGAGAAGAGCAGAAACAGTCACAAAAATTAAGGCAATGGACGCATTGAAAATGTCTGGCCAGAAACAGCAGATCAGACTCACACTACGGGACAGCGAAGCTCCTCCTAAAGCAGAAAGTAAGAACAATTGTAGTTTGATGCTCTGGATATTCAATTTTTGCTCAAGTAGGTGCGGCCAAAAAGAGGCCTGTTGAGCCGCCAGCGCCCACTGTCGAAGCCAAGACTGGTGGGAAGAAGCCAGCGTCGCGAAGGGAGGAGCTGCTGAAGCAGCTGAAGGCGGTCGAAGATGCAATCAAGCGCAAAAAGGCCAAAACCAATTAGCCGCTTTCCTTTTCAATTGAGGTGAAGGACTTGGTGTCGCCCTAAAACTTATAAGAAAACTCGTTTATGTAAAACTCATTTTTTTACACATGTAAAATTGAACCAACGCGGTCTTGTAGATTATTCGGACGCTGTCCGGAATTGAAATTAAATTTAAATGACCTACGGAAAAGTGTTTATGGTTTTTCAAGAACTTTATTCCTAGAGAATTAAACAAAATATATACAAAGGCTGATGGTATTAGAATCGTTCGATTTGTATTTCGTTGATGGACGAGCGGGATGTGGACGCCGACGCTCTGGCCTCGATATTGCTTTGGCTTCGAGAGCGGACAATTTCCTCCGTGCTTAGGGAGGGCTTCGTCCGACAGCATCCCAGCAGCTCTTGGAAGGCGCACTTGAAGTCTTGGTTTTTCCACGCGTAGATCACCGGGTTCATGCAGGAGTTGGCCATGGCGAAGCTGAAGGCCAGATTGTAGGCTAAGTCGAGGGTGTGGGTTTTGTACCCGTGCAGAATGATGGTGCCGATTGTCAAATAGGGGCACCAGCAGACGCAAAAGCAGCCCAGCACCAGCGCCACTACCTGGAAATTTAATAATTTTTCAATTTTTAAAAAGTTCTTGATAACTAAATTATTTTGAACTGGAAAACAGACCTGCATAGACTTTTTGCCTTTCTGGAGGTGTTGGATGTCGTTGGTGCCGACGTGGATGCTGATGTGCGAGCAGGACAATCGCTGCTGGGAAAGGCGGGTTGCGTGAGACGAAGCGACTTGGTGGATTCGGACGTAGGTGCCCAGCATGATCACCAGAAGAATAGTGAAAGCGGGAATCACAACGCAGAGGAAAAAGTTGGCCGGCAAAATGTTTTCAATCTGTTGGGAAAAAAATTATGTTGAGAATTTAAATAATAAATAATTTCTCACCGAACAGTATTGTGAATGCACCGTCCAATCATTCCAATAAATAGGCATTGTTGAAATCGCCACCGCGATCACCCAGTTGCAGAAAATAGCCTGACGGGCTCGCCTAAAACATTTTGTTAAAAATGTTAAAATGTCAAATTTTAGACAAACGTCTCACCCTTTGGTTACTATGACTTGGTGGCGTAGGGGGTAGATGATGGCCAGGTAGCGGTCGACGGCCACGCAGATGAGGTGCAGCACGGACGCCGAGCAGGCCATGATCATCAGGACGAAGCGAATCAAACACGGAACGAGCCAGTGGTTTATTTCGTCCGAAATGTAGAACGCCATGTGGTACGGCATGGAAATTCCAACCTAGAAAAAAAAATACATTTTTAAATTAAAAAAAAAAACATAAAAAGCGCCCCTGCAGCTTTGAAGGGTAGGCAACCAGCAAAGTGCTGTAGCTAGGAGGGCTGCATACTTTAATTTTGCGCAGGGGTTACAAAAATACAGAGAAATGTAAATGCGTTTATTAATATGAAAAATTCAGAATTATATAAGATTTGAAAACAAAAAATGCCACAAGCTTAACTTATTTTATTAAAAAAATCCAAAATTAATCAAATAATTTTTATTTATTTATTAGTTATCAGCAGATAATCAGTTAGTAATTTTCCTGAAATTCTTGTACACTTTATTTATTTGAGAATATTTATAGCATTGAAGGATCAAAAATAAAAACTGAAGAAGGTTTATAAGTACGGAAAGTTGTTTAAAAAAAATAAATCTTTTAGAAATTAAATAAATAAGTAATATTTGTTTGCAAATCTAGGTATAAATATTAATTATAAAAAAACGGATATGTCCGCTGCTAATTTATTTTTTTTTTTTTTTTGTATATTTTTCTCTAGAAGGAAATGATTTTCCATCATTTTATTACAATAAATTTTTACATTATTTTTACTTACAAGCATGTCGGCGAGCGCGAGTCCCAGGACGAATTGGTTCGAGGGCGTCGCGAGTTTCGGCTTCCTGACGATGACCGTGACCGTGAGGCAGTTGCCGCCGAGGATGCAAATCATCAGGATGCCGTCGACCACAGCGATGATCCACTCCATTTTGCCCAAACGCACTTTTGAGCACTAACCCTGGCGGTGGTGCACACCTGGTCCTTTCCCACAGCCCATGCTTATCTCTCACTGCCAATTCTCGCTCCAACGCTCGCGATTACACGAAAAAAAAAAAATTCACCACTTCCACTATATGGATGGGTGCGAAAATTCGTAAATGAGATTTTCGCACGAGTCGAGACCAACGCCGACAGAGAATGCGGAATCCTTTTTTAATTTGATTGTGTGCCGTGTGACGTAATGTTGGCCCTGCCAATGAGAGATGAAAGGCGATTCGGCCCGCCACCGATTTTCTGCATAATCATCTATGCTGATGATGGTGCCTTGTTTGCTTTTTTTGTGTTTGGTCGCAGTGAACATGAGCTTCCACCACCACCTATACAAACTTGCCCCTTCACTAAAGTATTTCCTGATATATAAAAAAAAAACTTATTTTAATTATTTAAATATACGAAAATAATGAAATATTAATATTACGACTAAATTTTCAGGTTTCTTTATAAAAATAAATGCCATATGAAATTAAATTCTCTTCAAATGCAGTTTTGTCAACTTTTATTAAAAAAATTCATCTGCTCCGCTTAGGAATCATACAAAATTTGAGATTTAATTGTACATTTTAAATCAAATATTATATATTTACATAATTTTTACATGAAACAGTTAAAAGGAGAACAAAGGGACAAGCAGAGTTTTTCTAAAACAGTCAAAATAAAAATTAAACCTTCAAAATCTTCTTAGTTTTTCCTCAATTTTTTTTTCTTAATATTGCAATATTTATATATGAAATTAATTATTATAGAATCAGAAAATTTTCATTAAAATCGGAGTTTGATTTTTTTACGGCAGGAAATCCTTGAAACATCTGTGCCCTATTCTGTGTGCGTTTATTGGATTAAAACTCGATTATCCGCGCTGGTGGATTGAACGAGCGAGTCTCTCCGGTGGTGCGGAGGCGGCATCTGCGCCACAACTGATAGCGGCCGACGCGGGGGCGTCGCGATTTTGCACTAACCTGTGGCTCGCCATGGAGTTGAGTTCGAGCGAAAAGTTCTCCTTGGTCGCCGTCGTCTACCTCGCCTTCTTGCTCGACAACGTTCTGCTCACCGTTGTTGGTAATTATTAAAAATTAAAAAAAAAATTATTGCCCAATGTGGTGAAATTTGCAGTTCCAATCATCCCCGACTTTTTGTACTCGATCGACTCCGTCGGCGGCCACGTGTTGTTACCGAGCGATGCCGAAAACTCCAAAGTGGCCCTTTTGCTTTCCTCCAAAGCGCTGGTTCAACTTTTCGCCAACCCTGCTTTGGGCTTCCTGATAACCCGAATTGGCTACCAACTACCTCTTCTGCTCGGCACCATCATGCTGTTTCTAGTCTCCTTAGGTAAATTAAAATATATTTTAACAAAATAATTTATATCAAATTAAAAAAAAAACTTTTGTTACTTTCTTATTTTATAAATATTCAATATTTATAATAATTAAAAATAAAAGTTTCAGCTGAGAAGTCCCATTTTTAAAAATTTTTAATTATAATTTTTTTTTAATAATAATCTTTTTGGACAGTTTTTGCTGTGGCTGATGATTATTTTTGGCTGTTTACTGCAAGAAGTCTGCACGGCCTCGCCTCAGCCAGTATTGCCGTTGCGGGTATTTATTTATTTTTTTAATTTTTAGAACAATTAACATGGTTTTTAAAATTTAGGAATGTGTGGGATTGCCGAGTCTTTTTCCGAGGAGAAGGAACGAAGCAAAATGATGGGTCTGGTGTTGGGCAGCATGGCATTAGGGGTGCTTTTGGGCTACCCCCTCGGCGCCGTTTTGTACGATCTGCTGTCCAGAAAGTCAGCCCCTTTTCTCCTAGTCGCTTTTCTCTCCGTCGTTTGCATAAGTCAATTAATTAGAAGGAAAAAATAAGCAAAATTTATTATTTCATCTATATTTTCAGTATGTCAATGCAGACGTCTGGATTTGTCAGTCGATAGCTTAAAGGTTTGCCAAACTTGTTTAATTTTGTTAATTTTCCTAATTTCCTTGAATAAAAAAAAATATACTAGAAAAAATAATTTAAAAAAATTAATGCGTCAATTTTAACTTTTAATTCAGTTTATAGGCACAAATTTAATATGTTTTTTTCTAAAAATAAAATTTATTGAACTGTTTTATTTTTGCAAATTTTAATATAAAATTTCAACACAGCTTGCCTGTTCCGAACTTTGTCTCCAAATACGGACAGGCTACGACGACGATGAAGACGAAAATGAGTCAGGAATTATGCAAATGCTCAGCCAAAAATGCATTTTGTTGTCGGCTGGTTCGATTCTCATCAGCACCTCAGCCATGGCAGTCCTCGAGCCCTGTTTGCCTCTCTGGCTCATGGAAACCATCAAACCAAAAGTATTTGTATAATAAATTATTTGCTGGAAGAGATAAAAATTTTCCTTGCAGAAGTGGCAGCTGGGGACGGTGTTTATCCCGGACAGTTTGGGTTACTTGATCGGCACGAATTTCTTCGGTTCACTCGCATATAAATTCGGATACGGATTTTTAGCCCTGGCCGCGATGTTCCTCGTCGGCGTGTGCGCCTTTTTGGTAAAATCATAAAACGCCTGCTATTCAATTCGTTATGCAACCTGCTCGGCGCACGAGTTGAGCTGTTTGCCTACATTTAAATTTTCAGGTGTCGTTCGCCAAAACCGTGCTGGAGCTGACGATTCCTCATTTCGGGCTCGGTCTTGGAATCGGTGTCGTGGACGCAACCATGGTGCCCTTGATGGCCCAGTTCGTTGACCTTTCGACCTCTTCCAAGGCCCAGTACGGACCAGTGTACGCCCTTCAACAAGGCGCCGTCTGCCTTGCTTACTTTTTTGGTAAAAATAATAATTTTATTGATGAAATAAAGATTAAATTCTTTTCCAATTCAGGACCGATTGTTGGAAGTCTGGGAGTTAACTCGGTTGGCTTTCCAGTGCTGATGGGATTGATTGGCACGGCCAATTTGTGCTACTGCGTATTTCTGCCACAACTAGGAATGTCTGAGAGCACAGCAAAGTACCAAAGACAGGCAAGTGTCGCTTTCTAATTTCGAATAAAGAAACAAATGAAACAAAATTTAAACTCCACAGGTGCTGAATTAGAATCGCAGGTGCTCCTAAGAGGACGGAAGAAGCGCAAACAATTAAATGAAATTTAAAAAATTACTGAAAATAATGTGACGTTCCATAATCCCTTTTATTATTATTCGCAAAAGAAACCAAAAATTACTGTGCGTGTATGTGTAGATAATAAATAAAGAAGTTGAAAATAATTAATGTAAAAAATTTTCATTAACCAAAGAGGACCCAAGAGAACAAAAACATATTTAAATATAAATTATATGAAGTATATAATAAAATCGCCAGGACGAGTCAAATGAATATTAAATAATAAATATAAATGACTCAGACTTAAAAAATTGAACTCTTTTCGGCAGTTCAGATTTAGATACATTTTTTTTAGTAATTGTATTTCTTAAATATTATGATTGCAACATTAAATAAATAACTATATGTTCACGTAGAAGAGATTTTCACTATTTCCCGCTCTATTTATATCAAGGAAAAAGTATGGGACCTGCTGATAACTCAGCTCATTGCACCAAATAAATTGAAAACGATCTACAAGTAATCGATTTAACACGAAACTTTCTGGCACAGATGCTACTCGAAATTGCTCTTCATTCACTGATTTAATCACCAGATCCTTGTGAATGGGCAGAATCGGTGTTTCAAATTTGATTATTCTGTGCCGTTAAACCGTTGACGTCATTCGCCACAGTAAAAAGTTGGGAATATCATTCAGATTTTATTTTAAAAAAAGGAGGGAGTTCATCAAGTGGCGATTCTAAAAAAGAGGTACATCCGAATTAATGAAAAATTCACGAATAAAAAAAATTAAAATTGAATGGTTTAAAAAGAGGAAAAGAAATGTAGTTTTCGAATAATTTTTAGATATAAAAAAGAGCAAAATAAAACAACTTTTCTTTTTCATCGTAAAAACTAATGCTTTAAATTAAAGAAAATAACTTCGCCAATTTGACTTTTTTAAATTTTCTCGAATGAATGAAATTGAACAATGAATGGGGCCGATATTTTCTGCCATAATTCAATCGAAGCTACGTCACACTCTCCCTTCCGCGACGCTGAAGAAGGGTTAGCGCGCACGCCAGTGGTCTGGAAATGGGTGGTAATGGAATCGGAATTGGATTTGCACCCTTAGCCACCCACGAACGCGGCATCTCGTCCTATAAATCGGCAGCGCCTCGCTCCTTCCAACCACAGTCGATCAGCAGCAGCTACTGAAGACACAGACTGACCCACTGCTCTCTCTCCAAGATGCGACGCACCAGACTAAAAATTCTTCCCTCTCGCTCTCGCCTGGCCCTAGGCTTTCTGCTCCTATATTTGACCGGTTTGGCTTTCGCTGAGCTTCAGGGCGAGACCCCTGAGGACCACGACTTCATCACCTCCGAGGACCGAACTATACTATACGAATCAAGGTATTTAATTTTAATAAAATAATGTTAAATTTTTAAATTTCTTTCAATTCAAAAGGTCCAAAAATGTTGACGAACAACAAAGGCGCCGATTTGGTGATTCGAGGATTGATGCAAGGAGAACAGACCAAAGTGAGATTTGGAAAAAAAATTCACTTTGTTAAATAATTATTTTTAACATTTGATGTAGGAAACTCAAGGATGGACCGGATGGATCGAAACACTAGGTTAGATGAAAGGGAAGATATCCGTGGCCTGGCCAGAGCCGACCGAGGCGTAGACCGTCGGGACGTTCGCCGATTCGATGACGTCCGAGCGGACAGACGCCTTGAACAAAGAGAATCTCGTTGGGAAGACACACTCCGAAGGTCTGCTGAAAACGAGAGGCGCGACATTTCCGACCGAAATGTCCGACGTGAAGGCTCAAGAACTGTCCGACTCACCTCTGAGGAGAGAGATGCCCGAGTGTCTAGGAGGGACCAAAGGACTCTCAGCCGACGAGAAGCTCCGCAGGAGAATGTCCGAGACGCTCGACTTATCAGGGACGCCAGGGCCGTCCGACGGGACACTTCAGACGCTCGAGTTGAAGAGAGAAGATTTGCCCGAGCAGGCGAGAGGAAGGCTAGGGAGGAATCAACTCGTCTTGAAAGTCGTGAAGATCGTCTGGACAACCGCCGAGCTGATGTCCGATCTCTTGACAGTCGAAGGGACAATCGCAGAAATGAACGTCTCGCAACTCGTCACAATGAGCGTCTGGACAGGCGCACTGCTGAAGTCCGGGACGAAGTTCGTTCCATGGACAGTCGTAGGGAAGAACGCCTGGACAGTCGCAGAGCAGATGTGCGGGACGAAGTTCGCTCTCTGGACAGTCGCAGAGTTGAACGTCTGGAAAACCGCCGAGCTGGTGTCAGATCTCTTGACAGTCGAAGGGAAGAACGTCTGGACAGGCGAGCTGCTGAAGTTCGAGATCGTTCACTGGACAGTCGTAGGGAAAAACGCCTGGACAGTCGCAGAGTAGAAGTTCGGGACGAAGTTCGTTCCCCGGCCAGTCGCAGGGAAGAGCGTCTGGACAACCGCCGAGCTGAAGCCCGTTCTCTGGACAGTCGTAGGGAAACACGCCTGGAAAATCGCCGTGCTGATGTCCGAGATGAAATTCGTTTGCTCAACAATCGCAGAATTGAACGTCTGGACAGTCGCAGAGCAGAAGTTCGTTCCCTGGACAGTCGAAGGGAAGAACGCTTGGACGGTCGTCGCACTGAGGTCCGTTCTCTTGACAATCGTAGAGAAGAACGTCTGGAAAATCGCCGTGAGGAGCGTCTGGACACACAAAGGGATGTCGCCAGAGACGTAATCCGCTCCCGAACACTGTCCGAAAGATCTTCCAGTGACGTCCGTGATGAATCCAGGCTCAGGGAAAATAGGAGACGCGAAAATCGCCGGGACACTCGTGATGAAGCTCAAAGGGAATCTCGTCTGGACGCCAGAGACCAGACCAGACGAGAGGAATCTCGCATTCGAGACCAGACTGAGCGAGACAGCCGTCGGGACACCCGCTTGGACAATAAAGAGATCAGAGTCCGCGACGCCGTCCGTCGAGATTCTCGTCTCGCTCTGCGCGAATCCAGAATGGACTCTCGCCGAGACACCAGGGAGGAGAGAGAGTTGTCCCGTTCTGAGAGGCGCCTCGAAAGGGAAGTTGGAGATGCTGAGCGAAGGACAACAAGACGAGAGATTCGCGAGGCAAGTATTTTTTATGTTAAAATTAATTAAATGTAAAATATTTTTTTTAATTTAGGAGCGCGATGGAGAATCAAATATTGTGAGGTTGGATGAAATAACTGAGACTGAGCGAAACTCTGTGAACTACCTGGGAACTGAAATGGCAAAGTCTCGTCGCACGTCTTTTGAATCTGATGGGTTCGGAATAGAAAAAATGCAGAAATCCAACAACTACGTTAAGTTTGCTCTGAATACCTTGACTGGACTTTACTTGCTGTCAGTACTTGCTTCTGCCAACAAAAAAGAAGAGGTAAAATCTAATCTACTGCAATTTATAATTCTTTCATACCATTTTACTTTCAAAATTCCAGTCATGCTTCATGGACAAATTTAAACTGGCAAAGTAAGTAGAATTTTCTATATCATGCTAAAATTCACCAGTGATAAACTAATATTTTTGTTTCAGCTTATCCATGGAAACCGTAGCGACAACTGCAATTGCGGCGGGCCTTGCCATATCTGCGGTGTATTAATCTCTAGATTACTCTCCCAGCATTCGTATAAACCAAAAATGTTTCCTGATTATCAAAGAGTTAAACGCACTTCATACTATGTAGAAAATGCACCTAGAACAAGTATTGTAATCAACACTAGCACACAAATTAAAATATATTATATGCAATGATAAGCCTGTTTTTATATTCATAACCCTCTTTCAAAAAATGGCAAAAATTAAAATTTTGTTTGCAGAATAAATTTTTATTCTAATTAAAGTTTTTCTTTTTAAGTCCAAATTGGAAATTTTCATATAATAAAAGACATTAAATTTAAAGTATTATTGCTCACTTTAAATACTGGTTTACTTGGAATGTGCAATTAAAAATATGAAATTACATGACACTCTTTTTTTATTTACAGCCTTCCATGTTGCAAGCCATTATAGGGAGATCGGCGTATTCAAGTTTCCTCTCTTTTAAGTTTTTCGTTTAAAAAAATGCAAAAGAGCAAATAATAATTCATTGTTAAAAAAAATCGATTATAAGATATATCTTAGTTTAAATTTGCACCACGCGACTGGAAAGTCGCTCAACCTCCTCCTCTAGCCTCAGTCGGTTTCTCGTTTCATCGCGCAGGGCTGCGGCCAGCTTCTTCACAGTCTCTTCCAACTCCTTGACTCGTTCCTCCAACGACAACGGCTAGAGCACCATCATTAATTAGAAAAGAGAAAACACAAATTTAGGGCAGGAAAATATATAAGTAAAGAAGTAGTCAAAGCAATATACACTGTGTGTTCAAAGCAACATTGAGCAAAAAAAAAAAAACGAACACCAAGACAAGAGAGAAGAGACGTGCATGAGAAAAGTGATGACAGACAGAAGCGGCAATTTGTTTTGTGCTGTGTGCAGCTACTCCAGTACCTTTAGGCTCACTTTTTTTAAATCGGCAATCTTGGGCGCTTCAGCCTTCGGGACTTCTGCTTTAGGAGCTTCAAATTTGACGGGTTCGGGCTTGGGGATTTCTGGCTTAGGAATGTTTTCGACGACAGGCGATCGCTTCTCAGCAACCGGCTTGTCCGGAATTTTCAACTCTTCGGCCAGTGGTGACTTGCGAGGACTGGTTGGTGGCGCCGGTGCAGACAACGCCAGACCGAATGAAGCAGGACGAGGCTTGGCAGGAGGAGGTTTCTTCACCTGAAATTTGATCGAAATTTAGAAAAAAGAATTATTTAATTAATTCAAATTGGTACCTGACTGACCGCCCCCTTGAGCTCCTGCATGAAAGGCGCCTTCTTTAAATCCAGCTTCTGGGGCTTCAGCTCCATGTCCGGAACAGGTTTGACTTCATCGACAGCGTCGTCTTCCGCTTCATCATCGTTGGAGTCTCCGTGGCCGTTCTGCTTCAGCACGGTGGAGGGCGGCCTTCGCTTGGGGGCCTTTGGTCTCTCCGGCTGCTGAAGGAGGTCGCCTCTCTGGACACTGTCGAAGTCATTCGAAGCCCGGGACTTTTCAATGACGGGAATTTTGCTTTCGACTGCGGCTGGAGGCGTGAATTTGTGCTCAAAGGGAGGAATGATTTTCGGTTCTGGAATGGTTTGTTTGGGTTCGGGTGCGGGAGCTTTGTTGTCGGTCTTCTTCAGCTCGTTGGAAATAGATTGTGCGTCTTGGGGTGGCGGAGCCTTGGGCTTTTTGGGCAGCAACGGCGGCGTTTTGGACAGTGCTGAAGACTTATCTGCAAATTAGAATTCATAATTTACAAGAAAAAAATATTAAAAATCAGAAATATTGAACAGTGAACACTAGAGTTATTATTTCTGTGTCCATTTTGACAAGCGAATAAAAATGAATACAATGCAACTTCAAATGAAGGATCAGGAGAAGAGGGAATCACATGGTTTTACGACCCTGCTTCCCCTCTACATCCACTCAGCATTGATAACCTTGATAGCAACTTGCCAATAGAAAAATTGAGGTTTATTTGAGCAGCAAATATTTAACCTGACTATTTGTACTAGCCTAATTTGATATAGCCACACACAAAAATAAAAACATTGCTGACAAATCAATTTGAAAGAATATTTTTATTTCATATAAATTACTCAGTATTGAATCAAAAGTTGTGTACCAAAATTGTTTCAATACATAACTACGTAATAAAAAATCAAATTTCCAAAATGAATATTTAAGCTTTACCTAATGAAACTCCAATAAGTGGCAAAATTTATACTATTTTATTTATTTGCCTTGCTGCCCTTGCTACAAATTGTTTGCCAGCAAAAAAAGTAAATAAAAACCGTAAAAATATTTGGCTAGGAAACCAATTATTCAAATCCATTTTATATTTTTAACCAAATAACAAGAATGCAGTGCAAATTTCAATATTTACAATGTTACTTTAACTATGATTCTTCATTTAAAGTGGATCTCACCTTCAATAGTGGGCTCCGGAGCTGGTTTTTTGGTGTCGGAAATCTTTTTCCGAAGGGAGGACGAGTCGCTTTTGATGAGCTCGACGAAGTTGTCAGGAAACACACCCACTTTGCCTTTCAGTTCGCCCTTCCACCAGCCTTTTTCAAGCGTGTCTTTGCTGAGAATGGTGATAATGTCACCCACTTCCAGATTAAGCTCGTCGTTGTTTACTGCTTTGTACGTGAACGTCGCGCGGCACGTCTCCATCACTGCAAATTTAAAAACAATAGCTCAACTTAGTTTTGAAACCAAACAAGTCTCATCGGATGGTAAAATGACTTGTTGATTTTATATTTTGCTTATCTCTTATGCACCATAATGCACAAGTATTGAGAAGATAAAAATTCAAAGATAAAGATCAGGGAAAAATTAATTAAATTTCGCTTCAAACACGAAATAAAATTTAAGATTGAATTATACAAGATAAGCTGTTTGATGGTTAAAAAAAGGAGTTTCTTTTTTAAATTAACAGGATCAAACTATTCCTAAAGTTTAAATTTTTTAGATTTTATAAGATTAAATATTTACCTAAAATCTTACTGGGTGCTTTTTGACTCAGGATTGGCGACTTTTTCTTTTCCATGTTCTCCTTCTTGGCTTCCAATTTGGGTGGAGCTGAAGATTGATTATGATTAATGTCTGTTGCAGAAGATTAAATCTTTTTATCTTACAATCAATCTTCTTTGGCTCAGGAAGCACTTTGACAAAGTTCGAAGGAAAAACCCCGACCTAATAAAAATTAAATCAAAATTTCAGCAAATAAGCCATAATTTTTTCAAAAACCTTTTCTCCGAGCTTTCCTTTCCACCATCCCTCTTCGACCTCGTCCAAGATCTCGATTTCCTGGTCGACCAGCAACTCGAGTTCGTCCGAGTTGGCGGGGTTGTAGTTGAAGAGGACGATGCATTTCCGCCGGTCCTTTTTCTCCAGCACCCTGACGAAGTTGTCTGGAAAGACCCCTTTGCGGCCGTTGAGCATTCCGGACCACCAGCCGCCCTCCTGTTGAACGATGTTCTGGATGATGTCACCCTTGTTCAGGGTAAGCTCGTCCGGCTGCTCGGCCTTGTAGTTGAACTCCACAATAGCCTCAACTAGAAAAAGCAAAGCCGCATATTATATATTCACTGGCATAGAGAAGTAGTTCCTCCTTAAAAATTCAAAGCCACAGGAGTGCCGCACTGCGCCTCCAAGACGGAAAATAGCAAATTTTGTCGTGCCGATTGCGAGCGGAAAAGCTTCGGAATTGTTGTAGGACTTTTCAAGTGAAAAATCTTACCCATTTTTCAGATCCCTTTCCGTCCAGACATAAAGATTTAGTGGAAAAGCTCACAGGAAATAAATTACATTACAACACACAAGTCATAGGCGTGATGTTGATAGTGCTTTCGCGGCGTTGTTGCCAGTGTTCTACTCGGGTGGTTCCTGGTGGTTTTCGGGTGGAGTTTTGGAAAGGAGTTTAAATATGCCCTTAAGCTAATAAAAAATTCACAGTTCATATCTTAATTTGAAGTATTAAATTATGTAAAAGCACAAATTAACCCTCGTTTTATTCAATTTAAGTGTGTAAAAATGCGATTTAAATCAGAAATTTGTAGAATTTACAGTTCATATGTGTGAAATTTCCGTGTACTACCCACTCATAGCGTCAGAACCCTTTGTTGACATTTGCATTAGTCTCTTTTCGCCGTTGCCTTTTTTTCCTCATAAGATCCTCGCTAGCCGAGCCTGTTCCTTTGAAGAATATTTTCACGATTAATCATTTTATTATCCTCCCTCTTCTCTGCTCCTAATCAAAAGACAAACAAATTAAACCGCGGCCTTCGTTGAGTCATACGAGTCGGCACAATGAATTTCTTTTCAAAGCCAACTCTCAAAGGTAAAGGAGATTAAAAATTAATTTTTTGCTCAGCTCCTCACTTCTAGGTCACGTGAATCTTTGAATCTTTTTTACAAATTAATTAATACCAATTCTTCTTAATTTAATTTCTTCCTAAAATTTTAGAGGAGATGCGTGAGAATGACAAAGCTCTGCGTCAAGTGGGACGGAGTCTGGACAGAGACTTGAATCAGCTCGATCGAGAAGAAAATAAATTGGTAAATTTATTAAACATTTTTATTTTAAAACCAATTATAATTTTTTTTTATAGAAAGCTGACATTAAAAAGGCTGCCAGAGATGGGGACAAAACAACCTGCACAGTTCTTGCCAAGCAGCTTGTCCAACTCAGGAAACAAAAACAGAAAAATCTTCTTGCCAAGGGAAAGGTTTGCAAGAAATTTTAATTTTTCCACAGATTATGTCACAGATTTTTTTTATGTATCCAGGTGATGTCTGTCGGTGTCCATGCCAAAACTATGGCTGCGAATGTGAAAGTGGCTGGTGCCCTGAAGACCACAACGAAGACCATGGCCAATATGAACAAAGTTCTGAACCCGCAGAAAATTGCCCACGACGTCAAGGAATTTGAAAAGAATGCCATGATGATGGGAATGACTGACGAATTAGGTTTGATGATAAAAATTAGAATTTCGGATTTTTATAATATCAATAATTACGAATTTTAGTTAACGATACCTTGGATGACATTCTTGCCGGCTCTGATGAAGAAGAGGAATCAGACCGAGTGGTTAGCCAGGTTTTGGATGAAATTGGCATTGAGCTTTCTGGAAAGGTACGCTGGTTCATATTTTTGTGAAAGAAAACAAATTTTAAAACCTCAATTCTCATTCGATAGATCTCTCGAGCTCCCGCTGCTCCTGCACATGATCTCAATGAGAAACTGCCGTCTGCGGACGAGCTAGAAGCTCAGTTGAACAAATTGCGCAGCTAAATTATCAAGACTAATTAACCAAATCTGCAGGCTGTGTTGCTACAAATTAAGTGCGTAATGTGTAATTATTAATTTAACCTTTTTCAAATATTCGATGCAATGGTGGATTTTTTCAATACATAAAAATGTGACCTTCTGATTTAAACAAAATAAAATTTTGCTTTTAAATTTGTTTATTATTTGCATCATAGCGTGGCTGTCATGGCAAACAGGAACATAAAAATGGCTTGCGTCTGATCACAATAATTATGACATTAACTGTGACATTCAATGTCTAACAATAAGTCTGTGCCATTTTGTGACAAACAATTTGAGTTCTACTTTAAGCTTAAAAGAATCTCGCGTTTGACTACAAACAAAACTACCTATGAATTTCTAAAAATGCAATAAATCACAACTAGGTGCTCCACAAAGGTACACTTTACATAACCATCCTGGAATAGAGCCCGACTTCCGCAACTAACGGCCAAATCTCAACATACAGACACTTGCTGGTTTTCCCTGACAATTTGTGTCTACGTCAAAAACTACATGGGTTGTTTTTAATAATACACTCTTAACTATAACAAGCTAAGAGGAACTTTGGCCAGCCAGTTTACTTAAAAATCTTATTATCTCTAAATTTAAAAACTTGTAACTGAGAGCTCGACGGCTAACTTTGGCACGCACAGCTACGACGAGAGCTCCCAAATTTATTTATTTAAATTATCTCTGCCAATATGCATCTAATTACTTATTTTTAAAGCAACAAGGGCCAATAGTTCCCTGGAAAACACAAATTCAACAACTAGCTGGATGCATAAATAGTTTGCTGAAGCCACGATCACAACTCGCGAGTTTTTCATTTATCTCAAAGTGCAAAATTACTTTAAAATAATACGTCAGATCAATATTCTGTACATAAGATCATTCTGGATTTGACGACGCCTCGAGGCGTTTGTTCAGCGACAATTTTGCTTTGAGGACAGCAGTGTTGATCAACGACTCCACGAATGAGCCGGCAAACTGCTTGACAGGCTCCACCGACAGTGGCTCCAAAGGGGCAGAGGTCGAGTTGAAAATGGGAAGGTACGACGGCCGCTGTTTGCTCTTCGCGTGGCGAATGTCAAGCAAGTGTTGGTCTGGCTTCGGAGACGGTTTTTCCTCTGCCTCTTCAGCAGGTTCCGGCGAGGCTGACTTGATCACTTGAACTGGGATGCTTGGCTACAAAATTTAAAAAGAAACAAATTATAAAATAATAGTGGTTCTGAATTCAAAATAATTAAAATCTAAATACCAAAATCAATTCTCGAAAACCTATAAACAACAAATATCTAAGAACTGAAATCCGTTAAATCATCTAATGCTTACAATGGGTGACGGTGGGTTTTGAGGCGCTTGTGAGATCTGAGGAGGCAGGGAATGGCATTGCAAGACACTCATGCTCTCCTCGACATGTACAAATCCCGAAGTGTTGGCAGCACAAAGTGTCGTCATGCACTGGACAACACTCTCCAAAGAAGTTTGGAGTTGCTGGACCTATAGAACTGAAGTAGTAAAAATTACACAAAATTTAAACTAATGTACCTGTTCTTGAAGTTGGGCACAAGTTTTGGTCAGGTCAGCCACGGCGCTGGATTCGTTGGGTTTGACGCTGAAATTCCGCATTGGCGTTTGAGGCGTTCTGGGCGACTGCAAGCCTTGGACCTGACAAAATGATTTTTTCTCATTAGTGTAAGCTTGTTTGAGCATTTCAAGGAGTAAAAATATACCTCTTTCCACAGCGATTTTATGGCTTCCATTTGCAAGAGCCGCAGGCGCCGTTCAACTTGCAAGGCAGCTTTAGCACTGTTGAGTTCTTTTGACAACATACGGACGTGGTCGTCTTGCCGGCTCGCTTGGATTTCCTTCTTCACACTTTTCACTTTGGAGCACAAATTGCGGACACGGTAACCGCGCCAGATCTTCTGAATTGTTGTGGCAGCTTTGTTTTGTTTTGCTTTAGCGTCAATTTGGTTTTCTATATTAAAAAATTTAATTATCTTGATTTGAAAGAAACTAAATAGGATACCTTTGAGGGCAGTGCATCTAGCATTCTCTTTGTGCTTTCTTGCAGAGGCAAGGTTCTGAATAGTCTCCAGTTTAGAAATGGACATTTCTGAATCTTCGTCGCTGCTGTCAATTCTCTGTTGCTCCCGTTTTGCTTTGGGTCCCAATTTGAAAGGCGCTGTTCGAGTCGATTCAGTTTTGCTTGAGTAAGTAGTTTTCCTGCTTTTAAAAATATTGGTACTAGTAAAAAATGAATTAAAAATAATTTACTTGTGTGGAAGTTTCTGTGCGCTTGGAATTTCGCTCGCTTTGCTGCTTTTGCTGTTAGCTGTGGGTCTGCTGAGCCTAGACGCGCCTGGAGAGTGATTAGCAGAATTTAGAGTTGCCGGAACAGATTTTGTGCTGCTCGAAGTCTTGAGTTCGTTCATTTTGGCCCCGTTTACTTTTGGTTTCTGGTGTAATGGGCTGCCAGGTAAGTGGCGGGCAGTGGCGGGCCTGAATGAACAACTTCGATTAAAAAAAAGTTAAAATTATGAAACAGATATTACCTATAGTCGGGACTCATTATGGTTTCAGGAACAGGTACTAATTTTGAAGCTGCTTTCAAAGGACTGTTTGACTCGCAAAGTTGGTTTGGTCTCACTGCCTCTCCTGAATCGCCAAACATGTTCGGATCCAAACTGCGGGACATGAGACTCTCTTTGTTGTTTGTATTCTGGAATTAAATATAACAAAGAATAAAAAAAATTGTTTTAATAAGAAAATTGTAAAAGTGAAATTTTATTAAAAACAATTATAATAAATGAAGGAAATTTTTTGGTAGTTTATTTAAAACTTACAAGAATGACGGCGTCAGCACTGGCCGTCATTATGTCGTTTGTAGGAGCATAAAGGGTTACAGGCAACTCAACAGTGTAAGAGGAGCTCATAAGTGGCGAGTTAGTTCCGCTGAAATTATGCCGCTCCCAGGAAGCTGTAAAAAAGTTTTAATTTTACTACGCCCATAGAAATTTGCATCTTTAATACCAGGACTGCGTTGGCGTGGAGACGAGTTTCGCAAACGACTGTGCTGTGAAAGGGCAGGACTCGAAGACGCCGATTTTGGTTTGCGAGGGGGCGAACTGACCCTGGTTGGGGCAACAGAGCCTGAGGTCTCTTCCCACAACTGCCTCTGGTGCTGCTGGGCCTTGCTCAAAATCAGCATGAGCTTCTGCTCGTCCTGGCTGCTCAACTTTTCATCCGACAATGGACATACGGAGGCAAGATATTCAACAAGGGCCGCCTGTTCTCCAACGTGGAACTGCCTGCCTCTGCCTTGCGAATACAACCACTCGGCTTTTAAACTGAAAGAAAATAATTTAAGAGTCAGAAAACAAATTGAAATCAATTTTCCACCTTTCTTTGGCTCCAACCATGTAGTCGTCAATAGTGCGAAGAGACATGCACCAGTTTATTAGGAACGGCCGATGATCGAAGCCTCTGAAAATATTTAAAAAAAATGAAGTTTAAACTAAAAATATTTACTGGAAAATTACATTGATTTTCCAGTCATGGAAACGCAGGGGTTGTTGGCAATGGTGATGGACTCCAAACTGGTCAAATTGCTCAAGTAGGAAATTTCATTGAGATCAGCAATTAAGTTGTTGGCCAGGGTGAGGACCTTCAGGGAGTTCGGCAAGTGACACGAACCAAACTTCAGGGTGGTCAGTTGGTTGTCGTGCATTTTCAAAACCTAAAAGACAATAATTTTTATTTTATATAAATAAAAACAACAAGACTCTTTATTACCTGCAGATTTTTCAATGGACTCAAGTCGGACACCCCCTTGAGTAAATTTTCCGAGACATCGATGAATTCGAGAGCAACGTTGGTGTGGATAGATTCCAGTTGCTGCAGACGATGACAAAATTGAGGCTTTCTGGAATTAATCATAATTTATCTACCTTGATGTTGTTCCCCGCAAGTGAGAGCCAGTGAAGGTTAGTCAGGTTTCTCAAGCCTTCGATTGTTACGATGCCGTTTTTGGAAAGGTTAAGCCGCGTTAGATTGGTTAGTCGGGACACGCCGTACATTCGGACAAGCTTGTTATTTACAGCTGAGAGCTAAAAATTTCATTTTAATTAGTTTGTTAATAAAAAATAATTTCTATTTGTACGCAAATGAGCTGGGTTAGGTGGTCGAGGTTCTCGATTCGTTGGAAACTGTTGCCGTCGAGGATCAAACTCGTAATTTCTGGATTCTTAAACAGATCTTTTGATATTTTCTTAAGGCCTTGATTGCTGAGATTCAACTCTCCGTAGTTGTCCTGGAATTCGTTTCCGTCTTCTAGAAAAATGAAATATTATTGTTTAAAATTTGGAATGAAAATTTATATAATTTCGTTTTACCAGCTTCCATGGTTGAATTTTTTCTTCAAGCTCGGCGTAAAAATTTACATCTCAGAAATCTCCTTCATAACTGCCTGAAATTAAAGCATGAAATGATATTATTCAAAAATTCCACATAAAACTAGTCGGGATGCGCACTTGCATTTTTGCTTAGTAATTATTTTTGAAGGCTTTATACAAACACACAGATCTAGATTTTTGATACAGCACGTCCGTGAATTAATTCAAAGTAATTACACAAGTTCAATTAAATTATTGTAAAAAAAATTTTAAAATGGATTAATGCTCAATTAGGTGCCAATTTTTGATCAAAACAATGATTATCATTCAGAAAATGAAGCATAGAGAAAAAAAAATTGAAAAAAAACTCGCAACAAGCCGCGCGTCAAAAGGTGGTTCTTCTGTGACGAACCGAGCGTCGAAGTGACAGAAAAAACGTGCGTCCGAAGCAAAAATGCAAGGCGTCCGACGCGAATTCGCACTCACCTCGGCACCACGCGTGGAAGTTGATCGGCCGAGCATTCGAAATTGCTTTTCGTCCGACCGTTCGAGCGAGCCAATTTTCGTTTTCTGTCTATTTACGCACCACACCTCTTTTCCGTGATCGCAGGTCTCAGGGCGACCAATCACGGAGCGCCTTTCAACCAATCAGAACGCGACTTGCATGCTGACGTCACGAGCGTTCAAGATTGGGCGCGATGGACGAGCACGCGAGACGAGAGATGGGCGAATTCGCGGAATCCAAAAGAGAATTGACGGTCGTAAAAGAAACGAAATTTAGATTACGCGATAGAGAACGTAGAGTAAATATTTATGACAGGGGCTAGCATGACTATTGACGTGAACCATTTAAACTCCGAGTGAGTTTTATGACTACAAAAAGCAATGAAAATAATACATAATATTATGTCCTATAGCTTGCAATTTTCAGTTGATTGTTGTTAATCGCGTTTATTTTTTCTTTGGTCCATTTATCTTTTTATATCATGCAGGGAAATATTTTGTATTTTTACTGCCGATGTACCTAAAAAAAAAAAAAAAAATTGGAATTAATTTTCAAAGATGTTCAACGATTTTGTTTAAGAAATTCAAAATAAAGACTTTGGCTTGATAAAGGAAACAACATAAAAAGAAAAGTGTTAAAAAAACATACAAAGATTTTATTGGATTTTATTAATAACAAATCAAAAAAGGAAAAATTAGGTATAAAAATTGTAGCAGCCTAGATAAAATCATTATTAAAACCTAATTTGACAAAATTACCAAAGAAATGTAGAAGAAATAAAAATTTAATTTACATATTAATTATTCAAGATATAATTTTTTATGGTTTTTTATTAAAGGTCAAAAAGAATTAAAACTTATATTATTGTCTATTATTTATTTTTTTTTTTATTCGATAATTCCTAATATTTAGATTCTTTTTTTTATCTAATGGCTATTTTCTGCTATTTTCAATCTTTCCAGTTCATTCCATCGAACATTAAAAAAAATTCCCGTGCAGGTCTCCGTCGGCAGTCGATGGAGCGACAGTCGCGCAGAGGCGAGCGCATTCGAATTCGCTCATTCGCTGGCTGGGCAGTCCGAGTTTCGCCGTGGCTGCGTCCGTCCCATTCACCGCGAGTGTGCAGCAGAAGGGCAGATAAAAAGCGGCAGATTATCATGGAGTAAGTGGGCACTGGGATGGAGGGAGGCGGCCGTAAAGGGAGAGATTATAAATAGAGGTGTCCGGCATGTGGTGTGGCACTTGTCTCGCGACTCCTCTCTGTGGTTCCTGAGCTGCACCGAGACTAATCCGAAGACGACTCCAGCAAAGCCATGTGTGGTGAGTAAGGTCTAAAAAATATAGTAGCACGTCAAACCAGAGCACGCCCCCTTTGACGAGAAAGCAAGAAAGGGTTGTTCAATGAAGACGATAGGAAAATATTATTTTTTATTTGGCGCTCGGCGCTTATACACGTGGCCGTATAATAATGTTGACTTGTCAGAATTTCGTTCAACTTATCATTCGGTTTTAATCAAATGAAAAACAAAAGTTATTTCTTATTTCCTGCAGGCTTTCGAGATAAAACTCTCTTTGAACGAATAATAAATAAGAGGGGAAAATCTTAAAGAATGTAAAAAGATTGAAAAGAATTAAATTGGCATTATGATGGATGCAAATAATTTTATCAAAGAATAGTTTTCTTTTAAAGATGAGTTATTGTGGGGAAAATATCATTGATTTAATTAAAAAAATAATTATTGTGGAATTAGTGGAATAGTAATTAAACATGTTTTAAAAATAATTAAATCTTTTTATGAATTTCATTTAAAATGATAAAAATAAAAATGTTAAGATTTGACGATTTCATATAAAAATCAAAACTTTGAGCTTGAAAAGATAAAAAAATTAGACAAGCAACCTCAGAAAGCGACCCTGTGGACTTCTTGTTCTCTCAAACCAAATAAATAAATATGTTGGGTCCAAAAGAGAGTAGAAACAATTGGTAAAGTGAATAATGAAAAAAAAAATGAATTGTGAATTGTTACAGAAAATATTTGGGGGTCAATTGTCCTTCACTTTAAATTTCGGTCTAAATCTTAATTGTATTAAAAATGATGATTTAATTAAGTACAAGAATCATTTATATTTTTTCCATTTTTACTTTTAATCCTAAATATAATTAATTTAATTGAAAATAATCTCTTCTGATGAAATTTTATCAAAACTGTCGTAAGCTCATTTTTGTTTGTAAATAAGACAAAAAGAAAGCAATTCTCATTTTCAGAACAAGCCTCTTGCATTCATACCTGTATTTATTTTTTTTCTCTCTCTTAATCTCTCTGTGAGCTCTTTACCGTAAAAAGAAAGGAGAAATCGATGAAAGGGAAAGAGTCGGCAGAAAAGAAACTGGAAAACGAGCCCAACCCTGGCGCCAGTGTCATTCACCTTGAAAACAGGGCGTTTCTTCACACATGCGACAATTTAACTTTCAAAAAAAAAAATATATATCAACATGTTTTTGATTCAAACCAAAAATATCCCATATAAAGTGAAACAATAAATATTTCATTTTTTATTCTTTTTTTAGTGAAAAATAGTTTTTGCATTCCTTGGCGTCTCACGTGTCTCTTTATATACGCTCTCGATTAATATTATTGCGAGCAATTGGCGAAAGGAGCAAAAAGTTCAGCTGGGTGGAGAGAAAGCTGCTATTGAAAACAAGTTATATGGAGTTTATTCGCCGGCGCCGCCTTGCTCGCTCCGGGGACTTTTCACCTTCTTCCTGCCTGATTAGCTTTCTCCCTTCATTCATATGATACATTTTTCGACACCCAAATTTTTAATTTATGCTCCGCTGCATTTCATTATAATGACAACCCAATCGGCGACGTTACATATAATTTGAAGCGACTCAATAATAATTGGAGAGACGTGGCGATAAACACGTAGGACTTTTACACAATCTAGAAGAGAGACGACTTTAAACAATTAATTTTTATCATTTTCTAAATTTATTGGTAATTTCAAACTAAGTTTATTATTTCAAAACACTAGAAAAATTTCATAAATTTATCAATCAAAATTTAATTGAGTTTAAAATTATGAATGAAACCTTTTAAAAAATTATCATCTATCCTTCGTGGCTAATTTTATTATCTAAAAAATATCACTTTAATATTCAAGCTCCACCCCAATTAATTTTAATTGCAAGCGTGCAAAAGTGAGTTTTTATCTCGGATACCATCATATTTGATGACAGCCCACATGCATTTGAAACACTTGAAATTGCTCCATTTTCACCATGTTTATTGAAAAAAAATTGTGTGCGACAGCGCATTATTTTTTTATCAGCAGTTAACGCACTGCAAGATTAATGTCGCACTTCTTCTCTTTCGGCCCATTTTGCGTGTGTTTGCTCAGGAATCGGACGTCAATTTTTATCTCTCGCCACTTTTTGCTCTCGGCATATTTAATTAAGAAACAGGAGAGTAGCGTGTAAAATAACATAGTAATGCGTCAAGAAATAAAAATGTTTCCGCGATACAATCATTATCTCTATACCTGTCACAGACGTCTTTTCCGATTGCTTCAATAGTTGTCAAAAGAAAGCCGCCGAGACAGATCAAAACTAGATTTGAGGCTTGACATGAGTACCTTTTAATTTTTTTAGCATTTAAATTAGAAATTCGTGAGGTCGAGGAAAAGTTTCTATCATAATTTTTTTACTGCACATTTTAATTTTTAAACGTGCCTGGTTCATTAATAGTTATATTGATGCCAATCAACTTTCCCTCAAATTTGACGGCGCCTTTTTAATTTGTCCACAGGCATTTTCGCCTATCTCAACCACCTGACTCCGAAGACCAGGAAGGAAGTGTTGGACTTCCTGGTCAACGGCCTCAAAAGACTTGAGTACAGAGGATATGACTCCGCAGGTAAGAAAATTTTAAATTAAAAATAATAAGCGTTTATTATTAAAAAATATTAATTAATTTTAGGAGTTGCTGTCGACTCGGCCGATGGAAATAATATGGCCATTATCAAAAAGAGCGGAAAGGTGCAGGCTTTGGAAGATGAAATCAACTCTTGTAAGTTTAGTAACTATTTTGCAAAAGAAAGAAATTCAAAAATAATAAATTTGTATGAAAGGTAAAATTTTTTTATTAGAAACTTTAAATTGTGCTCGATTTTTTAAATTGAAGTAAACAAATTGTAGCAGAGAATTTTTTAATAAAATTAAATTGATAATTAAAATTAATTCACATTTTGTTTGAAAAAAAAACTTTCTTATTCTAACAATGAAAGAAAATATGAAGGAATCGAAGTAAATTGTTTTATTTTAAGGTTTCATTTAAAATAATATTGATTTTTAATTAAATATTGAACAGTGGCTTCCAGTTTGGCTTTCGACACAATAATGGACTGTCACGTGGGCATTGCCCACACTCGCTGGGCCACTCACGGAGTTCCCAATGCCCAGAACGCTCACCCTCAGCGTTCCGACACGGAAAACACCTTCTGCTTGGTGCACAACGGCATCATCACCAACTACAAGGACATCAAGTTGTTCCTGGCCAAGAAGGGCTACACTTTTGAATCGGACACGGACACCGAAATCATCGCCAAGTTGATGCTGCACATCTACAAGTCCCACCCTCAAAACACCTTCCAGGAAATCGTCGAACAATGCATTCAGCAACTGGTAATTTTTTAAAGAATTTTTATTTATTTTTGTAGTTATTTTCAGTCAGTTTTTAACGTTAAATAATTGAATCTTTTTTAGAAGAATTTTTACAAAATTTGTTTTGATTGTGAATTTATTTGTCCATTTTTTTTTGAACTCAAAATTTAAACTCTTTTAAAACAACAATTCTTTTTTTGTAAATTTTTGTATTTAGTTCTCTGAGCTTTCATTAATTTTAATAATGTAAAAATTACAAATTTTATAACGATGGATGTAAAATTTGATTAAAACTTAATTAAAAAATGAAAAAATATTAATTATATTTTCAAAAGTAAATAATATTTCAATTTTAATTTTCGCAACCCTCAGAATTCCCGTATTTTGCACATTTCTGAGCTAACTATTTTAATTTCACGTAATTTTTTAATTATTATTATTATTTAGGAAGGAGCTTTTGCCGTTTGCTTCAAGAGCAAATTGTTCCCTGGCGAGTGCGTGGCGTCGCGTCGTGGAAGCCCCTTGTTGGTCGCCATCAAGACCAAAACTCGTCTAGCCACCGACCACATTCCCATTCTCTACGGCAAAGGTATGTCGCAAATAAAAAATTAATAAAAATGCCCCCTGCCTTAATAAAATTATTGGCTAGAAATATATTATATGCGCACCTCTGATTTAGGCCAGAGTAAAAATAATTCCATTCAAAACGTTTCTCTCTCTTTCTCTTTCAATGCTCTCGAAAATCAGGTCACATGTCAAGTTATTTGGGTGAGTTCGGGATTCTCTTAATTTATATTGCACGAGATTTAACGAAATGGAGAGTGTGTTTGGTGCATTTTAGGAGATTTTTCACTAATTTTGTGTGTTTTTTCCCTTTTTCTTGTGCCTGCTCGTCTCTTGTCTGTTTGTTTGTCGTCATCTTTACTCTCTTTCAACCCCTGCAGAAAGTCGAACAGGTACTTCTTCCTTTTGTGTTTTTCTTTATAAATGGAAAGAAATTATGTTTTTCTTTGAAAAAAATTAAAGCAAAGAAAGATGATTTTGATATACAAATTTTCACACTTTTCTTTCTAACACTTTCATACTTTCGGCATGATAACCAAACAAAATTGAACTTTTATAATTAAAAAAAAGTTTAAATGCGTGCTTTGAAGATTTGATTATTGTATTAATTCAATATATGTTTGTGCCCCCTTTGCAAACCTGCAAACTTTAGATCCAGCTGAGGCCAAGGCAAAAACAGGTATTCAGCGAATTCTTTTTTTTTCATTTCGCTTCTGCCCACATTGTGCTTTTTGCCTATTTTTCACATTTATAACATTGTTTGCTTTGAATGTATGGGCCTTTTTATCTGTTCTGCGCTTTGTTATGACGAGAATGTGCAAATTGGATCGAAGGAGGAAATTTATAAAAGTGGAGGTCGGTGGAGGTCAAAAATTTTCAGCTTAAATGCCGGTGATCGTCTCAAAATAATGATCTGCTTATAAAATTTTAAACAAAAATCGCTCAAAGAAAAACTAAAATTAAAAATAAATTTGTACAGAAATAATTCAAAATTGGTTTAAAAGGGATGGAAATTTTATTATTTAATTTTGTAAATAGTCAAATTCTAACCCTGAGCGATTTTTGTGCCGACTTCAAGGTGATCCTCAAGATTAAAAATCGATTTTTTAATAGATTTCAGACCTCACGGTGGGCCTGCGACCAACGAAACTTTGACTGCCGCTTCCTTGATGCCACGCACACCTTCCACGGCTGAATTCCAGCCGATGGAGGAGGACAAGCAGGTCGAGTATTTCTTCGCCTCGGACGCCAGCGCCGTCATCGAACACACCAACAGAGTCATCTTTTTGGAGGTGAGTTGATAAAATGAAAAGAATATTTAAAAAATTTCGAATAAAAAATTCATAATCGTTGTTTTTTACAATATGAAAAAAAATCAGGTTTTTCTTGTTATTCAAGTTTTTATGATTAAAAAATTCTAAATTTATCAAGAATGAAAAGCATTTTTTTTTAAATTCACCTTCAAATATAAATAAATATCCAATCTTTTCTGCAATTCTGATTAATTTTCTTCTTCTCAGGATGATGATGTGGCCGCAGTGAAAGATGGCACCCTGACCATTCACCGCATTCGACGCAACCTGGACGACCCGCACGCCCGCGAGATCACCACAATCAAGATGGAAATCCAGCAGATCATGAAGGGCAACTACAACTCGTTCATGCAGAAGGAAATTTTCGAGCAGCCCGAGTCTGTGGTCAACACCATGAGAGGAAGGATGAACTTCGAGGGGCAGTCCATCATCCTGGGCGGCATCAAGGACTACATTCCTGAGATCAAGCGGTGCAGGAGGTTGATGCTGATCGCTTGCGGCACTTCTTACCACAGCGCTGTAGCCACAAGGTATATAAAAAAATTTAAATTTCCATAAAATCAACCAATTTTAATAACTTTCTCATGTGGTTCTAATTTAATATATTTAAAAATAGATGCAAAATTAAAAGGTCACCAGGGTCATTTATCAAAATAATGTGACCTGACCTCTATGTGAGGTACGTAGTTCAAAAGAAAAAGTCACAAGGATAACCTTTTGTCAATAGTTATTCCTAATAAAAACAATATTTTTAACTCCACGTAAGTTAAAAATCAATTTTTAAAATTTAAATTTAGATTATAAAAATTTGTGATTTCTTTCAAAAAGCAATTTTTCCCACCTAAACTTAAAAAAATTCCTATAAAACTAAAAATCTTCCCTGTTCTTTTCTCTCTTGATTTTTTATTTTTATTTAAAAAAAAACTTTCACCTTATAAAATTTTTGTGAATTTAGGCAGCTGCTGGAGGAGTTGACCGAGTTGCCAGTGATGGTGGAACTTGCGTCCGACTTCCTGGACCGCAACACCCCCGTCTTCCGCGACGACGTCTGCTTCTTCATCTCGCAGTCGGGCGAAACGGCCGACACCCTGATGGCCCTGCGCTACTGCAAGAACCGCGGTGCCCTGATCGTCGGCGTCACCAACACGGTCGGCAGCTCCATTTGCAGAGAGTCGCACTGCGGCGTGCACATCAACGCCGGACCCGAGATCGGCGTCGCCTCCACCAAGGCCTACACCTCCCAGTTCATCTCGCTCGTCATGTTCGGACTGGTCATGAGCGAGGACAGGATTTCACTGCAGCAACGCAGGAAGGATGTAAGTGTGACTTTAATTTTTTTTTTAATATAAAAAAAAGCAAATTATTAATTTATTACTTCTATTAAAATAGTCAAGAAAACAGTAATTTTAATTATATTTGAAAATTTAGTTTTAACGTAAATATAATTTTTTAAGGCAATTTTTTTTAGTTATCGTGAATTAAATATTCAATGAGAGATAAATTAAAACAATTTAAAATATTTAATTGGTTAAAGAGGGATATTATTTTTATTGTGATCTGAATTTTATGGCGGTACTGATTTAAAAAAGTTAATTTTTATTTTCTTAAAAATATCAATGGAATTAGCAATAAATAATATTGTAAAAAAAGTAGCAATAAGAATGTAAAAAGTACAATTATGCAAAAAATATGAAATGCTTAATTTTAAGTCTCAATATAATAATAAATCAGTTGGCTTTTAAGTTCATAGTGGATTTAATTTTATTCATTTTGTTATTTTTTAACTGGAATTTGTTTGGTTATGCAACCAACACAAAAGATCTGCCCGACTGGTTGCATACCTCCGTACTTGCAGGGGTTCATTTGGCTGAAAACGAGTTTGAAAATACATTTTGCTTTCACAGATCATCCAAGGCCTGCGACAGCTGGAGGAGCAGATCAGAGAAGTGCTGAAGTTGGACTCGAAGGTGCAGGAGCTGGCCAAGGATCTTTACAAACACAAGTCTCTGCTCATCATGGGCAGGGGCTACAATTTTGCCACCTGCCTCGAAGGCGCATTGGTGAGTGAATCGATACTAGTTTGATCCGAATCGAGTCGAAAATAATTCATGTGTAATTTCAGAAAGTGAAAGAGTTGACGTACATGCACAGCGAGGGCATCATGGCCGGCGAGCTGAAGCATGGGCCTTTGGCGCTCGTCGACGAAACCATGCCTGTGATCATGATTGTCACTCGTGACCCCGTTTACAATGTAAGAAACTAAATTTTTCAAAAAATTTAAAAAAATTGCAAATTTTCGGTTTTTAAAGATTTTTAAGAACATTTTCTGAATTTTTCTAATTTTGTTTTATCAATTCAGAAATGCATGAATGCATTGCAACAAGTGACTGCCCGCGAAGGCCGACCAATTTTGATCTGTGAAAAGGGTGACAAGGAGACGCAAGAGTTCGCCTCCAGCATCTTGGAAGTGCCACACTCGGTTGACTGTTTGCAAGTACGTGATTTCCCCAAATTTTCATAATTTCTCTCTGAAATAACTAAAAAAAATTTCTTTTCCTTTAGGGAATTTTGACGGTGATTCCCCTGCAGCTGCTGTCCTACCACATCGCAGTCCTCAGGGGCTGCAACGTCGACTGCCCCCGAAACCTGGCCAAGAGTGTGACTGTGGAGTGAACTCGACATTTTCTTCCAAAACACGCATTTCTCTCATATCTTCCGAATCGGCACCAACATTCCCTGCTCGACATTCAATTCTTAGTCCCCTCTAGCGCTGGCTAAACTTAAAAAAATCTTATTCTTTTAATAAGTTGGAGTTTTAATTTTAAAACATATATGAAACATTGAGAATTTTATTTTCTTTTAACTGTCTTTTGTTGTGGTATAGAAGAGTTTCAAAAGCGTTCGACTACATCAAACGTGATTTTGAAATGGTTTTTATAAAGACCTCTTGGTTCAGTGTATAATGATGTAGAATTCCTAAAATGTGAATAAAGTATTTCTCTTAAAGTGTAAAAATTAATTAGTGATTTTTTTTAAATGAAACAAATATATCTAAAAAATTGTGAGAAACAAAAAAGGAGAACAAAAGACAAATTACCAAAAAAAAACCAACAGTCTTGTATTATTTTAGCAAAAATTCTTTACATTTATTTTCAATTTTTAAAAATTCCCCCACTAAGAAAGTCTGGTTTTTAAAGGACACATAACCATTTTGTGCATAATACGTTTTTCCTTACTTTTTTATTTTATTTTCTCAACCAGGTAAATTTTCAATGAAAATCCACTTGAGGATGATGGAACTATTGATTTTGATGAAATTAATTTGATTTCGGCGCCCTTTAAGGCACAGTTTAACTGAGTTTAACTAAAATTCCGAGCACCAGAGGTCTCCGTTACCACCATTTTGGTGCTCAATTCTAGAGATCTGCAAAAGAACGAATTTGCCAGAGTTTTTAAAACTGCCTTCCGCTTTTTTAAATAAAAATAAACAAAAATTTTAAGTAAAAATGAAAATCGTAATTTTTCCTTTTTTACTTATTTTTGATAAAATGAAAAAGGGTTGAAAAGGGTTGGTGTTGAGAAGCGGCGCGTCCCCCTATTAAAGATAATAATGTGGGATGCGGGGTCGTGCGTAAGTGTGTGAGTACGCGGCGGTGGTCCAGGCCGCGAGAGAGAGAGAGGAGCGTGCGCCGTGTGCGGAGTCGACCGGGCGGTGGAGCGGCGAGCGGCGTCGCCAGGAGGAGACGAACACGGTTATCGATTGTCCTGGTTGCAGCTACTAGAGGGGTCTCCGGTCGACGCGAGAGTGAAGCCAGCCAGCGAGCGAGAAAGAGAGAGAGGAGGCAGTGCGAGTGAACTCGACACCACCTGGGCGGACGAAAAGAAGGTTGCGATCTCCTGCACTCCAGCCAGGTCGGCCGTTGCTTTCTCGGGCCCTTGTCGGCGCCAGAGTGTCCGTCATTATGGCTGCGCCAGGAGCCTGCACCCGATTCAGTGACAATTACGAGTTGAAAGAGGAGCTCGGAAAGTGAGTACCCGGCCCCGCCGGGGGTGGCCGCCCCCGGCCCCCCGTCCAACACTCGCGCCCGCCGCTGCTCGCTGACCTTTTAAGAAAAACTAACTGAGCGCTCCGACCCGCCACGGCTATTTCGGGACCGGCGCTGAAAATACGGAGACTCTATCTCATATCTCTGCGTGTCTCTTTTTTTATATATATACATCCATTTCTTTCTCTCTCTTCCTTGCATTTCGACTCGCACGATTTAATTTTTAATTCAACACGCCGATTTTCATCAATTTCGGGCGTCGCGGCTCCGACCGCGCCGTGCCTGCGAAGGGCACGTACGGATATTTGTTGTGAAGTATATTCGAATCAGCCCTCGCGCTCTCTCTCTTCCATTATTGATCCCCTTAGGCTCTTCTCTTACGCTCTCGTTCGCTGATTTTAAAATTTGACCTCACTCTGGCCTCCGAGGGTAGAGGCTGTGCAACCCTTGCAAAGATAATCTGACTGAAAAGTGCTGACTTCCGTCAGTTTTAAATTTGTTTGGGGTTTGAAGTTGTTAAAAAAGAGCCTGGTTGAGAGAGAATTTGAAATTTTGAACAGGATTTGTGAATTTTTAATCAAAATAAGACGATTTTTTTATATAATGTGATCAAATTAGTCAATCAATAAATTAATAACTTTGCCCTTGCATAAATAAATGTTAAGTGTAAAAAAAATAATAATAATAATTACTCTATATTGAAACTCTTTGAAGTTGGAAAATTAAATGATATATAACAAAAATCAAAGTTCGTCCAATTTGACTGTAATTTTGTTGCAACGAAAGTTTACATCATTGCATCACTTTAAATTTAATAGAATTTGAAATTTTTCGTTAATTGAAAAACAACTTTTGGTATTTATGATTTAATTGATTATCTCCTAAATGAGAATTTTGAACGCTAACTTTATGGAAAGTCTCTCAATTTAAAATTACAGCAATTAAACACGCCCATTTTTTATTGCTGGCCTGCAAACAAAGTCCGCAGACACGATCCATTGTTTCGCCTGGGAAACCAACAGGCAACAAATTTGCGCATATTTCCCTCAATGAAGCGCGAGAGAGGCGGTGAAGCGACCGAATCGTGTGTTTTGACTGCCTGGCCCAAAGCAGTCGGTCAGGCACGCAAACTCAAACAGCACGAGGAGTCGTATAACAACGCAATGAAATCTAATCAATTACGTGCTGAAAGCAGAAAAAGGTGGACACTTGCTTGAATTAAAAGGGGTGAAATAATTGAAAAATGGATAAAATTATAAAAAAAAAATTGTTCAAACAATTTTAAAAAGAAAATTCTTCAAGTAATATGAAATAGGTTTTGCAAGAACTATAAAAAAAAAAAAAAATCTGTGGTAAAAATTAAAAAAAAATATATAGTTTGAAATTTGAAGACTTCCTTTAATCATTGTAAATTTAATAAAAAAACCAAACTAAAAATTCTAATTTTTTTGGAATTTTTTTCCCTATTTATCGATATAAAATTTTGCGGCAATTCTCTTCCTTTTTAGTTTTAAACTTAAAATTTTTCAGAGTTTTCGTCAAATTTTTTTTCTTTCTCTCCTAAAGCGGCCGAGCGACTTTGGAGTAAACAGGGGCGTTGTTTTAATTGTGAAATCCCTCGGTACCGAAATAATTTCAAAAGCAAACGTTTTCGTTCCCTTTGGCATGCACACTCAAAACACAGAGGCGCGGCGTTCGAAGTGCGATTGTGTGCTGTTCTCGCCCCTTGCAAGTGGAAATGTGCATATTTCTGACCGCTCGTTGTGCCAAAATAATTCCCTTGAACTATCCCTCGACGCGGAATTACAGCGTTTAATGTCTTTGCCGTCTGCCTTTCTGTTCATCAAGAGCTGGAGGTCAACGGGTTTTGCTGAATTCAAAACTGGCCGACGCGAAAAAAGCTGTCACGTGGCAAACACCCAAAAAAGCAGTGGCCAAAAAAATGTTTGCACTTTTCTGTCGCAACACATTTATCAAGCAAAATTATCGCAGGTGCGTTGGATTGATCGAGAGGACTGTGTGTTTATAGTTTGTATCTCCGGCAATCTCGATTCGGCCCAGTTATTATTGTAAGCCTTTTGTCAAGGTCTCGCGAAGGCGGTGCTGCGGTCGCCCAAATAATTCATTTGATTAATGGAATCGCCGCGGCGAGCAGGAAAGCGCACTTTTTCCAAAAGCTGATTAACTTCCAAGGGGAATCCGACAGACGTCCTGCGTGAGAAATTAAATTCCACACCGCGATCTTGATTTATTTTCCTAAACGTCATTCCTTATAAATTATAAATCTAGAAAAAAAATAGATTAAATTGTTCCAGACTCTAGATCGATTTAATATGAATTGAAGTAGAAAATTCCTAATCGATAAACGAGACAAATATGGTTCAATTTGTAAAAGTAAACTTAATGATTGATTAATTTTTAATAAATATTTAATTTGAAGGATTTTATTTAATATTTTATTTTAATTCAATTATGTTTATAATTTTTTCCCAATTATACTCAAAATCTGCAAATTTGCCAAGGTTTTTTTTCAAAAAGTTGCATAAGATAAATTGATTAAATAAGCATATTTTTAAATCCCTTAACAAAAAACTCGCTTTAACTAAATCTTTTGAACGGAAATATTTGTAAAACCTTTAAAAAGATCTGAAAAACGATAAAATGTGCTTTTATTTGCATAGAAAAGTAGCCAATAAAATTTGCAAGTCTTTGCAGATGTCCCGTTTTTTAGATAAGATTTTTTTTATTACTCCAGCAAAAATCCGTTCTCAAATAAAAATTACTTGCTTTCTCCATCCGGTGACAGACTGACTGCTGGGGTCGCCAGACCGACGTCAATTAAAGAAAGCTGTAGAGAGCAATGATTGTCTTATATCCTGTCGTCCGTGGTCGGTCGCCGAGGGCGCATATGTATCGAAGACGAAAAGTTATTAGTCGCATATCGAACAGCAAGGAAGGCTTCTTTCTTTCTTTCTCTCTTTCCAACACACACTTTTCTTCTTTCCCGGGGCGAAGCCGCATTGGCGCTGATCCGCCGTCGACATTCGGGACATATAAAATTCCTCTCTCTCTGGCTCTTTTTGTTTGCCAGAGAGAGAAAGAGACGAGCGCACCCCTGACACGTTCAATAATTAATTTGCGCTTTGACATGCTTCAGCCTGCCAGAGATTAATCCGTCCCCCATCTATCCCGCAGATCTTTTATTTACTTTGGCCGGAGGGTGATGGAAAAAAAGGAGTAAATATCCATCAACAGGAAAAATCTCAATTAGGAAAAAAGTCTTTCAACTTTTTTTCTAATTAGTCATATATGCACAGTCAGCTGCAACCCGCACAACAAACAAGCAGTAATTGAAATGAAAACTGATTTTGAATCAAGTATGAATCAGATTTGCACAATTCTCTTCATTATTTACAAAATTAGCAATTGGAGGAAATAATGCCATTTTTTTATTTGCATTGTTGTTCTTTGATTCACAACAAAATTTGAATTAAAATCAACTTTCTTTTTAATTTTTTTTATATGATTGTAAAATTATCTTCAAAATATTTAATCTTGCAGAATATTTATTTGTTTTACATAAAAATAAAAGAGATTAAAATTTGCAACAAACGAAATAAATAATAAAACTTCAATTTCATTTAAAAGATTAAATTTTTCTGCCTGAATAAATATTATTTTCTTTATTTATTTATATTTCTTTAAAGCATTTTTCAATAAAAATACAGCGTTTTTATAGAAGATAATTTTTCTACACTTCCAGTTTTATTACATTTCGACTTTAACGAAAGAAAAAGAGGATTATCATTTTTCTGCCGCATCTTTAACTCAAAAAATGTTTAATTTACATGGATCTGAATCCAAATGTTCAATAATTTTAAATTGAAGTATTTCCAACAAAATTTAAAAACGGGCTTTTCCGCTTTGAATCAAAAATAACATTTTCTGCTTTGATCTACAATCCTAATTAAAAAAAAACCCGGAAAAACCTACATATTTTCAGATTCTTTTTAAATTTCCTTGCTCGTGAAATAGAATTGCAGATTAATAGAGCCGTTTTTTTGTTTCTAAATCAAAACAATTTCCTTCTATAAAATTCCAATTTTGTTCGCTTTTCATTAAATTTTTTTTATAAATAGCAAAAAAATTTAATCTTATTTCTTTTTCAAAAATTATTTTCATCAGAATAATTATTCAATCCGTTCGCTACTGACACGTGGAATTAAAAAATTACGCCCATCCGCAGACACATTCATGCGCTTGTCTTACTCTCTCATTAGTAAAATTGTGTTTTGTTGCAATGCAGATAAAGTAGTGCCGTCGGAGAAACAAAACGCGGCTCTATAGTTGTCGCCAGCAGCGGCGGCGCATACGGACGGAAAATATTATAAAGTTGGCGCGACCAAACAGACCCGAGTAAAAAAAATCAACATATTTCGCGTCACGCCACATTATATTATGAAATGCATATGCAAATCGCTGCTGTGTCGCGCTCGGTCGCATACAAAATCGACGAGTTGAAAGAGCTGCACTGCTAATTCTAATTAGTGTAATGAGAATGAATGAGAGACGCGGACAGAAAAAGCTACCATAAAAGGCGCGCCCCATTCATTTCTTATGCACGAACCTCGGCACCGATAAATTATTCAAGACGAGTGCAGCGCAAAGTCACTCACACTTACTTCTTTTTACAAATGCAGTGCGGATCGATTCCTGTCCGAAATTGAATCGATGCACGTAAAAAATGCACTTGCTTGTTATGCACTCGATGCAGCCTTTGTTTACTCCTCATTTGCATGTGTGTGCGTGTCCTCGGGGAATGGAATATAATAACACGTCGAAAGGTGACATTTGCATTTAGATAAAAAGAGGGACTCTGTGTAACAAGTGACATTTTAATTAGCCCCGGTTTGTTGCGCAACTTTGGATAGCATTAACCTCTCTGAAAAGGTTTCTGACATTTTTTTTAATAAAACGTCCTTGTGGTTAATTTTGAATTAAAATTCTGTATGATAATGAAATTTCTCTCCGGACGATGTCAGAGAGAGATCCTAAATTCCGGAATTATTGAAATTTATTCGGCGGGTGGCTTGTCTTTAAATAGCTGATGACACATTTCCATGGACTCGGTCGGTCGGAATAGCGAGTGGATGACGATTTTCTAGGCTATAATTTTTGTAAATTATGTGAATTTGGAACACAAATTTAAACCTTAATGCGCGCTCTATCTATAATATGGATTTTTTTTCAATTTAATAGAGAAAATCAATGAAACTGTTGAAATTATTTGCAATTTTTTTTTAAAGGTTTCATATTTCAATTTCAATTTTTTTCAATTTTAATTATTGTTTACTGGTCTTATTGTTGCAACAAAAAGAAACAATTATTGAGAGAGAAATTAAATTGTTTGTCAAAAAGGCAAAGACTTTTTTAGAAATCTAAAAGACCCCACGCACAGAACTACAACAAAATTATTGATTATATAATAAATTACGTAATTTTAATCATAGTTCCAAGTGACGAGAATCAACACAAATTTAACATTCTCATGACAGTAAAATTGTAAAATTAAATTAAATCACATAATTTTGATCATATATTAAATTTGTATTATTTAATTTTGCTCATTTCTAAATAAAGTTACGGTGTATTTTAATTTAATTTAATATTATGCACAAAATAATCCCTAAATTCCCTGTGGCTTGATTAAATTTTGGAATTTTCCTTGAACCAAATCAAAAGAATTTAAACTTGGAATCTTCCAAAACGTCCAGTAGTCTTTTAACCAATTAGATAAATTAAGGTATTTTTATTTTTCATTACTAATTATGCTGTTTTCTGATTCCTTACTGAAGTTTGATTTCATAAGTAAAAATCTTTCACACAAAAAATATACAGTTAAAATATTGTACGATTTGAATCATTTGACGTGTGCAGATTTTTATTTCTCATTTTTGAAGAATATGATCAAGACCAGAAGATGTTCAAGTTTTTATCTCTATAATTTCTAAACTTTCTAAGAAGGATTAATTTTACCTTTTTTATAACAAAGATAATATTTTTGATATTTTATTTTTCTATTTATTTTAATTTCATATCAAAATATTCAAAATAGAGAGAAAAGTGTAAAAAAATGGATCAAAATTATGCAGGAAACTTTTATTGTTTTGGCCAAGACGAATCGCAAGTTGCCAAGATTAGAATTGATTTGCATGTGTGTGTGAGCGACGGACGATTTGTGCGTTTTATTGGGCGCAAGAAGCGAATGGACAAAGGCCAAAGTGAGGCAAGAATGACATAAAGCAGTATTATTGTACGGTCCATGGGTCGGCGCAGCTCGCCTTGAATACTTTTGTCTCTCGCACCCTTTTTGCCTTCGTTCGTCTGATTGACCAATCAAGTCGGACAATAAGGCTTCGTTTGGCCGGTTGACTCGAAAATTGCGTTCGCTGTGGACCCAGTCGGCGCAAAACACTCGCACAAACAAGACCGTCGGTCCGCGAAATAAGAACGCCGAGCGACACGAAAACAAAAACACAGCACCAGCCCGCCCGCGCCAACTGCGGAAAACTCTTTCTGGCGGTGACACTTGTTCGATCGGCAACAGACGAGACCATCACAAAAGCTTTTACTTTGTTGCGAAATAAAATAACAGAGAGGACCGAAAAAGAGATCTGGAATTATTAATTTATATCTAAAAAAATCCGACAGTTCAAAATCATTGTGATTCAGACAAGTCAAGTAAATTTATGATTAGTTCATAAAAGGAATTTATTTATTCATAAGTTTCTTCATAAGTTCTTCTTCAAAACGTGAAAAAAGTTGCCGTTTAAAAATATTAATCAATGAAAATCATAAAAAACCTCTTGTTTTCAATATTCAAAGATTTGTAAATTTTGATCCGATCAAGAAGTTTTATTTTCTTGACAGACTTCACTTCCAAAAGAGTCTGAGATAAAAACATTATCAATTTTTCATGCTTTCTGGGCAACAATTAAATTTTGAATGCTTTCATCACACTTACAAACTTTGGTATTTTGAAATCTTGGGTGCTTTTGAATTCTGCAAATTTAAAATCATACGTTTTGATCAAATATTATGAAACTTTAAATGTTTTGGAGTTTGGATTTCAAATTTCAAGACTTTTGATCACTTGGAAAAAAATTAAAAAATTGACTTTGTTTGAAATAAAAATTAATTTTTTTATGTTAAATTCAACATTTTATTCATAACAAAGAAAACTAAGCAGTAAATTTTTTTAATTGGACTTGTTGGAGGAAAAACGATTTTAATTTGTATTAAAGTTTTCAAATAAAAACCAGTTTAAATCTCTTTTATTCATTTAAAAGTCTTTGTTCGGCGGTGTTGATTTTTATACGATTTTTTACTCCAATTAATTATTCCGAGCGCACGTGAGTTTGGAATTAAACGAGTGCTTGTTGTGCATTAAAGTTCCGTGTTTGAATGTCCCTGGAAGTATAATATCACCTGTTGCGGCGGGAATTCTAGCTGTTTTGACTCGCCGCAGCTGAGCCCTAGCCCGGCTCTTTGCCCATATATGTGAAATTTATAGTCGAACACGCAGGGTCCGCGGAAACACGAAGGGCAGCGGCGCTTGACACTTTTTTAAACGAGAAATTCTGATTTGTGCAATTTGGCTGCTTCCAGGGGTGCGTTCTCTGTGGTAAGAAGATGTGTTCAGAAGTCGACTGGCCTGGAGTTTGCGGCAAAAATCATAAACACCAAGAAACTCTCGGCGAGAGGTGAGTTTTCGTTTACGATTTGAAATTTCAGTTGAGATGATTTTGTGTAAATAAGTTATATGAAACATTTTGGAAGGGTTTTCTAAAATTAATTAGGGGAGGTTTGAAAATTCAGCCGCGTTTAAACGCATTTTAGTTTAAATTTCAACCAATTTTTTCCATAAAAACTCCAATTGAAAATGTGGTTTATTTCCTCAGGTACGGAATTAAAATCAAATATGAAGTTTGATAGAATTTCGAATAAATTTCAAAATATGTCATTTTTAAATTATTTCCATTTTTTTTAATCTTTTTAATAAACGTTTAATTCATAAAAAGAAACTAATTGCAGGTTTATTTTAAAGTGAAACATTAAAAAAAAAAATTTTAAAATGTTAATCTTCTTCAAAATTGAACCAATTTTTTCCACACAAAAATTCTCTTTACTTTCGTGAAACAACGTTTTGCATACAAATTGAAGCAGGCGGAAAAGAATGGAATCAGAAACTCAAAAACCCGAAAGTCGCGGCGCCTCTAATTAAAACGGCGCCTTGGAAAAGGCGCGCTCGAGCAGTTTTTGAAGTGACGAAAAGTAACGGAGAGAGCGAAAATTCATACAGGCGGTTTCTCTCTCTCTCGCGCTCTCCTCTGGCGGACGTTCGCCCGCCTGGCCGGAGAAAAAACGGGCTGTTGCTGCCTCTGCTGAGGGCGAAAATCTCCTCACTTGTTGAAAGGGGTACGTTTCCGCGGCGCGAAACGAACAATTTCCCATTTCCCGTTCACATACTTTTCGCGCCGGCCCACACGTATATACGATCAGCTAATGGCGCGGGCACCTTTCAACTCTGTTTTATCTGCTAATGGCTTCATCGAGTTCGCTCGGTGAGATAAAAGAAACGGTGGATTTTGAATTTTTATCAGAATTAGCAAATATTTACAAAAAAGGGTAGAAAATGTGGAAATTTCGGAGCTGGAAAAACTGGAGAAATTACTTTCGTTTCCATTTTATAAAATTTTAAATTTAATTTTCTTCAAATAAAAAGAATAAATTACATAATAATTTAGAATGCTCTAAATTAAAAAAAAAAATTTTAATATATAAATCATAAGCATCATATTTTATTTGTTAATTAAGTGGCAAATGAATAAAAAAATTAATCAAATTGGTCGATAAATCAACAGAAAAGCAAGAGAGAAGGAAATATTGGTATTGATCTTACAATTCTTTTGAATTTTTTTATTTACTAAAAATTTACAAAGAAAATCCCGCTTTTAATTATGAAAATTCCGCCAATTGACTGGAAAATTTAATTTGCTTTTCGACTTTTGCTCTATTTAACTTTTCCGCAATTGCATTCGAACCCCGACCGAAAAACTCATTAATCACCGGGCGTGACGGAAAACACCAGTTGCTCGGTGCGGCGTGTCCCGAATCGCAGGCAGGAAGAATTTATAAGAGCGAGTTTTGCTGCACCAAAAAATGCTCCGAGAGAGAGCGAGATGAGTAGCAGGGGATGCTGCACAAAAACAAAAAGTGTACCGAGCACCGATTCGGTCGGCGAAATTCACTTGTTGAAACGGCGGAGGGAGAGAGGCGAGGGGTGCGCGGGGGGTGCGTACACCGAGTCCGCATTGCGATCATTTTCGCGAGGGTCGAAGACGAACAAAAAAAATTATTTCAAGCAGAAAAAAAAATGGGGAAATGAGCGTTTTGCAAAAAGGACCGGTCAGGTCGAGCAGGGAGGGTTGATTAAAAGGGGGCAAGGGTTGTTGCGGTGGGCCATCTCGGCACAGCAGCAACCCCCGGTGGTGGCAATGCAGGCAGAGCGAGGATTGCGGCAGCAGCGAGACTGACCCGACTACTCCATGCGCCGGGCCGATCGATAACCGCACCATGGCACCAACCGAGAACGAGACCGACCCGCCAACCAACGCCGACAATGACGCAAGAACAGAAATAATTCACACCGACTCCTTCGGCCGGCCGTTCTGCTCGCGCCCCGCGTAAACGGCCCCCGAGCGGCCCAACCGAGTGCCGATTTTAATCCCGTGACCCTCAGATCAAAAATTCAAAAATGATTCCACGCGGATTTTAATAAAACTCGAACACGAATTTTTAAAATTAATATTTCCAAATTTTTTAAAAATTAATAGGAAAAAATTGGTTGAATAAAATTTGACTTTTGAAATAATTCTACTTGAATATCACTCATGAAAATTTTGATTTAATTTAATGCTGTAATGAATTGATGTAAGATTTTTTTGTACTCAAAAATGGGGAGTAAATAATTAAACAATAGTTAATTAGAAATTAGGAATATTATTTAAACAATTGCTAGACTAACCCCTTGTGTGTGTTATTCCCTCTAAATGAAATATTTTCAAGCAAAACATATTAAAAAATTTACCTCAGTCTGACCTCAAACATTTGGAAGGCAATTGAAACCATACTAACAAAAAGTAAATATTAAAATGCTCATTGAAATCGTCCATGGCGTGTTTTTCATTTCATCAAGCGCCGGTTTTTTAACGGTTTCTGCTAGAATTTAGGCCGTTTTACATATTTAAATTGAAAAATTATGAAAATACAAATTTATTCTCATATTTTCGTCAAAAAGAGGTCATTTTTTAATATAAAAAATTAAATGATTTTACCTGTTCATATCAAAAATTTTTAATCTTACTGTGAGCCAAATTAAAGAAATAAAGAGGCGAATTTTTTATCGCATATTTCTTATCTTTTTTGACGTGTTTGCACGTTTATTTGTCTCTCTTAACACGCTGCTAGAGGTGTGTATGCTTTTATACGTCTTAACACGCTCGCGTTAATTCCAATTAAGAAAACACAATTTGCGTTTCAGACTTCCAAAAACTAGAACGTGAGGCCCGAATTTGTAGGAAGCTGCAACATCCAAACATAGGTAAAAATTTAATTAAGAATTAATTAAATACATTTCTGACTAAAATTGTTTCTTTAGTTCGTCTACATGACAGTATACAGGAAGAGAATTTCCATTACTTAGTATTTGACTTGTAAGTATGCTTTCTTCTCCACTTACTTAAAAAAATTATCTTTATAAAATTAATTTCAGAGTTACTGGCGGCGAGTTATTCGAAGATATCGTCGCGCGCGAATTCTACAGTGAAGCGGACGCATCGCACTGCATCCAGCAGATCCTCGAGTCGGTGAACCACTGCCACCAGAATGGCGTCGTCCACCGCGATCTCAAACCAGAGAACCTCCTGCTGGCCAGCAAAGCAAAGGGCGCCGCCGTCAAACTGGCCGACTTCGGTCTCGCCATCGAGGTCTCCGGAGACCAGCAGGCCTGGTTTGGTGCGTGATTTAAATTATTCCTTAAAGGGGAGGGACGGAAAATTATGAAATTTTAAATCCAGATTGATCTTGTTGTGAATATTTGATCGGTTTTTAATAAATTAAATTTGGACAAAGATTGACTGAGTTATAAGCTTCTAAAGTTTCCCAAAAACAAAGATGGCTGCCAATTTTGGAAACTTTAAAGGCGAATAACTCCGTCAATTTTTGTTCAAAAACCGTTTAAATCATCAGGGTCTTTAATTTTTTTTTATTGATTTAATATTTGCAAATTTCAGGTTTCGCCGGCACACCGGGCTACCTTTCGCCGGAAGTCTTGAAGAAGGAGCCGTACGGAAAACCTGTTGATATCTGGGCATGTGGTGAGCAAATTTTTTAAATATTTTATTTTTCAGATAGATTTTAATTGAACTTTCATTCGCAGGTGTTATTTTGTACATCCTGCTGGTGGGCTACCCTCCCTTCTGGGACGAAGACCAACATAGGCTGTACGCTCAAATCAAAGCTGGTGCCTACGACGTGAGTTTCTTTCTTTCTTTTCCCCCGAGATAAAGTCGCGTGAAATAACCCATTCATTTGCGTGAACTGGACGGCCCACTTGTCAGCCTCCTCATTGAGAGCGTTTTGTTTCTTGCAGTACCCTTCGCCTGAATGGGACACAGTGACGCCCGAGGCCAAGAACCTCATCAACCAAATGCTGACTGTCAATCCTGCTAAAAGGATCACCGCCTCCGAGGCCCTCAAGCACCCATGGATTTGCGTGAGTCTCGCGAGAAGAAGAAGCAGCAGAAAATTGCATAATTGTCGAGTGGAATTTTAACAACCGTTTCACTTTTTCAGCAACGCGAGCGTGTGGCATCTGTCGTTCACAGACAAGAGACAGTGGACTGCCTGAAGAAATTCAATGCCAGGCGCAAGCTCAAGGTAAGAATTTACAAAAAATTTAATAATATTGCCTAACTAAAAAAACGTGTTATTTCAAATACACTGTAAAATAAAAACAAAAAATTTCTCCCAAATGTTAACGTTCAATTTAAATTTAAAACTCACGCTACTTAATTATTTAATAAGAAACTGGTAGTGAAAAATTCATTGATTTGATTGCGACAAAAAAATATTCTTCTATAAGTACACTGTAAAAAAAATTATTACCAAAACCTGCTCCACTGGTTCACCATAAATTTTAATTTTTAGGCCCCATATCCTATAATTTAATTTGGAGTAAATTTGTTTTAAAAAATTCCTTTAAAAAAATCAAGTTTTTTTTCTGATTCTGAACAATTAACTAAAATGATCTTTAAAAATAAATACAGAATCTATTAAAGGAATCAAAATATTTTATAAATTCAAGTTTAATCAAGATTAATTTTTGAGAAAATATTGATTTTCAAAATTTATTTCTCAGGGCGCCATCCTGACGACCATGTTGGCCACCCGGAACTTCTCCAGTAAGTATGATGTGCAAGGTGAGTGCCTTCAGCAAAGTTGTCGTGTTCCATTCATGACTTGCACTTACCGACCGATTCCGCCCTGAGAATGGGTGTGTCCCGAATTTCGACGTATATGCACTCTCTATATACTATGTGGTCCACGAAAGCACTGAACATACACCCTGCTCTCTTTACCAGTACTTTGAACAATTGGATTAAAATCTCTTCTAGAGTATTCGGTGTTTCACCCCCCCGGTATTTTTCTCTCAAATCTATAAACCTCCTATAAGTCCTTTTTTCGTTCTTTTCTGCCGAGATAGCAGGACAGCAATTTTCAGCTTTTCATAAAAGGAACCACACTTCAATCCAAGTTGGAAATCACTCTCACCTTTGTTCATGAGTAGAAAATTAGCAAAGTTCAAATCATCGATTTGCACACTAAATGTGCTGCACTTTTTTGATATAATTATACAATTTTGATTAAATTTTGGAGTGCATATACTTCAAAGAATTCAACGAATATTTGCTGAAGGTATTCTTATAAGCACTGGATTTAAATAATTTTGATAATTACCGAAAACACAAAAGTTAAGGCGACCGCTTCGGAAAGTTTGTTCCAAAAGAGAAAAAAACTTGGGATTACAAATTTCATGGCCCTTTTCAATTCCTATTTAGCTATTGATTCCTCCTCCAAATCTAGTGAATTTACTGAAAACTACTTCTTAGTTAATTGGAAACTAAATTGAATTATTTTCCTTTTAATTAATTGGACTGTTTGTTGTTTCTCCTGAGTGTAGTGAAAATAACTATAAAACTGTCAGTATAATTAACTCGAGCAGCTTTTAGCTGATTAGAGGATATGTTTTAGTTCAGTGTTTGTTTTTCCCATTTTCCCACATAGCTCTAGTCGACTTTTTCTAGAGAGAAACGGCTTTTTAACCAGTATACCACACAAATATCATGTAAATACTACAAATTGCCTTTTAAGTGACAATAGCTTTCGTTTCTTTTATTTCTCCATCCAATTTTATAGACTTGTTCTGTATCCTCTTATTAGACGGCAGTCTTATATTTTTTAAGTGGTTTGCACTTATATACTAATATCTAACATTATATAGTTGTGTCCTTTTATACATGATTGTTTTAGAATGACATAAATCCCTTCACTTTAAACATTTTTTACGTTTTTTTTTATATATAAATAAATATACACGTCTCTGTGTGTCAATTTAGTAGAAACCATGGAATCAATCAATTATTTAAAACTGCATAATCTGACATTAAAACGCAAAGCCTTAACTTTTCGAATTTAACTCGCCGATTGATTGCTGCTGCAATTATATAAATAAGCCTCAAATTAATTAACTGAATGACTCTTAACCCTTATGTTAACTAAACAATGCGCTGTTTCCTTTTTCTATTGCCTATGGTGAATTTACCCTACAGAAAGTGGTAAGACAAATGCAATCAAGCTCTATTGTATATCTCTTTGACTCTAACGTCTGCTATAATTATAATTGATATTGCCAAGAAAAAAAAATATATACACGATTTTCTGTGCTGTTTTGTGACGCATTTGTCTGAAGTAAGCACGTGTTCCCGGCCACTTGCATGCCTTTATGTCCTTTTGAAATAAAAAAAAAAAATGAACGCTTCGTTTCTCCTTGTTGATTTCCAAGTTGCTCTGCATTTTTGCGCACCCTTGAATGTTGCAACTTTTTTCATATAAAAATTTGTTCTGACGTATTTTTTAAGCGCGATTTTAATCAAACATTAAATCAGGTTCTTAATTTTTCTTCAAACAGACTCTCGAAAATCTACATATATGCAATGTGCTGATTTTGAGAACTACTATACTGTCTTTTGAGTTCAAAACCTCTATATATATTCTGTGTACTTTTGAGTCAGCCGCTTTCATTTTGATATCTGTAGCTTACAAAACTTCCAAGTTTAATCAATCAAAACTCACTACAGGGAACATTGCCAATCTTCAGTAAAGCGATTTTACTTACTAATATTCATAAATCAGTTTCAATTCTACCAAAAGATCACCTCATGAATTAATGGAGGGAATGAAAGACTGATTTTTAATCAATTGAATCTAACTTTTAAATTATTGGGTAAGCTTCAATTGTAATAATCAAAATAACAAATATTAAGATTTTTGCACTAATTAAATCAGAATTTATTAAAATTTAATTTAAACTTTGGTAAAAATAATAATGGTTGTTTAACGTTTCTTGTTGAAAAGTGCGGAAAAAAGTCTTATTTTCAACTATAGTTTCGCGGGTTGCATAACTTTTTGACCTTTCACATGCTAAATTAGGATGAAAATTTACAATTTCTCCTTATTCTAAAATCGGTTGATGAAAATTGGTGTCGTTCCCTTGTCAATAAGACACAAAAATTCCTAAAACACGCAATTTTAGACATTTTTGTGTCTCCGTTGGCGCTGGTTGAATACTATTTTGCTAAGCGATTGATTTTCTTTAAGCGAGCTAATTTCCGCAGCTATACTGAAATGAATATAAAATAAAAATGCACATTGACAAGTTTCACCGGTTTTTCAATCGTGTCCGTTTTTCAGGTCGAAGCATCATCACCAAGAAGGGCGATGGCTCGCAGGTGAAGGAGTCGACGGACTCGAGCACCACCATAGAAGATGATGACGTGAAAGGTAAGCGAGTTTCAGGGCTTCATCTGTCTCTCTCGGGAGTAGGAAATTCCTTGGATAGCTTTCCTTTAGAATGCCACTCACTCAAATCTTTAATTAATTGTACTGCTTTTTCATTAACTAAAAAAAAATTATATATACTCATCGCTTACGTAGTGAGTAAATCGCCTGTATACTAATCTTCGCCTATCAGCTAGTCGCAGTTGATGGCCAAAAATCCATAACACTCACTTAATCTCTCGTATCTTAACTCTTCATACAATTGTATTTTCCGAACAGCAAATATTTAGCCAAAGAAAACAGCCACATGTGCATTTTTTTACGTTTTTTGTTCGCTTATAATTCAGTTCATTCTGTTCTCATTTCATTAAGGTGAAGTTTTTGTTCTTTTATTTAAATTTAAATAATTGTTTTAATAAAATTACTTTCATTTAATTTTTAACAAGCACAAATTATTATTCACCAAAAATCACGATTACATTAACGCTCGGGTAGATTTCTATGTATTTTATTACAAAATATCTCGAGGTAAATTTAGGTAGTCAGTCTGTGTCACACTGGTGGCCACTTTGAATTTGGTACGCAAGTAGCTAAATTGGTAGATGGCACTTCCTCACAAAGGTGAGTAACTTTCCGTCAATGAGTATATTATTATATATCTGCTGAGCACAATTATCATCTCTTTTTGAGCATTGAGCATCTCTCATGTATATTATTGAGTAATACTAACTTGAATAATTTTAGCATGTTTCTCAAACTTCTTTTGTAATTAAATTAATTAATTGAATCAGCCAATGATTTTATCTAATTTTCCAACAACATGAATCAGAAACGAGTTTTATTTTCAAAATTGAAATTATATTTTTAAGTAAAATGCGCCACTATTTTAAACCTAATCGTTACCTCTGTCATTAAAAAAAAATTGTATATAATAAAAAAATCAAAAATTTAATCTCACCTGCATGAGACCCAGAGTATATATTATACATGGAAATGTGTTGTCCGTCAATTTAGATATACATATATATAAATATATAGTTTTGCACACACTGTCCAAGTGTATTGTGTACATACTTATGTGCGAAGACTACTTTTTTTATTAATTTGAGCAGAAACTTCACGAAACTCGGAAAAATGCAATTTCTTGCCTTCGACAAGAAAACATATCATTATTTTTTTCTAGTAAATCTGCCTGAGAACCCTTTGACAGAAAAAGGGAGTCGTCGGTGTGTTATGGATTTCTGACCACCCGCTCCTTTCCACCCCCTGCTATCTTAGTATGCATGACGACCTATCAAACCCATGTCGCTCTCATCCAACATTGAATTTCTCACATTTTCATTCTCTCTTTCTATATCTCTTCAAAAAAACGCATGCGGGACGCTATAAATAGTTTTCCTCTCTCTTTCACTATAGACGAAAAATGGAAAGAAAAAAAACAATCTTGCCTTCTCTGCTCTACTTCTAGCGTCTGTAGAAGGGTTGACATCTGTGTAGATTATCATTGAGCAAAATCACTTGAATATACACAAAATTACTAAAAAAAAAAAACACACGCTAAGTGATTTTGCTCCCGAGTAAACCCAAAAAATGGCTAACATTGGCGCCAGTTTGGTTTTACTTTTGGAAAAAGACGGTTCCTTTCGCTGATTTAAAAAAATAAAACGTTGTTTTCAACCCTCGCAGAGGCTGACAAGAGTCGAGTTGACCGCAGTTCTACAGTCATCGCTAAAGACCCAGAAGGTAACGTGTCCAACCAAGACGAAAAAATAAGACTTTCACACGAAACTAACAAAATTATATACGTCATATTTCCCTTTCCCACTTAACAACAAAACTATTAACCACCCCTTTGCTCCTCCCCGTCTTTCCAAACAAATTGCATTATTTAAAAAAAGAACATTCCCCTTCAGCACCCAACTTTTGAACGATTTTCGCGCCAACGAGGGATGACATTGTGTGAATTAATTCTTAAACTGTTTGGCTTTAGCACTATGTACGCATGCAGTCGCACTACTTTTTCTATTGTGTATCTTAGAATTAGTTGGTGTGTCGATTTTTGTGGTGCTTTTTAAAATGAACTTTAATAAAAGAAGAAAAAATAATTGAAAATTAATTTAAGTATAAAATTGAAATATATATAGCTCTTGTCCCTCAAGCAGGCTTAAAAAAATCATTAATGATTTGGATATTATATTTTTATTGTAGTTCATTAACTACCAAGATTGAACTTAAAATTTTCATCAATTTGTTTAAATCTTTAAAACAATTTAAAAGTACGATTCAAACGATTTTTAGAATTATTTTTTTGACAAGAATTTTGAGGAATGTTAAAATTTATTTTGAAAATTTTGCACTGTTCATTTGGAAATCTTTAAATCAATTTTTGTCCTAAAATATTTTAACATAAATCTTAAGTATTTTTATGCAAAGGTCTATCCAAATCAAACTTATGGAATTTGCATTTTCTGAAAGTCGTCAAAGCCTTTAATTATGTAGAAGTAAAGTTAATTTAATTTTTTATAAACAAAATATAAATTTAAAACTCGTAGTTAAATTTCATTCAATTTGAAAGAATTTCCTAACAAAAAAAATAGAAATTTTTGTCTACTTTGAGGCCAAGCTTGACCCAAGGGCTTAAAAAAAGAGACTTACACGGCAGTGCCTTGTGCACTACACGCCACTTTTGCGGTCGCTTTTATAGAGTTGAGCTTCTTAAAACGGAGCGGCGCATTGTCACGCACACTGTTGTATATCTGTAGCCTCGATTGCAGCTTTGTCGTCGTCGCCACCCCCGCAAGCCGCCCCCGCAAAACCCGACCCGCCCGCTAAGACTGCCTCGATAAACAAGGTGCTGGCCGGTTTCGGCGGCGCCAAAAGTGGCTCGAGCCTCACCAGCCTCATCCTGCAGTCGGCCCAGCAGGAAAGCAAGCCGGCCCCCGCCGAAAGCGCCCCCGCGGAGGCGGCCGCCGCCGCCTCCAAATCGCAACAAGGCAAGCCGCGCCTGTGTTTTGCTTTTTGAGCTCGATCACTATATATTAATTAACGTTTGAAAAGCGTAACAATTAAAAATAATGCTGCATGTGCGAGACCCTGCTACACTAATCGACACCAGCTCAAGCTTTTTGCTAAAATTTTTAATAACATGAGTTGGCATAGATGTTCCGGGACAGATTTTCAAAGGAAGGTGATCCGCTCGCGCCGATCGCATCCGCGTCGCGCACGCCGCCACACATTCGGGGGGCTCGGCGGACATTATTCCCACGATCCCTCACGCTCACTCTCCTACTCCACTCTCCAGGACACACTTGTCAGGATGGTCCGGAGACTCTGGCTGAACTCTAGGCGCGTTGGGCCGGCTCTATCCCTCTGCGGGACGGAGTTCTCCGGCCGCTGGATTCGCAAAAGCTGCACGCCGAATTTTCTAAGTCCCGCTGCGCTTTATTTGCCGCTTCAACTGCCAACAGCTCACTCCTTTTGGGGCGCCGATCTTTCCCGCTGCTCTATCTGCCGCCGGAGGAGATCTGGAGGCTCTTTTGCACCTCCCAATGAGGCGGCTTTTCTTCTCGACGAGCAGGGAAGATCTGCGGTGCTCCCACGCTGGATGCTCTCGAAGCTCGAAGTTCCCCGGTGACTCTATCTCTCTGCAAGGCTGAATCTGATCTGCGGCGATTTGGCTCCTCCCTCTGGCTGCAGGATCCGCTGCTTGGATAGAAACATTATCGCATCGGGATTTAACTAACGTAACGCGTGGCTCCATAAACCGTGCACAGGTTTACAGAGCCAGCGTTTGCTGCAGCCAGACTGAGTAGGGAAACCGGCATAGCCTCCGGCCGCCCTCCTCAGCCTGACCCGCAGGTCAGCCTGGTGGCAGCCCTTGCGGGCCGCCGGGGGTCTCCGCTCCCCGCTCCCGAAGGAGCCGGAGCAAAGAGTGCGCCGCTTACCGAGCGGCTCGGGTTTTTATATCATTTCTTCTCATTTGCATATATCGACGATCTTGGGAAATCGGAGACCCCTAACTCCACCTTTCTTCTAGAAGGTTCTCGAACTTTCCAATGCTTAAGGTATAGGAGATGACCACACTCCCCTCTTGCCGCACTCTGATTGGCCGCCCTAACTCCAGGGGGCTGGCCGAAGCCGCAGCGCCCGCGACACGTCGCCACTCGCCTGCATAAGAAAGGCCAGGGTAAAAATCAGCGGAACTAACTTTCTCTTCCCACTCCTTCTCTCCCGCTGCTGGCGCCGGCGCACAGAGCGCCCCTCTTCCGCTGCAGCCAACACATCAGCTGGGCACGAAAACAAAGCTAAATCCTCGGCAAACAAAATCGCGGCTCTGATGGTAATAAATAAATAAATGCTCAAGCGAGGAACAACAATAAACAATAAAGATGGTGAATCAAATCCTCCCTTCCGAGCTTAGCATTTCACTAGCTCTTCTCGCGCATCTTGAAGCTCTTGAAGATCTCTGGTGGTGGTTGAAAAACTCTTCAGGCTGATAGGCTCCCTACGGGCTTCTTGCTTCTTGGAAAAATAAAAAACTTAGACTACGTGAACACTGAGGCTCGAATAAAACTTAAAAGCACACATTAAAACGGCTAAAACTCCACTCGAGAGATGACTAGCTCAAACATGATGACACAAAACAGTGGTTGACTAAATCTTGACTTAATCTGGTTGACTCATTCTGGTTGATCTCAAAAATTGGGTTTACTACAGATAGACGGTTGATTTCGCACATTGTCGGCGGGCTACTTCCCAAAATGCTCAGGACTCTTCACGGCCCTGGCTAACTCCTCAAAATATCCCGCAACCTCCTGAAGCATATCTCTTAACATGATCATGATTTTCTCTCTCTCTTCACTATTTGGCGCGCCCGTGCACGTCTGCACGACCTCTCTCTCTCAGACTTCACTTACTTCTCTTCTGGAGACTTCTTCTCCAGCCTTCAGGGTTGCGCAGAAACTCTTCTATCTTATCACCTCTGGTACCAGGCATCTGAACTCTTCATGTTTATATTATATCTTTCTTCATAATTCATACATTCATATTTCTCTCTGAAGTAATTCTTTCTTGAGCGCTCATCATGATGACTCTCCAGCGTCAACTCTTCATCTCGCCGACTCTGCTCGACGACTCACTCTCTTAATGGACTCTCCATCTTCCACTTCTCTTCTAATTTGGTACCCTGGTGCGAAATACAACCTCACGTCTTCTGAAGATCTTGGACGAAAGGACAGCAAAACCTCCTCCCTGACTTATCACTGAGCTGCGCACTTGAAACAAAGCGGCCGAAACACAAGTCGCCCTCAACCAGCTAACTGGCAAAAGCACAATCGAAAAGAGATAACTCCCCGCGATCATAAGTGCTGAACGACTGGCTCGAACCTTCATCTCTGCTGCTTCAAATCCGCATCTGCTGATTCACTTGAAGCACAAAACTCTGCTCAAAAATCACGACTTGCAAAACTCAGGACTGTCAGACTCGTTGAATTACCCACGATGGAAGATTCCCTGATGACTGTCCCACGACGGATGTTCCTCGATGCAGCTCTCCCGAGCTGTGATGAATAAAAACGATAAAACTCTAATATATTCTAAAAGCTTTAAAACTGACGGCACAATTTAAAAAACTCTTGGCAGTTGATATATTCTCTGAAGTTGATTTAATTCATTCTTCAGCAACTTTCTCCCGAAGTTAACTCTACGCTCTACCGGCACATCATCGCACATCACCGTCACAGGCTGAACACTCCGTTGGCAAACACTAGCATTTGAAGCTTCTCTAGTTGGTTAGCAGAAAGTTCTGCATTGACGCTCAAAACGCTACCACTGATGTTACTCCAACTCACTAATCTTTCTCAGGCCTCCCTCTGCATGACCATCGGCACCCATCTGTCCCGCATGAATAGTTCTGCCGTCCTGCGACGAAGATCCAAACCATTCCTGCTTCAGATCCACCGCGGACCGGTTATCAGAACATTCAAGATCCTGGGGCAGCCGGGGTTTCCGTCAAACAAAGTTCCTCCCTCATAAGATCGCTTGATTATTGCTTCTCTGCTTCTGAGTTCTCCTTGATGGTGTTTTTCATTTGCGTTCGGTTCACTTGCTAACTTAACTTCTGTGCTCTTTGATATCTCCGTGTTGATCTCTGAAGATTTCACTGATGTTTCGCCTGTTTTCCTTGTAGAGCTGATTCCGTAATCTGAACTTAATTCAGTCACCTTTGAGCTGAATCTGCTTATATTTGGTGCTGAGGCTCAAAATCTGCGTTGAAATGTACTTTCTCAGTAATTTCCTCCGGGATGCTTCTAAACGAAGATAAGCTCTCTGGTGATTGAAGATTTTATCTCCAATAGTGCTGTTGAAGTTCTCTTGATTAATGTTGATCTTGCATGTCATTAGCTATATCTGAAGTTGCTCTGCGACTCGTAGCATCTCTTGCAGTTTAAGGAATTTTGACGATCTTCGCACTTAAGGGTTGCGCAGTCCCTTTTATACTCAATCTCAAAGACTTCTGTTTTGGATTTTATTCGATGATTCTATCAGCAGAGCACAACTCTGTGTAGATCTTGAAGGTCTTGAAGCTGAAGATCTTGAAGGCTTCACGGTGTGACTTTTCTCTCTGGGACTTAGAACTTCTCTTGAAGTTAAGCGGGTGATGTATTTTCCTCTCTGAGTGAGGTTCATTTAAAGCTGGAGCAGATCCCACTTCTGACACCACTTGATCCGTGTCAGAAGTGCTTCAAAAGTCAGCTTGATTTGCTGACTGATGATCGCGAGAAGTTTTTTCCAATCCCACTTCTGACACCACTTGATCCGCTCGCGAACTCGCTCTCATCCGCGTCGCGCACGCCGCCACACATTCGGGGGGCTCGGCGGACATTATTCCCACGATCCCTCACGCTCACTCTCCTACTCCACTCTCCAGGACACACTTGTCAGGATGGTCCGGAGACTCTGGCTGAACTCTAGGCGCGTTGGGCCGGCTCTATCCCTCTGCGGGACGGAGTTCTCCGGCCGCTGGATTCGCAAAAGCTGCACGCCGAATTTTCTAAGTCCCGCTGCGCTTTATTTGCCGCTTCAACTGCCAACAGCTCACTCCTTTTGGGGCGCCGATCTTTCCCGCTGCTCTATCTGCCGCCGGAGGAGATCTGGAGGCTCTTTTGCACCTCCCAATGAGGCGGCTTTTCTTCTCGACGAGCAGGGAAGATCTGCGGTGCTCCCACGCTGGATGCTCTCGAAGCTCGAAGTTCCCCGGTGACTCTATCTCTCTGCAAGGCTGAATCTGATCTGCGGCGATTTGGCTCCTCCCTCTGGCTGCAGGATCCGCTGCTTGGATAGAAACATTATCGCATCGGGATTTAACTAACGTAACGCGTGGCTCCATAAACCGTGCACAGGTTTACAGAGCCAGCGTTTGCTGCAGCCAGACTGAGTAGGGAAACCGGCATAGCCTCCGGCCGCCCTCCTCAGCCTGACCCGCAGGTCAGCCTGGTGGCAGCCCTTGCGGGCCGCCGGGGGTCTCCGCTCCCCGCTCCCGAAGGAGCCGGAGCAAAGAGTGCGCCGCTTACCGAGCGGCTCGGGTTTTTATATCATTTCTTCTCATTTGCATATATCGACGATCTTGGGAAATCGGAGACCCCTAACTCCACCTTTCTTCTAGAAGGTTCTCGAACTTTCCAATGCTTAAGGTATAGGAGATGACCACACTCCCCTCTTGCCGCACTCTGATTGGCCGCCCTAACTCCAGGGGGCTGGCCGAAGCCGCAGCGCCCGCGACACGTCGCCACTCGCCTGCATAAGAAAGGCCAGGGTAAAAATCAGCGGAACTAACTTTCTCTTCCCACTCCTTCTCTCCCGCTGCTGGCGCCGGCGCACAGAGCGCCCCTCTTCCGCTGCAGCCAACACATCAGCTGGGCACGAAAACAAAGCTAAATCCTCGGCAAACAAAATCGCGGCTCTGATGGTAATAAATAAATAAATGCTCAAGCGAGGAACAACAATAAACAATAAAGATGGTGAATCAAAGGCTAAGTGGATAGCACTTTTCCTTATTTTTAAATAGATATTCCGAAGCACTGGAAATTAATCCGTTTCCTATCCCCAGCACATCAAATTTCAAAATATTTCTGAACCAGCATTCCTTCCAGATTTATTTTAATGGCGTTAAATGAAATACAATCCCCATAGAATGAAATTTTAACATTTCTTTATCTTTTTATTGAAACTAGATAAGATTTCTTCATATAAAACGATTTTTAGCAAAAAAATCCTTTACTAAATTAAGTGGTAAAATGTCAAATCTGCAGATTTATATTAGCGGCAGGTGGTGTCATTTTTCTCCGAAATTGGCTTAATTGCGACCTACAGTGGAAAAATGACCAACTAATCCTTTTGACGAATTAATCAAAATAAAAATCATATTAAATATGTGACTTGTATTGTTCTCTTGTCCTGTTCGCATGCCATGCACGGCTGGTTTTGCACAATGCATGACGCTTCTTCCTCTCTACTCTCCGCGCGACAGACTTTTTCAAATCCAGCCTTGAGTTTTTCCGCGGCATTATTAACAAAACCGGTGAGTCTGCCTTGATTATCCGAGTGTGTTTTCCAGTTTTTCTCTGTTATTTTTGTTTTGGCAAAAATCGTTTTGTATGTGTGAACTTCATGTTAAAATTAATTTCGCTTCTATATCGTTTCCTTTTTTTATGTTAATTAAAACTCTTTGTTTTTTTCTTTATTTTGGCTCTCCTCTCTCATTGTGGTGCATGCGATGGCTTCTTCAAACAAATTCGCGGCTTCGCCATGGGAATGGCCTCACTACTCTCGCTCTCTCTATCTCGTGTTCAAATGTGCGCTTTAACACACGACAGAAGACTCAATGTCAGAACTGCCCCGTTATCGCACCACAGATACCGACTTTGGAGATGAAATAGACGGTAAGCAAAAAGAATGATTGAATGATGGAAAGACACGGAAAAAAATACACACACACGTCTTTGTTCGTCAGCATGATTTTCTCGCCACTTACATTCGATTAATTTCTTTAAATATTCACACAGTTCATCTCGAGTTCCATATTTTTTATTATTATCAATAATTGATTTTTCCATCCAAGTCGAAAGTCGCGGGCCCACAAAGCATAAATTCAACTGTGCAAACTCGAATTGAATGGTTGGTTACTATTCTTTTTTAGACATAAGGATACTCTGCCCTACCAAGATTTGCTCCCAGATTTCGAATACCTCTCTCAGCTCAGGTAAGCTCCACGTTTCCGCCGACCCCCGGTTTCGTGATCACACTTTGTAATCAATACACATTATATAATTCTTATAATATATATATTTTTAAATTAACCCGTTGCTTCATTTGACATGTGATGGCTGTTTTCTAATATATTATACAAATTTTGTCGAGTTTTTTATACATTTAAATAATATCCGAATTGTCCGAATGTAAAAAGTATACCGATGTGCACAATTAATCAAAAATTTCAAACCTCCACCGATATATTAATTAATCATCTGGTTTTACGGTCCGCACGAAACTTATTTTATCAATCGAATTTTGCAGCACGAAAGCAGGAAATTATCAAAATGACGGAGCAGCTAATAGAGGCGATCAACAACTCGGACTTTGAGGCTTATACGTGAGTCCTTTTTCCTTACCCCTTCTATTTCTATTCGTTCCAAATTTTATTTTAATTTTTTACCGAACAAAAAATCAGGAAAATTTGTGATCCTCATCTGACCGCGTTCGAGCCGGAGGCGCTGGGCAACCTCGTCGAGGGCATGGATTTCCACAAGTTCTTTTTCGAGAACGGTATTTGTTGTTAGTCTTTGGTTCGCCCCCAGTCACTTAATCACTCATTCGTCGCTCCCGCAGTGTTAAGCAAAAACTTCAAGGCGATCAACACCACAATCCTGAACCCGCACGTGCACCTGATCGGAGACGACGGCGCTTGCATCGCCTATGTTCGACTAACGCAGTACATTGACAGGTAAAAAAATCGTCATGAAATGGGCAAATTAACCCCGTTTTATACTTCAGGGTGATTTTGGAAAGACCAAAACTGATTATTTGACTTCAAAACCCCAATTGTTGTAATTCTATTAAAGAAATTTTACTTAAACGGTGCACAAGTTAAGCTCATTTGACCATTTGACCACTTTTTTAAATTTACTTCGAAGATCGCATATAAAAATTACCATCAAATTACCACCAAAACTTCGAATGACCTCAGAATAATTTTCATTTAATCAATTTAATATTTTTCAAAGAATTATTTACAAATTTTAAGTATTTTTAAAACAACATTGAACCATTTATTTCAAAAATTGCTCATTTGCATGAAAATTTGTGTTTTTTTTTTAAATTTTTTGTTAAAAATACTAAAAGCAACTATTTTATTAAAATATTGAACAAAAACAGACTAAAATAGTTGAATATTTTGGCTAAAAAATTAGACAATTTGCCCACCCTTAATAACTAATTAATTTTTTTGATGATTCTGATGATTTTTTGAAAATTTCAGGCAGGGACAAGCACACACGCAGCAGTCGGAGGAGACGCGCGTCTGGCACAAGAGGGACGGCAAGTGGCAAAACGTTCATTTCCACCGTTCGGCGTGCGGCTCGTCGCCGTTCGCGATTCCCCACAAGTAAGGGGGTAGCAGGTTAAGAAAGAAGGCCAGGTATTAAAACGGCGACTCCTTTTCCTAAACCTCTATACAGCGACGATGGAATATCTTAAAAACAGCCGGTTCGATTTTCTCTTCCCCTGTTGTAAATTTAGTGCCATACATTTATATACATATGATATGATGACACTGAAAAGTCTTTCTTAAATGGTGAAAAAAAAAAAATAACAAACACACATAATATAATATAGAACAGCAGTATTGAAAAAAAGGAGCAACAACCGCGAGACACAAATCGATTGATTGATTGGAGCATATTTGAGAGTGGGAGAAGTTGCGTTAAAAACTTTTGTGGACAAACAAACAAAAACAAGTCAGGTTCGAAAGCATAGGAACGCTTTTGATTATGATCTCTCTTCGGACAAAAATCCACCCACGTTTCATCCCTCTGGCGAGATAGAAAGAAAGAAAGAAAGAAAGGGTCTCTGTGCGAACCGGATTCAGGAATTTTCACAAATATTTGCCTCATGCATATGACACATTTTGACGAGCCGAAGACATCGCAAAAAGTGACGTTTTGATAAAACGGTGGTGTGAATTAAAGTAATTTTGAAATAAGCAGGAAATATTCCATATTTTGAAAATTTCGTTACCTAATTTCACTATTTTTGGAATCATCCAAATTTGAGGGAACTCGTAGGGTGATCAAATTAAATTTTAATTATATATTAATGTCACTTTCTTAAAATGATCCCAATTTACATTGTTTTAATCGAAAATAAAATATCGCAAATTATAATTTGGAAATTTTTTTCGAGCAATATGACTGTATAATGTTTCCCTTTAAAAACACTGCAGGATTGCTTCGGTTGCTGCAGAAATTCACTATTATCCGTTTTATTGCAAAAGAAATTGAAAAACACCAAGGCTAAAGTAAAAAATTCAATGTGTCGGTGTGTTGAATGTTCGTAATTAATTGATATAAAATACGTGTGCTTACTTAAGAAAGAGAATTGTCCTGACTTGACGCTGTGTTCTTCTCTTGATATATCATAACTAACCATTCACACTCGACCACTTTACGTAGGTTTTGACAAGAGCTTTTTGGTCACTTAAAACTTGTCCGAGAACGCGCACTACTTTCCATTAATCAATCTGCTGCTTTTAAGACAAAGAAAGAGACACCTGCTTCAAATCGCATCATTTGAAAAATGCTGCTGACACGCTTTGACGCATAATAAATATTTAAAAATATAATAACAAACTCTTCTTGGTTCAAGAGAGGACGGATGTGTGATACACTTTGCCGCATCTGCTGTGTTAATCATGATTTCACCTTTTCGGGTCGAGTTAATACAAATTATTTTGACCAACCCCGGTTTTACGAAGATTTGACGAGAAAAAAATTAAATGAAGTACATGATACGCTAGTAAAAGTTGTTCATGCCTTGCCTGCCCTACGATCTTATATAACGAGACATAATAGCATATATAATTATATGATACGCATAATTGACTATTGGCATAAATGAATGTACTTGGCCTAAATGTAAACTATAGTACATAATCTTGTATAACTCTTTCTCTCTCGTTTTAAAATCATCAAGGGAGGCCTCCTCTAGGGGGTGGTGATCGCGCATGAATTAATTAATTAAAGGTGGAGTCGACAAAAAAAAACTTACAAATGGAAATTGAAACTCGCGTCAAGTACGGCCAATATATAGTGTATGAAATACAGCGAACAAGTGGAAAACCAGTTGGGAAAAGTGCATTTTTCGGACTGAAATTAATATCGTCGGTGAACTTGATGTTTTATCAGGGGGTAATAAGTATTAAATTTGTTCTTGAATAACAAATCAAACACGGTGGCCATTTTTAATCATGTGTATAATTAAAGATATATCTATATTTAAAAATCGATTCACGTTATTATTCCCATCAAGATTCATTCTGCAAATTTATAATAGAGTAATTTCAAGGGGCAGAGCTAGAGAATTTAAAAAAAAATTATTAAATAAACCCGCCACTACCTTATATTAAATCTCTGTAAAGAAGAAACAAAAACTTGAATTACTCTATACATACTGCTTAAATGCGCGCGCCTTACAATGTCCACTAATGAAGAAGCTTCTCATTCTGTTGAAATTAGACACTTCAAAAGTATCGCGGATAGAATTCGAATGATGAGATTAAAAATAAAAAATATAAAGAAGAAACAAATGGCAGCTTTATTAATTTCGGAATAAAGGCAGCACGGTGTAAACTAGATCTAGAGGTTTCCTTCTTGGAACATAATGTGATGGGAAAAGGAAATTAATTACCAGAAAGAAGCGAGAAAAATTTGTAAAAAAAATACTTCTTCTTCTTCTTCTGATCGATATATTTGCGACCCCTCAGCGCTGAAAATGAAAAATCGAGCTACCTCTGCTGTGTTTTTCTAACCTGCTACCTTTCCCTGGGGATTTTTTAAACAAACAAACAAACTAGTCACGTACATACACACAAACTACGGGATTAGGACACGGGGCGAGAATTGTAATCGATGTGTAAAAATTGAAATTGCCAGTTCCACCGATTTAAATAAAATACCTGACGAAAACCGAGAAGAAACGCGCGCTCTCTTTCACAATCGAGTCATTATGTTTTGATGCGAGTTTTGATACATTAGGTGTTTTTGAGAGATCGTTACGATTATATTATATTATTATTATTCTATAATAATTAAGTAATTGTGTACCGAATCGTATAATTACTTCTTATATTGTATGTTGAATGTGAGCTTTTTGAAAAATTTCTTATCATATATATCGATTGTTGATTCATTATATAAATATTTACCTACGTATGCTGTGAATTCGTGCGAGAGTTTTCAAATTCAAACTCTTTTTGAATACATTTGAAAAAGAAAGAAAGAGCGAAAATTCAAATCGGCGTGATTGAGCTGCTCTCTGGATAATTTTTCCTTTCCTGATTGTTGCGCGCGAGGTTCTCATTATATTGTTAAGCTAAGTATTTTTCCTTTTTTTATTAGCAGCGAGAGATATGAAAAGAAGTATTATATTGCCTTTTGAGAGTCTGCGGCGTTTTTACGAGACCCTCCAACTTTTGCAGTGTGATTAGAAAAAAATGCAGTAGTCGTTGGAGGCGTTGAAATCATTTTGTTCTGTCCCGCGAGAGAGGTGCGTCTCTTTCCCTTTTGAAGAAGATTACATTGAAAACTTCCTCTCTTGGTCACAAAATAGTTAAGAACTTTGTCAGTATTGGAACTTTTTTATTGTACATTATATAATTATATCTCTATACGAATATGTTTTTAATTAAAAAACTTCTTAAATAGTGGCAGCTTCGGAATCGGTGCTACGGCGAGGGGAGATCGCGCACGCACTCGCGCCTATTATAATATTAAAACTTTTTGAAAAGATAAATAAATTATGAAATCAATCGATTCGCCTCTGATATAATAAATGGATAAAAGAAGAAAACTGCCCTATACACCGGACGAGAGTGAGTGTGACATTTTTTTATTCGCTCGCTTTTTACTAAATTTAAAATCGACAAAAATAATATTATTATAGTTCTCAAGAGTCGCGTTGAAGTAATAAAGAATAAAAGCGCTGCACCGGTCTGTATTAAAAACAAACAGAGAGGAAAAAAAGCATCAAGTACTATGTAAAAAAAATGATTGTGTGGAAATTAGGAAAGAAAAACGCAGCGCGCGATCATGTAATGTTATGAAAAAAATATCGACTTATTGAGTGTATCATTTATATTGATAAGAAAATCTGCATTCATTGTAAAAGATGATATATGAGATGAGAATTTCTTCTTATTGACATTACATTATTATATTCCATTTTGACAATGCACTGATATAATACTAAATTATTTCTATAGTATTCCATGTAATTAAAGCACTATCAAGTTTGTTCTTATTTACAAAAAATAAATTTAAAAAGAAGAAGAAAGGATAAATATATGAAAAAAAAGTCTCAAATGACTGAGATGGATATCATCTCTATTTCTCTCTATCTCTTTCTGTAAAAAAAGAAAATATTGAAAAGAACAAAAGTGTGGAAACAATATATAAAATAACTAAAATCTGCAGCTTGTATTGACAAAATAAAATTGTCTGCAAACAACCGATGTTTCTTTTCTGCACCAACCTGATTGGGGATGGGAAAAACTGGGCATGATCACCTTAATTTTTAATAAAATTGATGGAAATAATGTACTAAATAAGTTCAAATTAAGGTTAAAAGTTAAAATTGATGATTTAAAATCACTGAAAAAGAATCTATTATAGGGTGGGTCCCAATATGAGAGAATCGATTATTGCAGCGATATATTCTTGAGAAGCGATTCTCAAGAAGTGATTCTCGCGCAAGGATTCTCAAGGAACGTTTCAGACATTGAAAAACCACCACAGAATAGTTCCTTCAAAATCCTTGCGCGAGAATCAATTCTCGAGAATCGCTTCTAGAGAATCACTTTTCAAGAACTGCTGCAAGAATCGATTCTGTCATATTCGGACATTTTGGACCCACCCAAAGTTATTATTTTTCCAAATAAATTTAACCCTTTTACACCTAATTTTGGAAAATATCGTGATTTTTGTCATCAATACAGCCTAAAATAATATTTTGGAACAAAAAATAATACTATTTTCTCAAGCCTGAAGCTCATTAATAAAATGAAGCAACTTTTGGAACTTTTTTTATAATTCCAGTCAACCTTGCCTTTATAATCTTAATTAATTGGTCCAGATGAACGATTCACCATAAAAGGTGGGTTAGATTCTCATTTTTTATGGAATTACGTAAAGAGTCGCACGATTTGCATACTCGGGCGATGGGCTCGATCGGCGGCCTTGGTCGAGATGCTGCGCTGGATGTGCTTTGCCCTGTAGCAGAGCACGCGAAACAATTACTGCCCGGCTACACGGTACGACCTTAACTCGGAGGCGAGGCCGGCGGTGTCGTGCTGAGTGGAATCCTCGCGGCGCAATCAGCGCCAAAACAACAAAAGGAACCTTTATGTGCAGCACCAGGAAGAGCGAGCAAACTATATGGGAGGATCTTTTCCCACACGACTAGCTAATTAGCCCCGCAGGAAGATGATGCACTTATTATTTGCTACGAACGAGTGTCTTGAGAGGCTACTTAAGGTCTCGCCATTCACTTATAGTTTCATTGAATTAATATTTCAAGATGAAAAGATTAGCATTTTTTTTTTCTTTTGAATTCATAATTATTAGATTCAAGAGTTCTTTTTGATTTGTCTGTTGTAGAAGAGTTCAAAAATAATCTAAAACTTCAAAATTAAAATATGAAAGATAATTTTAATTTCTATCAATTGAGAGCGACAATATTAACGATTAAAATTTTTCTCTTTTTTGCGATACAAAATTATTTTTAATTTCCTCACCATGAAGTAATTTAACTGCTTAATTATGTCCAAATGCAAAAACGAAAACTTGTTATGCGTATTTTCATTTAATTTGACACGTTTTGTACAATTTTGTCTCGTTTTAAGCTGTTTTTTACAAAAAATAATCGGTTTTTGTACTGCGATCTATTGAAATAAAATTTAAATCGAAAAATTTTTGGCGTAAAATTGCAGGATATTTGAATAAGATTACTTTTTAAACATCCACGGGCAGAAAAAAGTCAATTGACTAGAATTTGTGGATTTAATATTGATAAAAATTGCTTTTAATTAAATTAAGTAAATAAATGCAAATTTGCACGAATAACATTTTTTAGTTCAAAACTAATTTTCTTACTGACGTCAGAGTCAGTTACAAAACAGGTTAAGTATGCAAATTTTTTTAATTTGATGTACTGTAGAAGAAAAATTATTGATTTCGCACTTCACATAGAGTACAGATAATAAAATCCTTTCATTTTAGCGGTGAAATTTCTAGAACACTTTGCTTTGCCATAAAAATATCGAAAGTTAGAACAGAGCAAGCCATTAATTTATAAATAAGATAAGATTTTCTAACAATCATTTTTTTTTACCATTCATTAATTACCACCTTTTGATAATGGAGAAAGAAAGAACCTTCGATCAAAGTGACGCTTCCGCATTTTCCAGACTTCTTAACTTTCCTCGACGATTTGCAGATTTCGTGCAGAGAAATAATGAATAGCTTCGGAATAGACGGCGTGTCAGAATTTTTTTTCACCGCGAGCACGCATGGAAATAATTTGCTGTGCGCAATTAAAGATTGACGAGATTTGCATTGGTCTTCGGTAGTGTTTTGCAATTCGGTCCAAATTATACGTTCGTTCTTGAACGAAAGAAAACACGCCGACCAAGGTATAGGTGCGACATATAATTACATGTAATTAGCCCAAAATGCGATGAGGTGTCACCGAAAATTCAAAATTTGCTCCAGAAAAATTCAATAAATAAATAAATTTCTCCGTTTTTGGGCCTAATTGTAAGATGTGTAAATTGTGAAGTGTCGGGGCCGCAGACGAAGAGGGCCCTGGATTACATTACATTAGTTGATTAGAACGCGAGGCCCATCGTTGCGCTGAAAGGTTGGCTCGGAGCGCCAAGGCCGCCCCTCTCACCTTTGGACGCGGCGGCCGAGTGCTGAGAGCGCGCACCAGTGTTGGTAAACACGCACACCCGGGCACACACACAACTCCATCAGGGCTCCACGATGGTGAGCAATTCAATATCGTTCGTTTGTTTCATTTGCTCCAGTTTCATTGTTGCTTAATGATCTGGTAAAACAAAAGATAATAATTGTAACAGAAGAAAAAATAGAGTTGCACCTGCATTTTTGCTACAATTCATGGAAATCATTTTAAAATCAATCAATTTAAGTATAGACTAAAATAAAATTCACTTTTTATATTTTAAATAAACTAAAGTAGACCTTTTTCATTAAAAATTATATGAAATTCAAAATTTTGAAATTGACTGCAATGAAAATTTCATTTTTTTTTTTACCAGAGTTTGCAACAATGGAACAATGGAAATAATTTCTAAATCAATCAAACTTAATTACCGACTATAATAAATTCGCATTTTTATAATTTAAATTAACTAAAGAAGACTTTTCTTAATTAAAATTCCTATTAAATTCAATGTTTTGAAATTTACTGCAATAATTATTGAATATTTTTTAAATTTTTTCACTAAACCAGCCTGGAATTTAAGTTATTCAGCCCAGCCTGTAATTTCGCTTTTGTTTCATTCTTGCTGGCCATACTCGAGAGCATTGAGCTGCAGGGTGTGGTTCCAATATTGGCCATTGTCTATTCTGCTCGGGCAGCCTTGCCTTCGACGTGTATATATCACTTTAATTGGATCTTTCGCTTTTCCTCCGCTGCACCTTAACTCGTCCACTCGGCATTATTTTATATAACTGTTTACAAATGCTTTATATATATATATATATTTTATCGATGCGCATTAGATCATTCGCTGTATAGAAGTTTTTCCCTCGCAGAGTCGTGCCTGAATTTGCCCTTCTTACATACAGACGTGCGGGTCCATAAACCTGTTCTCGCGCGTTATTTTCATGTCGAGCTCCCACTCGCGAAGTACAATTTTATATCATGAGTGAGAACATACTTCAATTTGGAGCGCAATAGAATAAATCATAACGATCAATATTATTATTGTTCATTCAAAGTGCCGACCGCAGAAGAAAGAGAAAAGTTGCTTTGCTTACTCTTAAGCAATCAGAATATTTAAAAAAAAAAAAGTCGAGTGGCTAATAAATGACAATTAAAATATTTTTATTTGTTTATTTTACTAGCAACAAAAGCTAGAAATTGATTTCTGATTAAATAAGTGATATTTCGAATCAACCTTGTAAAAAATAATTCATCAATCACCGTCAAAAGGGTAACAAAATATCGGTCTAATTTCAGGTTAAATTTGATTAAGGGAGTTACCGGAAGTTTTTCACCATTGGATTGATAATCTAGTTTTAAGAGAGATTTGAGGGCAATTCAAAAGTCTGTCGTTAAAATTACATAGCGGGTTGAGATTAAGCTTTTCGATCGCTCTAGTTGAATTTATAATTTACAAATTAAATTCTTAAATTTCAGTACTGACAAGGGCCAAATTTTAATGCTTTATTTATTCCGCCTAAAATTTACAATTTATATATTAAAGAAATAAGTTAAAGCGTAATTCTTATTTAATAAAATTCTCAAAATTCCTAATTTAAAATCTGGTTCACCTCTTCCGCAACAATTTGAAACGGTTAATGGTCGCAACAAATAAATACAAAGTGAACTATGCAGTCTACAAAGTACAAAAGAAATTCGCAAATACCGCCGGATCATTAATTTAATTTGCCTGCAACTTCACTTTCACGTATGTGCATGTAAAACTATAAAAGAACTTTTGAATAACGCAAAAATTCTCAGACCTAAATTCATTCCAGTTTCACTTTTATAGGTCCAGGACAAGTATTTTAAATTTTGCTTTTCTTTCTCCGCAGCTCTGATTTACTCGTTCAGTTAGAGCTCGTTTTCAAAGGTTGTTCGGTGCGGTTTATAGACAATTTCTAACAAATTCGCCATAATTGATAATTAGGATTGTTGGCCGCAAAAACCGACTAGACTTTCGACATTTTCAACATTGCGTTTTATTACGCGACAAAGAATATACTTTTGCTACCTTCAAGAAACGAAAAATGACCTCCGACGTGTAAAGGAGTTAATCGTTCTTCTCTCGGCGGAGGAGAAAAAAATCCAGCTCCGAATTTGGTGCTCGATTTTTTTTTCGCAACGCGTGCCTGGGATTATTTACGAGGCGAGTTGGCGGCGCTGGCCAAGCGAATTAGGCTTTTCGAACACGTCCCACGCGAGAAGATTGATATTTATTTTCAATTTAGAAAACACCCTCGCCGTCTAGCATAAATAACTTTTCGACAGCGCTTTCCCTTTCGTAATTCGCGGTGCCAAAATTCGCGAGATATTGAATTAAAACAATAAAAAAAAATTAAAATGGCTGATTTTAAATTACTTTTTTCATTATTTATTTTATTATTGATTCTTCTAAGTCAATACAAAAGATTTTAAAAATAGATGAAAGGGTTAAAACGCCTGATATCAAAAGAGACTCAGACGCCACGGTAAACCCACAAATTTTACTATAGTTATTTTTATTTATAGTTAAAATCATTACCTTTTAAATGTTTTACAAGTTTAAATTAGCAAATTACAGTTCCATCGATTTAATAGTTGCAAACACCGTCGTAAAACTTTGTATATGATTTTGCAAACCCCTACCACGACATTTTATTGGCCCTCTCGTTAGAAACGACCGCAGCGATTTTATATTTTTATGCTTCCTAATTGACTCATCAAATCTTGATAATTGCGTCGATATTTTACGGCCTTCGATCGCTCACCGCCGTTTATCATTTCAATTTTCTGGCAATTTAATCCTTTTGTTAGTGCTGGAAAAAAATGTCGCGGTTTAATTATTCGATAACGGCAGCACGCGGCGCGATCCAAAAGTGAAAGTGATTCCAATAATGTCTGACGATCGGGACGGCTGCCATGCGGCGCGTAAATTTAATGCAAATTAGTCCAGATAATATTCATCTAGGCATGTTAATCCGTGTGTTGCGGCCAAAGGGATTTGGTTTCAGACACGAAAATGACATAATGATGTTGAGAGATGCCGAGGAGAAATTAGGTCGAAAGGGTCTTACCGCAAATACCAGTCATGACGCGCGGAATTCTTTTATTTTCTAGTAAAAGTGCAAAACTTGTCGCAAAAAAATAATTATGCGCAATGATGTTGCGTTGCAGATTCGGTTGGTGATGGCCCTCGTGCTTGTGCACGCCTGTGCGGCGGTGATCGTCAACCCGCGCACCGGCGAGGTCGGAAATCGGGACTTCCTGAAGGGCAGGACCTTTGCCCCAGCACCGGTCACCCAAGCCCCCGTCAACCCCCACGCCAAACAGTACAAAGTCAAGGAAGAACCGCAAGAGCCCACCACTTACAGACCCCCAGGTAAAGCAAAATAAAAATATTTATTAAAAATTTAAAAGAAAAATTCTAAAATTTCAGCATTTTTTTTTTTTTACTTGTAAATTTATATTTCTAAAAAATTAAAAAAACTTCCTTATCATTTTTGAAAAAGTAAAAAATTATTGGAAAGTACTGGAATTAAATTCATTTTTATATTTTTAATTGTATTTAAATGTCCGTTGATTTTATTGCTTTCTACATAATTTATTATAAAAATATCGTAAAGGACAAGTAAAAACAGATTCATTTACAAAAGATTGTGAAACTTGAAGACTTTTTGCAAGCACAAAAAGATATAAAGAGAAACATTTGTCATTTATATTGTGCTCTTGTTTGATTTTAGCATTTTACGTCGACCCGAGAACAAAGCAATTGGTTAATTTCAAGTGGCTCGACAAAGAGAGGCTGGTGTTGCCGTCCAAGTGGAGTTCGAACGCCAACTCGTTGGATCACTTGACCCGCGGCCACATCAAGCAACAGTACCAATACATTTACTTTTACTACTAGAAGAGCACCAACACATACATCGCGCCTCATCCAACTGATTTTTGCTCACACGAGTGATATAAATCAATTCATCCAACTGAGACAAACCAAAACTTGTCACATCACGTCATTTTTCGCCTAGATTTTTATTATTATGTATTTTTACCAATGTAACGTTAAATGATATTTTTTTTTACGAATGTGTGAAACGAGACTGAAATTTTGCTGATTTCCGCACTTTCTCCATCTTCCGGGAAATCACTTTCTTATCAAAATTTCAAATACGTTATTATGTATCAATAGCGAATACCCTTTAATTTATATGTTAAATGTTTCATAAAGCACTCACGATGTTAAGAGTCTTCGTATATATATTTCTCTAACTTTGAACGGAGTAAGATATTTTCTTGTACTGTAGCACTGGTACGAACCATTTCACTGGCCACTTTGCAAAGCAATTGATTGAATAAAGTTATATTCAAAAGGAAATAAATCGTGGCTGTCTTTGATTGATTCGTGACTGAAAAGCTGCTGCCTACCTTGTCTGCTCTTGACGCCACTTCAGGTAGGCGATGAGATCATGGGCCTTGGTCCTCAATTCCAAACGGCCGAGGTTGAAGATCTCCAGGACGTTTACTCCGTATGTGCCGACAATTTCTTCCAATTCCTCCAATATGGCTCCTTTCTTAAGCAGCAAAGCCAACTTCTTCAGTTGGCCCAGCACCCAAGGGACCTTTTGGTCCATCTCGCACTCCGGAATCGAGTAAAGGTCAGAGACCTCGAGAAAGGATGGAACGGTGGGAAAGCGCTCCAGAATGCCCAAGGTCACAACTTGACCCACTTGAGCCGTGACATGTGGCTGGATGATGGAGGCAACCAAAAGGCACCAGGGGTCAGTGCCCAAACTCTCGTAGATCAGGTGGAAAGGTGACATCGGGAGCTGCTCTGTCTGTTGCTGGACACTTACATCAACCTCTGTCAGTCCACCTTCTTCAACAGATTTCAAAGTTTCTTCTTGTTCTATATTATTGACAGGTTCTGTACTATCTTCCTTAGGCATCTCATCTTCGATGACAGTGTCTTCTTTTTCCACCTCATCTTCTATGACAGCGTCTTCTTTAACCACCATCTCATCTCCGATGACAGTGTCTGCAGTTGCTTCCTCTTTAGTGTGCCCTGAAAATTCAGGAAGTAATTAAAATTCATTATCATTTCAACTAAAAATTATTTGACAATGATTTAGAAGAATTAAAAATTTTATTATATTTTACAAAATTAGTACCTCCTAAGTATCCACAGGTTTTGAGTACAGTTTCAACTTGTTCCAACATCTCCTCTTCGGAGTCATCATCACTGTCTTCAAGGTCTGCTTCATTGATTGACAAAATTTCTTCCTCGTCCTCTACATCCTCATTGATCATTTCGCCATTCTGATCCTCAACATCTTGGTCTTTGCCAGCATCTTCAGTCTCATTTTCAACCTCAACAACTACCTCCGATAGCTCAGGATTTTCCTCCACCTTAACCGCTTCATCCTCTGCAGCTGGTTCCTTCTCCGGAGTTTCAAGTACTTTACTTTCAGGCAAATTGCCATCCTTAGCCAAAACGTTGTTCTCTGAGAGAATTTTGTTTGTTTTTGTGGTCTGCAGCTTCTCAACAACCTCCTCGGCTACTACATTGATTGCAGTTCCCTCATCTTTTGCATTTATGTCCATTCCAGAAGGCACTTCCTCAGGCAAATCTCCTTCCTCCGGCAAAACAAAGAGCTTTATGCAAGTTTGGTCTATCTTGTCCAAATCTTTGCTGTTGATAACTATGATTTTGTCACTATCCGTTGAGGCTGACGAGGGACAGCGCTCTGGTTCTGCAGTTTCTTCTTCCACAACATCCTCGATCTTTGCACTTCCTTCCTGCTCATGCTTTTGCTCAACATTTGCAGAAACAGGTTCAGGATTTTCTACTTTTGCAAAATTTGTATCGTCTAATGCCAATTCTACATCATCCATGGGCAATTCGTAGTCTTCTGCCTCAGGTGATGTTCCATTCACCTTCTTCTCTTCGAAGAGAACCTATGAACAAAATTATTAGTTTATTCAATTTAACCTTAAATTACTATTAATTACTTTTCCAGCTTCCATTTTGCCCTCATTGGTGGATTCCATCACTTCAGAATTAGTAGTGGTAACCTCCTCCACAGCAGCCAAGTCGTCTGTAAAGTCTATTTCATAGTCGTCTCCATCTTTTAGCTCAGAGTGATGTTCCTCTACTTTTTCATCTTCTTCAAGCTCAACGTCATCCTTCTCATCTTCACTAAGCTCAACGTCACCCTTCTCTTCTTCTTTATTCTGCTCCTCAAGCTTTTCATCCGTCTTCTTTGCCTTTTGTTTCTTCTCCAAATTTTCACTGGGGCCTTTAACTGCAAGAATTGCAGGAGAAAGGGCAGCCGCAAGAGAATTTCTAGTTTGGCGACTGGTCAGACTGGTGGTTCCAGATTGGACGTCCATCTTAGGCCTTTTGGGATCCACAACAGTTGGACTCTCTAGCATCTTCCTCTTGGTGGTCACAGCATCACCAGACTGATTGCGACGCCTCTCTGAAAGGACGGCCGACTTCCTTGAAGATTTGCTTTTCTTCGGCTTGGTCTTTGCTTTTCCCTTTACAGACTTTGGGGCGTCCTTTTTGTTCTCCTTGATGTGTGGTCTTCCAGGTGTTTTGTTTGAGTTTTCCTCCTTCATCAGGGCTGCTGCTTCCTTCTTGAAGACATTCTTAACCAGCTTTTGGCACACATTGTAGACATTCAAATCCAGCTTGAGTTTGTGCGCCTTGCAATAACGTTCAATTTCAACGTTGGACCTAAGGACGGTTTCGTCTGGAGCAATTAGGACAACGTCCTTCTTTCCTGCCGAAGCACCAGTCACTCGCAGGTAAATTCTTTTGTGCCACCCACCAGGAAGCGTTTGGGTGATGGCTTCGGGTCTCTTGAGCTCCTTCATTTTACTAGAAAATATCAATTTTGTAATTCATTCCTTTTAATTATGAAAAAAAAATGCTACCTTCTCCAATACTCGGCTACCGGCTGGACTAATTTTGGATAATTGAATTCCAGTCATTAAAAACTCGACGCCAGTCCTGCAAGAGTAAATGCCCAACTGCAAAAGGGAGCAAAAATAAGTTGCAGGAAGAAACTTGGAAACGCACTTTGAGCCCTTTGGCAAACAGCCTTGACTCTCTACAGAATGCAACATTTAGCGCGCCAAAACGAGACAATTTTAATCACGAATTTCACACACATTTTGCGGTGATTCGCTAAAAAGAGCACGGATGCTGGTTCCTTGCGATCTTTTGCAAGCGATAAAAGCTTTGTGGATTTCAAAACGAACCTGCAAAACGGCGAATTCGTCGAAAATTCTTCGATTCAGTCGGCACACAGCACAGCAATTTCCCATCAAAACGTAACCTGCTTGTCTCAACATGTGAGAACTTGTTTTTGTTCGGCTTTTCTCGTTGTTTTGGTTGACAAGAACGCCGCTTGGTGACACCCTAGTCTAGGCTAAGAATCCGACCAATCGAAGTGAAGTTTTGAGAAGGAGGCGTGTCCGTCGAGATACTCAGCTGCTAGCGTCACCATTGGCAAAATAAACAGGATCCGTCGGCAAGTCGGCGCATTTATCGGCTGCAGGTGCTCGGGTTGCGCCGACTGAGTCGAAATGATGTCTAATTCGGCAAGCTCTCCGGCGCTGGCGGCCAAGGCAGCCGACCAAGAGCTCAACTCGATCCTCAGCGAGATGAACCAGGGACACGCAGAAGCCGCCCTCAGAAGTCACGCAACTTCACTTCCGACCACACCGACAGGTATTTAAATTTTCTTTTGATTTTTTTTCTCTTAAATTTTTATGCTAAAAATGTTGCAGTTTTTTCTAATAATTTTCTATTTCCAATTAATAAGCAGGTGCGCCCAAAAATGGTGATCTCTTTCGCAACTCGGCTTCAAAGATGGAAACTGTGAAAAACTGGGGGATTTCCACTTACAAATGCACCCGGCAATTGGTCTTAGAGAAACTGGGCAAAAGTACTCGGACTGTTGACACTGGTTTGTTATTAAAATATTTTAATCTCGCCTTTTTTAAACAAACTTTTATATTTTCCAGAACTCGAGACTCAAATAGAGCAGCTTAGAGACACACAGCGTAAATATGCAAATATTTTACGTCTGGCCCGTGCCCTATCAAGTCATTTTCATCATGTTGTCCAAACACAGGTTTGTTACCTTTTAACAAATTTCATATTTAACATTCACAAAGTATTTTTTCTCCAGCATGCCTTGGGCGAGGCGTTTTCTGAACTGGCTCAAAAGTCACCAGAGCTGCAGGAGGAGTTCCTGTACAACTCGGAATCGCAGCGTTGCTTAACCAAAAATGGGGAGGCCTTGCTGAGCGCCCTGCATTTCTTCGTCAACTCAGTCAACACGCTCTGCCACAAGACAATCGAGGACACCTTGTTGACCATCAATCAGTACGAGGCTGCTAGGATTGAGTTCGACGCCTACCGAGCCGATCTCGAAGCTCTCAGCCAAGCTCCACGGACGGACCCGCGGTTTGAGGAGGCCCAGCAAAACTACGAATCACATAAAACCAAGTTTGAGAATTTAAGAGCTGATGTAGCTGTCAAACTCAAATTCCTGGATGAAAACAGGGTAATTTTTATTTATTCGAAATCAGCAAACGGAAACTAATATTTAAATTTATTTAGATCAAAGTGATGCACAAGCAGCTGGTGCTTTTCCACAATGCGATCTCAGCATATTTTTCTGGCAACCAACAGGCGTTGGAATCAACACTGAAGCAATTCAATATCACAGTAAAACCGCCTAGCAATCCATCCTGGCTCGAGCACTGAGAGGCTGATGAATCGGACGGACGAGAGGTGTGGCTTTCGGAGACGGAGGAGCGAGCTACACGCAATTATGTAAAAAGCAGATTTTCTTTCGCTTGGCTTTTTATTTTCACTGTATCTAGTCACTTCAACAACACACAAGTGTTTAAGGAAACTTGTATCGATCACATTCCTTGTAATAAAAGGATTTATTTGATTTTGAGTATTTCAAGTCTCTCGACTTATTGCTAATAGACTGATTCACCAGACCATGCAGAGAGTATAAATTTTTATCAAAGCAGATTTCAAGTGTTAGACAAATACTAAATTTGGGTGATTTTTATAGCTCGTAATTTATCAGCGTACTTTTATTTGGCAATAAATTCAGTAAAGGTGACTAAAAACTCGTTCGAGGATTAAAATGCAAGGAATGAATACAAGAAAATAATCAGGTAAAATATCAGCATCATAGAGGCAATGAAGTAAATCCTCATCTTCCAATGCGCGTTGGAAGCTCTCAGCGTCACAATCAACTGCTCCACCTGCTTCTTCAGGTGGTCGATGTCCTCCGTGTTGTCGAGCACAAAGTGTGCCTGATTGCACTTCGTTTCCAAAGGCATCTGAGCGTTAATTCTGGCCTTGGCGCGCTCTTCACTCAGCTGCCCTCGCTTGATCACACGTTCAAGTTGCTGGTCTTCTTCACTAAATTCAAAAATCAAGATAGATTTTCTCTAATTATTTTAATTTTGCTCTTACCAAGTGACTACAATTATTTTGTGCAGAAAGTTCAACATCCGACCGCTTTCAAACAGCAAAGGCAAGTCCATCACAATAAATTGGTGGCCTGAAAGGAATTTATTTGTAAATTATGCTTTTTAGAAAATAAAGAGCATACCGTCAAGTAAATGGTTCCAGGCGGCTTTCAACATTTCTTTGTAAATTTCAGGGTGGGTTATTTCATTCAACTTTTTGCGTTTATCAACATCGTTGAAAATCAGATCACCAAGGGCCTCTCTGTTCAGCTGCCCATCATCATAAAACACGCTCTCCCCAAATTCCTTGCGGATCGCTTTCCAAGCCTTTCGTCCTGGCTCGACAACTAAAAATATATATTAAGAATTAATTTATTTTAAATTATAATTAAAAAAAACCTTTTCGAGCCATTGTGTCTGCATCAACAACGGGAATATCATTTTCCAAAAAGAATTTTGAGGCCGTACTCTTGCCAGTTCCAATACCGCCAGTCAGTCCAACAATAAACATTTTTTTAACTTGCAATTTTCTGGAAAAAAATATGTTATAATTATTTTTGTATTGATTTTTTTTATTGATGTCTAATTTTTGTAATTTGTATTTCAATAATGAAATTTTTGGAAAATTCAAAATTATTCCTATTTTATCATTTTATTTATCCTTTATTGATAAACTTTTCTTCCCTTTTTCTGTGCAATGAATTTGCTTCATTTTTTTCTTTTCGTAAAAATATAGCGTGTGTGCGCCACTCCCAGAAATTATAATTAAGCTCCAATCTTAATTAAACTTTAAACTGTGAATGATTTTCGCACAAACTGCATTATATTTTCCTGGCATTTGCAAACTTTGACAGCAGAACAACGATATTAATTGTATTTTGATACGTACACACCTCCTGCACCTGCATCCACAACCTGTTCTCTCTACACTTTATCCCGAAACCCCCATTCAGTGTTTCAGGCACTTCGCTACTCTTGGTTGGACAAGTGGAGTGGAGAGCGAGACCCTGCTGCGAGAGACAACCCTTTGATAACCAACAAGCCCTGCAGCATAGCCAACTTGAGAGAGTATTGTTTTGATTGATTCAAGAGAATTGTTCTACATCATGCGCAAGCAATTTTAAATGAATTATAAAAGAAACAAATCTCAATTATTCTTTCCAGTTGAAATTGTACATGTTTGCAAGCAGGTTGCGTTCAAAATGTGAAAAAACTTTCGTTCCGTTTTAAGCAATAAAAGGTCTCGAGTCTCGAATTCCTGCCCATTGGTTGGCAGCTCTGCAGAAATGTAAGATGGCTGAGGAATACATGATTTAAAAATTTACATTTGCATCTCTTTTATAATTACAGTTGCTGCAAGTAGAAAGGATGCGCCAGCTCGCCAGAATCAGACGCGCGACAATTCAGTATCCTCTCTTGGGTGAAAAAAATTTACGGCAAGATGATGAGTTCCATTTTAAATTATAGTGGTTTTTTTCACAATAAATAGTCACCAAAAACGAATTTATAAATATTTTATTATTCGTGACGCCATGCTATAAATAAAATAAATTAATTTTAATGATTTTCGTTTATCAAATGAATTCCTCAAATTCAACCAGTCCTACGTCCATAATTTTTGAAATTTAATAAAAGGAATTAAGAAATTCTTAAAGAGAACTAAAAAAAAAAAAAAAAATTTTTGGAGAGATATAATTAAATTGCCGTCATGCATTAACTGAATTTGAAAAAGGAAAATGGCACAAATTGAAAAATGCATTAATTATGAGGTTACATCAGTCTTTTATATTCAGTACTGACAATTACTACAGCATATATCATAACCAAATTCAATTTTGTAATTCAGTAGAAAAAACTTTTGAAGCTATAGAGCCTATTAAGGGGTGGTACCTGGGCGCAGAACTAAGTTCAATTATAAAAGGCTACTTCAAATGACAGCATCTACCAAATAAATAACAGCCTGAATGAATGTTCAAAATTATTTCTGCTTAACAACTTTCACTCTGCTCGGAGATAGATTTGCGAAAATGTTGTAGATACACTTATTTGGAGGAGCAGTAATTTCTTGCAATTAATTAATACATCTTAAATCAGATTAATTACAAAAAATAATTTAGCCACATATATCAAATTAAATAAAAACTTGAAGAAATATATTCTCTTGCTGTTCTGTTGTATGCAACTTTGAAACTATTACTGATCGACAATCAAGCAGCAGAATTCAGGAGTAATGTCTGCGAGTTTAACAGAGGCGGTATCTGACAAGTCTATCACCCAAAATTTGAATTTTTCCAACAGGGGACAATTTTTCATAATATCTATCAGAAATCAACATATTTATCACATTCCTGGGCAGATCCAACTGCCCCGTAACACTCAAAGTGGACAAGGTTCTGCAAGATTCGCCCCTCACTGCTGATCACTTTTTTTTGCGGCGCTGGGTCAAAGCAAAGATATGCCAGAGAAACCGTGTGAAGCTCAGGGGCTTCCAGGAGTTTCCAAATGTTGGCTTCATTACCAAGCTGCCCACCCTGAAAATCTATTTCAAGCTCTCTGAGCTTCAGCTGTTTGACATCAACATTGTTGACCTCCAACTGATCATCCTGCCTGAGGAAAGCATGCAACTTCAAAGACTGCAAATTGGGGCAGAGGAGAAGGATGCTAAAAATATCTATGCCAGCAATTACACATACATCCTCATTTTTTAGTTCAAGGTAGGTGAGATTTTGACCAAGGTGAGAAAGGTAATCTTGGTAATCATATTCACCCTCTGCAAAAACTAATTTAAGTGACGTTAATAGTGGAAGCTGGTTAAGAATATGTGGCAAAGGCGGGTCAAGAATGTGATCTTCGTTGATATCACTGTCTGAATCATAGTCGGAATCATAAAAAGTCTTGACGTAAACCATCTTCAAATTAGGAAGGACTGTAGGAATGCTAAAAATTTGATTGAATATAAAAATTTCCTAAATCAAAATTTATATTACTTTTCAAAGTAGCCTTTAAGTTCAACACGTCCAAGTTCCTCCAGGTTGTAGATGCATTCAGGGTTCAGGGGTATGTCCAGGCGATATCCATAATGACAATCACAATCAAGCGGGCACGTCTCGCAGCCTATACATAAAAAAAAACTAAATAAATAGCATATATGACAGATATGGTGGACTTGGTGGAGGCTTTTTTACCAAAAAATGATTGGAAATTCCTGATAAACTATTGTAAGTACATCTACGTACAATTGAAAACTATAGTTATTTGAAAATAAGAATGTATCTGCTGAAATTTAAAAAAGATATAAGCAAGAGAAATAAAAATATGTAATAGACCGAGGGAATTTTTAGCACTAAAAAATAATAAATTAAAATTATTGGAAATAAAGATTTACGGTCTTCCGGAATGCGGACTGATTTCAGGTGAGGCATAATGTTCATAGCATTCTGAAACGAAGGCCTCATCTCCTTGTTTAGTTCTGTGCCCGTCCTGCCCAACTCCAAGCTTTCAAGTGAAGGAAGGGTGCTCAAGCTTTACAGTGAATCTACCGTCAGGGTACTTGAACTCGCCAGGGTCAAGCTTCTCAATCTGAGACAACTTTTGCTCAGAATCTTGACATCATCTAGAGTTGCAAAATAAATTGAAATTTTCAATAAAACCATTTTATTATTTCTTTTATACCGTCGCTGAACTTGACGGTGTTCATGTCTAGGTGCTGAAGATTTGTGAATTTGGTAAGCAGGTTGATAATGTGGCTGCCCAAAGAAGGTGGATATTTTGTATTGCTGCGTCAGTCCACAATTCTCCAATTGCCTTTACAGGAGCTTGAGAGAGTCTGCAGCAACTTGAAGTCCACTCCGTTGGGGTCAAAGAAGCAGGACACATTACTCGGGCACAGCGCAAAGTCAAATTCAATCATGGTGCGATTGATCAGCTGCTGGACGACTCTCAGGGGAATCACAACTTTCTGTCTCTGAGGCAAGGAGTTCTGGCTGTTTGCAACAACACTTACAGCAGCCGAGTTTATTTGGCATGCACAATTGAGGATGTCCGACTGAAGTTGTGGGGCTGTAAAAAACATTTTATTTTTAAATCAAAGGGCAATTAATTCAGCTCAGATACTCATGCAGATTTTATTTCAGCTCTTTAATCTAAAATTTAATTCTACTGGATATTTTTATGAGAGATTAAAAAATATCAATCCTTACGAAGATGCGACATCCTCTCTGGGAACGCTGAGAATTTGGCCGCATTCACTGCAATGCTCCTTGTGCACAGCTCCTTCAAAGGAACCAGATTGGTTTTTCTGGAGGTCAAAATCAGGCCTGCATTACGAAGTTCCTCGGTTCCAGTGCATTCCATCACCATTTCTTGAAATAAAATAAAAATAAACATTTCATAATCCAAATACATAATAGATTAACCAAAAACACGCAGTATACATACTTTGAAAAATATTGATCCTGCAGGTCTGGCAATAATTAGCCATTGCTGGGCTGTTTCGCCAATCGCCAAAAGAAACTGCGGGACAAATAAAGCAAGATAAGAAGATGATTCCTAATAATTCTATAACTTTTTGTTAAAGAAGGGGCATGTAAGTATATTTTGCGACGCAACTAGAGAAATGTGATATATGTTCCGCGCTCAAAAGGTTTTTTAATATTAATCAATCAGAAAAAAACCTCATAATCAATAATTTAATTGTATTCAACCTTCAACCCCCGAGGTTTATGAATAAAAAGAATGCGGCAGCGTCGGCGTCTATATAGCCGTTCATAATATGCAACTTATAAAACAACAAATTCCTTCTTTTCTAAATATATAAATAAATCATATAACATATAATTATCGAGACGACAAAAGCTATAAAAATTATTCATTCAAAACATATGAAAGAACAATAATTAATTACCTGTGGCAGACCTGGTTGTTTCTAGAACAAACTGCAGGCGAGCTGGAGAATTCCACAGCCAAAGGACGAGTGACGAGATGAGACAGTCAATCAGAGGTTTCAAGGTGAATTCGGCAAACATCTGTTTGTTTCTCTCACCACTTCCTTGAATCTCCATGATTCCTGAGAGAGGACACAAACGGACTAACACGGCGGTCGACGGTCAATACGTGAAACTAGGGCTTGGTGTTGGTGACAGGCACATTTCTAAAGTAAAGCGAACGTATTAGTGAATTCCAGCGACAAGAATTCACATTTCACTGCATAATTCACTTCGACTTTTGAGGAAGAACTCGCGGCATTCGGGCAACAATTCGCTACAGGGGCGGTCCGTCCGGCGACTGACCTGCCACCTGGCGCTTTTTGTGTTAAGAGACTTTTAATTAAACTCCGGCCCGTGCAGGAGCGCCAGGAACCAATAAGCTTAGTCTTGCAGCATAGCCAACATGAGAAAGCATTGTTTTGGTTGAATCAGAGATATGTTTAACATCTAGAATCTAGAACAGTTAACTCAACAATTTTCATTGAATTATAAGGGAAACAAATCAATAATTATTCTTACTAGTTGAATCTGTACATATTTGCAATCAAGTTGCGTTCAAAATGGCAAGAAAACTTTCGTTCCATTTAGGCATTATATAGTCTCGCATTCCTGCCCATCGGTTGGTAGCTCTACAGAAATGTAAGATGGCTGAGAAAGAAAATATGACAGACGAAGTAGAGGCTCCGTCTGTTATATGTGATAATTCGATATTTAACTCAACTATTTCGCCAAAATCGTCACACAGCGTGGAAGGTAAAGTCCGATTGTGCATTTCTAATCCGTTTCCACCCTCGTAAGGCGGTGAGAACGTGAAATTTTGGACCGTAACAATCGAGGTCGGTCACCCAGTTCCACCTTAAACGGTTATTTTGCCACTTTTTGTTCAACAACGTCGGCTTTCTGCCAGCATTTTTTGTGGATAAAAATTCCTGCCGTCCACCGGTTAAAACACACCTACAAGTTTTGCTATAAATTTAGCACTGGTATTAGAATTGTGGTCACGACTTGAGCGTAAATTTGCAAAAAGGGAGAGACACGCCTCCTATTTTAGTCATGTTTATTAATGCATGACATCACCCTTAATTAAGGTGATAAATTAACCACAATTAACCTTCTTGCAGACCGTTTCTCAGACATTTTATCTGATTCGCCAAATTTATTTTTCCAGGCCTGTCATCGGAACTGAACGAAGCTGCTTTGAATGATTCTGGTGAGATTTTTAGAAGATTTAAAACTCCTAAAAAATCTCAATTTTAGAAAGTCTAAAGCTCTTTCACATTTTCATTTTGGCAGTCAACGTTATAAAAAATTTTAATCTGTTGATTTTTGCGATAAGCGTTAATTATTTTGCATGTCGAATGATTTCAGTCCGATCGAAGAATGGCACGTCGCAGCAGCTCAACTTCCAAGAAAAGCGGCAGATCATCGCCTCGTCCTTATCTCTCACCGACTTTATCTCGGCCAGGAGCAAATCAAACACCAACACTCCGGAGACCAAAAAGATGAACGGCAGTGGTCCGGTGCGGACGGGCAGTCTGGGCAGTGCAAAGGCGAGGACACCGCCCGTCGAGAGGAAATCAAAACTGTCCGCACTGGGCAGACTGTTCAAGCCGTGGAAGTGGCGGAGGAAAAAACGCTCGGAAAAGTTTGAGGCCACTTCCAAGAGTGAGTGCCTATCTGCACCAATTTTAATCTGCACTGTTTTCTTCGAACACAATCAGTTTGCTTCTTTTTATTGGTTATTTAAATTAGACTAAAGAAATAACAATAATAATAATTATTCAAGGAAAGGATTTAGACTTATGTATATTTATGATGTTTTTAGGCTTAGAGCGAAAAATGTCCATGCGTTCGAACAGGGAGGATTTAGTGCATAAAGGCATTTTACTTCCTGACAGTACCCTCGACACAATTGACGCTTCTCAAGAAGGTAGGCCCAGCCAACAATTTTCATAATTTAGCTAATTTTTACTATCATTTGGTGGTGGTTCTTGGATTTCTGTTTGACTGCAAACTGATAAAAAAAAGAACAGTTAGGCGGTTTCTATTTTCGTCGGGCGCGCGCCTTATTTGTGAGGCGCAAATGTACAAATTAGTGTCGCACCTTGCTCAAGACAAACAACTCATTTACATGCGTATTGCGCTTCCATTGAGCCTCTTCCGCTCCCTTTTATTGAGTCGGGAGATAAGACATGGGAAATTAATTATGGCTCCTTTTGTTATTTATGGCAGTTCCGTTTCTCAGGTTAATTTTTTTAATAATATATCAAATAAATAATTTTCTCTTGAAATTTTTATATAACTGATTCAAAGGATTTCTTTTTAAACTCTAAATAATCAAGAATTAGTAATAATCATCCTTTTTTATTGGATTGCAAATTTAATAGATTTCAGAAATTAATAAAGAAGCAATAAATTTTATTTTATTTTACATATTTAATTTAGTTTAAGAAAGCAATCTTAAACACCCATGAATTATTTTTTTACGTTGTGTTGAAATGCTGAGCCATATGCTTGAGCCATGAATATAAATATGCAAGAAGTTTTGCCTAAAGAAAGCGCCGGACGTGAATATGTTACGAGGCGGCAGTCGCACGCACCCTCTGCGAAAATATAAGGGTTCGCCGGCTCACGCTGTTGGCAGACCTGTTGGGAAAATCGATTGATGGGGTGAAATGAGCGAGCGGCCCGGCCCCATCCCCCGAGCGAGCACACTAGGCTCGCACCCTCCGCCTGCCGCCTCCGCCGCCGACCCCGCCTTCGGGCCCGCTTTTGGGCTATGATGGGCTACGTATGGGGCTGCTCCTGCTTCGCCAAAGGTAGTCGAGCCGCGGTCCCTGGCGCCGACCCCACCCTTCACTCCGCACCCCCTAGATATTGACACATTTTGCTACTAGGAATGCGGGAATTTTCATCGCAATTATTTATTCAAGGCTTCATAACAAGGATGCGATTATTATATAATACGTTGCATTATTTTTTTGGCAAGATTTTTACCCGCGGAGCATGTTTGAAATTCTTGATTTAGTGTGCAATTTTTATATTATTTTACAACTATGATATATTATCAAAATAATTACATTTTCTACTTCAAAGGATTACTAAGATGATCGGAATTATTTTAATAATTTATGGAAGAAAAAAATAATCCCAAAGAACTTATAATTTTACATCTCTCACGCTATATTTTGAATCTACGTACTCAAACCAGAATTTGATGTTAACACAATTTTAAGATTTTAATGTTTGCACTTAGCCCATATTTGGGACTCATGAGGTATTTTTTGAGTTCCTTGGGAAAAGTGCTAAATTAACTGGCAAGTGAGAGTAGCGTATCCCACAAATGAGGGTTCAAAATTTGTTTGTGTGTAATTTACTCTCAACAATTATAATCAATAAAATAATATTACTCATAATTGTTAAAATTTTATAAATAAAATTAATTTTAATGGATGACGTTTCCTAGAATATTTTTTTAAGCAATTTAGTTTCTTAATCGTCTATCAAATAAAGCCCATTTTATATTTTGGATTTTGAAAAATATTGCTTCAAACTAGAGTAATGCACTTAATTTATTTAAAAATTGCCCTTTGCAGCATTTTAATGTTTATTTTCTTCTCATTGCAGATGCCCACAAGCAAATCAAAGCAGACGAGGCGCCGGAAGCCCCACATGAGCCCTCCTCGGGTTCCATCCTCTCCTCGCAGCTGCCCAACAACATTCCAGACGTTATGCCATCGCCCCTGCCGGACGTCCAGGGCAGTATGCTGGAGCGGCCGCGCACTCTGATGGTCACCTCGGCCCTCAAGGGCGGCCGGAAGGCCTTCGAAATGGCCGCTGACTCTGCGGCGGCCGCAGCCGCTGCCGCTGGTCACAACAGCTACCCGGCCTCGCCGAGCAATCCCCCCACCGTTACCACTGTGATGCAAACGAGGGGTGGCTCCCTCAACAGGGGCTCCTTCGGCCTCGCGTCGATCGCCTTTGAGGCGGCCGCCGCGGCCAACAAGGCAGCGGCTCACGCCGCATATGCCATCAACCACCAACCTCTGCAGCCAGTAAGTTAATTTATTTGCACCACCTAATAGCTGTGGTAGTAGTCTTAAGCGGCTTGCAAATTTGTAATATGAGTTTTATTAGAAATTAGGAAAGTTTTTATTGAAAGATAAATTCCTCAAATTTGCCTTGAAAACAAACAAAGCCTTTGAACCTATTTAAACACTCTGCTCCTTTTTAATTTTAGGTTTAAAAAAGTTGGTTGCTCACCAGGATTTTTATTTCTCTTTTGCAGCCATCGGTCTCGAACCTGAAACCGCCATCAACCCCACCTCCAATGTCCTACAACTCTCAGTACCTCACCTTGTCCCAATTGCCCGAGCCCCCTATCCCCATTATGGAAGTGGGACTTATTCCACCTCCGGCCATGTTCTCATCTAACAGTGATACACAGGAGACCATCTCCGAAGAGCCCAACAATCCCATGGGGCCTAATAATGGCATCTACTCGATGGAGCCCATTAACTACGCCGAGTATTACGAAGGTTGCCTAATTTTTTGCCTATTGTTCTTGTGAAAATAACATGCTTTTTTATAGAAGACTCGGATCAAAACTCAGATAGTTCTGAAAAGGGAGGCACGGCTGTGGACGACGAGGATGAGCTTGAAAATGATAGAGCGATGGCAGCTGCTCGAATGGGTCTCATTAGTAGTTCAAGGTATACGAACATGTTGTGAGTGAAAATAAATTTTAGGCATGGAGCATGATTAGTTTCGATTGAAAGTTAAAAATCAGATTGAGTAAAATGTAGTCTCCACCGTAGCATGTACCACCCGATTCAGCCGATGCTCGACACATCAGTGGTGGAGGAAGTACCTGCGAAGGAGCCAAGGTTCCATCTTTTACCTATCAAGTCTGCGTTAAAGTCAAAAGACAGGCCGCAGTCTGCAGTGATTGTTGCAAACTCATCAGGTTCCATTTTGAAAATTAGCAAATTAGGCAAATTTTTATTTGTATTATGTGCAGGAAATGCTGTGGTAGAAGCTAAGGATAACAGAACTAGCAATCTTATCAGGTAAAGTATTATTCTTTGCATATACATTTTCTATAAACTGAACGGTCCATTTTTTTTTGTTGCTGTTTAAATTTTTCCCTCTGGTTGTAAAATAACAATCAGTTAATTTCTTTTCAAAATCATACTAAAACTTTAAATTTTCCATTGCTATCAGAAGGCCAAGACTGAGGATAAGGTATTTTTGTTGTTCTCTGTGTATGTTAATTTCTGTTACTTATGTCAACCTTATTTTTAGTGGTGGCGTACGAGTGCTACGTTCAATAACGTCGGACAAGGAAAACGCCAGGCCCACCCACCTGACTGTGACACAAACCACTCAGCAGCAGTTGCAAATTTTACTCAACCCCTCGCACGATTCAGACTCGGACAGCGGGGATGATCCTATAATGAACAATAGATTAAGTGAGTTGGGCATAAGTAATTTTCGAATTCAGATTCATCTTTGATTATTAAGCAGGTGTACGGGTGGCGAGGAAAGATAGTTTAGCGTTGAAAATCGCCATGCGGCCGCCGCGGCAGGAACTGATTGATAGAAACATCATTCACCAAAGTAGTGATTTGGAGAGGCAGCTTGACAAAGAGGCTGTTGGCGCAAGGCTGAATAGGCGGCTCAGCATGAGGCCGACGCAGGAAGAGCTAGAGGAGAGGAATATTTTAAAAAGTATTTGATAATCAAACAAATTTTCAGACTTTCTAACCATTCTTTTTTAAATTCCAGAACAATCCCCAGCTGAGGAGATGCAGCAAAAGGAAGAGAAGAAGCGAGTTTTACTGCGGAAACTCTCCTTCCGGCCTACGGTTGAGGAACTGAAAGAGAAAAAAGTGAGATGGACTGGATTCTTTTGGCTAATTTTTCTAACTAAATATTCGTAGATTATACGGTTCAACGATTACATCGAGGTCACATGCGCCAGTGATTATGACAGGCGAGCAGACAAACCGTGGACACGTCTTACTCCCAAGGACAAAGCAGCTATCAGAAAAGAGCTCAACGAGTTTAAGTCTTCCGAAATGGAAGTGCATGCGCAAAGCAAGCACTTGACCAGGTACTTTTTAATATTCACCCACTTTGGACTGGTTGATGCTGAAGATTTATTTGTGTTTGCAGGTATCACAGGCCATGACAGGGAGATGAAACAAATCGTGTCCTTTATTTGCAAGAGATCGTCGGGCCGCTGCTGACAAACCGAAAGTACCGTTAAGTTGGTTTACCCACCGCCTGCTAAATTCGGGACAGTTACTTTTTGTTTGGAGACGGACTTGGATCAACCACTGATTGCCCACCAAGTCGGTCAGGCCTTCAATCAAGCAATACCTGCCGTTCTTTGTTTGCGCAACTGCATTTTAGTGCTGCATTTTTTTAAGTACTATTTCACGTCGTCGATCAGTTACCAAAATGATTTGTGTGTTATGATCAAGCACTAGTTTTGTGTTCTTTGTCAGTCAGTTGAGCTGATTCACAAACGGATATCCCGGACGCTTTTGAAGACGAAAAACGTAACATGATAACATAATAAACCCGCGCGTATCTCGATTTTTGTGCCCCTCGTCAAAACAGGTAGGAACAATTATTATTGAACAGTTCTAAGTGCCAAAGATTTAGCTCTTGTGTGAATGTTTGTTTGTCCGTACTAATCGTTCCCACGTGTCCAGTTTGGGTGCCATCCCTGTTCATTTTTTTTCGACCACAGTTCTCGTCTGGCTCGCGCCGAAAGGGGAATTTTGTACATAGAAGCAGAAACGCAAAACCACACACACATACGTAGCTTCCCCGACGCGGATTTTTCTTTTGATATGTTTATATTTTAAGTTGATTTTTGGAGACTGAAGATTTGAATTAATACCTAATTACTCAGCACGCTGCGGGACAAAATCCATGTCGGAAATTTTCAACACAAATTTTGTCTCCAGAAATGTGATTCTACGTTTTATTTTTCCGAGTGTTCACAAGCATAATATAATTATTAATGAAACCACAAGGCATTCGCGGTGATTGACAAATCCAGCCATTGTACGTTTTATACCTACCCAAATTGGCAGAGTTCGGAATGTGAAGCGTTGACCAAAATCAAAAGCGCACCTCTTAATTTGCCATCGCTCTATAATTTACTCATCAGTATTATACTCGATAAGTTTAATTTGCACCCAAATGAGCACACTTAATTTATATAAAAAAAAGATACTGTCCACTTGTCTCAATCGGCCAAGGATGATTTTTACCAATTTTCGCCAGTGTTGTTCCTTTCTTGATCAAGTCACCCGAGAAAAATTAGAACTAGTAACTTTATTGTCGTTTTTGTATCAGAAATTGACTGATTAGGTTTTCATAAATTTTAAATTATTAGTTCTTGACGCGACGAGAAAGGAATAATGCTAGGCTTTGGAATTCGCATCGCTGTGCGATTCTGAATTCCACACGAAATTGTTGATTACATTGCAAAACGTTGCGGGAAATAATCAGGCAGCTAATTGTTTGCTTGCTTCTTAAAGAGACTGGTGCCTGTGTTTTCACTTGATTTTACAAATTTTTTACACCCGAAACATATTATTATAAAAACACCTATTCTGCTCATTGAGTTTTTCATCATTATTTGAGTCAAATTAATAATTATATGATTTGAAGAGAGTGCAATCAAGATTATTATTATTGAGTTACGGAGCAACCACCACATGGATGTAATTTTAGTTTTGAGATTTGCTCAATTTTGTTTTTTAAATCTTGTTTCTTCGTTTTGTGACAAAAAAGAAGGTCCGCTTGCGAAATTTCGTTTTGGTCAGAGTGGGCGGATTTTAATCAATTATTTGAAGTCTTACACGAGAAATATTAAACTAAATTCTAACGTCGTTGTCTTTTGAAATTTTATCGATTTTTATACGACCAAAAAAAATTGGCACTAAATTTGGAAAGTGTTTTTTGCGAAAGTGGATGCTTGGATTTTTTACCTCTCGTATTACATATTTATTGCATAGTTAGTTTAGTTGCGATTAAATTTAGCGCTCTTTTCGCGTTTGCGTTAACCCGATTTTTGTTTTTATTTTCGATGAGTGAAATTAAAAAGAAATCGAATTGGAAAAATGAAGCGGCGAAGAGAGATTTAATTATTTAAAATGGCTTGTCATGCGTATATTATGTGTGAGGTCATTCGCGAGGATAATAGGATTTAAAAAGAAGAAAAAAACTCAGCAAGCAGTGTATAGTGTATCATACTGAAATATATAAAATGTAAGAATGGTGAAATTCGAGACAAATAATAACGGAGGAAATCACACACAACACACACGAGACAATGTGCATAAATTGATAAATATACCGAGAAATAATAAAAATATAATAACAAAATCCTTTACAATATATAAGCAATGTTTTTATTTACAAAATCTTCCAACCCAAATAAAACATTAAGAAAATGAATTAATCTTTTAATTAATTCTTTTTTATTACAATAAAAACTGATTCTCTTTTATAAGTTTTATACAATGAAATTCAAAATTGATCAAAACGATACTTTGTTCAGGATTATAAAATGAATGAATTTAATTTTTTGTGGAATTATTCTTAATTGCAAACTTTTACTTTGGTATTCGAGCTCTCTCGACGCAATTTTTTAATTCGTCACAGGACACTTTTTATCATTCAGAGGAACTATGCGGCCACCCTCATCAGCCCACTCGAAAATCGTTCTTTAGAGCGATACTCTTATCCTTTTTCCTTTGCGGACAATTCCAGGATGAGTTCCGCTCTGATTTTCATGGCCACTTTCTAGCAAACTTTTCGCACATCGACCTTTTCTTATGGAGTGAAGACCAGCACTCGCATAAATCTCAAATTTTTAGTAGAGGAAATAATATTATAAGCTCAAAATTTAGTCCCAGAAATTAATATTTTAATAAAAAAGAAAGACAATAATCATTTATAACTGTTTTTGTTTTTTCGTCAGACTGGTATAATCATATTTTTCAAATTTAATTTTTTTTTATAATTTTGAGGGATTTTTCTTCGGTTAATTAATTTTTATTGTTTTTAAATTTGTAAATCCATCAATCTTTTTTAAATTAAGTATTAAATAATTATATTTATTGTATCTATTTGATGTGAAAATGTTCAAAATTTAAAATATGTTCAGTCCCTTCTCTGGTACCGCCGCCATAAGAAAGCACCAATTTATGCATACAAATGTGCATCCAAAGAGGCAGCGAGCCGAAAACAAAGCGCAGGATCTTGACATTGCGGCTAGCCAAGCTCATCTCCGCCGACGATGAGTCCAGCTGGTGCCTCCTCCGCCGCCTCGGACAATGTATCAAAAAGCAGTGGGGTTGAAACAAGTGTACATCATTAATTACTTGCAAAATTTCACTCTCGGATAGGAAAGGGAAAGGTATAAAGCCCTCGGGTTAGAAACGTTCCCGCAGTTTAGTTTCATCTTCCGAAGGGCGTATAATGGTGATTAATTTAATGAAAATTTTGTCAAATTTTTAAAATTTCATTGTAGTCGAGGCGAGATCAGGTTCTGTTGGTGGCTTTGCTCGTTTTTGTGCGGATTAGCGCCTCGGTGCAGACGGGCGAGGACAAGAAGGAGGCGCGCGATGGTCTTTTTATGGACGTGGACCCACCCCTTCCCTCGGGGGCTGGTTTCACTTTTGGGTCTTTTGCTGATGACCTCATGCAGTGCAACCCTAGATCCAACAACATCTTCACTGTGAGTATCCATATTTAATTAAATACTTAATTGATTTTATTTTAAATGACAAAAAAAAATGCAATACTAGTAAAAAAGGGTTCTTTAAATTTTATTAATTCTGACAATATATTATTTCTTAATTATGTCATTTCGATTCAAAATATTTTGAATTATAAATTTTGGAAATTTTGTTTATGAGTAAAAAAATTGAAAATTTTCAGCACATTTTGAGACTTCAAAATTTCTGACCTCTGTATGAACACTTTTGCCTCCTTAAAATTGCAGAAGTTTATTTTTTTTTGCATATTTAAGCGCCTTTGATTTCATCTTCATTTATTGACCGAAGACCAGTACTGTCTATTCAATTTTAGAAAAAAACATACTTTTACTTCTATAAAATTTGAAAATTATTCACTAAAAACTACTCAATCTGCGATTATTTCAATTTTTTGCCTAAATTTTTCCTTTAATTGGGAAAAATCAAACTTTATCTTTCCACGCATTAAAATTTATTTTCAACATTTTAGTTTTTTTTTCCATTTTAAAAGGGCCATTTTTGCTCTCTTTTCTACAAATATAAAAAGAATACACATTTTCCGCGTCTTTTTTTTAAAGAAATCTAATTCATAAAGTTTTTGTATTAATTTTACTATAAATTTTACTTCATTTTTATTTAAATCAAGAATCAAGTGTCGATCAGTTGTCGAGTTTTACTTTTCACTAATTAAAAAGGTCCATTATTGACTTTTATATATGATTTTTTTTTTTTTAGATTTTTTTATTAGATTCAAAACCATTTGCATCAAAATCGGTAATTTTCATTTCCATATAAAGAATTTAGAAAAAATTTTGGTTGAATGCAGAATTCTGACGGACTGGGTGAGTGTCTGAAGCGTCGCGCCGTGACGCACCTTTTGTCAGGCGCACCCTCGACCGTCGGTTTTTCAGACGCGATTTCCTTCGTGGCTTCGGCGGACACAGCGTCAGGGTCGCGCGCCCTGCCGCACTTTCAACACTACCCTGGCGAGGCGCCGTCGCTGGCGGAGGCGATGCGCCACTTCCTCGGCCAACGCATCATGCGTTGGCAACTCGACACCCTCTACCCCGGCCTGGTCATGAGGGTTGGACCCATGGGGGTGCACGACTCGGGCATGCTCGAGTTCGTCCTTGAGAAACTCTACGACGACACCGACCGCGCCCTTGGCCCAGGTATGCAAGGCAATTATTCCAATTTTCAATTCTTTTCAATATATTTATTCAATATACTGAATTATCAGTTGAAAGTTTAATGAAAATAGAGTTCAAATTAACTTTTTACAACAAAATGAAAATAAGTTCTCATTAAAATATAAGATTGATTCAAAATTTTCTCCAGAAATAATAAAATACCTTTGAAACATTTTTTTTATGATAATTCAATGATTTACTTAATTATTATTCAAATTAAGGAAATCTGTATATTCATAATTTTAATTAAAAAATTTCACGCTTGTGCATAATTTTATTTTGCGTCATATAATTTTGTTAATTCTTCTTGTTTTTTTATTTTATAATTTTGGCTGAAAATATATAAGAACATTTTTATTGGACGTAAAAAACTGCAAAAGATACTGTTACAGTGATTTGATTATCTGCAAAAGTGAGAGGGGCGCAAATTAATGTGCCCGACTTCCTTTTCTACGCGCCGATAACTTTGATGGCCAGCATATTGTAGCAGTGAAAGTTTTCTCTTTAATTTTATCAAGATTAATTACAGCTCAGATTGTTTTCATTTAAATTTTAATTGATGACAAAAGATTTCACTTTTTTTAAACAAAGTTATTATTGTTGCAAAAATTTTATTTATTAATTTAGATGGTTTTTATTTAAATTATTAGAATTCCTCTAAATTAACTACAATTAAAATATGTATCTGTATTTAAAGATATTTAAATTTGTGTTTTTTTTCTAGTTATTTTGAAATTGACTTTTAATTTTTGATGAAACATGCATTTATTAATTCATATTTCATCTGTTTGTTTATTTTGGTTTGTTTCTTTCAAAATTCAAATACAGAAATTTTCATTTTCATCAGATTTTTATTACCAACACGTTTTTTATTCATCAATTAAAAAGAATTTACACAATTTTCCATCTCTTTAGGCAAATTATTGGTGAAGCGCACCGTCCTGCCCGCACTTCTCGGCTTCAAACTGAAGCTATCGACGCTGATGCCGATCCTTTTGGCCGTCTTTTTCTTCATGGCCTCCAAGGCAGTGTTTTTCAGCAAAGTGGCCATCATGTTCGGCGCCCTGATCGGCCTCAAGTCGTTCCTCTTCAGCGGCCACCACAGTCACCACGGCCACCTCGGGCCGTACGGTCTGCACCCCGTCGGACACGCGTCCGAACCCACGTTCTGGGACTCGTTTTTCGACAACGGCCTCAAACAGCAGCACAACCCCTACGGACCGGTCAGTTTCAAAAGCGTCCGGGCCATCCCGCAACCCCAGCACCAGGCGCCGGCGCCCATTTTCCAGCAGCCGGAAATCCTCGACCCGGCCAACGACCACGTCCCCCGTGACCTAGACGGCGCAGGTCAGCAACAGCGAACTGTCAAGTTCGCAGACGTGAAGCCCTTGGTGGTGCACGATGACCAGAGGACGACGGCCAAGAGAAATTTCGCTTGGGACGAAACTGAGCTGAAGAAGATGCAGCAAAGGCAGTAGAAAAAAAAAGTTAATTTAAAATTTCATCATTAGTTAAAAATTAAGTTAGATTTTTCTGTCTTATCTGAAGAAGTTAATTATTTTCATTAAAATTCATCAATTTTATTTAATACATATTTAGTATCAAAGCAATTAATTTTTTTTTATAGATCAACTTTCAATTTTCATGATATTTAAGATGAAATATCGATTTATTAAATCACAGTAAATTTATTAGTTTTTACTTTTAACTAAGATAAAAAGGAATGGAGTCTATCAATTCGTTTTTTTTTAAATTGTAATCACATTTTCATTTAGGAATATTTCGTATTTGTATTTTTACGTTGCTAGTCAAGTTTAAAACGAATCTATACTGAAGTTTATGTAATGTATTTTTCGGTATTTTTTAATAAAAAGGTTATTGCTGCAAGAGTTATTGACCTTAATTATTATAACAGAGCGTGTTATTTCAACTAAAACCTTCCATTTAATCCAAAATGTCACATTGAAAAGGCCGCGAATAAGGTCACAGCAAGTCTACATGGTGAAATAAAATCAATTTATTAATTATTTTTCTAAATTAATATTCAATTTGACCTATTTCTTGCTTAAATATATAATATGCTGATTTTTCACCCCTCGCAAATTTAATTGACTATAAACGAAATTTAATATTTTCAAGACTGGATATTAATAATTGCATAATCAAATTTGATCAAAATGCTACAAATGAAAAACTTTTAGTTAATTTCATTTGGATTTTTCCACAATAAAATTTTCAACCCTCAAAAGGGTTAAACTTAATTGTGCTCGGCAACTTTCCTCCCTCATTTTCCGGCCGGAACAAGCAATTTAGAAAGCGGAAATTGGCGGAATGGGAGGCGGACGTGTGTCTCTCACTCAGAGGGATTGAGAAATTTCCCGGAAAATCGTCTTCAGCTAGTTGGGGGCGGCGCCTCGAGAGGGCAGCGCTCGCCCCGGGGGTGGATCGATCGACGGGGGTGCGAGGGTGGGTGTCTCTTTGGCACCACGTTTTCCATTCTTAGCACTCGGCCAGCACCTGGGCCGCGAGTAGAGCGATGGCCCGCCGAGCAGCGTGAGATATGCGCCCCCGCAGCCCCCGGACCGCCCCCGATGGAGCTCAATGGTATATTTGAATTTTAATTCATCGATGTGACTGACGAGGAGAGAAACTCTGTTGCAGACACTTCTTCTTTGACACCTGATGCGGCGGCGGCGGCGAGCAACAGTAGCGGCGACTGGAGGGTGGCGTGTCTGCCCTCAGGGTGCCACCCCACCTGGGACCTGCTGCACGCGCACCTGCGCTGGCTGCTGCTGCTGCACGTCTACGGATTCGGCTTCTGCTTTTTCGTCCTCTCCTTTTATGCTTTCTTCTCAATTCTCAATCTCAGGTGATTATATTTTAAAATATAAAAATTCAAATTTTTTTTCTATTTATAACAAATGGTTTCAAAAAATTTAGTATTTTAGAGATGCGCTTGATTGATTTATTTTGAGCCATTTTTATTTAATTTTAACGCCTACAATTTTTGGGTTAAATTAATTTATCTCCCAGCAACAAAGTGATGTTGATGTTTTTTACCCTTTCAAATTTTTGAGTCTCTAATTTGTCTCTCCTTTTTAGCAGAATTTTTCTAAAATTTATTTCCTAAGGATAAAAAGATATACATATAGAACAATAATTCAAATTATCCGCAAATTAAGATAGTGTTCTGTTAAAATGACTAACGATCCTTAAAAATATCAGTAAATAGCTTGATTCAAAAGTCTCAGGAAAACTTTATTAATTTTTATAAGAAAAAGTACAAATATATATGGACGTTGTTTAAATTTTTTTTTAACTCTATTTGCTATTTATAAAAAAGGTCAAATAAATATTGCATAATTTTTATAATATCCTTCAAAAGCTACACAATAAAACGTCTACATCTAAATGCATCGGAAAATGTATAATTAATTTCAATACTTTCATTGATTTTTTCAACATTTTTTAATAAATCGCCATTTTATTAAAAAAAATTGTATAGGTTTCAAGCTAGTTTCAAGATAATTGATCTATTTACGAGTTTCTTAAGAAATTATTTACACCAAAAAGATAATGAAAAACTATTTAGCCCAAACTAAATAATATTCTACTTCCTCAATTTTCACTCTCTGCAGTCTCTTTAAAGTAAACGCAAATAAAATTGCTGCTGACAAAATGAAGAACAAAAGCTGCAGAACGGAAAAAAAATCTCTCTTTTTCTTTTCCATTCATTTAATCCGGCATGTTTTCTTCGTTTCATTCTCTCTTGTCGCGAAAGTCAACTTTATATAGCGAAAGAAAAAAACTGTACTTCTCGCTCCTGCTTTTTTTTTAATAACGACGAAAAGCCTCTCGTGAAGCCTTTCTCATTTCACTTGCTCTCCGTGTTTGCTTTTCTAATTGGACGTTTTCGCTGCAAGGTCGCTGATCTCGTCGCGACCCTTCATGGCAACCATCAATGTGTTCATCTGCCTGCTCGGCGCCTCCAGAGCCGCCTCCCTGTTCATCGATCCCTACAGCTTGGCGCACGTGAGTCCCTTTTTGCTTCAAAAACGTAAAAACTGTTCAAATTAAAAAAAGGAAACTATGGAATTTTAAAATTCTTTAATAAGTATTTCTCGTTATTTTTAAAGCAATAATTTTAAATGTGTGGATAAAGATTAAATAAATAAATTATGAAAAGAGTTTTTTTTTTAAATTGCTGTATAATTTTACTTGTTTTCAGTCATTGCCAAAAGCTATCGGCTCAATTTTGTGGGACGTTGGATTTCCGTGTGTGACTTCTGCGTTCTGCCTCATTCAACTCGCTTTTCTACAGCTGACTCAGGTAAAAATAATGTTTTATAATTTAATATCAAAACCTCTAATTTACACAAAAATATAGAGGAAAAATATTAGATAGTTTGTTTCCTCTTGGCTGGGAAGGGGTAAAAATGCATTTTAAATTAATTTAATTTGACAAAAATGCAAAAAATTTAGCGAGGAAATTGTGCAAATTTCAGCTTGTGACGCAAATTTTATTCTTTTTTAAATTTATTTATTGAATCGTAGGTCACAGAAACAATTAAAATTCAATATTTTGTTTAAGAGGAAAAAATGTTTTTAATTATCATTAATGGAAAAATATGCTCAAAGTTAATTAATTTTACTTTTAATTATATACCAGAAATATATCTGAAGCGTTCAGCTTTTCATTGCAATCTCCTCTAAAACCTTTTTCATAATTGTAATTAATTTTATTTCTTTGGGGTTACTTTTTATTTGCAGCTCAAGTTTGGACCGGAAAAGCTACGTCACAAGTCGTGTCTGTCGTGCATCATCACAAGTCATTTCTGTGTCATCATCGGCGCAGACATCGCCGTCGCTTTCAGCGAGCAATTCCTGGTGAGTGAGTTTATTTTGGCCCTCCCGGTTAGCAAATCCACGACACACGCGCCAACTGCAATCCCCATTCCGCGTGTTTTCGCGACGCGAAGCAACAAACAGAGAAAAAAGCACCCGCGGGGCTTCGCGACTCTCCTTTCTGTTCAACGCGCCTGAACGAAAGTGGCAAACCGTGCCGCCCGACGTCGCTGAAGCGCGGGTTGCATAATTCCCACCCCACAGAAAGTGTGATTTAATTTATTTTTAGAGTCACGCCACAGCAAAGTCTTGTCAGCCTAAATTTTCACTGCGAAATTAATTAAAATAAGAGTTAAGAGCTACAATTCTTAATATTTTTTGTACAAAAAGTTTATTAATTGCTTTTTTTTCGTTATTTTGAAAATGTAATAAATTTTTTTATGATGGTGATTTTGCTGTTGTTTCAGGTTGCCAAATACTTTATGCAAGCTGTGTACGTGATCTGGAGTATCTACCTGTGCTCCACCTTCCTGTACGTGGGGCACCGCGTGCAAAAACTGGTCCGATCTGTGCCAAGTGGTCTTTTGGCCTGCGGACCTCTCGATGCCAATTACAAAGGTAATTTAAAATAAAAATACCAAATTGCAAAGGGAAGGATTGAACCGAAGTCTACCTTGACTAAAAAAAATTACCAGAAAATTAAAACATTAGAAATTGAAAATCGAAATGAAAGTCTATAACTTTAAGGGACGCTTGAATGGAGAAAAAAATGACTCTTTGCTAGCTTAATTTACTGTAATAAAAAGTTGCATGAAGCCATACAGGACATTTTGTGCAATTGCGATTATTAAAGAGAACAACATTGTGACTTATACAATAAAGAGATGAGAATAGCAATCCAATTAAGCTTTTTTAGAAATGTGTTCGTAACAAGCTGTTTGTTGTAATATCTGCAATCTAGCGTATGAATTCATATAAATGAATTGAAATATGAATACAAAAATACCAGGGAACATAATTTTTTTTTGTTAATTTTTAAATAAAAATATTGAAATGATCAAAAAAAATATTTTAATTGGTTGAGGATGAAATTAATTGGCATTAAAATTTTATTTAAATAAATTTATACTTTTAACAAATCACTTTCAAAATAATTTGAGCAACTTTTCTCAATATATATATTTTTTTTTGAAGGAATCATGCAGCTGGCGATGCTTGCGCCTTACAATAATTTGGCTACGTCGGTGGCCGCAGCTCTCGTGCCAACCCTCCTTGCGCCCCGAATTCGAATCTCCGACGAACAGGAGCACAGCAGCCCTAGCGGAGGACAAAGTGGCCAAACGTCAACTTCGCTCAGCTCGGCCCCCACAGGTATTTTACTTTTCAAAATTTGAATAAAAATTTTAAAAAATTTATTTATTTTTAGGCACGTCGGAGGCAGTTTCAAACTCTCGGCCCGGCTGCAGTTGGATGGGTGGCGAGACGGGAAACGCGTCGTCGTGGCACAAGGAGGCGCCTGGCGACGAAAAGTCCCAGCAGAACGAGTCACTGCTGGGTCAGGGGTCAAACATGGGCCCCAAGCCGGACTACACGCTGCACACTGTGTTGCGGCACATTGCGCTCGTCTCGCACTCGGCGGCGGCCAGTGACGCTGGCAAAAACAGAAAACTCCAAGTCGAACAGGTCAGACTATTTTCTTTATTTAGAACAATTGAAATTTGATTTTAATCAAAACAGTTAATTACATAATTAACTTTTCTGTTGGTTATGATGAATTGAAGAAATGTAAAGAATTTCGTTTCAAGTTTAAAATGATTTTTTTTAAAAGATCGAAAAAGATTAAATATTTTAAATTACAATTAGAATTATCTAAAATAAATTAAATTTTAAATTTTTATCCGAAATTATTAATAACCTTTAAAATCATCTCCAATCCGCAAAATATTGTCAAAATAGTAAAATATGATATTTTAAAGAGCAAATAAATAAGCAATTCCGAATAAACCTAAAATTTTTTATTCAATTTTGGATCGATTTTGTTATTTTCTTAGGTGCTGAAAGTGACGAGCGCCACGGCGGTGATGGGGTTAATGTTGTGCGTGGCCGAGTTTCTGCGCGTGTTGGCCAACCTGTGGAAGTTGCTGTTCGAGATGCCGACGACGGTGACGAGCGTCGCCTCGTTGTTGGCGCCGCTCGAGCCCACCTCCATCTGGTCCTGGTTTTTCTTCCACTCGACCTGTCGCGCCCTCGAACTGGTCATGGCGTGCGCCATGGCCGGCGTGACCAAGCAACCGGTGGTGCGGCCGCCGCAACCCTTTTCGCCCGTCGCCAACTTCCGCAACGCCAGACCGTCGCTCTACATGTAATTGTCTTGCGGTCAAAATTTTATCCGCTTTTATAAAAATTAAATTATGAAAGGTATTTTGATTTGAAAAATTTAAATTTAAGATTCCAATTTTCGAAACAAAAGTTTTTCCACATTATAAAATAAAAATCGTATATTTCAATTTCATTTTTGTTCAAAAATTTCAAGCAGGACCCTATTAAATTCAAATGTAAGTTCTTAGCATGAAATGCCTCGTAATACTTCATTTTTTGATAAAAGATAAGCTGATTTATAAACTGATTATTTAGTTATTTAAATTATTTATAAAAATACATTAATTTAGGGATGATTTAAAAATTGGATTTTTCATTAGCTTATATATTAGAGTGACTTTTATCAAATGAAGTATTGAACGTGAAGTCCAGCTTGAGGATTTAAAAGAATGTGAAATTTTGTTAATAATTATTTAAAATTTCCGTCCGTTGAAATCCTCTAATTCTTTGGTGACTTTGGTCATTAATAAAAAGACGAATTATAACGAATACATCAACTAGGGAGAAGAAAAAGACAGGCAAATGCATATATATTAAATATTATATAAAATATCTGTGTACGTACAACTGAGTTAGAGCGCATGTTTACTTAAAAAATATATTAAAGTATTTACAGGATTTTAACTGTTGTGTCTCCTGTACTTCGGAGTACTAACAAGCAAACATATTTACACTAAACTGAATGTGATTAAGCGACTAATCTAATACTAAACGTGAGATTATTGCGTGAATATTATAATAGATGGATTGTATTTTTTATATATAAAATAAATCGTGGCGTAGACGGTATTTGTAGTAAATTTTCGGAATTTAGTCGGACACTTTATTTCCAAATGTGTTCGATAAATAAATTTTAACATGAAATTTTTACTTGAATGAAGGCCTAATTTAACTTACTATAAGGAGATTTAAAGCAAAAACGGCCTGAAACTTTGAAAAAGACATTTTCGTTTTTGTTTTTCATTTGGTTGGAAAAGGTTGTACCATTGTTGCGATGTTATATACGCGTTAACCAAACTACAAAAACAAATGTCAGTGCATGCGGTTTAGGTAACCAGAGGTGTCATGTAATATGTCCTGAAATTATATAAAACACACGTTATATATTTATCAATAATAAAATCTGGATTTTAAATGGGAAGAGCCATTTTTTGTTTTATTTAGTACAGCAAAGAGGTGCGTTCCTTATCGAACGAGGATGTGTCAAAAAATGAAAAACTGCAAACGTACAAAATCCCTGAACAGATTATAAAACTGCTTCTTGTGCAAAACTCTGACCAGTCGAGCCACACTCCGAGCATCATGATAGACAAGTAAGTGTGCAGAAAATTTAATTTTTCGAGCCAATTCTTCTTAAATCATTTTCTTAGCTCAAAAAACTACAGTTAAATCTTAATTATTTAATTTTTATTGAAGACCAAGACTGGGAAATTTTAATAAATCTCAGAATTGAAATAAATCACTTCACGCATCCCTCAAAATAATCAAAGCACAAATTCGTTTGATTGAAAAGTTATTGCAATTTTGACGTTTTTTATAAAATTTTGTCAATTTTCAGATGGGAAATCTACAAAAATTATTGGTTTAATTAATAACTTTTCCTTCATTTTTTTTTTATCTCGTAGATTAATTCTGGTTTTGAGCGCCGCTGCCGTTTGTCGCGGTCAGCAAGTTTTGATGGACCCTGGATTGGATCTGGACAGTTTTCTGAGCGGCTCGGAATACACGGTGCTCAGGTCGCACAGGGCAGGAAGGCATTTGTACATGACGAGGATGGTGCAGCAGGACGAAAATTGCACGTACCTGGAAAATCTTGACGTGTTTTCCATGGAGGGGGACGAGGACGAAGTTTTCGACCTCATCGACAACCAGCTCGAAGTGAACTCGACCGCTAGGTCAAAGAGGTCTTGCAATAAGGTGGGGCAAAAATTTAATGATAATAATAAAGTAAAAATTAAAAAAAAAGAAAGATTAAGATATCAGTCAAATAATATGATAAAAAATGATTAATTAAATAGAAAAAAAATATTAAAGACATTTTTTTTAAATATTTGATTGATTTTTTTTAACAACTTTTCTTTTTTATTTTAATTTAAATTTAATATAAATTAATTTTTTTGATAGGTAGACAGTTCAAGCTGCGCCTTCGTAAACGACGCTGGCCGCGTATATTTCACGATGGGCCTCAAATATTTCCAATGCGACAGTCCCAAACCGCACAAGTACAGGTTCCGTTTCTCCGCCAGGTACCCCGGCACCTACATCATCCGATTCCAGTGCAAAAGGGTATCAATTTTTCTCCTAAAAGTTGTCCTAATTTTTTTTTCAAGTCAGTTTTATTTATTTCTAGCTATTAAAATTAACTATCAATTTTCAGGGTTCATTCATTTCCGTCATTCGGACGTACAAGCCGGGTCAGGTGGTCAATTTCCTGTGGCCGTGGAACAGGGTGCACGTGGGCAACGACATGAAGGCCTTCCTCCTCATCAAGCCGGACAGCGACGAGAGCATCTTCGCGTCCGACATGGAGTGGGAGTTCCTCAACCTGGAACGCATTTTACACGGGAAGGTGTCGAAACGATGCAGCGCTGACTTCAACCTCATCTTTCAACAGAGGAACGTCGCCATGGTCGAGCAGATGCGACAGTTCAACACCCGCCGGTACCTGAAGGTCGGCAACTGCCGGTTCAATGACCTTTAATTTTTAAATCCAATGTACATAAACCGATTTTTGAAAAAATATGGAAAAAATTTCAGGGATTCACAGAACAAAGAACAAAAATGATTTTTTTTTAGCGACACACCTTGATTAAAACAAATCGTCAAAGCTCTAAAATTTATGCTACCCGCAAATTTGGAATATAAACTAAGAATAAGAAAGTAGTCAGCTCGTTTTGGAAACAAACAAAAAATGTGGCCAATAATTATGTTTTTAAATTAATTTTAATTCGCCACAATATTTTTTAAAACATCCAACTTTTGTTTTTTGGTTTCTATTTAACTAGAGAAAATATTTTCTCAATAAGTGATAACATGCTTGTAAATTTTTTTTCAAGTAAATGATTTTAAGCTTTGATAATTAACAATAAAAATGATCATTTCGAAAAATAATTTCACCAAAGTTTTAGTGTAATAAATAGTAATAAAATCGTTTTATACAATTTATTGTTATTTTTTTAATAATTTTACAAGTTCAACGATGCAGACGCTTTCTTTCCCTGTTGCGCGTCTCTTTGGTCGCCTTGACCAGGACCTTGTCCTTCATCACCTTCAGGTTCTTGGCGTTCCTCAGGGACACTGCTGCCGCCCTGGCTCGCACGTCCTGCGTCCTCGCCTTGTTCCTTTTCATCATCTTCTTCCTCCGAAGTCTCTCTTCGAAAGACTCATTTTCCGAGGACTTGGTCCGTTTGCGCCATTTTTCCAACAACTTCTTGAAATCCTAAAAAAACCAAAAGATATTAAAAAAAAAGTTAGAAATCTGTTTAAAAAATTAAGTAATTTTATTTTAAATAATTAAAATATCCCTACCTTGCTATTAGACAGTTTCCCTTTGACCGTTTTTCGACCTCTTTTGTTCTCGGGGCTGTCGCTCGTCATAACTGACGAGGACTCCTCGACAGTTTCTTCTTTTGGCTTTTTTGTAGGGTTGTTGTTGTTGATGCTTGCAAGGATATCGGCGAGAACTTTGGCCACGTGCGTGAAGTCATTGTGATTATTGTTTGTGACTTCTTGAGGTGCAGGTGTGTCAACGACCTTTGGCTTGTCGACCACGGAAACCTCGCCTGGAAGACCCTGCACGACGGGCACCACTTCTGCGGTTTGGGACAAAGAAATTGACGCGCTTAAAATTAGAAGCGACACAATCATATTCGGACGGAAAAGTGAAACCGGCTTTTTTCAGTGGCACGCACTTTATACGACCGATAACAATTTTGTGTGCATTTGCAGGAAAATTAATCTGCCTCCCGGTAGAAATTTAAAGGTTGGTTTCTCGCCTTGAAGAATTTAAATTGCAACTTTGCAAGGATTTATAAATTCCAATGTGATCGAGAAAGTAAAATATTGACACAAAAAGATCATAATTATGCTGAACAATTTTTGTTACAAAATATAAAAATATTTATGGTGGGAAAAAATTAAAGGAAAAAGTTTTCTTAACATTTTCAATCTTTTTACTTCTGTAATTGATTTTGTTTGAATGATTTTATAATTAAAGTAATTCTCCAGTTTCCGATATATAAAAAAATTCTTGTTCTCTTTGTACTAAAAACCTTGAAATCAAACAGTTAAGCAGCTTTAATTTAAATCTTCATATAATTTCTGCCGAAATTTCTTCAAGATTATATAAATATAAGAATAGAGAGAGCTCAAATGCAGCTGCATTGATAACAAATTGAAAACAGACTTAAAAAATGAAATTTTTATAGGGAATGTAAAACTTATTACTTATCTTGTATTTTAATTTCCCCAAAAAATAAAATTTTACCTAATATTTCACATGCACAATTTGATTCTAAAAATTTGAATTTATTTATGAAAATTGACCCTTTTCACCGGTTTTATTTGTATAATTATCTAATACTCCGCTTTTCTTCAGCACAACGCAACGAAAAATTAATATTATTTTGAAAAACTTTTATCACAAACTAGAATCAACTTCATAGTGCGTTGAGAGATAAGCGGAATTCTGCAGTTCAGCAAAATACGTCGCGAATTCTGGGTAAGCGCGACCTTCTTGGTTGTTTTCCAAAGCTGCATAGTCAATGTCAGAGCTGGTCGGCAGTATTTCCTGAACGCGACAGCGAACAACTCAAGTAAGTGCTTTTCCACTTCCTGCTCTCGGTCCATCTTTTCCGCATGCTGGAATTTTCCGCAGGTGCGAGATTATGCGGCGCCTCCTCGTTTTCGCGGCCGTCGTTTGCGCCCTCCACGCCGAGGCCGAACGCGTTCTGGATGACATTTCTTCTTCTTCCGTCATCGACCCTATCGAGATGTATCGGAACGAGCGCAAGAACGGAAATAAGGCCAAGGCGCTCTTTTTGGCGCTGACGGTCCTCAAACGGCTCCAGAGAAATCGCTTGGACGATCTGGACCACCAAAATAATGCTGGAAATGCAGACAGGTTTGGTCTTGAGTGGAACAAAAGAATGGGCACAACTGGAAAAATTAACAATGGCAAACAAGAGGCTGATGGGATTAAGGTAAAATTTCTTGCACTAAAATAAAAGAGCAAAAATACAGAAGGAATTCAAAGGTATTCAATTGAAAAATAAAAAGCAGAATTGTCAATCCTTGATGAAATTTTTTATTAAAAATATAAAACGGTAAAAAAAAGTTAAAAATCCGCACCTGTCTAAAATTGAAAAAAAAAACCAAATAAAATTTTAATTTATTTAATAATGTTTGATTAAAAAATAAATTAAAAGAAACTAACACAATTATTCTTCAGTTTTTAATTTCAGAAAATAGCAATAAAATTATTTAATTGTTCTTATTCTTATTGATTCTGTTTTTTTATCTTCTTTTCATGGAAACTTTGAAAGGCACAACCATACAAAGTTTTTCTTTTTAATTTTATATTATTTATAAATTAAAATTTTAGATCAATTTTCGTCAAGTTGGAGAAGAAAGAAAACCTCAAGACGACCTGACCGATTGGATGATGCGTATGGCGAGCAAATCAATTGACGAGTCCGACTCGCGTTCCGTTGAAACGGTCAAACACACCAAAGGTCTCGGTTTGCAAAAGGACGACGACCTCAAGTTCACGGCCGTTGACTTCAAGGACAATTTTTCCGACTGGCCCGCGACCTTCAAATCCTCGGAAGAGAAAGTTGATAAGGAAGTCAAAACTCACGAGCAGACTAAAGTCATCTCTGACGCGGCGTTGCGCTCGCTCGTCTACCAGGGACAAAAATCACGAAGGCCGTCGAGGCCGGGCTTTAGCTCTAAGGAGGACCGTTGGATTAACCCTAGATATAAATCTCCAGACGCTAAAATGCCAAAATTCACCCCGAGGGCCTTAGAACGCAAGTTTAAAGAGGGGCGAGAGCATTGTGATGCGTCAAGCGATTCGTCCAGCAGTTCAGAGAAATCGGATAGTCGTTTTTCCAAGTGGGACAGACTTCTAGCTGCTCTTGACAGATCAGACAGTAGTTCCTCCAGCTCGGACAGAAGGTCTTCTAGTTCGGATAGCAGATCCTCATCCAGTTCAGACAGCAGTTCTTCAAGTTCGGACAAAAGATCCTCTTATCTGGACAGAAGTTGCTCCTGTCGGGACAAAAGGATTTCCAGTTCGGAAAGCAGTTCCTCCAGTTCGGACAGCAGTTTTTCAAGCCTGGACAGAGATTCATCCAGTTCGGACAGTAGTTCATCCAGTTCGGATTCGGACAGTAGTTCTTCCAGTTTGATATCCGTCCGTTCAATGTCCAGCAAAAGCTTGTCCCGCTTCTTTGATTCGGACAGTTTTGACTCTTCAGAACCCAGCATGAGTTTGTGGCCGTCCGGCAGCTCCAGCAGCTCGTCATCCTCCGCGTCCAGCAGTTCTTCCGATTCTTCATCTCGATCACATTCAAAGACGAAGAAGAAGCCACTCTGCAGTTTCTGTCAAAAGATGTTCCGTAAGAAGAAGGGGCCAAAAAAATCAAGTATTTTGAATTAAATTTTATACAAAAAATAATTCATAATGTTAAATAATTTTTTAGGTAAAAGCAGTAGTGGAAGTTCATCTTCGTCCTCGTCTGGAAAATCCATCCTGAAGCATTATCCATTTTTACGCAAATTATTCTGAGCGGCGACTTTGTAGACAAACCGCTCCAATGGCATTCAATTTTTTATATTTTTTTTTACGAAAACTTATAATTATATTCATAGGACAATTTTCATAATAAATTTCATTTTTATAACCACACTTAAGAGTTATTTAATTTATTCATCAGTTTATTAGTAAGCGTTGCCATGGTTATTTTTATTTTCCAATTCAGCATATAAAATGGAGCACTCGAGCAGCACAGGTCTTCTCTCAGCTGTCAGGATTCCTTTATATCATCGAAATGTGGTCTGTTGATTTAAGTCTCAATTATTATTCACTTCGAATTAATTTTACTATCCATTTTCATTCAAAAACCAGCGAACGCGCGACCGAATAAGGATGGCGGTCGGTTGGTATTTGACGACGGGGCCGGCGCCAGTCATTCAGCGACCCTTCGCCGGCATTTACAACCCCTTCCCCTACAGGTGCTCCGTTTTGTGCAACCACCCCGCCGATTTGGAGGTGAAACACGGCCTTCGAAGAGTAAATAGAGGATCGCAATTGGTTAGCAAAAGAAAATTTATTCATATTTTGAATTTAAAAATATTAATTTTTTTGTTTAAAAATCTTTAAAATTGCAATTTTCTTCAATTTAGTTATAATTTGAGTTTGATTATTAAATTTTGTGAGGTTGCTGAGGGCAATGAAGTGCCTGGGCTGGAAAGTTTCGTCGGCCCTAAGCACGCGCGACTCTCATTTATGAACGCGCCGGCAATGACAGACGATTGGGTGCCTGAGGAACTTTTCCGCAAATACACGGAAACAGATTCAAGGTACTTTTTATTTAAAATTTTTCTTTGAATCAAAATATTTAAACTTCATAGACCACCATCGCCAGCTCCGACGCTCGCTAGTTTGGACACAATCAGAAATTCGTCGAATAAAAGATCCGCCACGGCGCACCTTTCAAGCGGCAAGGAGAACAAAACGCAAATTGTACTGGACCTTCGGTGAGAATAGAAATTATGTTATTAAATTATAAAGATGACATTTTATTTCAAAGAAAAATTATTGATATGAACGTGTTTTTGTTTTAAGGAAACTTGTTATTTATTATTAGATAAAAATGCGCAAGAAATTATTATTATTATTATTATTATTTTAAACTCCAAATTTTTAACCTTTTTTGCAAAGGTATTTTTCAGCTGATACTGAAGTTAATTTTAGGTGAAAAGGCCAAAAACGTTTTTTGTTATTAACTTTTAACTTTTATTATCAAAATTATATTGTAGGATGATTTACAAAAATTTAATCAAAACAATTTTAACCCTTTTTAAACATTGATAAAATTGATTATTTTAACCTTTTAAACTAAATCAATATACATTTTTTTTTTATAAAAAGAATGAATTTTTGGAAAAATTTCCAGGCGAAGTCACAGTCAGGACACGTTGAGTTGGCGCGAAATGGTGACCCCCGTGCCACTGCTGCCCCCGCCGTCGCACGAAAAGCCTCCCGGTCACCGCCACTTTTACACCCCCGCACCGATCACGCAGCGACGACGTGCTTCGCCCCCGCAGATAATCCGCCGCCCCCGACTGCCGCCCCCGAGCGTCCGAGCCCCGAAACAAAAAGAGCCCGAAGCGGCGGCGCCTCCGACTGCTCAGGTCGTGCCGCCCCCGGAAGTGGTGGTCGTCACCGAGGAGGACTTGAACAACATGTTGGGGGTGGAGATGACGCCTCGGAGGCGGGGGGTGCGACGCCGGGGGCGCAAAAAGTCGCGGGGCCAGAGTCCATCTAAAGATTTCCAGCACTTGGAGGAATTGGCCGAGACGCAGGTTTCAATGGGGCAGAATTCCGAGCCGTCGGAACGACCTTCCGAGTCGGGTCAGGTTGAAGTGCAGGAGATGCTGGAAAAGGTCAAGGGTGGCCAGGGTGGGCCGCCGAAGACGACGTTCACCTCGTTCTTGAGTGAAGATGTCATTCGCCAACTGCAGAGGCAACTCGACTGGCACCTCGTCGAGGCAGAATTTGACTTGAAGGTAAAAAATTAATATAATGAATTAAATTAATTTTATGCAAAAATAAAATGCTGAAATTACTCCAAAAATTCAAATTTATAATATAATTCAAATTCGACTTGTTTTAATTTTTAACAATTATTATTATTTTTTTTTTTAACCTTCACAAATGACAAAAGAGGCAACTTTAATCACTACTAATGAAACTTGCAGGAAAGTTTAGTGCAATTTCTACCTCTTTATTGGTAAAATTAATTTTTTTGAATATTTATTAAAAAATAATTAAATTGTTTTTATTTTAAATAATTACTGACATTCAAATTTAATTGTATACAAATCAATAATTAAATTATAAAATTTAATTTATTTCAAACATTTTTTAAAAATCGCAATTTTATTTAAAAAAAAAAATAAAACTTTTATTTAATACGAGAATTTATTACAATTTATAACAAATTTTTAACGAATTTTTAACAAATTTTAAATCGTTTCTACAAAAATTTTATGAAGCAAGCTCCAAATTGAAGAACTGCTCGATTTCTTAAAAATGTTTTTCCTGCTTTTTAGAGCAACATTTCAATCTTCTTTCCTAAGCCAAATATCCCAAGCAGGACTTTTTAAAAGCCTACCGCATATTCATATTTTCGCGAGAATTTTTTTCTTTTGCAGCGACGAGTGGCTCTGCTGGAGGCAATGCGCGCTCCTCCGATGATTTCCCCAGAGGGTGCCGAGAACCACTACTTTTCCTTCCAACCGGCCAACCTGTGGGTCTCCGTTCCGCGCTCCTTTTCCAGACGCAGCGCCAGGTTCGAACTTCCCATGGACAGCAGAAAATTAGCCAGTCGGTTTTAAATTGGTTAAAACAATTTAATTTGATAGTAACAATTAAGTTTAGAAATGACTCCGCTGCAGTATGCGCAACAACTCGTCCAAGTTTCTCGCAGCAGAAAACTTCTCTACAACGAAATTTTCGACCAACGCCGAATTGAGAATGGAATGGAAAACGAACTGCGAATGATTAACTTCAATGTATGTTTTACGATTTTCGTCATTTTTAATGTCTCTATTTCAGCTATTTACTAAAAAATTATTGAGATATATATTTTAAAATATTGTTATTGTTAATATTCTGCAAAAGACAAACCAAAATTATTTCTAAAATAATTGTCAAAAACATTTTTTAAATATTTTTTTAATTTTAATCAGAATGACAATATTTGTAACAAAAAAGAATTTAAAAAGAAAAATAATTTTTTTTAAATGTTTCAATTTTAATTGTTTCAGGTGTTACCAGAAAGTTTGTCTAAAGTGATGGGTCGCGAGGTTGGCGAGGATGATTTGCATTTTTTGGCTAATTTGCTCGCCCTGCCCGAGCCTGTTTGGCAAGAACCGGCCACTTTGGACTTTCGAACTTTCTGCGGCTTGTGCGCCATCGCCGAAAGAGTGCTCGGAACGAGATGGGGTCTGCTCGAGCCGTCGGAAATCGACCCCAAGCACTTGGTGGAGCAGGCGGACTTTTCAAAACTGGAGACGAGATTGCAAAACGTCAGCAATGAGGATTCGGCGATGCCACGACTTCTTTCAACAATTAAAAATTCATGATTTTCCTCGATTTTCCTTACCAAAAAAATTTAATACATAAAAAATTAAAATTTTTAGGGTTAAACTTAAAAAGGTTCAGATAGTCTATCAAATTTATGAAAAAATTCAACTCTCTTCAAGTTTTTAAAGAATTTGTATTAAAAGATCAAATATTGAAAATAAAAAAAAACTCTGCATAAAATTATAAGAATTAAAATCGTTCAGAAATTTAAGGCCCTAAAAATATTTCAAAACTTCTATATTTTTTTTTGAAAAAATTTAGGAGTTTTGAATCTTGAATATTTTGTATCAAAATGGCTTCAATTGAACTTTGATCGAATTAAAATAAAATTAAAATCGGTTGACTTATTCATTTCTCCGAGTCCAGGTATAATTGAAATGAGATAATTCGTTAATTGATTTGATATCATTTTTATTTTATATCAATATTTTGGAACAACACACAGACACGCGCTTCAGGTGCTCAAAAATTCACATCATGATCGCGTATATTCTTTCTTATTTTGCTTTCCTACTGCTCTAAAAAGAGGGTTACAGTTTTATCACTTTTTTCCTCGGTTTTCTCTCTCTTTCATTCGAACTCAAACACTTCTCGCAAACATATAAATTACTACACGGATTCTCTCATTAATATTTTTTTTCGATGGAGCTGCTCAGGGGACATAGATACATTGTAGAGTATGATTTCTTTTTCACACGCACATCACGTTTGGCAAGCTTTGGAATGTTATTTGTGTGTATAATAAATAATTATATTATATTACTCAGGAAAATCATACACTGCGCCGGGAATGTTTACAAAAACGCTACCAAGAAAATACTGTGTGTGAATAAATGCAATTGAAAGTGTGAGAAAAAATTTAAAATGAAAAAAAAATCACTGCCATTCACTCACAGACCTCACGCACGCTTCTCGTTATACAAAAGTCTAAGCCTAGGTAAATACTGTTGGTTAGTTTTTTTCTTCTTCTTAATTCGCAATCAATAGCTGTTACAATTTACAATTAGTAATAATTGTTGTTTCAGTTAATTGTCGACTAATATGGCGATTTAGTGTTTCTCTTCATCCCTTGGAATTAGTCAAAATGTTTTTTTTTTATTTTAATCCAAACGCTAATGTATATTTTTTTTAATAGTGTGATTCTCCGAAACGACTGCCCTGAGTAGAAGATCAGGATTTTGAGCTTTCCGAGTCTTTTTCTGCCAACAAGCTGCGTCTGATCACAATTTTTTTTTTTTTTAATTCATTCAAAAGCCTCATCTTCCCGGCAATGAAAATTTCCGACGTGATGAAAGAAAATTGTCAATTATTTGAAAAAACAAAACCTGCTTTCTTCATGTAAAATCGAATTACTTTCGCCTGTAATTGAGCTGCTTAATTAGTTTAGACTTTAATGCTTTTAATTTCAAATGTATGAACAGTGTGCGGTAGTTTGGCATTTTCAACTTCAAATATTGTGTGGCTCTTCTTCGCGTTATTACAAAATACGTCGTGTAAGACCATGCGAATATTTAACTTGGTCAGTTATTATTTTCATTTACTTTGAAACTGTTGAATTGGCTCATTATTAATTTTTTTTTATCAGTTAGAATAATTATGCAACCGCCCGATGGCCCAATTTTATGAATCAAAATCGGGACCGAATGTATTTTTTTGTCTCTACTTATGATACTGACTCAAGTTGAAAAGCAAAAAGTTTAAGTCAGTAACTGGTGCCAATGTAGCTAGATTATCATTCATCCTACAAGAAATTAACAAACTTTCAGCACCATCCAATTTGATCAGAAAAAGTGTATTATGAGATTGCTGTTCTGAAATGTTTTCTAAGTTTCGGAAACAAATTAATTTTTATCCAACTAAAATCAAAAGCACTGTAAATAAGTGCATGGCACGTTGATTAGCAAGGGGCAAGAATCGGTTTTGTTTGTTCCAAGATCACGCAAAAAATTCTTGTGCTGCCAAGCTCGCTGTGGCAAAAATAAATGCAGCTTTACAATAATTGTTATTATAATAATCGTCGAAACGAAGAAGTCTAGTTTTGTACGTGTACAAAAAGAACAAGATATATACATGATATATTTTTTCTACGAAGAAGGAAAGAAAGCGGTGTGATGATAAAACTCATATTCAACAAAAGGCTAAAACAACCATAACAAAACAATAACAAAAAAGTCAGATATAAATAATAATAATAATCATTTTCAACAGGTCAAAATGCTGACGCGTGATATAGGAAAGTTTGTTTTGTGTGTGTGCGATATTTAGTTAGTAATTCCGGTAAATAATTATACGATAGAGTGCGTAATAAATAACAGAGCTGCTCTGTACACGCTTAAGTAATCACATGCTACTGATTACACACTTCTTCTCATGTAGGTTTAAAACTTGGCCGCCTTTTCGTAAGTACGAGAACAATGCCTTAAACTTTGAGCACATTGGCAGCGTCGACCGCCAAAAGGCTGCCGAATCGAGGAATAAAATATTTATGTTCTTACACACGCACACTGGTGTTCTGGAGTTGTGATACAAATGTTTTCAATTATTTGCGGATCTTGCTCGCCTTCTCGGCCAGCTTCTCCGCCTTCTTCTGCAGCTTCTCCTTCTCCTTGCGCTCCTTGTCCGCCTGTTTGCGTTCGCGCTCCTCGTGCAGCCGCAGCTCCTTCAGCTTGCGCTTGAGCTTGTTCTTGTCCTCGCCGCCGACGCCCAGAGTCTTCATTTCCTTCGACTCGAGCATCAGCAGCTCTGGACCGGTGACGTTGTGCTCGTAGAAACTGGTCGTGTGATGGTCCAGACCTAAGACGACCAGCCACTGGCAAACCTACGAATGCGAATAAAAAAACCAAATGATAAACATAATCAATTTTCAAACGTAAAAATGGCTAGAAATAAACTTCTTTCGATCGAGGAGCCAAGTCGCAGTGTAAATTCTAAATCAACGATAAAGCCAGATTTGCAATCAAAAATAAATGGTTGATTCCATGTCAGTATTATGAGAAATTTCTGAAATCATAATTTTGATCTACTGACCTGCTCTTTTGTCCACGCCGAAACGGAGGACGTGTGCCAAAAATGGCCGGAGCTGCGTTTCTCCTGCTGCTGCACGGCCAGCATTTCCTGCGAGAGCCACACCTGCTCTGGACTGCCAGGGTCGTCCAGGTTGCTCCGCGAGTTGTCCAACGACGAGGAGGTGCGCAACGCGGGCACGCTCGAACACGAACTCAACGAGCTGGTTGAGTCCCTCGGATCCAGCTTCGGGACTCTTTTGATTCTGGCGTTTGCTTCCTGTTGGTAAAATTAATTAAAAAAGGTTTATTTCACAAAATTCTGTTATTTACCTGAACAGCGAGTCTGATTTCTTCAACCAGCGTTTGCGAAATGGTCGACGGCTTGTGCTGTTCCATGTCTTTCTTCTCCCCTGTTGTGATCCGCCTCTCTCGGTCGGCCAGCACCTGCTTCAGCTGTTCGGCCAAGGAGGCTGGAGGGCCCACCCCGGAAGAGCGTTTTCCGGGTACGGTGTTGTAGCTGCCTCTACTCGAGTACACACTCTGCTAAACAAAATGTTTTAATTTTTATATCTAATTGTGAATAAAAAATTTAAAAATTTCTACCTGCATAGCCGTATAGCTTTGCTCGGCCTGCGTTGAGCTGTACATGGGACGTGGGTACATTGGCTGAGATTGGATTGAAAGGTTCGATGGCCTCTCGACTGACACTTGGCTTGAAGAGGACGAACTTGTGGAAATGGTCGTCTCGGAAGCTGCTTTGAAGGACTCCTCTTCCTCCTCAGTGGAGTGATAGCTGTTTTCTAGGCCGTAGTCCTTTGGAAGAGATTTAAGATTAGTAAATTTTTTATGGGGAAATTTTTGTACAATTAAAAATGAAGTTGGTGACAAAAATTGAATCATGCAGAAAAAGGTCGAATCAACAAAAGTGCTTTGGTACAAAAATGAAGAAGAGCTACTTCTAGAAATTGCGGCCGCTGGTGAGATACTTACAGAACCGCTCGAGTTCACTGGTGACTTTTTGTTGGGCGATGGCAGTTGCCTGCCGGCCAGGCTGCCACCCTTTACGAGCTCTACCCTCGATTTGAAGGCAGAGTTATCGAGCAGCTCGTGCGGAGGCACAGCCTTATCAAGCTCCTCCTTAACAGGCATCTGACAAACAAGCCAACTGATTTTTACCAAACAACATTCAACTGACCAAAAGTAAAAGCGCGAACCTACACTGTAGGACACTAACAAAAGAATATGTATGAAAAAAATATAAACTTACACATGCACAGGCAAATTGAAAGCAAATATTGAAATTTGGAACAAGAAAATAAATCGGTGCTGGTGAAAGATTTGGTAAAAAGTAACCTTTCGCTCGACGGTTGAGGTTTTGTCAGTTTCCTCCGGACTGCAGTCCGAGATCTCCGTGTCGGACAACTCAGTGTCCAGCTGCTCAAGAAGAGGCTTTGTAGCCTGAGCTGAGTGTTTCCTGCCCATCTTTGGGGTTAGTTGCCTGATGCTATTGCTGTCATAAGGAAGCTGCGGCGTCAAACCTGCTGCCTTTTGCGTGTCGAGCAACTCCTGCTCAAGTTGGATAATCTGAATAAAAAACAAATAGATTAAAATATGTATCACAGCAACGAAGTTATCAATTTAATGTAATCTAATCTGCAATAGAAAAATAGGCGTTTCCATCCTTTCCTTACCCTGTCTTTGAGGGTTTTGACGAGGGCGTTGTACTCGGTGTCCTTCTCCTGCAGCAGCTGCAGGTGGAATTCCTCCCTGTGCAGCAAGTCCTGTTCACGCTGCTGGTATTCTCTGAGGAGCTTCTTGGCCTTGTGGTACTTTTTTTCCAGCACAGTGTACTGGCCCTGCGACTGCTCCAACATGTCCTGGTAGGTGGCCACCTCCTTCTTGGCCGCCTGCAGGCCGCGCTCCATTTCTCGCAGCCGCTGCGACGCCTGCTTCAGTCTCTCCGAGACTTCCTCGCCGCTCTGCCGCTCCTGCTCGGCCAACTGCAAAAGTCGCAAGTTTCAATTTGGATTCAAATCGCATCGCAGAAACTGGGCACTTGAAAACTTTTGTCCACTAATTGCAGTTTCATCCTGCCAACAATCACTGCGAGAGAGACTAAAAGGTGGGCTTGGCTTAGCTGACACCCAGCTTATCTTATCTAGGGGACTTTGTTTGAACACAGATAGCTTGCACTGTGTTGTGTGGGGGTCCGAGTAATTAGGCACGGGGAATTAATTTCTATGTTCTTAATAGATACATACCCTAACTTTGAGTCTGGCTATGTCAGCGTCGGCCACAGCTAATTTGTACTGACTCTGGAAAAGCAGAGATTGGAAAATTAATAAAACATAAATTATAATTCTTAATAAATAATAAAGGGTTATTTCATCATTTACCTCCTTGACGAGTTGTCGCATTGCTTCTAGCTCTGCCGCCGAAGGTTGTTGCCGCATAATTGGGCCCTCTGGTGACTGGGCCGTATCGGAGCCACTTTCACCGCCTGGAGATTGCTGTGACATGGCAATTGCCTCGTGGTGCTGCCGCCGAACTTCTTCTCGTTCTCGGTCGGCCTGCAAGGACTGCCTGATCAGCTGCGCCACTTCGCTGTTCTCGGCATCCTTCTCGCGGCCTATCAAAAACTTGACCAGACCAGAAGTGTTCCTGAGCACTGATGCGGCGTACGCCTGGGTGACACCAACTAGGGACTTGCCATCTACTTCTATTATTTGATCGTTTACCTAGAAAATTTGATTTTAATAAAAAAAATTAATTGCTTCATTTTGATTAAGTTACATGTATTCTTCCATCTCGCGCAGCAGCACCTTGATCGGCTATGGTCTTCACAAATATGCCCAATTTTTCCAAACCAGCGTCAGCTCCCACACCCATTCCTATTATGCTGAGGCCCAAACCTTCAGGACCCTGAAAAATTGAGTTTATGTTTAGTATTTATTTTTTTACTGCAGAATTTTCATATTTAAATACCTTTATAAGTTCAACCGGAAAGACGTCCATTTTTTCCACCCTCTTTTCCAACTCGTACTCAGCAGAGGCGGCGACAGGGTCAACATCGTCATTGCGCCTGTCGTAGTCGGAGATGGAATGTGTCGAGTAAACCCTCATGGGTCCGGAGCTGAAGAAGACTTTGGAGGGAGGCTTCACAGTGACGCTTTCGTCAAATTCCTCCTCCTCATCTGACTCTGGAAGACCAGGCACTTCGACCCAAAAGTGGCCATCCTCAAGATAATGGATTCCATTTTCAACAAAGATCTGTTATTTAGCAAATATTATTAAATTAAATATTTTAAAAGTACTAATTTAATTTTCACCTCTCTGCACGCCACAGCCACATATTCGGGTTGTACTGGAGCTTCAACCGCAGCTATTGTTTCTGGTTTGGCGCTCTCTTTTTCAGTCACAAATTTTGTGGCAGGCAATGAGTCGGCTACGCCAGCCGACTCGGAAGAAAGAGAACCATTAAGAGGCTCTCTGAAATTCAATGTAAAATTTAGATTTGGCTTATATTGAATGATTATAAATTACCTGTAATCTAAGCTAGTATCAGGTAAGGTGGACTCGTGGGATTCTTCGTGAATTAATGTGGGAATGAGCTCGATGATTTCCTCCGGCTCTGGAGCGACTTTGCTTGGAGTGGCTTTGACCTCTTCAGCCTTTGCTATGAGTCTTGGCACTTCTTCTGCTTGCTCGTCGGAGAGAAGAGTTTCTTTCCTGCAATATAATTTTGTTACATTTCTGTTTTGCCTCCATAGATCTCAGATGACAACAAAACAGAAAATTGCACCTCACCTTTTGGCAAATATTCTGTCAAATTCACGTAAGAAACACATGAGCGCAGGTTGGACACGAATAGAGGTTAGATGGAAATGAGACAAACAAAATTAGTAACATTCACGGGTTAAGCACAAAACAAATCAAAAGCTGTTAATGTGATTGCGACGGCAAATTAATTTTAAATCGGCACCTAGAACTGAGGAGATTCTCTGCCTCATCTGGAGTCATCGTCTCTGGCTCGGCCACAGCCTTCTTTTCGGCCTCGAGCTGCTCTAGTCTTTCTTTTTCCTGCTGCTGCTTTAGCTGCTGTTTTACTTTGTGCGGCACAGCGTATTCCGGGATGTCGGGAATGTCTTTAGGGGGCAATGGGGGCGGAGATTCAACAAATTCGGGCATATTTCTGAAATAAATAGATGGAAACATATTATTTTTGGAATTTAAGTAATAAAAAATATTGTACCTTCGAGGTATAGGGGGCAGTGGTTTTTCATCAAGGGGCTCAGGTGGCAATCTTCGAGCAGGGACAACATGACTCTCGGGCAATTCTGGCAATTTTTCTTCCTCTGGTGAAGGGGGAAGCGGCCGACGAACAACATGCTCGCTTTTGGCTTGTGGCTGGAACTTTGGCGAATCCACTTGGGGCAATGATGGCAGCTCCTCCACTTCAGGAGACATGTCCTTCGGGGGCAGGGTGGGTGGTGTTTCATTTTCAGGCGAGGAGAGCTCCCTTTGAAGAGACTGAGTCGCCTCACTATGCTCTGGGGAGACCTGCGAATGAAAATAAAAATTAACATCTGATCCAACAAATTGAAATAATAACTCCGGACAATAAATGGAATTTTGTAGAATTCAAATATCTTGAACTGGAAGCCGTAGCCAACAACATTATTGTTTATTTCCACAGACATTTCGAAGGGAACTGATCAAGAAATTGGAAAGTGTGCCAAACGGTTGTTTTATCTTCCAACACCCCCACGGACTTTCTAAGATAAAGAAAAGAACCGTACCTCTGATTGCGACTCCTCCACTTCCTCGGTTATCGCCTCTTCCACCTCTTCAGTTATCGCCTCCTCCACCTCTTCAGTTACCGCCTCCTCCACTTCTTCTGTGACCGCCTCCTCGACCTCCGTGACCGCTTCCTCAACTTCCTCGGTAATCGCCTCGTCCTCTTCCTCCTCCTCGTCTACAAACTTGATTTCCTGCACCGCCTCCACCACTGGGACCTCTTCCTCCACAGGAGGTTCACATTTTTCCTCTAGGTCTGCTTCTGCTGGCTCCATGACTGGAGACGACGGTGACTCGACAGGGGAAGCTGGAGTCTCGAGCACCAGCTGCACCGAGGAAACCTACCAAGTGGATTTAATTGAATTAACAAGTAAAGCACATTAGTGGGCCCAAGGCCGAAAAACAAACCATCTTCCTTTTGTCGTGCACGGCGACCAGCTGGTTGAGTTCCTCCTCCTCCTCGTCACTGGTGGGCCGCCGCTCTGGACTGACGTGGCCCTCCTTGGCGTTCAGGACATCTTTGCAGATTTCCTCATAACTTTGGCTGCTTTGAATTTTCTCCTCTTTTTCCTCACTCCTTTTGATCACTTGGCACTCGACTGGACTGGAAGAACTCTGCTGGAGGGCGCTCGGCGACGTTTCGGACAGTTCGGACAACGTCTTGTCCGTGTCCAGCGAGTCACCAGAGCTTTCAGTCCCTACGAAGAAAAAAATTACGAGGATTAACGATCGACGCCTAAAAGTGAGGCAGATGAATAAAATTTCAGTGCCGCCGATCTTCTGGCAGGGTGCCCAGATCTCGCGAGTCAATAAATTTATACCACCCGCCGATGTCACAAAATGCAAAACGGCACCGAGGGGCAGATAACAAAGAAATCAGTGAAAAATACTGATGAATATTCTGGTGAAAATGGAGCGCATGCACATGGTGTTGTTTTCGGCGAATCCGCGATCAGATGCACTCGCTTTTTCTCCAACTGACTGACTGAGGTGACACCGAAACTAAAATTAGCACCGCAGACCTACCAGAAGAAGAAGATGGGACAAGGAGAGGAAAGAGTTTTTACGAGTGCGCCACCAACACACGGTCAAGGCGAGATAGGGGAGAGCAATTGGCACTGTGGTAATTGGGACTTGATGAATCAATGGGGGCTATTCAATTCAAGCGTCTGCGCCAACTCAAATTTAAAAAATGTAATTCTCAGAATTAGTAAAAAAATTAGTTATATTAATAAATTTAATTTTTTTTCTATGCTCCGATGATCTTTAATTTGTAAAATTGAGGAATTTTTATTATTATTAAACGCAGCCATTGATCAAGGATTGGAATTTTTGTGGCAGATTATTCTCTAATCTTGTACAATTAAGACCTCAAATAAAAAGTGATATTAACTTACCAGTTGGAGTTGTAGAGAGCATTGAATGGTACGAGCGTGTTTCCGAGTTGATGCTGGCCGGGGACGTGGGTGTTATGACTGCAATATCATTTCTGTAACAAGAAGAAAAAACAATTCGAGACCTTTCTTTATCAGTATCAAACAAAATTACTTTTCTGGCACATCCTGCTTCTCGTACGGCCTTTCCATGGGGCCTTCGAGGGGGAAAGTGCCGCCCAGGGTGGGCAGCACGGGCACCCTGATGCCCTGGTGGGGTCGGTCGAACGACGCCCGCGGACTGGAGCCCTTGTTCTTGAAGTGCGCCGTCCAGTTGCGCTGCTTCTCGATCAACTCTTTGCTCGAGAATTTCCGTTCGGGCTTTTCCGGCTTGGGCGGTTTCGGCGGCGGCGCCGACGTCGGCATCACCCTGTGCGGGGGCGGCATCGGCTTCTCCTCTCGAACCGGCTGCTCAGGGTAGTGGTGACCATTGGTGGGGCGTGGCTGACCCCGCAATTGTGTGTTCACCGCCAGTTTTTCCGCCTTGTTGGGGGGCACGATCGGCTTCGAGTCCTGTTCGGAAAATTCCTAAATTCAATTCGAGGGAAGTGAAAAAATAAAGAATGGTGATCAATCGAGTCAAATGAGATTTCGGTGATATTTGGGAATTTGGGATGGATTTTATCAGAGACGCTGATTGTTTGACTGGCTGTTAACAAATGGAAGCTGCCGGCTCAGCAGAGAAAAAGTCGTACAATATTTGTTGATGTCATTGAGATACGGGCTTATCTCAAATCGATTCTGGCTAATCTCAACGTAATTAAAAATGAAATAAAACCAATTACTTGTTACAAAAACTTTTAAAATATTTACAACAAATTTCAAGATCTATTCAAATCAAAATTAATGAAAATCGTTAAAATAAAAATTATTAAAAATCTTGATATCAAATGAGTGCTTCAAATTTAAGTTCAATGATTAAAATGATAAGAGTGCATTTTAATGTTGCAATCTTTCAAGTGCTTCAATTTGTCTTCGGTAAATTCAAGTTAAAGAATTAATTTGTTAAAATTGTGCCTCAGAAGCAAGTTGATTATTTTAAATTACGTTAATTTTCTGCGATTTAAATACTCAACGAGATGAAAAATTGCATTAATGGTTGGTTTAAGATGGAAATGAATAATTGTTTTAAATTTTCCGGACCTGCTCGCCGAGCCTCTCGAACAAGGCGCGCGCCACGTTGAAGCGCTGCGATGACTGGCTGTGTGTGCTGCTGCCACCGGACGACTCGAGCGAGGTGGTGCGCGGACTGACGACAGGGGGGATGGACGGGTCGGCCACCTCCTTGCTCGGACTCATGCTCTGGAAGATGGTGGCGATCTGGGCCACCTTCGGGCCCGAGCGCACCGACGCCGAACTCTTGCACGGCGGCGCCTCCATCCCCTGCAAAACCCAAACCAACCTCGGATGAGCAAAAAATTTAAAAAAATATCTAAAAATAAGTCTGCAATACGGCAAAAAAACAATCAGCAAGAAATGGAACAGATTTGAGTCAATTTTCTAGTCCAAATCATATTTCCAAAAAAGCAAAAGATCACAAAGATATTCAGGTTTTTAAGGAGGAAAAATTTAAAATAAAGCACGAAACTGTAAAGCAGGCGATCGAAACGTCTCGCCTCGTGGAATATTGCGAGATTCATTTTGCGTTTCGAGGGGGAGAACAAAATTTGAATGGCGGGAAAAGACCTTTGATTAAGGGTGGGTCCGAATATCAGATTCTCGAGAAAAGATTCTTAAGAAACGATTCTCAAAAATAAAGATTATCGCGCAAGGATTCTCAAAAAACGGTAGAATTTTTCCTGGAGAATCCTTGCCCGAGAATCGTTTCTCTGATATTAGGTTCGAACCCACCCCTTAAAATAAAGACACAAGTTACAAAAAAACAAAAAATGTCAATCAAAATGCGTTTTTTTTTTTTTTTTTTTAAATCCAATTGAAAAATATTCAATGAAAATTGCTATTTTTTCATTACTTTTTCTGCAATCAAAGGTTCTTTTTTGTTCAAATAAAATTACCACTGCACGATTCGCATGCGAGTATTTTTTTGTTCTTTTCAAAGACGGACGAGCGAGCGATACTCAAGCGATGCGTAAAAACCGGATGTTGTTGTTGCACCTTCTCAAAGCGGGACCTAAGCTGGTTGGCGCAGGGTTTGCGTTTACAGGGGCGAGGGTGCGGACGGCGGAGAACGCGGGGCGAGCGGGTGGTGGGACTGTTCATGCTCCGATCGCTCTCGGACGGCGGACACGGACGGGCTGCAGGCAGGCGGGGGACAGGCAAGACACACACACATAAGTTAACGAGGAGAGTGATAACGGCGGCTGCAGGCTCTAGGGGTGCTTTCAATTTCGTTATCAGCGGTGTTTGGACAAAGCGTGACACTCCTCGGTGCCGCCGCCGCCGCTAATTAATAAGCGTGTCGCAGATAATGAGCCAATCTATTAGACAAATAACTCTACGCAAATTGCTTGTTTTGCTTGATTGTGTTTTGATTAATTCAGGAAAATAATCTTTTAATTTCAGAACATTATTTGAATTTTAAAAGAAATTGATCTAAATAAATTTTAAATTATTTCAGAATAAATATCAAATTTAAAACGAGATCACTTTATAAAAGTTTAAATTTTAATTTATTAAAAATTCCATTAAATTATTTAAAATCATTTTTTCGATCAAATTGATTAATTTATTAATTCTGTTGTAGCAATTTAGTGTTCAAGCGTGCTGGAAGCAAGGGCGTTTTAATGTTACAATTATTATTTTTATTACAAGACGAATTTTAACTAAAAACTCACCTCGCTATTCAGATTTCCAGAGCGTTACGCCAGAATCTGGGTGTCCGCTGGAGAGCTCGTCGGTTTCGAAATCAGCTGAAACAGCAAGGAGGTATTTTTTTTTTTTAATAGGGATGCGTGAACGTGACTCGAGTGATGGGGGCGACAACCCCCTAGTGCACTTCTCGCCGACAATTTTTATTGTTTTTTTTCTCGTTTTTATTATTTATTTAGGGACAATGCGGGCCCCGATGAACAAAAAAAACTAATTGGCGCCGAGGAGAAACAACAAACGGCTCTCTAATTAGTAGGGCTCGTTCCTCGCACAATAACAAACAGACTCAAGAGCTAGGACCTTTGATATGCATGCGCGCTCGCCGTAGACAACTATTGTGTGCCGATGAAAATAAGTCGGGTGAATGAGAAACGCTCCAATTGAAGTATTCATATGTTTGTAAATGAGAAAAACCAATATTCTAATAACATTATAATTTCTTTTTGTTTTACTTAAATTTGCGGCGAAATTTTTGCAATAAATATCACTATTAAAAAATAAAACAATCGGAGTAAAAAAACAAAAAAAATTAATGTGAAAAATAACAATTTTGTGGAAATCAAATTTTTTACAGCTTCATTGTCATATGGAAAAAATATGCATATTTTTATATTAAATACAAAATGATTGTTTTTAAATTTCATAGCTGCAAAAACATTAAAAATAAATCATTTTTGTAAGAAATTTGACTGACAATTTTATGAAAAAATTTCTGATTTACAGTTTCATTTACATAAAAGTTTTTTGCATTAATATTTTATTTGATATATTTGCAAATTGAAAAACATGCAAATTTTTAATAATTTGCTATAAAAATGTATAAATCACTCTTTCCAATTTTAATATTTAATAAAATTAATAAATCACAATTTATATATTATAATATTTTTTCAAAGAGAACAAAGTACGGAGATTTTTAGACTTATGAAATTTATAAATTTTAAGGAATATATAAATTGAAAGTAATTAACAGGATTCGCAAGGTGATAAGAACAACATACATGATCAATCACTCACATTTTCCCAACTCATCTAATTCCAATTAATTAACATTATTTAATTAGAAAAAGCTAATTTCAGCTTGTTGACGTTAGATAAAGTGTGTGAGATGTGAGAACGGCTGAATTTTTCATACAACAACAAACGATGAAACAACAATGGGACTGATTAATGGATCCTATTGTGAATCCGAATTCATTGACCCCTCCCTTTAAATTTAATACGACTTCTAACAAAAATGTGACCAAAGTGTAAACTTATGTGAATTTAATAAAATAGGAATATTATCATTAATAATTAAAAAATTAAAAATTTAATAAAAAATATATTATTTTTATTGTTTTTTTTTTTGTTTTTTAAATTTAAAGGATCACTGCGTCGGATGTTTTTGCAAATTTCTTACTAGTGGTGTTGCCAATTTGTGCGAAAATTCCTTTTTTTTAAATAAAATGTTTTCAACAATTGAATGAAACAATTTTGACAAATAAACAACAATAATTGACAATAATTTATTAAAAAAAAATAAGAAGATATGAATGAAATTTTGATGTCGATGATATTTCTGAACCGGGTGAATTTCCACAGTGAATTTTTTCGTTTGCTTTTTGTTTTGACTTTGCACGTCCGCGCACTGGAGCATGCATAAAAAAAACTCCAACTCGGGGGCGAAACAACAAAAACACGCGGCGACGACTACGACAATGAGCCGGAAGCCCGATTCCGACTGTCTGCTGTGTGCATGATTATTGATTGCGAGCGGCCCAATTCATTTATGCATATGATGTGCATTCAGAGCTCGCAAGAAACGTAAGAGCGAATTTATTGCACCTGCGAGAAACGAACGCAACGACGGAAAAAGCGCAGTTATAAAATAGCCGCAGCAATTTCCGCGACGCACCGATTTTTAATTGATCTTCCTCTCGCGGCCGACCAAGTACCGCTTTTTCTAACCAAAAACCGTCCAACGGCAAAAGTAAATAGATTTTTTTTTTCAAATAAAAGTTCAGGTGGGAAATTAATTCAAAATTAAACAGTTAACCGGGAGGAATGCACTCGATTTGCATTAATTCATTCAAAAGAGTTCAAAAACCGAAGCCTTGCAAGTTCCCGAGTCGAGCTCCAATTCCAGAAATGGAAGTTAATTAGCGCTAATTACAAAAACTCCCACTCAATTGATAATTATTGTCCTCAATGGACTTGCGAGGGGCCACTTTTGGAGGCATCTCGAGCTGTGGACTTCGTAGTTGGCGATCAATTTTTAGCATAATTTGTTTAAAGTTGAATGAAATTCAGCAATAAACGCGAATTTCAGACGCCGAAAAACCGGCGAGTCGGCCAATGTTGTCGAAATCGCGCAGACCTTGACCGAGTCGTGTGAACTACGTTCAAGGTTAGCGTCACGCAGGTGAACGCTCGGAGCCTCGGTCGGATGCGAATTTTAACCCTTTCCTCCGGTTCGGCGCGTCCCTCGCCCAGAGTCCCTTCGGCACTTTGGCCGATTCGGCGCATCGATCGCCGAATTCGGGCGAACGCTGGCAGGGCCACTGGTTCGACTCCTCTCTCAGGTCAAAAGAGGTTCAAATTCGGCCGCGGCGGCCACTTGCTGAGGCGAACGAGTCGCGTCCGAGTGCCCTGAGGGCGGCCGACGGCCGCCGGCGGCCGAAACACTCACCATTTCGGCGGCGGGCGCTGCACAAGAGGCCGAAAAAGGCTGCAAATCCGCTGTCATACACACCCTCCCTGGAAAACTGACCCCGGCTGGCTGACGGCTTGATGAGCGCGGCGTTGCCACATTTCGCCCCGCCCCCTGCCCATTTAAATCGCTTCCAGCACGCTGCTGCCAACCAAACAATGTTCAGATTTTTATTATTTTCAGTTTGTCTGAAGATATTTAAGTCAATTTCAAATTTTATTCAAAAATCTAATTGGAATTATTAATTTTGTATTTATTTTGTAATTATTTGACATTTTTAAATAGTTTTTAAATGTTTTACTGAGAAGTATTCAAAATTTTGTTGGCAACTCTGCTCACATCAATGCACTTTGCAAGAAAATCAACAAAACGCCGCTGCCGCATTGAAAAATAACAATTTATTTTGCGGCTTCTTCTTGAATTTGTTGAATTATAGGCCAAATCAACATGCTAAGTCTCAAGTGCAGCAGGTCTTTAATCCAAATCAGCAAAAGCTCCGTTTTTATGTCAAATTCCTTGAGCACAACCTCAGTTTTATATGACATAAAATTCAGAATAAGGTGAGTCGATTGTAAAATATTTTGTCCAAATATGTATATTTAATTATTATTTGATTAATCATTACAGGAACAGGCTTCCTGTGAATGCAAATGCGTCTGGACCTTTGACTGATGGACCGGATTTTTCATATCTGAACAGCAGCAAACCCGTGCCTCTGAACAAAGGCCAAACGAGACGATTGCTCAAACAACAGCAGCTGGCTGTACGACTTTTTTTCACCCCACGGGCGTATATTTTAATTAAAACCGTGCTGTTCATTTTGCAGGAGTCAGTTTTGAGACTGAATTCTGAAATCCAGTGGTCCTTTGATGAAGAAAAGAGGTTGCAACTCGAAGAGGAGCAGAGGAAACAGCGAATACTCGATTCAAAGTTGAAAGCCAAAGGTGATGCTTTGTTAAAGGACAAGTAATCCCGGTTAAACGATTTAGTCAATAAAAATAATTATTTATAGGTTAATAGGACTTGTTCGTTTTTGTTTAATTTTATTAATTGAGACTTTTTAACTTAAATATTCACAACTTTGCAGAACTAATTATTGGTCGATTAATTATTGTCTTGCTAATTTTTTATAAATATTTTTAAATTATGGAAATGATATTTTATTTCCAATATTCTTTCATCTTTTGCTCTTAATATAATAATAATTATTTGTTCTGTATTTTTAACACTTTTTTTATAAGTTTGAGTTAAATATCGATCTTAAAATTTTTACACCGATATTCACATCTTAACTTTGAAGTATTTACTTTGATTTACTTTTGATATAAAATGAAAATATGCTTTTTTTACAGGTAAATACATCTTTATTGAGTCATATCGATATATTAATCATTTTACAAAACAGAAAACATCAACCATGCATTTTTTGCGTTTTTTCTGGTAACACATTTTTTGATAGAAAAATGCACCACATCTGCCAAGTTCCGTTACATTTATCTCACCCGGCAGTTGTAAATTTGGTTACATTTTTGCCTTAATTTATCGAAGAACATTTCGTCTAGAATTATTATTTAGCAATGATTTCGCTCACTCAGCCATTTGTGCAATTATAAGTTAACGTTATCAGCAGCAGGGTCTAAATTGTTCTCTCACAGGCTGAATTTCGCCCGAAAATGTACCAAATTAACGTTTCGTGAGCAAAATTTGAATTTTGATTTTTGTTATTATTTTCAAACTGTCCTAGTTTTTGGTCTCTTTTGCACCGTTCTCGAGGGAAAATTACGAGGTGATCTTTTAGAGTGTAATGCGCTGTGTTCTTCCATGTGTGATGGGTTATTGGGCATGTGTTTTAGCGTGAAAGCAGCAGCCACTCACCTGCGGCGCCAATATACCAAAGGGCACTCCACTTGAGGGGGTCATATCAAATATATCGATCCGCGTGCTCTGTCAAGTAGTGCCTTTCCTTTTCTTAAACAACACCACTCGAGCACAAACACCCTCAATGTCATTTTCTCTGTTTGGTCACTTTTAAACTCCGACTAAATTTCGCCCAAATCTCTATAGGAATATTATATATATATACATAGTTGACGCATGGCTATTTGAAATGCCATTTACATATTTAATTCCAAGAGTTTTATTGTCATTTTATGAAAATATCCGCTGATACCTTTAGATTTAGACACACACGAAAAGGGAAGAATTGTAAATATTTTCAAGTTTCATGCACGAACAACGATCCATTTTCGTTTTTGACACATTCAAGAAGTTATTATTTTATTTTCTGGACATCGAATAGCTCTTTTTTGTTAATTTTTGATTATATTAGAAGGCATTGTAGAGAGTTGAAAGTAATACATTAATTAGGTACAAACCAGTGGGCCAGCATAACGGCGAGCTGCGCCAATATGGCCGCTCCCTGAGAGGCGCGAAATATTTGAAATGCTTGTGAAGCATCGTGAAATTCAATGGTGGAAATAATAAATTAATTACCCCAATTATCCTACCTGTAATCGATGACTATTGTTTTACTAATTAAGTTTTCAGCTGTTGACATTGTTTTGGTCACTAGTTCATAATGATACATTGAGGTGGCAGCTCAGGGCTGTCGTTTGACAGATGATGCGTGAGCGGGAATATTACACATGCTCTGGTTTTTTATAAACAAAGATCAGATCAAATCAATTAATCAATAGATTGACCGCAACCCAGTCAACCCATATACAGAATTTGAACATTTTTTTTTTTTAATTGATAACGAGATTTTTGTCTTTCAAAATGGTCAACATCTGTTTTGTGCCATCCTGCGGAAATGACAGTCTAAAACACCCGGAAAGGAAATTTTTTTCATTTCCCTCAGATTTGGAAAAAGCGAAAGAGTGGTGGATCCTGTGTGGGAGGGATGCTGAAGACCCAAAGTTTTCATCTTTAATACGGCATTGTAGAGTTTGCGACGAGCACTTTGAACAAATTCATTCATGGGTTTGCAAGCAACTAAAGTCGGAAAAGTGCCGATGTCGGCCGAAAAATATTCTACCATCTCTCAAGCTGCCTGGTCCGAAAATTCAGACCAGGCCATCAACAACAATAATTCTTAAACCTTGCAATGAAAAACGAGCAATAGAGGAAGAGACTTGGCAAGTTGATTTAGCTGTCTTATAAAATAATTATTAATTATAAATTTTCCTTAATAAAGTTCTTTGGCCTGCAAGAAAATGAAGTCAATTGACGACTCCCGGATGGCCATGCCAGTAGAGGGATTCTTGAGAGGTAGAGTTAAATTTTACCAAGTACTTTGTTCCACATAACAAAAAAATATTTAAATATTTCAACATCTCTCATAAACAGAATCGAGTATGGATACATTTGCCGTCACATCAGAAGTGACCTTTCCGAAAGAAAAGACTAGTTATAAAAAAGGTATATAATTATATCATGAAATGGTTTCAGTTAAAAACAATAAAAAAGTTGAACATTTTTTAGGGCCAAATGTCTGTATTGAACCAAGGGATGCGCCGCTAATTCTAAGAAAGATAACTATATTGTAATTAATTATCTCGATTTGGGAAACAAAATTTAAACTAAAAATAAATATGTATATTTTAGGAGGAAACCCTTGCCAGTTATAAGGCCTCAGCAACAAAGGGCTATGCAAATGCTCAATGCAGCTGGGCACCCTTTAGAGTTCTCTGCAAGGGTAACAGGTCCTTCCCACTTGACTGCTGAACGGCCGAATGCGTTCGTCAATATGCAACGACAAATTCAAGATTTAAAATCGGAAGTCGAGGCAAAGGAAAGAGAGAGAGATGAACTGGAACGACAACTAGCTTCTGTACAAAAGGAATCTGAAAATGCTAAAAAATCTCTTAAAACCTTTGCAATTCAATCGGAAAATAGAAATCAACTTTATCTTCGAGCACACCGAGAAGGATACGAAAAGGGCAAGCAAGAAATATGCAAACCGTTTGAGGAAATCTTCAGTGATACACAAATTCAAGCCATTCTCAGTGGCAAAAAAGTAATTTATTCTGTTTAACAAAAAAAGTATAAAAAAAATTATAATTTTATTAGGTACGCTGGGGCGCTGAAGATATTTCAAAATCCGTGGGTTGTTTAGCATTCGGAGAAAAGGTTTTGGAGTATGTTCGGAAAAAATTAAAAATCCCACTGCCCTCAGCCTCTACGGACAGGCGCTGGTGTAGTAAACTACAAATCAGTCCCGGGAAACAAACTGAACTTCTGGAAGTTCTACGAGATCTAGTTCAAGAACTACCTGAGAACCAGAGGCTTGTCTGCCTATCTTTTGATGAGATGAGTTTATCTCACAGGGCTCAGTATTGTCAAGGGACCGATGAAGTTATTGGACCCAATAATCATGTTCAAGTTCTAATGATGCGCCCTGTAGTGTCAGGTGAATTATTAATCTAAGCAAATTATAAATTTCAATTTATCCTGTAGCATCACAAAAAGCGAGAAATATTGCAATAATTTAAGTTCTCTAAATTTAAAATAAATTAAATATTATAAATATTTTCTAAATTTCTATTGAAAATAATCATTAATCATAATTTTTGCAGGCAAATGGAAGCAACCAATTTTCTTTGACTTTGACAGAGACATGGACATGGATCTCTTCAAGCAGATTGTGGCCGACTTGTATGACATTGGTTTTACCGTCTGTGCAGCTGTGTGCGACTTAGCGCCAACTAATCAAAGGTTCCTGAAGGAATTCCTCGAAGGCAAGGAGGAGTTTCTAGCGCACCCCAGCAACCCTGATCTTCGGATTTATTTCTTCGCCGATATCCCCCACATGATCAAACTACTCCGTAATCATCTCCTGGACTCCGGTTTAAAATTTCCTGGTGGCAAACAAGTTGACATAAAGCTCCTAAAACAAGTAATTGCACTGCTGAATAAGTAAGTTTTTTTTCATTTAAAAATTTAAGGCAGCGCATCATATATTAATTCAACTTTACTTGAACTAACAGAGGTGGTCATGGTCTGAGATCTGCCGATAAACTGCACCTGGGCTTGTTGAACGTGAACGCAAAAGGCCGAATGAGGGTTCAGCCTGCTGCGCAGCTTCTCAGTGGCACAACTGCTGCAGCAATTCATGAACTGAGCAATAAAAGGCTGCTGAAAAATTCAAATGCAGATTTTGCTGCCGAATTGATCTCTGTTGTTGATGAATGGTTCGACGTTTTCAACTCGCGAGAGGAAACACAGAAAGTGAAACTGAAAATTCCCTTTGGACATGATTTGAACCGTCAGACTGAGGTTGTGAACAAAATGACAAAGTTCATGCTCGACATGCGAGTTGGCACTCACAAGGTTCCTTTGCCATTCCAGCAGGGTATTATTTTGTCTAATAATTCTGTGTTGGCCCTGCAGAGGTAAATTACTCATTCCTGAATTTTTATTTTTAAAATTGACCCAATTTATAAATTGCTTGGGAAACTTAAAATGTTTGAGAATAATTGTATTTTAATAAATTTTGCAAATAACGTTTTTATTGTAATTATTTTCAGTTACCTCACAGAGAAGTACGGCATTAAAGAATTTTACACATCAAGACTCACCCAGGATTGTGTTGAAGGCGTCTTCTGCTGGTTTCGGTTGGGCGTTGGTACCAACACTGTCCCGACTGCTTTAGAGTTCATCAACAGATTCCGCAAGTATCTGCTTACACGGAGTATGAGACACTATTCACGGAAGTCCAACTGTGCAGAAGAATCGGCAGAATCACAGGACACAAATTTTGATGTTGGATTAAAGATGATTCAGAAGAGCAGCTCCTCGGCAAGTGATGTTTTCAGAGCTCAGGAGATTGAAGCTGCAGTTGCTGAACCTCAAATCGAGACTTTTGAAGAGCAGGATTGGCCTTGCCTGACTGGAGAAGTTCTCAGAGCCAGTGACAAAGATTTTGACGACTTTGCCAACAATTCCGATGTGCTGCCATCAGATGTCCATCACTTGAGCAATGCAGCATCTGAATTTGCTAGCAAGGTTACATACCAAAGGGGCATCCAGAATATGGCTTGTTTCCTGCAAGAGAAATTTCTGTAAGTTTTTAAAATCTAGATTTTACTTTACTTAATAAAATTCCCAGTTATATCTTAATTTATTTTTCAAAATTAAATTTCAATTGGTTTTTAAAGAATTTTTTTAAATACTTTATTCCTTTTACAGCTGAAATGAAATTTATCTTTTATTTCAATTTCAAAACAACTTACTTTTTTCTTTTCAAATAGTTATGAGGAGCAGGAAGAAGAAATCTCGGGCAACCTAGCTGATCTTGTTTGGAAAATGGACCGAATGTTTATTGACTGGCACAGCTCAGGAGAAAACGGCTTCCGAAGAGGGCAAGGAGTCAACGCAGGCCTTGTCATGCACATCACAGAAAACCTAAAGTGCAATCAGGAATTAGCTAAATGTTTTGTGGAGCGAAGACTGTACATGGCTTTGAGGGACTTCAACATTCCTATCCGAAATGCTACAATGAATTGCTCAAATAAAGCGTACCTCAAATATTATGGTTAAATATAAAAAATCCATTCTTATTATAATTTGTTATCAAGTCAAATTTATTAATTCTAGTGAAGTCAAGATTAAAAAATTTTTTTAACGTACCTCTCATAAAATTCATTGGATAATAATGTTTGCGAATATTCGCTGATTCAGCATCTCTGCTACAAATACAAGTGGTGATTCTCACAGTCTGAAATCAAGTGTGAAACAAAGTAAATATTCTTAAAACAATACTAAATTAAATTTCTATAGGCCTGCCTAGCCATGCCAAAGTAATAAAATGAGCAAGTTGTTTTACGGCTGCTTATTATAAAAAAATTTATGACTTACACTAATTGATAAAAACATTTGAAACTGTTTTTAATCTAATACAGAAAAGCAGCGTTAAAATATGCTCAGATAATCTGAAATAATCTTATTTCTGTAAGAAATTTGGACTTATCTAATACTGTAGTATGAATGAATCGCTCTCCTTAGCACTTCTTTGCTCCTTGGCGTTGTTAAAGATCAGCAAAACCATATTTATATTGCACTCTGTGTGATGCTGAATCATTTCAAGGTACAATTCAACGAAAATTAATTGAAATAACCCCCAAAATGCCGCAAAAAAACATTAAATGTTTTTATTTTTGAGGTGCCATTGCGATGATCAAAACAAGCACTGTGACGTCACTCTGACGACGAAGGGAGCCGTCTCTGATTGGCTCTCGCACCGAGCGGCCATCTTGAGTCGCCTGCGCGGCGCGAAACGAAAAATTTCTCATTATGCTGGCCCACTGGTACAAACGATGATATATTATTATTTTTAAGTTGGAATTTCTCTTTTCAAATACAGTAAGGGCTTTCCATTTATGTTCCAAATTCAACCTTGTGGTCCTTCCAGAAGGCATTATTTTGCCCTGTTTATCTTTTATCTTCCATCAATTTATTTACCCTGTTTATCATTATATGGATGAACGCAACCGGCCCAACATGCAAGTCGAGACGGTTGCATAACGTGTGCGGCTTTTCGACAATAGTTAAAATAAAAATAAGCTAATAACGGTGTAGTTTATTTAAGGGGAAATTAACTTTTATTAAGTACAAATATTAAATTATATAAATTCGTCATAAAAATAAGTTTTAGTACTAAAGTAAGAAGAGAGGGAGCTTTCCAAGACTATTATTACGGATCTGCTATTTAAATTCTCATCTCTTGTGTTTTAAGAGCCACTGGACACCGATTTAAAGCTCATCCAAAGTCATTAAAAGAGTTTTGGAAGCAGAGATATATATTGATTACAATCATCCTTATATGCTTAGATATCTTTTATGTATTGTTTCAAAAAATGGTCCTATTACCAACATTTAAATCATCTTAAAAATAATTAAAAGTCACTGCCGAGGACTATTTTGTTTTCCGTCGGCAATTTATTTAAACTTTAATAAGAAAAAGTTGTGCATTTTCAACGGCTGAGGATGAGCTTAAATAATTAATTGAAAGTGACATTTAATAATTGAGTACGGATACAGTTATAGGAGGGTATAGCTCTTCACAATCATGATTTTTACATAATTATTTTGATATACACATTCAGTAATTAACGAATATACGCTTTTTCTTTAAATCCAATATAATATGTGTTCAGTCCTGCAGCGACTCTATTTATCTTATACAAAGTGCGCGTTACAAAGTCTGGAGGTTTTCACAGTTCTTGAATTTCGAGTCCTCTTTGCCGAACATCCACGAGAACATCTGGCGGGCGCGCATCGACGCCCTGGTCATGCCTCGGCTGCGGTGGAACCACGGCGGCGGCGACCCTTCGTGGTTGGCGGCCATCTTGAGCCGGATCTGACTGAGGATGCCCACCAGCAACTCATCCACATTGTGGTTGATGCCGATCGAGATCTCGATGCACTTGCAGCGGTAGGTGCAGGCCAAGCACTTGCCGTCTGCAAAGAGAAATTTCACCATTAGTCAGAGAAAAAAAATTAATCACTATAATTTATTTAAAAAAAAAAAAAAATCTGAGCACAAAAGTAAAGAAAGAATTTTAATCAATTAAAAATTAATTCTTATTTTATTCAACATAATAAAAAAATTAAATCATGTAAAAATTAAAATTAAATTTTATGTTAATTTCATTATTTAACATCTCAATCAGAGATCCTTGGAAAATGGAATTATTTTGAATAAATTATCTTATTATTTATTAATTCTACGTATTTCAACTTTTTTTTAACAAAAAAATTGGAAAATCTTTAAATTTATTTGTAAATTCTTAAAAATTAGCATTTTTTTTTAATTTAAATAATATTTTTTATTTTTGTTTATTTTTAGACCTTGCGTAGAAACAGATCTTGATCGAGCCAAGTCGATTTTGTTGCCCACAAGCAGCGCCGGTCTGCTCCTCAACATGTCCCACTCCTGAAGCCTGGAGAGTTCATCCTCTGCTCGTTGGAAGCTGGCTTTGTCCACCACAGAGTACATGACGAGGAACGCGTGAGGCGGGTTTTCTTTGTCCATGTCCGTCTGTAACAAAAAAATTGCAATAAAATTCGTGTAACAGAATATATAAAAATAAAAAACAAGTGTCATTTTTTGCCCGGAGATGCAATTTCGCTGTTGAAGCTTTGGAGCGAAAAGTTTTTATTACGGCATCTCTACGTTTTCCCCAAACGCGTGATGATCACGTTCTTCGCCGCGGGAAAAGTGTCACCTGCCTCTCCGGCAAGTTTTTTTTCTCTGCGAAAAGTTTCTTCGGCAAAACAGGAAATAATAATAATTCGGAAAGCTGCCTGAAAGGCTTTTGTTCTTTGTTTTCCCTGCGGCGGCACCGCGACGAAAAGTTTGCGCGGAGGAGAACGGCAAAGTACGCTGTGTGATCCTTTCCAGCCGTGGGCAAACACAAATGTGGGTGGGAAAAGCGAATGAAAAAGAGAGAGGGTGGCGAAAGATCGTGATTGGAAAGGTGCAGATTTGTGTGAATGTCGTGATCAGAAGTATTAAATTTTGCATTCAAAGAGGTTTTTTCTCAATTAAAATAAATTTAAAATTTTTCTTTTTCTTTTCTACAAGACAATATCAAGATTAATCAAAGATTGAATCACGAGGTTTTTTAAATTAAATTCCCGTTTTTCCTTTGCTATTTCCAAACTGATAAAATTATTATAAATAATCATTAAATAATTTAATTAAATATAATATTGTTATACAAAAACACAAATAATTGTTTCATTTGTTTATTATCATGTTTAATTAATTAATTATACTGTTAATTTATTTGAAATCACAAATATTTTTAATTAAAAAAAATTGTATAAAAATTAAAAAAAAACTATATGAAAATTAAAAAAAAAATTACTTTTTTATATAATTTCATTTTAGTTGTTTCTTTCCTTCAAGATTTCCAATTTCAAATAAATTAACGGTAAAATTAATTGAATAAACTTGATGAACAACAAAACGATAATTCATTATGTTTTTTATAATTAAATAATAATTTAATTGTTTTATTTTTGCGCCGCCCTCGATTCTCCAAATGCCCCTCCCTCTTTTGGCTCTCTGGGCGGTCTGCTGTGCCCATTAGTTTTATCAGAGATCAGAGATAAACGCTTTTTCGCATACTCCGTGTCCCTTTGTCCTGCTGCTGGGCAAAACGCGCCGGACAGTGTTTTATCTTTTTTTTTCCGCCCGAAGTGGAAAATCAATCCGGCACAGAACGTGTGACACACACACAAAATGCCAAAGGCCGGCCTTGTTTTTGCATTTCTGGCTTCCGGCCAACTGCTCTCTCACTCATTCTCTGCTCGCACTGCGTATATATTTGGACCAGCAGACTCTAGTTCCACACACTGAGAGGACTGAATTATTTGACACACACCGGCGCAATTCAGCCGTTTCGAATTTTCGACCACCACCCTCTCCGGGGCGCGTGAATTCCAGCGACGAGCACTCTCGAAATTAACGCCTGCCGTGAGTGCGAATTATTTAAACGTTAAAAAAAGGTCAGCGCAATTACAGAAGAATTAAAACACACTACGAAATCCTGAATGGAAAAATAGGTCAAATTTGTGCAATTAATAGAAATTACTGGAATGAGAAGTATTGAGATTTTCCTGAATATTAATATAGAAGAAGTTTTTGAGAACAAGATTTTATAATTATTTTGCATTCTAGTTTTTTTTAACCTAAACTATTTTTAAATTTTGCGATAATTCTAGTTTCAAGCAAACAAAAGAAACAAGAATTTACTCCTTTTTCACTATTAAAAAAAATTTATTCCAATTAAGATTATTTTATCTCCACAAACAAACAAGATGGAAATAAATCTGTAACACGTGTGGCAGACAAACAATTTCCTGCCACTCTCGCATACAAATTTTGTGATCTCCCGTCGAGCTGAGAGATATACAAAGGGAATAACATCATGACGAAAGTGTTACCAGGAAGTGCGACACACAGCGGGATTCTAATTTGGAATCGATATTCCGCCTCTCTCTCTCGTCTCGAGCCGCGTGTGGGCACGGAAGAGAGAGAAGTGAATTCGTATAGTATAATATTCTCGTATGTCGCGTGACTCGGGAGTTTTATTGAGAGAAAGTGGACGTTTTCCGGGACCGAGAAAGAGTAGCGAAAGCCTGAACCCCTTTCAGAGGCACACAAACACCCATACTGACACGAAAATTGTCAGTTGGTTGTTAAATGACGGGGAACTTAATATAATCCGGCGGGCCAAATGGGCATTTAAGGTCGTTTTGTTTGGCCATTACGAAAAATAAAAAATGACATGGTGATTTTTGTTATATCGATTAAAATATACATTGTTTTTTAAATAAATCTATCAATTTCTGTAAAGAAAATAAAAAATATTTAACTTTCCTGGAGTAATTTTTAAATCCAAATGAGACTAGTTTTCATCTTTTTAAAGAATCGAAAATCTGAAACGTCTGCAAAAATTTCATGGCCAAAATTCGCTTTCCTAAACTTCAAATCACAGGGTTAATTGGACGTTCACCTGCTTTTCCGTCAATTGAATTTGAATTTTGAATAATGTGGAACCTGATTTCCAAATCTGAAAATCACTAAATTCTCTTGAAAGGGAATTATTTGATTCATTTTTAGACTTCTTTGAGGATAAAAAATACTTTTAACGGAAAAATGCAAAACCAGGTTTCAAATCTTTCAAATGTTGTGATTTTAACAATTAATTTAAATTTTTTTCTCTACTTTTGTAATTTAAAAAAAAAATACCTAACATTTTCCTCTCCCTGAGTGTATCTTTTATATTCAATCTTGAAATAATCCTTTTTTTTTGTAATTTTTCCCTTTAAAAGAGTTTGATTTCTACCTTTTCTGAAGAGTAACTCGACTCTTTGCAAAGCGGAGAACGTTCTCAGGAACTAACCCTATTTCGCGCCCGTTTGCCTTTCTGCGATAATTAGATAAAAGAGGGCTTGTCTCATCTTCCTACTCCTTGTACATCTCTCTCGGAGCCGAGCCAAAGCCCAAGGAAACAAACGAGCAAGAGACAAAGCAGACGCTCGGTTGATTTTCTCTCGCTTGCAGTCCTTTGACAAACTCCCCACATACACACGACGTACGGCGGCAGATGCGACTACAAGAGCAAGACATTATACGAACCTTTGAGTTCTGGATGACTGTGAAGAGAAGTTCCGATTCCTCTCCGTTCAGGGATATGCAAACCGACTGCTCAATCGGCTCATCTGCAACACAAAAAGATCCAGAGATGAGAAAAAAACCATCGAATTTTTAGTAAAATTTTACTTTTAAATGGAGAAAAAGCATGAGAATTTGACATTGGCAGATAATTTAACAGTTTGGCGAAAATTGTTATGAAAAATGATATTTTTTTTCTTAGTATGGACAAAAAAAGTGTCCAAACTTTTAATTAAAAATGAATTAACTCTACCCCAAAATACTCAACAAACAAATTTTAATTAAAAATTCATCAAAACTTTGTTTATATTTTATTCTCTTTTCAAACAGATTTAATTAAAAAGAAGATACGAAATTGTAAAATTTCCTCTCCTTCAAAAACTTTGTAGCAGGCTTTGTATAATTTCTACTCCATTCTCCCGTTCTGTGCGAAACGCAAACAAAACTCTCTCGTCCGTGGAAGCTATATTATTTTTTTGTGTTCGTTGATAAAACAGAAGGCTTCATTCCTTTCGGCCGGTCAGTGAAATTGAGGCAAGGGTCAGCGCCAGCGAGGCGAGATTAAACAAAATAATACAGGCCGACCCGGGGTTTGATTTTTTTCCTGGGCTCTTTTGTTTCCGTTACTTTTTCGGCGCTGCTTGTTCATTCGATCCGACCGGCCGAAAAAGCAGCATTAGCAGCTTTTTGTTCCACGAAAATTGAAAGCGACAACAACTATCAATGGCCGTGGAAATAATAAAACAGGGAGAGACCTTTTTCCTATGCAGTCAACTCTTGACATGTATGGAATAAAAATCAATATGGTGCGTTGTTGGTCGGGAATTTATGTGTTCGCGCTCTTTTTTTATTGTCGTGCATAATGGAATATAGGAATGAGAGCGACTCTCTTCTGCCCTTCTGCTCTCCCTCCTTCCGACTGAAAACTCAATTTACTCTCGCCCTCATTTTGCTCCTTATCACGTGTGTGTGTTTGTCAAGTAAACCGAGGAAGGCTCATTTTTGGGGCAGTCGAAATGGAGTTAGTTTCCACCAGTGGGCCAGCATAATGAGAAATTTTTCGTTTCGCGCCGCGCAGGCGACTCAAGATGGCCGCTCGGTGCGAGAGCCAATCAGAGACGGCTCCCTTCGTCGTCAGAGTGACGTCACAGTGCTTGTTTTGATCATCGCAATGGCACCTCAAAAATAAAAACATTTAATGTTTTTTTGCGGCATTTTGGGGGTTATTTCAATTAATTTTCGTTGAATTGTACCTTGAAATGATTCAGCATCACACAGAGTGCAATATAAATATGGTTTTGCTGATCTTTAACAACGCCAAGGAGCAAAGAAGTGCTAAGGAGAGCGATTCATTCATACTACAGTATTAGATAAGTCCAAATTTCTTACAGAAATAAGATTATTTCAGATTATCTGAGCATATTTTAACGCTGCTTTTCTGTATTAGATTAAAAACAGTTTCAAATGTTTTTATCAATTAGTGTAAGTCATAAATTTTTTTATAATAAGCAGCCGTAAAACAACTTGCTCATTTTATTACTTTGGCATGGCTAGGCAGGCCTATAGAAATTTAATTTAGTATTGTTTTAAGAATATTTACTTTGTTTCACACTTGATTTCAGACTGTGAGAATCACCACTTGTATTTGTAGCAGAGATGCTGAATCAGCGAATATTCGCAAACATTATTATCCAATGAATTTTATGAGAGGTACGTTAAAAAAATTTTTTAATCTTGACTTCACTAGAATTAATAAATTTGACTTGATAACAAATTATAATAAGAATGGATTTTTTATATTTAACCATAATATTTGAGGTACGCTTTATTTGAGCAATTCATTGTAGCATTTCGGATAGGAATGTTGAAGTCCCTCAAAGCCATGTACAGTCTTCGCTCCACAAAACATTTAGCTAATTCCTGATTGCACTTTAGGTTTTCTGTGATGTGCATGACAAGGCCTGCGTTGACTCCTTGCCCTCTTCGGAAGCCGTTTTCTCCTGAGCTGTGCCAGTCAATAAACATTCGGTCCATTTTCCAAACAAGATCAGCTAGGTTGCCCGAGATTTCTTCTTCCTGCTCCTCATAACTATTTGAAAAGAAAAAAGTAAGTTGTTTTGAAATTGAAATAAAAGATAAATTTCATTTCAGCTGTAAAAGGAATAAAGTATTTAAAAAAATTCTTTAAAAACCAATTGAAATTTAATTTTGAAAAATAAATTAAGATATAACTGGGAATTTTATTAAGTAAAGTAAAATCTAGATTTTAAAAACTTACAGAAATTTCTCTTGCAGGAAACAAGCCATATTCTGGATGCCCCTTTGGTATGTAACCTTGCTAGCAAATTCAGATGCTGCATTGCTCAAGTGATGGACATCTGATGGCAGCACATCGGAATTGTTGGCAAAGTCGTCAAAATCTTTGTCACTGGCTCTGAGAACTTCTCCAGTCAGGCAAGGCCAATCCTGCTCTTCAAAAGTCTCGATTTGAGGTTCAGCAACTGCAGCTTCAATCTCCTGAGCTCTGAAAACATCACTTGCCGAGGAGCTGCTCTTCTGAATCATCTTTAATCCAACATCAAAATTTGTGTCCTGTGATTCTGCCGATTCTTCTGCACAGTTGGACTTCCGTGAATAGTGTCTCATACTCCGTGTAAGCAGATACTTGCGGAATCTGTTGATGAACTCTAAAGCAGTCGGGACAGTGTTGGTACCAACGCCCAACCGAAACCAGCAGAAGACGCCTTCAACACAATCCTGGGTGAGTCTTGATGTGTAAAATTCTTTAATGCCGTACTTCTCTGTGAGGTAACTGAAAATAATTACAATAAAAACGTTATTTGCAAAATTTATTAAAATACAATTATTCTCAAACATTTTAAGTTTCCCAAGCAATTTATAAATTGGGTCAATTTTAAAAATAAAAATTCAGGAATGAGTAATTTACCTCTGCAGGGCCAACACAGAATTATTAGACAAAATAATACCCTGCTGGAATGGCAAAGGAACCTTGTGAGTGCCAACTCGCATGTCGAGCATGAACTTTGTCATTTTGTTCACAACCTCAGTCTGACGGTTCAAATCATGTCCAAAGGGAATTTTCAGTTTCACTTTCTGTGTTTCCTCTCGCGAGTTGAAAACGTCGAACCATTCATCAACAACAGAGATCAATTCGGCAGCAAAATCTGCATTTGAATTTTTCAGCAGCCTTTTATTGCTCAGTTCATGAATTGCTGCAGCAGTTGTGCCACTGAGAAGCTGCGCAGCAGGCTGAACCCTCATTCGGCCTTTTGCGTTCACGTTCAACAAGCCCAGGTGCAGTTTATCGGCAGATCTCAGACCATGACCACCTCTGTTAGTTCAAGTAAAGTTGAATTAATATATGATGCGCTGCCTTAAATTTTTAAATGAAAAAAAACTTACTTATTCAGCAGTGCAATTACTTGTTTTAGGAGCTTTATGTCAACTTGTTTGCCACCAGGAAATTTTAAACCGGAGTCCAGGAGATGATTACGGAGTAGTTTGATCATGTGGGGGATATCGGCGAAGAAATAAATCCGAAGATCAGGGTTGCTGGGGTGCGCTAGAAACTCCTCCTTGCCTTCGAGGAATTCCTTCAGGAACCTTTGATTAGTTGGCGCTAAGTCGCACACAGCTGCACAGACGGTAAAACCAATGTCATACAAGTCGGCCACAATCTGCTTGAAGAGATCCATGTCCATGTCTCTGTCAAAGTCAAAGAAAATTGGTTGCTTCCATTTGCCTGCAAAAATTATGATTAATGATTATTTTCAATAGAAATTTAGAAAATATTTATAATATTTAATTTATTTTAAATTTAGAGAACTTAAATTATTGCAATATTTCTCGCTTTTTGTGATGCTACAGGATAAATTGAAATTTATAATTTGCTTAGATTAATAATTCACCTGACACTACAGGGCGCATCATTAGAACTTGAACATGATTATTGGGTCCAATAACTTCATCGGTCCCTTGACAATACTGAGCCCTGTGAGATAAACTCATCTCATCAAAAGATAGGCAGACAAGCCTCTGGTTCTCAGGTAGTTCTTGAACTAGATCTCGTAGAACTTCCAGAAGTTCAGTTTGTTTCCCGGGACTGATTTGTAGTTTACTACACCAGCGCCTGTCCGTAGAGGCTGAGGGCAGTGGGATTTTTAATTTTTTCCGAACATACTCCAAAACCTTTTCTCCGAATGCTAAACAACCCACGGATTTTGAAATATCTTCAGCGCCCCAGCGTACCTAATAAAATTATAATTTTTTTTATACTTTTTTTGTTAAACAGAATAAATTACTTTTTTGCCACTGAGAATGGCTTGAATTTGTGTATCACTGAAGATTTCCTCAAACGGTTTGCATATTTCTTGCTTGCCCTTTTCGTATCCTTCTCGGTGTGCTCGAAGATAAAGTTGATTTCTATTTTCCGATTGAATTGCAAAGGTTTTAAGAGATTTTTTAGCATTTTCAGATTCCTTTTGTACAGAAGCTAGTTGTCGTTCCAGTTCATCTCTCTCTCTTTCCTTTGCCTCGACTTCCGATTTTAAATCTTGAATTTGTCGTTGCATATTGACGAACGCATTCGGCCGTTCAGCAGTCAAGTGGGAAGGACCTGTTACCCTTGCAGAGAACTCTAAAGGGTGCCCAGCTGCATTGAGCATTTGCATAGCCCTTTGTTGCTGAGGCCTTATAACTGGCAAGGGTTTCCTCCTAAAATATACATATTTATTTTTAGTTTAAATTTTGTTTCCCAAATCGAGATAATTAATTACAATATAGTTATCTTTCTTAGAATTAGCGGCGCATCCCTTGGTTCAATACAGACATTTGGCCCTAAAAAATGTTCAACTTTTTTATTGTTTTTAACTGAAACCATTTCATGATATAATTATATACCTTTTTTATAACTAGTCTTTTCTTTCGGAAAGGTCACTTCTGATGTGACGGCAAATGTATCCATACTCGATTCTGTTTATGAGAGATGTTGAAATATTTAAATATTTTTTTGTTATGTGGAACAAAGTACTTGGTAAAATTTAACTCTACCTCTCAAGAATCCCTCTACTGGCATGGCCATCCGGGAGTCGTCAATTGACTTCATTTTCTTGCAGGCCAAAGAACTTTATTAAGGAAAATTTATAATTAATAATTATTTTATAAGACAGCTAAATCAACTTGCCAAGTCTCTTCCTCTATTGCTCGTTTTTCATTGCAAGGTTTAAGAATTATTGTTGTTGATGGCCTGGTCTGAATTTTCGGACCAGGCAGCTTGAGAGATGGTAGAATATTTTTCGGCCGACATCGGCACTTTTCCGACTTTAGTTGCTTGCAAACCCATGAATGAATTTGTTCAAAGTGCTCGTCGCAAACTCTACAATGCCGTATTAAAGATGAAAACTTTGGGTCTTCAGCATCCCTCCCACACAGGATCCACCACTCTTTCGCTTTTTCCAAATCTGAGGGAAATGAAAAAAATTTCCTTTCCGGGTGTTTTAGACTGTCATTTCCGCAGGATGGCACAAAACAGATGTTGACCATTTTGAAAGACAAAAATCTCGTTATCAATTAAAAAAAAAAAATGTTCAAATTCTGTATATGGGTTGACTGGGTTGCGGTCAATCTATTGATTAATTGATTTGATCTGATCTTTGTTTATAAAAAACCAGAGCATGTGTAATATTCCCGCTCACGCATCATCTGTCAAACGACAGCCCTGAGCTGCCACCTCAATGTATCATTATGAACTAGTGACCAAAACAATGTCAACAGCTGAAAACTTAATTAGTAAAACAATAGTCATCGATTACAGGTAGGATAATTGGGGTAATTAATTTATTATTTCCACCATTGAATTTCACGATGCTTCACAAGCATTTCAAATATTTCGCGCCTCTCAGGGAGCGGCCATATTGGCGCAGCTCGCCGTTATGCTGGCCCACTGGTTTCCACTTCACTTATTCTCCAGCACGCACAAAACCAAGTTTAATCCTTTTGTTTAATTTACCTCGAAAAAGGGGTGAATAATAAAGATAATCTTTTCCCACGAAAAGCTTTTTATCAGAATTTTTGTTTGCCAAAATCTTTAATTGAATCTCTTGTCTCATCTCTTTTCAATTCAATGCGGAATCAATTGTATTTTTTTTTTGCCTGTGTTCTTTGGAATTGAATCCAGAATGAGAGGAAAGAGATTCCATTATTTTTGTGGCGGAAATATTCTCCATGTCAACAAAGAAAATAAGTTAATTGAATAACGAAACTGGGCAAAAAGCTCTTTTTAAAAAGGTGACTTTTTGTGCTCAAATTTTAGTTTCATTGTTTCCGAGTGAGTAATTTTTCCAAGTTTTATTGAAGTAAAGCAAGGTCCGCTCGTCAGAAAATTTCGATTGTTGTCGAGCTCTCTGATTGGGTACAACTTTTCTTGTACCCAATCAGAGAGCTCAAACAACAATCAAATCTTTTTTCATTGTTGCTGATGCGCGGACCTTGAAGTAAAGTAAATTTTTGAGTTTTTATTGCTCAAAAGTAAATAAAATAATTTTTTTTTAATTGCGATGTTAGTTTGTTAAGGATTTTTTAATCAAACAGTAATATAAATTCTGAAAATAAGAGTAAATCAAAATATCGCACGAAATAAAAATACTTCCTAAAAAGATTGAAATTTGATACTGACTTGTTTGTCTGTCGTAAGCGTAGGCGTTGATGCACTCGGAGGTCATGAACTGCTCGACGAGGGCCGTTTTGCCCACCCCAGAGGCACCAAGAAGTGCGACTCGGAAAGGCGGTGGCTTTTCTACGGCCGCGGCCTCTGCGGCCGCCTGCTGAGCCTCCTGGGCCATGCTCGGCGGAAGAAGGGAGTTGCTTCTGGAGCGGCGCCGCCGGAAAGAATCGCCACGGTTCACAATTCCTGAAAGCAAAAACATTAACAAATTAAAATTTTTAATAAATTTCAAAATGATTCAAATAAAGATTAGTGAATTTAAAATTTTAGCGGTGCACTGGCGGTACATTTATAAATCTTCATCCTTTAATTTTGAGGGATTATTTTCAAAAACCCTTCCCTCTACTTTTATTTTATTCATATTTTTCTGTGTTCATCAAAACACAGCTTAGCATAATAATGTGTAGTACGCATAGTTTAGCGGTTGTGAAATTCCAAGAACCGGCCGGCATTAATATTGATGCAGCCCTTCCGTGTCGGATTTAGTTAGTCGTCAACATGTTTAGTGCACAAACAGCGCGGTTCCCTTCGCGCTTGTGCATAATTTATCTCGTAATTCCGCTGACGCCTGCCAGGGTGTCGTTTATGCAACCGGCTGGACGTGTTTGCGATGCACGTTGCATAACCACTTCTAAAAGCGACTGACAAGCGGGGGAGAATGCGTGTCAGTTGCGAAAAGAGTAAAAACATTATCCAGTCGAGTGAAGGAAATTTTTTGAGATAATAATTTAGGAGAGGACTTACGATTAAAATGCAACTTTTAAAGGTCCAGAAATGAAATTCTTTTAATTTTTTAATTTAAAAATAGACAAAATTTCACTTTCCCGCCAAATTAATTTCAATCTCTCAATCACTCAAACTGGTTAAAAAAAGCATTATTTTTAACTCTCCTTTAAAAAATTTCAAATAATTTTGGCGGCAAAGTCCAATTTTTTTAAATTTCAGAATCAAAATTTCCCTTGTGCGTCACTAAACTTTTTTTTATCATTTTGGTAGCAAATTTATTTCCTCCCCGCTTACATTTTTGCCAACCATGTGTTTATTTGGACAGAAATAACGTATTTTTGTTCGGAATAAACTTTGCGACTTGTTTTTGTGGCGCATTTGTCACCGCGCGCTGCGAGAGTTTGCCACAATAAAAGACCATAACACGTTCCAACTGTCCACCGCCGCTGCTGTTATTTAAAACGAATCGCGCGCGAAATCACCCTCGGCACTACTAATTCGGTTGTGCGAAATTCCGGAGAGATGTGATAATTTAATTCAAACGGGCACTGCGGGCCTTCATGCCGCAGCCACTGCGCAGTTTTTAGCTAATTAATTGGCAGCCACTAATCCACTTGCAGCCTCCGAGAGTTGGGTCGGCAAAGTGCGTCGTTTTGATGTCTGCCATTTGCAGAATTTCCGTCAAAAGAGATTTGCCACGGGCTGACGAGTGGATGGAATTTTCCTCTTCTTGCGAGTTCTTTTCAAGAAAAGCAGCGGGAGGTTCAAAAATCATTCAGAAAGGAAAACAAACTTTTTCAATATGATGTTGAAAGTTGCTCCGAATCTCGATTTATTTTCTTAAAAAAATCAATAAACAGTCATAGAAGCTTTGAATTGTCAAGGTAGTAAATTTAAAGGGTCTCTATATGTAAGATTTTCATTCTTATTTTCAAAAAGTGTAAAAATTTAGGACTTAAATCCAGATTGCTATCTAAAAATCCATTCATGTAAATACTTTAAATCACTAAATTTAGGCTTTCTATTTTCAGTCATAGTAATGAGAAGATTCAAATGCTTTTGGCGGGAAAAGGTGACCCTTCGATGAATCCCTGTTTCAACTCTTGAGATTTCAAATTTTTGGAACGAGATTTCTTTATTGAGTAGTGAAATTTTGTGTTTCCTTTCATTAAATTCTGGAGAGGCACTTTAACTACGCAATTAATTTTCAGCGACTTTGTTCTATGCTGCGCTCATTGGAATGCGGATGCGAAATTGCACAAAACACGCCTTGCCATAAATATAACGACGCACTCGTGTAATTTTCACGGACACTTGAAGCACTAGAGCGGCCAAACATTTTCACCGCGCTCCACCTCATGCTGAATAATTCATCATGCAGAGATGCAATTTCGGAAGAGCCGTTGTACCAACTCTGGCGAAATTTTCACCGCATAGGAGATAAAAATATTTTGCCAGCGTGAGTGCTTTCACCGGCGATCGATAAAGGCATTAAAAATTACGCACGTTTTGGAGCAAATTTAAGGAAAAAAATGTGGAAAATTAAATTTCATTCCTTAAAAAATAGGTTTAGGAAGTTTTAGACACAAAAATGTTTGATAAAAGGTAAAGAGCATTGAAATTTGATTATTGATCGAGTTGTTAAATTTATATTGAATTATTTTAATATTTGTTGTGGAGAGGCAATATTAGGTTGAATGATTAATTTTAAATGAAGTATAAATAATAAAAATTTTTGATTTTTTTAAATTTTATTTGATTCATTTGATTTTGAATTCTTTTATGTGCTTTAATAAAGTAAAAAGTTAAGGGCAAAACCTCATTCAAAATCATTAATATTTTCTCTTTATTATTTCATTGTTACAGCCAATTTTTTTAAGAATAAAATTGGGTTTCTACGACATTGATAAAGAGAATTGTTTTATACATCAATATTAGATTTAATTCATACAAAATTTCATCTAAAGGCTCTTTAGAATTGCAAAACACCAACTTCAAGCAAAATGGAATCAATATTTTTTGTATTTTTCTTTTCAAATAAACATAATAGTTCAGAAATGTAAACACAAATTGCAATTCGTGATTGTTCGCGTTGTCCCATTTGCTCCATGTATGCATTTTTTTTTTATTCACCGAGATATCTCCGGTTCACATGCAGACATTCACGAGTGTGTGTTTGTGAAAGAAGAAAATTCTCTCTGTGTCGGAAATGTGTGCCCGTGATGTGTCGGCGTATTCGCGTCAGCGCGCGTTTTTGCGGCACAATACATATTTTTATCCACGCGCGAGTGACCCAAATTTTTCGCATCTTTGCCAAACGTAATGAGGGGCCGCGTGTGTGTTTTACGAGTGGGGCCGCCGCGTGCCAAAACCTGTCTGCCAGGAAGCATATTGTTGTCATCTGTGATTAAGTCGCGAAATATTTCCAGCAGAAATGAGGTTTCGAGGCCAAGCACACGGCCCTCAAGACGACGAGAACAGGCCACTTATGCTTAATAAAGAAGACTGAGAACCCTTCATCTTTTCATCTTACGGGAGCAAAAAATAATTGGCTCAAAGATATATCGAGCAAGGGAAATTTAATTAGAAATAAATAGATTAGAAAATAAGTTGATTTAGAAGGGAAAGTTATAATTAATTAAAGTAATGATCAAAGTATTTTCGTTTATCTTTTAATTTGTTTGAAGCCTTCAAAATGGGATTATGTTATTTTAATTCAAATTAAAAAAGTATTTTACACAGAGATTTTTTAGTTTTATAAAATGTTTTAGGACTATTTTGATGATTTTTAATGAATTTCTTATTCAGAAATATAAATTTTCTTACAGTTCGGCAACGTTAACTAAAAATGGCATGAAAATATTGAAGAAAATGCATTAAAAAAAGTTGAATGTCTTCTCTTCTTTCTAAAAAATGATAATAAAAATTTTGGAACAAACTTAAAATACATACAATTTATATCATGGACGGGTGGACCAAAAAATTAGTTTGTTTAAGGATGGTAAAATTTTTTAACAATTTTTCTTTTTATTTGTCTCTTTAAAAAGCATGGTTGAACTTTTTTACTGCTCAGTTCCCTTTCTGATCCCTACCTCATCATAATTGAATTTGACACGTTTAATTTTGCCTCATTACTAAAATTTCAGCCTACAAGTCGTCTTTTTCATTGTGAAATAAACTTTGTCTTGAATGAAACATAAAACAAAAGCAATAATGACAAGCCTATAATCTGGGATTTGATCACCTTTTAATAAACTAATGGCTCGTTCTTATTCTTATTCTCTCTAGTTCTTATCAAAGCAAGTAAATATTTTTTTTTTTTTATTATTATTATTTGACATTAATAAGCATTAATTTATAATTTACAGCATATTTATTAAAAATGTTCCTTTTTTAAGTTTTATTTAATTATTTTTGGCACTTTATGACATAAAATTCAAAGTTTTTTAAAGCTGAAAATGTATTCAAATCAGTATTATTAATATTATTTTAATTTAATTAATGAAATTTAACGAAAATCGTCGTTTCCAAGAAAGATATATGCAATTTTTAAACTGATCTTTGTAATTTGTTAGAAAAAATTATATAAAAATTGAAAAATATCAATCATTATTGCCTCCAAAATATGGATTTATTTTCATTTTTTATTAATACAAATTTTTCCAGACCCAATTAAAATCTCTTTGGAACTTCAATATGAAATATAGACAAGTAAAACACCCCACTTTGACAATATAATGTTTATTATATAAATAGCAGACTTTGACGAAACACGTGGAATTGACAGTGACAAAGGGCCCCTTTTGCGGTTGGGTCGGCGGTTGAGCAATCAACAAGTCACAAGACGGCGTGCTGCGTTTATACATCCCAAGCTGGCAGTTAATCACAGCCGAAGCAAGCAGTGCATGATGTACACTTTAATAATAGCGCCCATCTCATTATGCACGGCCAAGTGTTGACGACACAATTTCAGCGCGGTTTGCAAAATCGGCGAGATTCGTCTCGCGAAAGGATCTCTCCAGAAGAGCCTAATTAATGCGCCGGATCGTAAAGGAAGAAACCGCTTTGATCTCGGGGAGGGCGACGAGCGCCGCCACCTTTGAAAAATGACGAGACACGCGAAAATTACACGGTGTGTGTGTCTGTGGAACAGGAAATTTGTGTTTTAATTATCAAGCTATCCGACGGCCCACTTGCGACAACACGTCAAAATATTTACAAAGTGTGGAAGGGAATTAGTTTACTATCTTCTATCAAAACAGGTGCACGAGAATTAGAAAGTAAATATTTGCGAAAAAAAAACTCAATTAAAAGGAAAAAACGTCAGGTTAATTTAATTTTATCACAAAAATAAATTAAATAAATAAAACTGGAATATATCCTGAAAATGATTGATCATTGAGGTCAAAATTTAGATAATAAAGTATTTGTTAAATTCTGAAATAAAATACAAAAGTTTT